CATAATTAATAAGGTATAAGACGTTCAATAAATCATGCAATGCAACAGTTAGTTGGGGGTCCATGCAGCCCATCATCTATGCTATGCATATATTTCTAGATTTGAAGCTTTCGTGACTGCAATGATTCATATTCTTAGGATTTTTCGGTAAAGTCACGTAGGTAAAAAACATTAAAAGTAAAATAAAATAAAAATCAAGACGTTTCGGAGGCAACACAAGCTTCCGTCTTCAGGTGGTACCGTCACAGCCACGACAGCTGTATCAAGTAAATGAGAGATTGCAGGAGCTACCACTCCGTTTATATAATGGTTGCATATAACTATACATGTGTAATCCGCAGCTCCGACACACGTCTAGTAGAAGGCTTCTTATTTATTAAGAGCACACAGGCTGTTCAAACACGCAACCCATCTCCGTCCTGCGCTACGCTGGATGGTCGACGGAGCTGATCTTGCAGAAGAACAGCCACATGGTCGAAGACGAAGAAATGACGATGGCAGCAACGCAACCAGGACCCAGACCCCACACTCACAGCCCCGAACCTCTGATTCGGTGCTCCTTATACCTTCCTGGCACGGCCAAGCTCCACCTCGGGCCACGCCCTCTTTCCAGAACCTTCGGGTTGGTTCCCGGAGCTTCTCGACTGACTCCGCCCTTGACCTTTACCCCAGATACGCCCCTTCATAATAATGAGGCATGTAATGCAGCTATAACCGTAATTACCCCTACAGGCCGGCAGGTGTCACCCTGTCATTACACATGTAAAATGCTACTTTACCTGCCATAGTTTGTGGCTGAGCAAATGCATTTGGCACCACTTAAAGCGGCAAGAATTTACCACTCAGAACACCTGTTTGATAATAACGTTCCCGGCCATAATGCTTGGAAAGCTTGCTAATCAATCAGGATACCCGGAAAGCCCTCGCGAAAGGGTATAATTTTGCCGGTTCGCAGCGAGATGGATGTCGTGGGAGTGCTGCCACGTGTGGATGGATCGATGTATGGGCACTAATAACGACCGCCGGCATCACCATCATAACCAATCATTGGCCATCATCTCGCCCACGGCTAAATTTCATGAATGGGAAGCACGGGAGAGAATATATATTTGATGATGTGCTGAGAATTCCACCGTGAACCTCACCCGTGCCTCCTTATTACAACGTTAAAATGCGATTCGATCATTTTCCTCTGCTTATTGACATTGGTTGCAACCGTGGTGCAATGGTTAGCACATTTGAATTGCAAATCAGAGGTCGCAGGTTCAACCTCCTGACACGGCATTTGAAACAATGTTGCAAGTTTTTTAAAATCCACCCCCCCCCCCTTCCTCCCACCTCAGTCCACCCAGTATTGTATTAATGGGTACACCACAATGAGTTAACCTGCAGGTCGTGTGTAGTGAGGTCAAGTGTGGTTACTTCCACCTTTTTTTCAAGATATCTGGCCAGTGTCTAGGGGGCTGTCGAGAGTTTTTGCAAGTGGAGGCTCTTCTGCCAGAATTGGTGGTGGTGGTGGTGAACAAGCAATTGCACTTTTTTATATACTGGGAATAGAACCATCACGATAGTTGCTAAGCAACCGAAAAGTGGGCAGCCGAACCCCACCTGAGAAACAAAGACTGCATGTGCATGTTTAAGTGGATGCCGTTTTCAGGCCACGCTCAAACAATAAAAAGCAATTCGTACGCCTCCACACGTTTAGTGCTGGAGGCAGTAAATACAACGGTGCATTTTATGGCATAATTAATAAGGTATAAGACGTGCAAAAAATCATGCAATGCAACAGTTAGTTGGGGGTCCACGCAGCCCATCATCTATGCTATGCATATAACTATACATGTGTAATGAGCGGCTCCGACACACGTCTAGTAAAAGGCTTCTTATTTATAAAGAACACACAGGCTGTCCAAACACGCAGCCCATCTCCGTCCTGCGCTACGCTGGATGGTTGACGGAGCTGATCTTGCAGAAGAACAGCCACATGGTCGAAGACGAAAAGATGACGACGGCAGCGACGCAACCAGGACCCAGACCCCACACTCACAGCCCCGAACCTCTGGTTCGGTGCTCCTTATATCTGCCTGGCGCGGCCAAGCTCCACCTCTGGCCACGCCCGCTTTCCAGAACCTTCGGGTTGGTTCCCGGAGCTTCTCGACTGACTCCGCCCTTGACCTTTACCCAGATACGCCCCTTCACAATAAGGCATTATGTAATGCAGCTATAACCGTAATTACCCCTACAGGCCGGCAGGTGTCACCCTGTCATTACACATGTAAAATGCTACTTTACCTGCCATAGTTTGTGGCTGAGCAAATGCATTTGGCACCAATTAAAGCGGCAAGACTTTCGTTGTACCAACGCATTATGATTGACAACAGTTGTTCAAGCTACTGCTACGTGAAGGCCTCCCTACACCGAGACAGTCATTGGGGTTGTTTGGCCATGATTCAGCCTGCTGGTCAGTGTCGGTGGAGAAGGAGGGCAGGGGGGGCATGACCCCTTTCAGATATCACTCGCCACTGATGTTAGCCGTGACTAAAAATCGAAGCCAGCTCATCGAGTTCATAGCGCAGGCTGCTAATGACTGTCTGTACTAACAGTCCGCCCAGTTTATTTTTGTTTGTGGATTACAACCAAGTGAGAACCCACTGAGATGTAACAACAGAATAATTAACAATACAATCACACAAATCAAGGGGAGAAGTAAACCAACGTTTAAAGAATATATAATTTTGTATATAAATAAATAAACGTTTTACAAACAAGTAGTTTCGGAACTAAATGTTGCCACCCAGCACAGTATAACACTGAACCAGTGAAATGTCTGCTGTGGTCTCATTGAGTCACGAAACTATTTGGCAGGCATTGCTTATAATTATTATTAGCTTGGAAAACCCACAATCTCTGGTGGGCCTTGTGCTTTCCGTGTGCGGCATGAGGCTGAAAGCGTCCACCTCGCGTGGCATTTTGGGGCAGTAGTGGCAGAGCTCGCGAGTGTGGCAGCGATGCAACTGCGCCGTGGGGTGCAGGAAACTGGAGGGGGCCAGTTACCAGATGACGAAGATGTTGAAATTGGACATGAGGATCGACCCAATTTTATTCCTTGCTCTAGGAGCCCAGAGCCCCTGCCAACAACGCTCTGCCACTGAGTGTGCGAACCATTTGTCCCTGTCTGTCGCTGATGAGACGACCGCTCGGGGTTATGGCAACTGGCCATACGCGGCTTCAATTTAAGATTATTGTAATTAGTTCAGGGATAACTCCAGCAGCCAGACCCACTCGGTGGATCTGTGGCACGCATTACCAACGCGTGCACCCGTTGTCTGCAAGCCAGGTCCAATGTTATTCTTGCTTACACACGAAGAGCCTTTCTGGCACAAACCTGCCACTCAAAGCACCATCACATTAATACAGATCCCCGATTTGGCCTTAACGGACTGGTGGGGCAAGTGCTGTTAGCCAGCACCTATAAAGGCTGACACGGCACAGGACGGGGTGGGTGGCCTGCACCACGCCCGGCCACCTTTGTCTATAGTACCAGGTACTAATTTGAGGCTCAGTCGACCTAGGGAAGGCCCAGGACTAGGTCAGACAATCGTTATCACTGGTGGTGGCCGTGAGCAGATTTCGAACTCGGGTCGCCGGGTTCGTAACACAACGTGCTCACCACTACACTACCGCTTCCCACATGTAATGCATAAACATGAGACAAAGCAAACTATCCCTCGTTGTTTAACATGTGAAAATAAAATCAAGTTGCGGCTGTGAGTTAGCTGTTGTATGCAAGTGCAAAGAGATGTGTTGTTGTTGTTGTTGAGTTGTGACTTGAATGTAGCTATGGAGTCGTGGGGCAGATTGCTTCGGGGAGGTTGTTCCAGAGGTGTGGTGCTGCAAATAAGAACGACCTGTCCAACCCCATGATGTGCGTGGTTGGCTGTTGATGGTTGGAGGAGTGATTGGGTTGAGGAGTGAAGTGATGTTGTTTTGCTTGATCTGAGGTTGCTGATGTAAGGTGAAACCTGGTTGTGGAATGCTTTGTCTGGTAATATATTTATTTTGAAGTGTATTCTGTATTTGATTAGTAGCCGGTGTAAGTTATTTTTTTACGTGTCATTTGGTGTATTATGTATATAATTGCTAACCATTCTAGATTTCAAGTTCAGAATCAGAAGTTTATTTTCCGAGTAAATCCCATTGGGCTAAGTCGCTCTCTTCACGGTAATCAATCCATGGCAATTCGGTCGTCAGTAGGCCTTCCAATATTTCAGTTGTCTTGGATCAGGCCGTGTTTGTGAATGCAACAGAAACAGTACGGGCACACTCAGACAAGTTAGGAAGCATTGTGCTCACGATGGGTAACTTTCACATTGAGAAAATTGGTGGCCAATTTGAAAAATGGCATGAAGCTGGGAATCTGGAATGTTCACCACATGATTCCAAACAGTTCAGGACATCAGGCTAACTGAAAACCAGTTGCTTTAGTCCCCCAATTTGGTAGTTAAATGTCGTCTGGCTTATGAGCTATTTCAATGCAGAGGTTATATGTATTATTTACAGCTATATTCTATCTAAATTTCTGCTGATGAATCAGAGATCACAGACGCGTTAATTAAACTAACATAATACGAACATATTATTATTCTGTTACCAATTGAGATATGAGACAGTGTGGTTTTTAGGCTCATAAATTGCTTTGAATATCCGTGCATTATGCAATTCTACAACTGTAATTATTCTGCGAATCATGCAGAATGATTGTGCACCACAGCACTATATGTATGAGCAGAGCATCATTTCATCCGGAGCTGTACATTGTTGAGTTCCAGAAAATATCACCGCCTCCCCAAGACACAAAGGGCTGGCTGGAGGGTTTGTAAATAGATGAGCCCCGGAAAAATGACGTGAAAAAATAAGCCCTGTGTACGAATCTGCTATTCACCACATTAAAATGCTATAATGCATACCCTTCGAGATACCATACGACACGGACAAAAGCACAAAATTCATATTTAATTTATTCCACTAAGAGCGCGTTTCTGTACCATTACACAAGCTGAGATTCAAAAGGCGGCGCCACAGTATTCCGGCATGCACTCATAACATTTGTTTGGGCCCTGTGGTCTTGGTTCCATTAGCCCTAAAACGTGCCGTGAGGGGCCCAACACGTGTAACGCTCTGCACAAGGCCAGTCACCCACGTGGCTTACAGAGTAGTGGCATAGCTACCAAGTGTGTACTGTCGGTGGTGCAACTAGACCGGGGCCCATGGGCTGGAGGGATCCAGGCGCTGAATTATGAACATGGTGGGATATTTCATAGGAGGGGGAGGTATTAATATCACTCGTATGGTTTTTGGTTTAGATCGCGTAAGTATAAATGTGTCATAACCCTCCACCACCCGACACAGCCAGTAAGGTTTGTCACGCAAACACACGTGGCAATTAGTTACTACTCCCGCCCACTGGTGAGTTGGAGAGTAAATCCAAAACATTTACAATTTAAGTACGACGTTTCGCTGGTAATTACACGACTCCTTGCATCAGGACCCATGATATGCACCCTACGCCACTTTGACGAAGGCTAAATGTTGAGACAAAGAGCGATGATCGTGAAATATGGGCTATGCACGGGCAATGCTGCACAAGCCCCAACAATGTGGGCTCAGGATGGAGGACTGGAGTTTTGCAAGCTTATGTCACAATGCATTGCATAACTTTGTTGTAATGATATCAGTTATATTTAGTTCAGTCCAAATTTACATACAAGGTGTCACGGACATATCTTTAAAGGTTGATTGCAGCACAAACGTCGAGTGTGCATGAGATAAGGACATGGCTGGGCACATCATGCCCTTGCCACGCACTTCGATAGAGCACTCGCAGCACTGCATTGCGCTGCCAGCCCCCTGACACATTTAGAAACATTTTTGGGGGCCACTGCTGGTCAAACACATGGCTATTTTATACCAAAAGTGACGGTGACATCACCACAGCCTGTGACAGGCCAGGTGCAATTTGAGGCCACGTAAAGTGTTGAAGGCTCGCAGACAGGTCTCGGGACAGACCCAGGTGACGTGGTTTGGCTGACTGAGGTGACTGGTAGATGCACCAGCTATACCCCCTACTGTGCCAACTTGCTATATTTTATCTGCCCGGCTCTCTGCTCGTAGTTGTGAGCGTCAATCCTCTGCCCTCCGTTGTTGCCTCTTAACTGCCCAGTAGCGTTCTTCACGAGCCTTCTCCAGAGGCCAATCTTAACACCGCACACACAAATACCAGCACGTGTGCCACAAAGACGATCCATTTAGTCATATGGGCTGCTGGGGCCATTTTTTTAAATTACAGTCGCTGTGCGCAGACCCAAAATGCCAAGAGGCTAGACATGTCGGCTATTTTAAATGAATTATTTTTTTGACTGCGTTGGTGTCCAGGCTTTCATATTCATTCATAAGACTTCATTTAACACCTTCCTGGAAAAAAGTGGTCTGGTATGCAACGGATGACACCCGAAAGAGCCTTGAGGCATATGAAATAGCATAGCAACTATGGCATCTGGTAAAACGTTACATCTTAATTTTCTAAAGCCAAACACACTCATTCCAGTTACTTATACGTTGCTACATACACCTGACACCATACATCCATTTGTTAAAATAAATAACCTTTCACGACCTTTCAACACCTTCTTACATTCCCCTGGCCATCGCGTTACATTCCCATCCCTCATGGGCATAACACGCATCAGCATTCATTTGTAAGAACGTGCTCCTGGTTGACAGCAAATTATTTTAGTCATTTGATGGAGATGACAAATGACTTTAGCGGGACACCAATTTAACGTTTTTTGTTTTATTACCCGAGTATTAAGCAGACGCTGTGTAACATCAAACTTGTACGCGACTGTGCCAGAGCACAATAACAACCAAAACACAACTGCATCCAGCCACCTGCTTCGCTGATTCCGCCTGTGAATCCGAGTGAGACTAAAAGTTCACCTTCCTGTATTGTGACGGAGACGGGTACACACACAATTCACACGTGGGCGCGCGCACGCAGGAGCACAGTGTTACGGTCAAACGCGCGCAAGCACAGCAAAAGAAAAGTGCCTCTTAGCACTTTGTGCAAGGAAACCAGCCCATTTAGCAGGGCACATTATGAAAGGTGTTGGCACGTTATCGCAGGCTGGATAAAAAAAAAAGTGAGAACACACTTAGATTAAGGTGGAGGTGCAGCCGTGCAATTGCTTACTCACGGCGGAACAGCGTCCACTAAAGGTAGCTCTAGACAGCCCAACTCTCCCACGCTGGCCAGACATAGTGGATAAGGTGGGAGCCCCCACACTTTACCCCACAAACATGCCACCTGCCGATAGACTGTGTACCAATTTATGCTGCGGCGGGGGATTTAATAAATGTGCCCCATCGTTTCAACTCCCGCAACGGGAGATCAATGCGCAACCCATTACTCCACAGCAGCACCCATTATGAGAATATACTCCTCTACTTACGAACATTCGTCTTAAGAACTTTCAAAGATACGAACAAAGCTGTCCATATGTCCAGTTTCCGGTTCAGAGTTAGAGTCGTAAGTTCAACCACTGCGCAATAGATAGCGGCGGTGGCATCTGCAGATCAAGAACCAGTGGCATCGACATCTACAGATTATACAACTTTTAAAGCCATTCCCCGTGTTTAGTGTACACGCCGTACAACATGTTTGGAATCGACAGGAGTAAAGTTGGACTTACGAACAAATCGACTTACACACATACCTCTGGAACCTAACTCATTCATAAATAGAGGAGTCCCTGTAGTACATTACATTGTGGCTAAATATTTTTCCAGGTGTATTTCTAAATCCTCATTTATTTACCAATTGCATTCACAATTTACTGCTAGGGGCTGCTTTGTATAATTACTTCGTATTTAATTTAAAATGTACCTTCATTGTATGCACTGTGCAATATACACTTACATAAATATATATTCCAGATAAAACAGGCGAGTAAATTACGCCGTGAAATCAATTCACACAGCTTGCAGTGACAGGCGAAGTTCTCGTATCATGTCTATACCCCCCCCCCACCACCCCCGCTCTCATTTCAGGAGCAGGCAATCTCAAAATTGGGATAAAAAATAAAGCAGCAACATATGGAAAAGGTAGCCATCTTCATAGCTTGATACAGAGCCAAGCCACTGTGCAATTAACTCTTGAAGTACAAACAAATGCTACTGCAGCACATTTGTAAGAAGTGTTGATTATACAGCATTCCCCAGTCAGTGTTGGGGCCACTTGCTGCCACTTCACTTTAGTGAACACAGTGGTCACAGTGCCACAAAGTTCGTTGTGCAAGACCCCTGGCAAGAAAAACAAATGTACAACCCTTATGTCAATACACTGATGGATAAGGGCCCCCCCCCACCCCATGGGTTGTCTAATCAAACTCCACCACGCTGGTAAACGTGGGTTGGTGAAGGCTCGAGCATAAATGCTGGAGCATCTTGGAAAAAAATACAAAACGAAATATTCCTACGCTGCTAGCTGCAAACACAGTAGCCCTGCAGCAGCCTATAAGCCCTGTTTTCGGCATGGTAGCCGGCCATCCAAGCACTATCCAGGATCAACCATGCCTAGCTTCCGGATCTGGCGCATTCCAGGTGATTTGGTCAGGAGTGGCAAGTAAAAAAACAACCACATATGAATGTTAAGTGGTTCAAAAAAAAATATTACGTGGAAATCACAATCAAAGTACAGGATAGAGCGGCGAGTGTTAAGGTTTGCAATTTTGTAGGATCTATTAATACTCAATGCTCTGAAAGAAGCATTGCTCTTTTAGCAAGAAATTTCAAGCAATATAAACACCCCATAGATCAGAAGGTTGGCAATCGAAATAACGAGAAAAGGCATTTTTTCGAATTTAGTAAAGAACTCAATATTTCCAGAGCCGCAATGCATGTGAATACGAAACGGTCCTTAATAAATAAAGTCACGTAGCATCCTTAAAGAGCCGCATGCCACTCCAGAGCCGCACGTTGCCGACCCCTGCCCTAGTGGTAGGAAAGTCAAATTCGCATTTGGAGTGCCTATTACCTACTAGCTTTAGGTAAGAAATGTGAATTCAACCAGTGTACAGTGAAACAGGTTACTTGTGAAGAGAGTGGTAATTAAAGCCTGAATATAAAGTTCTCCCACGTGTGACCTAAGACCACAAACTTAAGCAATTAAGGATGCAGTCCTGAGCGCATCAGGCTTTTAAATGTTAGTGGCCCCCCACTGGAAAAATGTTGCATTTGTACCAACATAAACAACACTTTCATTATAGAAAAAGCATACGCTCGATCTGTATATTATATTTACTCACGCGGGTATTCACACATACACACACACAGCATCCACTATTCGACGTACAATTGTAAACACGCGCTACATTTGCCAGCTTGTCCTCCTGCCATTGAACCAATGATGCCTTTGGCCCTGAAAGCAACGAAGCCAATGAAGGCCAATCTCTCCGCACCATCACGTCTGCGTAAGCGGCACCTCCTCCAGGCCCCCTTTGTGATAGCGGTACCGTGCCAGATCCTTGCGGGTCACCAGCCCAATTACCTGTGCAATGCAAACACATGACCAACACACACAAATGCAGATTAAAAGTGCCCATGAAAATGCACGGGCTAACAGTTAGATAATCATACATATACCTGCAGGCCTAAATACATAACAGTTAACAGATATTTTCCACTGTAAAAAACATTCACTTTCTAAATCCACTGCTGGATAAAGGCTTCCCCACGCGATGAGGGTTGTTGTTTTTAATACTTCACCACACTAGAACTTACAGTACAGTACAACAATGTGTTTTGATGCACTGCCCTCCTCTGCCCACCATGCCGACAACTCCCGTTTTAAGTACAGCGTCATTGTTCCTGAGATCTTATAAGATACAGCTCATTCTGAGCGATCAGGTTATATTTTAGTGCAGGGTGGTTACATTTACACACAGACACACGCCAGCGTGATTGCGCAACAGCACGCGGCACTCTGAATGACGCCTCACCCTGTTGTCGCCGTTGCAAACCACCAGGTGGCGGAGCCCGAGCGCGCGGAACAGCTTGAAAATCCTGTGCAGCGACGCCTCCTACAGACAGTGATTGGCAAAGACAGCACCCACAGGCATTCCACATTCAACTCTCTCGCATACCTGCCAACCCATACTGTTCACCCGTATTCTTGTACGGGGAAATTGAGTTTTCAGACGTTTCGATACGGGCAAAAAAATGTATCTATTTGTTTGTGTGTCTCCCTTGTTATGGGACTTTGTAGGATAAACTTTGATATTTATAAGGGCACGGGATGACCAATAAGGTCTGAATTGGTCTGTAATAAGGTAGGCACTGATAAGGGGTTGACAGGTATGGTCTTAGCTGTGCTGTCAGACAAGGCATTCATAATGTACCGTCCTTTATGAAGCCACGGCTGGATAACAGCCTTCCCATCCTGTTTCAGTCAAGGCGGTTCTTTGACCATACCTCATCAGCCTGGTTTGTTGAGGGTTGGTAAAGGGGGGAGGGCCTGGGACTGGTTAAGATATCACTTGCTACAGATATTAGCTGTGGCCAGGAATCAAACTCACATGCAAGAATGCCATTGGAGCACCCCTTGACCCCAATGCTATTAGATGTAAAACTACTGCTACCCAATAATTTTAATGACCAGTTTCATTCATTGCTTGGACATTTCTCTATCCCTGCTGTAAATGGTGCACAGGGCAGACAAGCAAGACAATATGGGGGGGCGAGGCCATCATCTAGCTGTAGCGTGCTCGCCACTTGTGGTAGAAGTTTACTGTTCGAATATGGCAGGCCTCCCTGGTTATAATTGCAGCGTATTAACCATACAAATAAGTGATGTCTGTACCAGTTTAAAGGGTAAAAACCTACTATATTTTGCCACTGGTAAAGGAGGTCTCAGTGTAAATGCTTACCCCGAGCTCTCAATACTCCGATAGTGCACTGTTTTTGAGTTGTACACCTTTTGGCGTCATCTGGTCCAACGCCAATGGAGACTAGGCTCTAAGGAAAGCTGTCTCAGGTGTGGACCAATCAACTTCAAGGACAGTGCATATTATTACCATTATCAGAGTTGTTTATTTTTGTTTGCATTTTGACTGCTTGTGTTGCGGTTATTTGCAAACATGATGCCTTGTATAAAGGTGTCAGTTTTGTACCAGTTTAAAGGGTAAAAACGTACTACTATAAGTGATGTCTGCTTTACAGTGGATATTAAAGATCCCCTGACATCATTTAAAAAAGAGTAGCCCATTGGTCCAAATGTAGCTCCTTAAAAAAAAATACCCACAAATTACCCAATTGGGATTACACGTAGCAACATCACTCCATATTTAAAGACTAAATCACCTGTCAAAAATAGCGCTTTGGTGAAAGCTACCCCTGTGCCAAAATAATGTCGCAAAAAGGAAATTTAGCAGATTATTATAATGGCAGGGAAGGCGGCACCTGTGGTACGGTGTACGGTGTGGGGTTCATGTAGCTCGAGAGGTCGACGGTGCACTCGCGCTCCTCTTCCGACACGTGTATCGACTGAATGGGTGGAAAGCGCGGGTACGCGTCCCGGAAGTCCTTCAGCGTCAGCCGGTGCCTCGGCTCGCCCACGTCACTCCGCTCCATGAAGGCCTGCACTCCTCGCGTCGGGAAGGCCGCGTGGGTTACTTAGGCTTGTGGCCTCCGACTTGGCAAAACTGCATTTCTAAAATTAGGACACTCAGTCACCTGTTGTCTTTAAAGTCATTCTAAGTGCCATCGCTCTAATGAGCTGCATACTTGCTAACCATGCGTGATTATAAGTGGCAGGATGTCGATCTTTAATCCCTTTCATCACATACCAATTATAAAAGCAATGATTCTCATATTTTTTCCTCCAAAAACGTTATGGAGAGGGTATGGATTTGCTTAGAAAACCAGTATGCGTTCAAAGGATTTTGAATTCAGAAGCATACCACTTAAATCGATCGGTAAAAATGTCAAGTATGCAGCTTGTTGTAACTAATAAATGCAAGTTTTCAAGCAAACATATTAAAATGGCCAGCATTTTCTTGGGGATTCGACTGTATGAAGATAGGTGCGCAAGGGAACGTGCAAATGCACGTGCAAACATGCGCATGTAGAACGTGCACCTGTGCCCATTCATTCTAACAAGTGAGCCAACCTTGCTGGTATATAGTAAATAGGTTTTTTTTTTCTGAATAAAAATGCTTTTTCCAAGTAATTCATTGCCAATTATCCCAGTGACTTCAAAGATTAATATAAAACATATTAAAATATGAAAAAACGAGGCATACGTTGGTTCAGGGTAAAGTTTTTGGTTTAGCAGGGGAGGCAATGAGGCTAAGTGGTGGTGGACTGCAGTGGCCGCGGAAAAAGATGAGCACGTGTCAACACTTCTAAGTGCAACACCACAAGCAGTTGGAGAACACCCACCTTGTGTTTTAAAAGCACAATCAGCTGAGAACGCAGCATGAGCCCACGCAGCTTCCCAAAATCATCTGCGTCCCCCTGCTAACACAAGAATAATCACACATTTGTGAACAAAAACAGCCAATTCCCATCAATAAACCAGCGTGGACGCATTCCTGGAACCTTCCACATGTAAGAGCATTTGTTACATTGGTAGTATAATAGATATTTAATAAACCGCAGTCATGAAATTTATCATTTAATCATGCAAATCTTCTCCAGTATCGGTGCCTTCCTGCTAAGCGGGGAGTGCACATTAAGGAGCAATGCAAAATAATATGTGTTTGTACTATTTGGGTCTTTCGGTGTGACTTTACCGAGAGACCCAAAGAGTATGAATTCCTGCAGTCACGAAACCTTTAAGTCAAGATTTAAAATGTTTTGTATACAGGCGAGTCCCCAATGCGTTCTTGGAAACCCCATCGTAAACTGGATCACCGTAAATCAGACCCTATTTTCCCAGACAGTAGAATCAGTATAAACATCACTTGCCTATGTTTTCCTTTTATCGGCCATATTTAACAGGGTTTAATAGGTAAAATTCCACAAAAACCATTAAGAATAACAAAAGCTCCACGCCAAGTCACATCGGAAACCAGACTGACTCAAATGTGTTCGGAGTCATGTCGGAAAATGCGTCGTAAATAAAGTTTCTGCGTCGCAAATGGATCCACAAGATTCTTGGTTGAGAAACAAAAAAAGTCATCACCTCGTTGACGTTGACCACGTCTTCTCCCTCCTCCACTATGGGGAAGCCATTGTGGTTTGCCGTGTTGTCGCTGAGGATGTCCACGATGCGGCCCACTTGCTCAAAGCGCTTGAAACAGACCACCGGGTGACTCATCACCTCGCTATACGCAGCAGCAGCAGCAGCAACACACATTAATAGGGCAGGAGGCATTGGTAAAGACATCAGGTGTGCAAGGAACATATGTGAGATGAGAATGCCTGCAGAGTGGAACATATGGATAAGCATGGAAATAACAATTTATTATAATAATATGCAACCCTTTGCGAAGCCACTGCAACAACCCCCACATCATGTCAGAACTGGCGGTTGTTTGACAATACTTTACCACGCTAGGAAGTGCAGGTTCGTAATGTCTGCCACGACCGGAAATCCTCTCTCCTCATAAGATCACATCGTAACCGAGTGAAACACAGAGTAGAGGAGGAATGAGAGGTGAATGCAAAAAGATATGTATGTATGTACATTGAACTTCTCTCGCACCGTACATAACCAACCATGGTCATCGGTGGACGGAAGGACAAGTAAACACAAAAAGCAGCTCTAAAGAAATGAGGTATGCATGAGGAACATGATGCATGAGTGCAGTCGAGACAACTGCTATTAGGATGGCCTTTCTTGAAGAGGGCAGATACTAAAAGGCTATCAGAGGAAGGATTGCCTTGGATACAACAGCATTAAGTAAGAAAAAGGGCTACAGATAACAATGATGAGTACAGAATTGAAGATTCATAATAAACGTTTTTGGGTTAGATGGCGTTATTTATAAATGTGTCGTAACCCTCCACCACCCGACACGGCCAATCAGTAAAAAAGTGTCACGTTGACAAAAGACAAATAGTTCACTACTTTAGTCCACCGGTGTGTTGAAGAGTAAAACCACAACATTAACAATTTTTTTTTATAATATTGGTCGCGAAAGCCTACGTGTTAGAATTGAAGATGCTTACAAAAACATTCTAATGAAGGAAAGTTTAATATTCAGCAGACATGGACACTGAAAGGAAGAGGTTAGAAGAAAAAAACATTTTCAGATGTGGGTATGGTATCGGACAGAGAAAATCAGTTGAACTGAATGAAAGAGTAACCAAAAGTGTAGGGCAAGCTTCAAGGGGACAGAAGTCTAATTTTGACAATTCAACAGCTAAAGAATTTGATTTGCCATATTGTCAGGTGTGAAGACTTTCTGAAGGAAGCTCTAGATGGGCTTCGGGGAGATTGCCAAGAAGGAAAAAAGGAAGATGCTTCTCAACAACTTGAAGAAAGGGGTTCCTTATGCCAAAATGAAGAGGAATGTGCCAGATCGGACAAAATGGCAGAACCTGAACCGAGAACCTGCCTCCAAGCAGATCATTTGGGACCAAGATATCTAGAAGGAACACTGAATATATAAATTCCTTCACCGGTTGTATTAGAAGTAATGTTCAATCAGACGAATGATAACACAACACATGAGGACGATGAACAGCATCATCACACACCAAATTTAATACAAGAGCACATCCCCACTGCCAACAACTTCTATAAACTATTGGCAAAAATTCAGCGCTTCAAGATAAGTTACTGGGCACAAAACTAACCAGTGCCCCTGCCAGTAGCTGTAAATCCATATGTACTTGGCTTTTGTGTAACAAAAGCACAGGGGACATCACATAGATGGCGCTTCCTTCCTGCATGAATACCAAGCCAGACAGAGCTTCGCTTGTATGCACACAACACAGCCTCTAAGCAACGTAAGAGACCGCAGACTGTCTTAACAGATGTGCTAAAAAAAATAAACTTCTCATTTAAATACTGTTATTTTTGAGACAGGAGAAGAACTGGCTCACTCTGCATGTCTTTGTTATGACATAACATATTCTTTGTTCTTTCGGTAAAGTCATGTAGAAGGGAAATAATAAAATAATAAAAATCTAACATAATAAGATTAAATTCTCACGACATTTCGGCCACAACGCAAACAGCCGTCCTCAGGTGAAGAAAAGGGCTGTCGGAAAGACAGCGACGTGACTTTACCGAAAGAACCAAGAATATGAATCCATGCAGTCACGAAAGCTTTAAATCGAAAAATTACATAACATGTTCACATTTTTCATAATTTTCCCCCAATATTATATTGATTGTGCTTGCCATGTCATGTCAATGTTGTGTCATGAGAGAAAGTATCCATGAATTGGGGACCGGCCTGAGACCATCAACTTACTTCACTTGAAAACCCTGTTAAGTAAAGAATCTCGGCAGTACCAGATCAATGCTCTGAACTCTGAACCACCCAGTCAGCTCAATAGTTACGATAAAATTACTTTAAAATTGCGACCACTAACAAGCACGCAATTTTATATAAACACTGTTCAACAAATCCCATTTCCAAATACAATAGCGACGATCGATTTGATGAGTGGGAGAAGAAACCACATCCAACGGGGTGATCGACTAACCTCGCCGTGAGGCTGTGAGATGTTGCGGGTGGCTCCCAGCCCATGAACGGCACACTCTGTAACTTGATATGGATGTCGTACAAACCCTGCAGACAGGATTAGTGAGAATTAGTATGTGCTCCTGGCCATGGTTTCCTTAAAATGTACTCAACCGAAAGAGAGGTGTGTAACCATTCATTAATTTCAATACATTCTTCGCAGCATGATACATGCATTGAACTTGTGTGTAAAAAATAAAACGGTTTGCCTATAGCCAAATCACCCGGAATGTGCTCAATTGCATCAGATCTCAGAAAGCTATGCAGAGTTGAGCCTGCAAAGTGCTTGGATAGGTGGTTACCATGCATAAAAACCTGCAAGTTCACAGACACCCCCTGCTGGAGCTACTCACCCAACATGCACTACAATGGCAAAAAAAATCTATTCTCCATCTCAGGAGAATAAATGAGTTTCCTTTTTATTTCTAGCCTTCCTTGACCCGATGGTTGGCCGCCAAAATCGACTAGCCTATGCCACTGGGCTCTCCCTTCGGCTAATCTTCTGAGTTGTTCCATACTGAGCCCTGTTCAAGCAGCAAAGTAATCAATAAAAGGCTAACCCAGAAAATATTTCACAGCACACCTCAAAGCAGAAGTCCCCGACCCACTTGGCCATCATGAGCACGAGCATGATGGGCAGACCGTAGCTCACGTTCCCCGTCGCCTCCACCAGGATGACAGTGAGGCTCAGGGTCATCCGCACAATGCCACCTGTTCAACGGTACCCACAGCCAAAGGCACCGATGAATACAAAGACACACGGAAAAATAAATATGCGTTGACCCATATGTGCATGACAGAACCTACACACAGAATAACAAAGATCCCCCTAGGGCCAAAGCAGAATTTTGGGGCAAGTGCTGTTAGCGAGCACCTATGAAGGCCAGCACGGCAGACGAGGAGATGGATGGCCAGCACCACACCCCAAGTAGTGATGTTTACACACCGCACCAGGAACTTATTTGAGGCTAAGTCTACCTAGGGAAGGCCGAGAACTTATTCAGATAACCGTCAATGGTGTTAGCTGTCAGCGGGAATCGAACTCGGGTGACTGGGTTCGTAGCATAGTGCTTTAACCACTGCGCTACTGCTCCCTACGCACAGAATAACACACATTCATACACACACACACACGATGGAAAATACAAACACATATATTGGTCCTGTGATAGGAATGCAATATCACGGACAGAGCTAAATGGAAGGCAATGATCACCAATGTCTTTATCCTTAACACAGAAATAGGAATGTAGAATTACACCAATGGAGACAAATGTTGCCCCATTTTCAAGTGAGTGAGAAAACATTTTGACTTTTTAATTATTGTTTATTTCAAATAACATCATAGGCCTGCGTATTTCCCGTCTTATTTTAGGAGCACCTTGTAAACGTGAAACTTGAACATCCCTATGGAGTGGTGTTATGCATGAAAGAGCACAGCCAATAAATAAATACCTCCCATATGCTTTTACTGGCTTGCATAAAATGACCATTGCGAATGCTTTCATTAATATTCACAATACACTCCAAAAGGAGAGTTGGAAAACTTATTCTCCAAGATGTATCTGAACAACACAGCATCAGTTTTTTTTCGCAAAACAAATATGCCATGTCAAATTCACTTTTCCATTAACGTTAAAAGCACACTCTTGTCCCTTTGGGCTGAATGAAAGCTGGGCGACTTGCACAGCATTTTTGAAGGCAATCAATATTAACAGGGCCATACAAAGGGCTGTGTTTATAATTGCATGCTTTGAACAGGGCATGCAGGGTTAAAAATAAACATATCCGGGCACGACTTTTAGGGTTTTCACGCTTGTGATACAAATTGGGAGACATTGCGCGTGCCAGTGTCAGATGGCCTTAAGAGCACAGCAAAGATAAAATGATGCTGGGGAGTAAAATATAGAATGTGTGAACATATCATCCAGGCTGTTCTCTCTGCATAACAATTGAATTCCCATTAATCTTGAAAGATATCAAAGAACCAACTCGAATTAGCACCATTGTGTTGCACTGCGATGAGTGAAGCACAGTGGCGTGCACTTCAGGCCGTTGTCCAGACGCACGTTTCCGATCCGAGTGATGCAAAGGAGATGCCAAGAGCTTGGATGGTTTCCCTTACCCAGCTGTGCAGCAGCTCCCATGAGGGCATACTTCCCCGGGTCAGCCCATGCCTGTGGAGGTAAAACACAGCTGTCTTATTGAGGGCAGTGCTTTTTGAACAATCCAGCTGATGCCTTTTGCCTTTCAAGTCGTGCTAATGTGTCACGTCGGTAAAGCAACTTGTTACAGCTGAGTAGCGAAGCATAATGAAAATTTCGCTGTCAATAGACATGCACATGACACAAACATTTGATTTATGGCAATGTCCCCCACGTACACGCAACTGCATTTAAACCGAGTAAAAATATACTCGGGGTAGGAATTTTAAAAAAGCATATCCACACAACTATAATGGGGTGCAGCAGTGGTACGGCTTGGCAGCTTGAGTAAGATTCCTGGACAAGGTTAACATCAGTGGCGAGCAATATCTGAACAATTCCTGGGCACCCCCTTCACCAATTCAGACAGACCATCATGGTGAAATATAGTCAAGGTACCCCCAAGCAATACCACTTAACTTTTTCTCCGTAACAATCCAAGTTTACTCGTGCTATGACAAGAGACAAAGAAATCTCCGATGCCAGAAAAAGTCCCTGAAAGATGACATGTCCCATCAAAAAGCCCGAATTCACAGTGCAGGCAGCATATCTCTATTATACCCTGAAGATTATTCATTAAATGGCAATTAAATTCAGCCAAAGTGTGCAAAACGAAATATGATTTTTTTTTAAGCCATTAACTTCCTACACTTGAGAACCCAGTTTAAGCAATAGCAGCTGAAACCTGGATTTAAAGGCAGGTTCTCAGCAATTCCAACACAAAATTAGTCCACTGAACCAAACAGCCGGTCACATCACAAGACACATCACGACAGGTCGACCATCACAAAACAGCAGAGACCCAACTCTATGCCCCACGTCGTCAGGCGCATGCGTACTCACGCCTTTGCTCATATAGGACAGGAAGATGCCAAAGAGACGGCCCCACGCTGCACCCAGCAGCAGTGAGGGGATGAACACGCCACTGGACACGGCGAGGCCGTACGTCCAGCATGCCACCAGGAAGTAGCTCAGGCAGAAAAGGCCCAGAGTCACTGGGTTGTATGTGCCTGTCGCCCACAGAAGGAACAATGTCGCAAACACAGCAGGCGTTATTTTTTCTTTGTTTTTTTTGGTAATTTTCCCCAAATGTTATCCCAATTGTGCTATCAGAATCACATAATGAGAATCAGTACCCATTCAGAGATCTCTCACAGAACACTGAAACTCATTCGTGTTAGATAATGGTCCACGGAAGCGGATATCAGAGCTACCTTTGAAATCCCTTTCAATGACGTCTGGCCCACACAATATAGGGATACACTTTCCCATCACCCGCTTCTGGATTCGAACCCAGGTACGATGCCAGCTCAGCATTCGGACCTATTGTGCCACCCAGCCACCACTGGTTTCTTTTCAATCAGAGCTGTAGCAAGATATATAAAGTAGTGCTAACAAAAGACAGAAGTGAGGCTCTGGGTGCAATTCACAGGTTGGAGGGGAATTAAAGAGCCTGAAGGAGCACTCTGTGTTATGCGTTTTCCATTTACTCTGCCAGAATGGAGGAATCCACCAACTTAAATTACCTTCCACCAACATGTGTAGCTTACTCTCTCTCTGTTTGTGGCATCTTATTGGGTGTGCAGTTATGGCGTTTCAAGTACAACCATTGCCAACATGGTAATTTTTCACCGATTTGCATTTTTAGTAATTGGCCACTGTGTTTTAGTCACCATTGCCAGTGGTGCTGTTACCAAGACACCTCACCAAAATGTTTTTTTACACAGGGCTTACTACATCTCACTGAATATTTTCCGGGTTGCTGGTAGACTCGAGTAAGCACGTGACTGGTAACCACAGCCATAGCAAGAGGTCTACTAAATGTGGCGACAGGTGCAGAAATATTTTCTAGGTCGCCAACCCAGATAGACCCAGCTGAAAAGAAGCCCTGCATTCAAACAATGCAGCGCTAACTAAATACTAATTTTCATAAACGTTACACAATACACATCATCGTATCTTATCATTCCATACCATGACTTATACAATCCCAGATGTAACGTTCTGCTCAAGATAAGTGTTTATCACAGAAAGAGCACACAGAAAAGTATAAGTGGTAAGTATTTGAAAAAAAAAACACGTGACATGATATCATGTGGGAGAAATAAATAAGAAGGCTATGTCTGCAATGGTGGAGTGAGTTGTACAGACCAGGGGGGTCGTGGAACAGGCTACGGACGCTTTTCTCTGGGGTGTTGAAGAAGGTCGTCGCCATTGAGTTGTACTCCCCGTCATTGCAGAATAACTGTGGAAGAGAAATAGATGCCGTTGTGTGGCTCAGTGGGACAAAGACCAAGCCAGCCAACGATCCACATGTCTCAATGACTAGATGAAGTGTCATAATTGAAATCATGAATAAATTGCTCTATTGCTATCGTAATGCATGTTGAAATATATAATGGTATGAATCTATTGGGATGGAACAGTGGTTGATACCTTGTGCTATGAACAATGTCACCACAGAGTTATATTCCCGGTCACAGTTAACACCAGGGGCAAGTGATATCTGTACGAGTTCTGCGCACCCCCCTTCACCAACCCACACTGACTCGTGTTTCAGTATGGTCAGCAACCCCATGACTGACAACATGGAGATGTCTTGAGCCAGAAGTGGATTGACAAAGGATTGTAAATTGAATTGATTTGATTGAATTGAATTATTTTATTGTAGTATGATATATATAAAATCTAGTGGTAGAACCACAAATGTATTTTAACTCATCGATTCTTAAATGCACAATTTAATACTGCATTGTGAGCAAAACAATTAATTACCAAGGATGAACCGATGGATCCTTGAATATAATTTGCATCATCACTACCACCACAATCACCATGTACCTTTGGGAACCGTTATGAATGAGTTTTCTAGCAAAAGTCTAAACGCTTCACATGTACAAGTGAACACTTGCAAACAGGTAACTGTCTGCAGACAGGCATGCATGAACCCATGCGGTGCTCAGTCATTAATCAATATTGCCCACTTGTGGAATAGCATGGCATGGCAATTAGAAAGGCAGCGAACAGCCGAAAGAGAGACAGGAATATATGCGTACCTGCAAGGTGTAGTCCGCGCTCTTGTCCTCGCCAAGAGGCTGGCAGTCGTTGGAGAAGTATATCATGGTGAAGGAGACAACGGCTGTGACGGTTGCCACCAGCATGGCCTCCAACACCTGCTGCGCAGGCCGATGAATGTACCTGAACGACAGCCAACAAACAACAAAGCGCAAGCTCAGAGCCATGCTTTCCACTGGAGGCTGTGCAGTCAAAACATCTAACTTGTTAAACAAGTTCCAAAAAATCGTGCACATACATGAATTATGTAAAAGTTTCCCAAAAAGCGTTTTACAACAGAAGTATCTAATTTGCAGTACGTAGGTTGATGGGTAGGTGTCAAGGTAAAACATGTGAAGTCATTTTGCTCTGGTTTGTATATCCAAGTATTGGGTAACCCTGTTATCATTTTGGCTGGTTTGCAATCGGGTAAGTCCCTAATAGGAACACTAATTTACAGTACACTGTTTCATATTGGATCATCTTTAAAAGCATTATAGCACGCTCTGGCTACAAACGGAGATTACCTTAGTTGGAATGCATTTGTAAAAAGCTATTCTGCCACAATTAGTTTTTTTTAAATACCCAAAAATTGCAGGATTTTCTGTCAACTAATTTGGCTGATTTAACAAGAATCCTGTACCATACCTATTACTTTAACCATTTTTTATCCACATCGTCATTGGTAATATCGCCATGGCACTGAGAAAAATATGTTTGGCTTCAAATTCACGTAACATTACTATCAGACCTTTGTAGTAATCGCCACAATCAATGATCGCCCCTTTTCCCACAACCAAAAGGACAGACGTGAAGTGTGCAAATCAATAATTATTTTCAGTAATTATCTGCAATTATGAACACAACCAACAAAAGCCAGAAGCATAGTGTGCAAGTGCACTTTATACCCTTGTTTTGGATATACGAACCTCTAAATGCGTTTAGCGTGTGTGTGCATGCAACCACTGCCTGATTAGTTTCACAGGCTTTTCTCCTTATTCAAATGTGCCAAACAAAGCAGGCTTCCGATACTTTAAAAGTTTCTTCTTTTTCACGGCTGCAAAAAATAGATCTCATCCACTAGAATTTGTCGAAAGAATTTGACTTCTTTCACTTATTAAATGGAAATGAAGATGAATGGTATGAACTAAACACATGTGATGGTAGTATTATTCCAGTAAGGAGTCTCAAAAAAGGGGAAAAAAACACATGCCCTTGGACTGCTACATGCAACAGAGGCTCAGGAGAACAAGAAATTAAATAATTATTTTCCACCCCAAAGAGGGAAGAATGTTCTCGGTGATCTCAACAAATGTTCTACCCGGGGATATATGATATATCCACTTTTTAATGACTGGGTTTCTCATCTGCAGTATAGTACGTGGTCTGTGAAGCATGTACTCTGCCATAATGCAAAAAAACGCAGTCCAGTCGATATTTAATGTAGCTATGCACACATGGGAAGGATTTGAGTTCCGGTTGATCCAATTCTTAAGAAAACCTAAGTAAATAAAAAATGAATGCATGTAAAAACATTTACCCAACAGAGTCTCGCTGAGTATAAAGCCTTTAACATTTAAGAGGGTTACTGCATTGAGTTGTGTATCCATTTGTGTTGGCAACTTTGGAGGAAACGAGGGATAACCTGGAGAAAACCCAACTCATACGAGGGGTAACACTCAGCACTGCCATCTCCCAGCCACCTCACAACCTCAATGCCTACAACACCTGGAAATGCAATGGTAGTCACCCTTCCAAGTAATATCCAGGCTCAAGTTTGCTTCGCTTCTGAGGTCTAGGATCAAGTAGATTAAGGGAATTTTGGGTGTAACCTCCATGTGACCTTCACAAAAAAGGCCACAAAAACCATCCTAACCATACTACCAGTGTGCACATATACACAAGCATTTGTAGCATTACCAAAATAAACAAGGGCCTTGTGCTGCTGTGCTATTTAATATTGATGGCAAGCTAAATTCTACACAGCATGTCATCTGATCAGTATGTACAGATGCTGTGGAATGGTGAGCATCTGCCTTTCCTCAGTGTAGGGCCACCAGACAATATCGAATAACACATGTAACAATCAATCCGATATATTCAGATATCAACTATGTACAGCATGCCATGAAAGCATAGAGCCTGCAGTTAGTAATTTAATGTGATTGGGCCTTAACCGCACTGAGAGTGTCGATGTATCAGAACACCACCTTACCGGATCCTGAGAACTGTCAGCCAATAGTTGAGGAAATTGAACAAGGCTCCCAAAAGACCTCCTGCAGAGGAACACGGGGAGATAGTTTACACCTGACATACCATCCTACAAAGGTTTAGTGGCATACATTTAGATTTGGCAGTTTAATGTATTCAGTCAACAGCTGCAGTTTAATGTGCAGTGTGCATTGAGACAATGTAAATTACAAAAATACAAGACATTTTGGAAGTAAATATTTGTCCACTGATCTTTAAAATGCTATTGTTATTTAGCTAATTAGTATAGATGCATAGATTTGCTTACAAGAACTCTATCCTGGTTAAAACTAGCAACTTAATGACATGCACAGATATGATTATGCCTTACCAAAGACACCCATGATCAGAAATAAGGGAATTTCATAAATGTAGTACGCAATGCCCTATAGGGGGGGGGGGAAACACACACATACACACGAAGAGGTTACAATGGAAATGTCATCAGAATAAATTGCTCACTTTTTAATTGTTGTGTCAAGAGTAAAAGTGATTTCCTTCTTAAATTAGGATTGAGGCATTGGTGCTCACCTCTTGTTTACAGCCCTGGGCCAGTGGTGGAAATTATACTTCCCTCTGACAGGGTCTAGTCTCTCCATAGCATGACCACTTTGGAGTTCCCCACAAAGTGGTACTCATTCTATCGACTTCGGAGGATGATGGGCTGAGTCACCCCCCCCCCCCGCCCCCAAGATATGAACTTGCTGCTTTCTGATTGTGAGCCACTCCCTCTACCACTGAACCACCCGGCCGTTTTGTGTGTAGACAGAGTATATCTTGCAAACTTGATTTGGCGCTTTCGCGACTGCAGGAATTACTCTTTGGTTCTTTCGGTAAAATCAGGTAGAAAGAGAAAATAATAAATTAAATAATTGCATACGACGTTTCGATTGCAACACAAGCAATAATCATCAGGTACAAATGAAAGAGAAAACAAACCTAGTATACTTAGAAATATAATGCAACACAACACAGATAGTCGGCTAAAACAACAGTCAACACCCTACCTGGTTGATTACGTTCTAAGTTTACTAGGTTTGTTTTCTCTTTCATTTGTACTTGATGATGATTGCTTGTGTTGCAATCGAAACGTCGTATGCTATTATTTAATTGTTTATTTTCTCTTTCTACGTGACTTTACCGAAGGAACCAAAGAGTATATCTTGCAAGCCTGGTCTAGCCTCCAATTTGTGTTCCAATAGCATATGGTTGGGACAATATGGGCTTGGTGGTGCTATGGTATACATGTCAGCACTGGGGAGGTAAGAAGTCAAGGCTGCTGCCTTTGAATTTGTGTGTGGCCTAAGTTTACTGCCCCTCAGCTGCTGTGCAGGCCGTTTTTATCACTCACTGACAGATGGGGGCCGGATTTACTTGTGCATATTTGCTTGTGAACCCTTCAGGGGGTCTTTGTTGGATTTTCCCTGTGGAGTACTTTATAGCTGAGAGAGAGATTGGGTCACGTGTCATGGGAAGCCCCGGCTCTGGTCTTTCAGGGACCAGTAAACGAGAAATCTGGCTAGAATTTGTCACTGTGTATTACCACCACCCGTTTAACTCAGTAGGGCATACAGAGCATGGCATTGTTTTGCTGTACCAATATGAATCTTGGCGATCTGCCATGAAATTTCAGGAAATGCAAGTGTCTTCTCATTATCTGTATTTTAATGTATTTTATCAGTTTTTTGCAAGACATGTAGCCATTCAACTCCTAACCCACCACGATTCAATTCATTATCAAGATTCAGTCACAATTTGATACTTTAAAAGATCATGACTATAATTCTCATTTGCTTATTCTTATTTGTTTCTCCTTAAAATGTGTACAGTTTTGTTTACTCAAGAAGCCTCAACATCAGATTAGTGTATAGTTTGCTTATAAGTTGCATACATAATCAATCGTCCAGCCTTACATGCACACTCGATGTGTGTGCTGTGAAAGTTAAAAACGATTGTAGTTGATGAATCAACAAACCATGACATTGCTAATTTTAACAGACTAATGCCCCAATGTTCTGTAGCAATGGTTCCCAAACATTCTGGACCCACGGACCATTTTCAACTCTAAAAAAATGCTTGCTGGACCACCATTTAGCAAAACATAGGGTCCATAATACAGGTTTTTTGGGTTAGATCGCATAAATATAAATGTGTCGTTAAACCCGCTCCCACCCGACACAGAGAATTTGTAAGGTGTGTCACGTAAACAGAACATGCCAATTCGTAACTAGTACAGTACACACTGGTGTATTGGAGAAAAAATCCACAACATTCATAATTTGAGTGTTAAACCAAAATATACCGTGTTTTGCAAAAGAAATCACATTTGGATTAGTCCATTTTACCAATTCCCATGGCCTTGCAGACCACCAGTGGTCTGAGGACCACAGGTTGTGAAACGTTGATCTATACAAAGGTCATACAGTAAACAACATTTCTCAGAAAGGTACAATCCTGTAGTTGAGTAATTGTGAGGGCATGTCTAACCGTGGATTCGAATGCTCCAAAGTTGATGAGACCAGGGTAGGACAGCTCGCCCAGGTGGTTATGGTACCAACTCAAGACAAAGTTCAGCGTGAACGTGGATATGACCGAGGCAAAGAACTGGGGGGGGTTGGAGGGGGGCAGACCACACAACACACACACAACAAGCACAACTCGTGAGGAGCTGGACATGTGAAAGAAGTTGTTACTCTTGTTTGTGTTATGACAGGCAAATATATATTCTTACAATCAACAGACGTTGCCACAGGGACTCATCGAATCAAGAGTGGCTCTCAATATCGTTGCGTCATGCAGATGCACTCGCAAAGTAGAAGTGGTGCATAAGCGATTGTCTGTATCAATGGGTTTTAGGTATGCTCAGAAAAACACGTCAACATTCACCTACAATACAAATATCACCGTGGGGAAAACTAAAAAAATAGCAGACACAAATCCAGCAAGAGGATATTCCCTTAAGTGCAGCCCTTGCATAGCTTACAATTCTCCAGGTGAGGTATTGATTCCAGAAGGAAGCCCCCTCTTCCAGACTGAAGAGAACACCACCTGCATGCAAAGAAATCTGGCTTACTGGAAACCACCGGTGAACCAAAATAGACGGTGAAAAACAAAGAGGAAACGAACGAGGAAGTCGGGGGCTAAGTAGTGAATGCGTGGTGAGAGAGCTCACCCACGGGCGCGCCAAAAGCAGCTGACACTCCAGCAGCTGCACCAGCCGATACAAAGTCCCGTTTCTCTGTATCTCGTCGAAAGTACTCCAAGACCTGATGAGGAAACCGTATGCATCGGTAAATTAACAATTATATAGGTTCACACTTTTTGTGTTCATGAATGCACAATTATAAAACAGTGTTTATAAATGATTGTGATTTTACTTTTTTATAGTGTCTAGATTTTGTTTTCGAAATTTGCATTTGGTCTGCAGTCACTTTCTCACCAAATAATTATCTATAATTCCCCTTTTTCTGGTGCCCAGAAATGTATTGCATGAGAAGTGCATTATAAATAATAATTTATTAAAATGACTACAAACACCAGCCAAACTAAGCTCCTCGTTACACTGCAGTTTTCTGTCGAGGCAACACTCAATGTTTTTTTGACATATAACTGGAATGTGTTATACGACTGTGCACCCAAAGGAAATGTGTGGCTCACCTTGAAGTCCTTCTTCAATGTTGTGGAGCGACCCTGAGAGACCCCTGCTGCTATCACGGCACCCGAGTGGATCATTGGCCCTTCCTGGTTGAGGAAGTGATCAAAGGCACAGTGGGAGAAATACATTGCAATGAGAGAAATAACAACCATATACAGCGCTTTCCTCGAATTAAACGCACAACACGCACATGTTACCGAATATGAAATGCGATGCCAGGCAGGTCAGAACTTGAAGAGAAACCGTTGGTTCCTTTGAGGCCAAACAACGTACCTTACCAACAGCAAGACCCCCAGCCACAGAGCAGATGACTCCTAGGACTTTCACCACCAGTGTCTGCAGCAGTGCACACAGACACATTGCATCCACACCACCAGCTAGACCAACACCAACAAAACCACTTGGCTACTCTATTGTGTCCAACGAACATCTAGAGCAGGAGTATGGAAGCTTTTCCTTATCGAGGGTCTAATTTGACTTGACTTTCAAATAGGTTTGACGGACCACACATTTGTTGCCAAACTTGTTTCACAATAGGACTGTATGCATTGACTGTATGCCCAAAACTACTTGAAAGACAATCGGTGATGGAGCGTGATAAAATTAGTGTTGTTGCCAGATCAAACATATCTCCCTCTTCTACCAGATTAGTGACTAAGACGCTTACAGTGACAGATACATATCACTTACAGGCCGTTTCCTTGTGGTAGACCGTGGGTGGCGTAGGCTCAATGAATCAAGACATGGCCCATTTTAAATTAAGTTACTGGTTAGATAATGGCCCGGTATGCAGGAAATGTGTGCAATTCTTAAAACCTAAGGTGACAGTTAAGTTGTATAAGATTAAGTGGTTGATGTGAAATCAGCATTGTCCAGATACAACATTCATCAAGAAGCACCTTTAGTCTGACCACATGTGGGATCTTCACTCCATTGAGGTAGCATTTGATTTGAGGGATGCCACTCCCTGCTGCCACGGGCTGTTGAAAAATGGAAGATGTACTGTGGTGTTAGTTTGTCAGTTAATGACTTTCTTCATTGCTCAAGCATACTTCCCTGCGCTAGTTACTGTTTGAGGACACCAAATAATTATCAGCATCATTGTGGAGAATATAAGCCACAAAATAAATAAGAAGACATTGTCTCCTTCATATATGTCCCTCTACGTAAAAGTCTATCATAATAGTAAATGTTACTCATTCCATCAGCCACAAGGCCTTCAGGAAGTAAATAATTTGAGCAACATTGGTTCAAAACAAGCACATTCTGAACCGTTTGTCATCAGCCTGCTTGAGTCAAAATGAATACTATCTGAGGAAGTTACCCAATACCTATAACCAGTAGTGACAAAGAGTAAAATATGTCCATGTGATAAACCTCCAGCTTCTCTTTCCTCGAACACAGCTACAACGCCTTCCAATCATCCAGAATAATGCCACGAAACAATTTTTTTACCTCTAGAAATTATCCAAAATTACACCACAAAAAAACTTACACTGGCTACCAATCAAATACATAATACACTTAAAAATAATCATATTAACATACAACCAAGCTCCACCTTGCAGCAGAAACCTCATACAGATCAAGCAAAACAACAGATCACTTCACTCTTCAACCCAAACACTCCTCTCCTCCAATCACCAACAACCAAAAAACAAAACCATTGGGTTGAACAGATCTTTCTTATTTGCAGCACCACGACTCTGGAACAACCTCCCTGAAGCAACCCGCACACTCGTCTCCATCACTACATTCAAGTCACTACTAAAAATACTTCTCATTGCACTTGCATACAACTCACAGACGCAACTTGCTTTTGGTTTTATATTTTTAACTAAAGTGTATATTGTACATTTTTCTCATTGTATATACATTTTCTATTTTTATGTTTAAGAGTACGGGCATTAATGCAATGGCCCTTTGCGTGGCAGATTTGTGCCAGAAAGGCGCCACGTGTTCAAGAAAATGTAAAATTGACTTGACTCTTTAAATATTTTGGCTTTGACTTTAAATAATAAACAGTATAATTCACAGGCCTATTTCAATCCACAACAGGATGAAGGTCTCCCTGAAGGGTTATATGACCATACATCACCATACTGGTGAGTGCAGGTTAGCAATGGGGGCCTCTCATGACCGGTTCAGATTATTATTTGCCACTGCTGCTCGTCACAGCCTGGGATTAATCTCAGGTGGCTGGGTTCATAGCGACGTGTGTGTGAACCACTTTGCCGATTATCCACCTTGCTTTGCATTATGGGCAATTTAAGTCACTGTGACCTGACAAAATCACCCGTAATGCACATGATTCCACCGCACCTCGGAAACTAAGTAACGTTGAGCCGTGATACGGATTGCATGGGATAATCATCAACCACAAAATAGGTGCAGAAAGTCTTGTGGTTAGTATACAGCAGTGCAACAAAATCCACTATTGTGAAGTATGGTGAAATAGTCCTCACTGCCTGCCTGGTGTAGGGAGCCCCTCATCCAGCAGGGGATTTAGAAACAGTGCTGCACATGTACAAACCACTGTGAAACTGAATACAATTGTTTTGTGTAAATAGTAAAATAGACAAGGCGCCTTACCTCTCCAAAAGCAACCAAGATAGAGCCCACCATTACAATCACAGCATTCATTGCTGCCCAAATCACCATGGAGACAGACAGGCCTCCGTCTGCTGTAAATGTGTCAATGTCTGAGTTTGTGGTCAGGAACCATGTACCACCACAGGATAAAAAAGACAAAACCTTCGTGCAATAATTCAAATTTCCATGCTATGTCTCATAGGCAAGATATGAAACTCTACAGCAAGCACAGTGAGAATAGCTTGTAAGTTACATTTTAAGTGTTTTAACAACTGTGATGAATTCATAAAACTTCAACAGCACATTAATTTGAAATATTAAATCATGCTTTATAATTTAGAGTAAAATGTGGGCTCATGGACACATTTTTAAGTTATACCACTAGTTAGCTTTAAATGTCACAGCTTTCCATCTGTATTAATAAAAAAAATGTTTAAGCCTCTGCAAACCATATCTTATAAGAAGCAAATAAAAGATAAGTTGAAATAAGAGCCTTCAACTCTACAATAAAAAAACATCAGTTACCTGTCCAGTTTGTCCTGTCATAGCTCCACACACAACATAAACCACAAATTAGTAACTTACACACACAATGCATTCTCTTGCAATGAAATATGCAAACCATAGACCATGCGCTCTTTGCACTCAGCTGCCATCATTTGACTACACCTCCCCCATGAGGACAAGTGACATGCTGTAGATGGGGTGCTAAGAAAGAAGTGCTGTTTCGTAATTGCCCACACTTCCTGGGGATAGTAGCCCAACCTTTCAGACAGCCGGGCCTACTGCTATAGAAATGAATAGACACAGGATAAAGCATGCGCATGAACCCACAGCTAGCTTCAGACTGACACACACCAGTCACAAATTTGGAAGTTAACCTAGATTGCTAAATTAGATTGCCTTGGTAGCTTACAACACCAAGTAACTGGTGCCCCCCACCAGTGAACACTGCAATACTGTGCTGCTACTTTGCAGATGGTAAACAGTTCCCCACAGTGAACAGGGGTCTTTATCACATCTGGAACAGATTACTATTGCATAGAGCATATAGGGAAGTATAAATACTGTACATTATTTGGGGAAGCTGTCAGTTTTGAAGTAACCCTAACTTGAGAAAGACCAACAAAAAGGATAAATGACAGGAACAAAACTTCATAACCCACATTTTACTTTTTTAAGATAACCTATCTTGGCTTCATATCAATCCGTAAACACCCAATTTGATGGTCTTTGTGATTTTATCATTGCTGCACTGATGACCACACACGATAATTCATGATTAATTTACTCTTAATGCACTTAAGAGTAAGTACTCTTAACCCACATTAAACAAGACCTTAATTTCTCAACAATGGGCTTCCAAGCATTATCTTTATGCATAGTACACCCCAAATTAGTTTTTTTTCCTTTTAGTGGGTGAGTTGCTGATTAACTTTTCGGTGCTTTCCTAAACCTTTTAAAACACCCCTTTGTTTTTGCTTAAAAATGCACTAATAAAATTTTCAAAGGAAAAAAAACACATTGAAACAGAACAGGCAAGTCAGTCAGAAAGCGAATAGCGTTCACCTTTCCGTAAACAAAGCTTAAAAGAAGGCTGAGATTGATTTATATATCTTACTGCAGCATGACCTCCCACTAAATGAAACTTGAGAAGCAACGTTCAACACATGCTTTTGGTTTACCAGTAAAAGGAAGTCAAGAAACGTACTTCCCAGTATAATAAGTTTAAAGCCAAGTTTTAAATAAAAATGCACACATTTAAGAGGAAGACACTTTTTCACATTCCATGTACATCCCTTTGTCAATCCACTGTTGGATTATGGTCTCTCCATGCTCTGCAGGTAATGGAGTAATTTGACCATAATTCACAATGCTGGTCAATGCTCAGTTTTTAGTTTACCATCATTATATTATAACCAACTATAAAATAATCTGTACTTCTGAGAGTACTAAAAGATTTCTATGAATTGTAAACTGAAGCACAGGCATCTACCAACGGAAGATAGAAGTTCGGCAGGATTGATAACCTGTCTACCACCAGCTTAATCTCGTCACGGTCAAAGGATACACTGTTTGAGGATTTGGTATTTTAGTCCTGCAAGCTGCTCGATGGCAATGTCAATGACACAGGCTACGAGAGCTGTCAGGATGCCGATCGCCATGCACACCGTCCAGCGGCCGGCCTCCATAAACTTAGCACGCTGTGAAACAACAAAAAAACACCACAGGGTCACGAGGGTTTAATAGGTGTGTTAGTAACCTTGCTGTCATCACATTACCTACCAGCATGCCACTCCGTAAAAAATCTGGCTGTCAGAATATTTTATGATCAGATTAGTGGCTTAACATCTTGTTGAAATTTTCCGTGTCATATCAGTCTCGGAGCAAGTCAAATAAAAGTGCCACTACTGTAAATGTGCAAACGACTAACAAGCTAAATTGAAACCATGTTTTACTCGATTGCTGCAAAATACAAATTAAATATAGAATGCATTACTAATACATAAATACATCTCACTTAAATTAAATACTACAATACTTTTCGATTTAAAGCTTTCGTGACTGCAGGGATTCATCTTCTTGGTTCTTTCGGTAAAGTCACGTAGAAGGAAAATAATAAAATAATAAAAATAAAACATAATCAAATAATTCTCACGACGTTTCGGCCACAACGCAAGCAGCCGTTTTCAGGTGGAGAACAGGTCTGTCGAGGAGACAGAGTCTGAGGAGACAGACCTGTTCTCCACCTGAAGACGGCTGCTTGCGTTGTGGCCGAAACATCGTGAGAATTATTTTATTATGTTTTATTTTTATTATTTTATTACGTGACTTTACCGAAAGAACCAAGAAGATACTACAATACTATACTGTACTTTCATGAATGTAACTTAATGGTTAACAACACACCGCTAGCGGAAGATTACTCTACAAGGCCATATATAACCTGTGGTTATGACTTTACAAGGTACAGTGTACTTAAAAGCTTCGATTAACTTTCCACGGCCCAGTAAACTGAAAGGTCTCATGTGCCCTATGTTAATACTCACTTGGACACCTAAGTTGTGTTCTTCTTCCAGAAAAAGCTGATTTTCACAGTTGTCATAGTCAAGGCTCTGCAGAAAAATGAAGCACAATGCCACACTTTCAATCAACCTCGGTTTTCATAGTCCAACCGAATCCAGTAAACTGCATAACTATTCATTTTTAACACTTTCAAAACAGAGTTTAGGCATTAATGCATCAGCTCAGTCCATCTGTCTGCCCATCTTTCTGTAATGGGGAGTCACTATCACTCTTGTACTGATGATTCAACATGAACTAACATGTAAGTATAACAATGTGTTGCTATTAGATACTTGCCCTGTTGAGAACTGGCCAATACGAAAAAAGATACAAGAAAAAGTAAAAAAAAATGGAAATACTGCAAAAACAGTTTGCCCTGACAACTACCCCCATGTATTGGAAAGCATTACATATTCCACGCACATGCATGATCTTTCCCAACTTGTTTTGTAAACCAATTGCTTAATTATACATAAACATTCAAACATAAACACATCACCTGTGAACAATGCACACCAGAGAATAATACACTTTGGTAAAAAAAATACCTTGGAAATGAATATTTAAATCCCTCCTTATTTCAGTGTTTATGATATACATTAATGTATTTTATGAAGCAGTGAGAAGTGTAATGCTTCATTTGATGTGCAAGTGTATTTTATATGTTACAATAGAGATCCGTGGTGAGTGATCACAGCAGCAACAAAACAAAAGACAAAAAACATCAATGTTGCTGAAAATTAGTACATTCATTAAAGGAATATTGCACAACATACAGGGCATTTAATGGCTGTAAACGACACACATGCCAATGAAAAAAACACGGTGCAAATATAATAAGACCCAGAGGTGCCAAGAAAAAACACACACGTGCAAATAAGCTTGATATTTTAGTCTAATAGTGATGTCAATACATAAAAGGTTAGGTACAGGGTGCAAGTATGCTAGATTTGAAGTTTTTTTGACTGCAGGGATCCATTGTTTTTTTCGGTAAAGTCACGTAGGTAAAAAATTTTAAATGAAAACAACTAAATTAAATCACGACTTTTCGGGCGCAACACAAGCGTCCGTCTTCAGGTGAGGACAGACACAGCGAAAGAACAACCGCTTAAGTCTGCCTTATTTTTTTTACCTACGTGACTTTACCGACAAAAACTAAAAGTAAAAAAAAATTATGCAAGTATGCTCTTTGTTTAGGTCTAATAGGGAAATAAAGAAGGGGGGGGGGGTGAAGGGAGTGAACCAAGCTGTGCAAGGGTATTCCAGAAACATGAAGCAACAACACGGAAAACCTTTAAACAAAGTTTCAGCAAATGGAACGGAGGAACTTATGAGGCTATGAGATGGAGTCAAATGAAGTAAGTCGTCCTTTAGGAATTGGCGGATTTGTTTAAGAGGACTATTTGGATGAGTACAGAGCATTGATGCTGTCTCTGGCTATCAAAGGGGGATAGATGTGATTTAATGTACAGTCTGCAATGATGAGTTCTACAGGGGGTGTAAAGGGTAACATTGAGAGTGATAGATTGTGTCATAATAATCAAATATGGGCAGGATGGTGGCTTTAACTCTATTCAGATGGGTAGAAGTGGAATACAGAATTTGTTTCTGTAAAGGAATCCAACTTTGTTGTTTAATATTAGTGGCCATGTGGTCAATGTGGGTTTTGAAAGACAGTTTCACATCTATTTAAACCTGCTCAATAAGGTGTGAGCCAAAAGCCACAATGTACAGAGGTGGCAAGATAGGATTGGGACAGCCAGAGAATAATATAACGTTGGTCTTTTTAATTTAAGATAATCAAAGTCCTGCTGTAGATGCTATTTTAACTCATCCATGGCATTTCTGGAGGCCATCAGGGCTGCGTCATCAGTAAAAAGGTTTATGTCACTCTTCTTCTTCTTTCCGACAGCATGACGGAAAAGCAACAGTTATAAAATGTGTTCTAGTTGAATGCTAAATTGTTTAAAGCAATCCAAGGCAGAAGACACTGTATGGTTCACGGTATCACCGCCAGGATGTACATGGATGGCGCACCAAAGTCGAAGTATGGCGATTCTTTGAGCTTCCGTTTGTGGAAGGTGTACGCGCATCTCCAATGTTACATTCGAGAACGGTTTAGCGAGGTCCATTAATTTCTATAACAGTAGGCCTGTGCGGCCAAGTGTCTGTGAGAGGTTGGGCAACTAATCCTCAGTGAGTGAGGCCAGTTATGAAACAACACTTGTTTCCCAGCATCCCATGCACAGCATGTGACTTGTCTTGAGGGGGGAGGTGTAGTCAAGTGATGGCATCTGAGTGCAAAGAGCATGGTCTATGGTTTGCATATTTCATTGCAACAGATGGCATTGTATGTGTAAGTTATTAATCTGTGGTTTACGTTGCATGCCGAACTATAACAGGACAAACTGGACAGTTGTCATGGGAGAGAGAAGCCCGGTACTTCCGATGGGGTCCTCAATGAGGTGTTTGTTTACCACATCCATATCCGCCGATTATTCCATCGACGTTTATTTTCTGTTGCCAGAGCAGCAGTGCACAGGCAATGGTGGGGTCGGTTATTTAAGATTTTGTTAGAGAAAATGGCAGAGTGCAGATTAGAGATGCCTATATTATTGACATACAGAGAAAGAGGACAGAGACAATCACAGAGCCCTGAGGAACTCCCTTCACCTCTGGTGATTTCAGCACCTGTGATTTTTTTTACTCTAAATTGGCATTACAAACCAGAACACACGATTATAATTTTACAAACTATAACCGTTTAATTCACCATTGTTATGTGTAGTTAGAGAAATTATATACATCTGAGCATTTTCAATTATTTATAAAATGTTTCAATTTATGTGGAATTGATACTTGTCTGTGGCATTATAATGGCTTGTGATGTGTCGGCTACTTCGGTGACTGAGTCAGATGTACTCGTGCATATACCCTTGTGTCAATCCACTGCTAGATGTGGGCCTCCCCACACCGTGCGAAGAGTCGTGAGGGTCATTTGACTAATACTTCAACGTGCTCGTTAATCCGGATTGGTGAAGGTGGGGAACAGCTGTTGGAGCTTAGTTGAGTACAAGAAATTATTTAGCCTTGCAGCAACCTACAACACCTGGTTTATGGATGCTGGTCTCCCATCCAACCACTACCCGTACTCAAACCAAATGTGAGGTACCTCGTATTTTTGCGAGAGGAGGTTCTCACTGTGAGGGATCTCCTTGGGCCTGGGGGAGGTGAACACCTCCTGCGATTCCAGCACCTGCACAATGCAAATACTAATAAATTAGGGCTGTAACGAAGCATCAATTCATTAACATCGATTCTAATACTGAGTATACACGTACAATATTGTATGTATGTTAAACTACTTTCACCCGGTACGTAGCCAACCGTGCTAATAGGTGTGTAATACAAAGTGATGTTTTTAATTCGTAAATGCTGAAAGCAATGAGGACTCATTCTGCCACGTGAGTCTACTACAATCACCACTATTAAACATTTATTGATAATTTTAACTCGTCCACGAACCATTACAATTCCTTGAAATGCGAGGGGGCGAATCGTTGCACCCCGGAAAATGAATCAATAGGCATTGCGAATAGCTCCACACAAAACTATGAAAAGGCTAAAATTAACACGTGAATATAATAATTAAAATGTTACTATAAAAAAAGAACACACCATGACATACACAATGTATCTTTTGATGATTTTCATAAAAATCTGTATTTGTATCCAGCAATAATAAAAACACCACACAAGCAGTTATTGTGAAATACCATCCTGCAACTACTTGTGCAACAATGCTGTTTAGCCCCAAATGCAGTGCAATGTTTATCATGGACAATACATCACTTATGTGCCTTCTCTCAATGTATAAATGGTGGAGGATGCTGGCCGTTACATTAAACACACCACAACAACCCTACCGAAAGAACCAAAGAGTAACCCTGCTCCGTCTCACCTCTTCTGAAATGCCGTCTCCATCAGTGAGATCCACGGTTCTAAATCCGCTCGAAGACAAAAAGCGCGACCTGGAGTTCTGTGTGTGTCGGGGTGACAAGGGGAGCACTCATTAATGATTCGGTCGACGTCCAGATAACTAGAAGATTTCTCACAGTGCGATGGTGCATGCTGAGCACCATTCTGCACAACACAACATCAGCACTTTACACACACACGCGCATGTGCGTGCCTCCTGTATCACAAGATCCGCATACCAAACAGGAAGAGCAATGCTGAAACGTCTTTAAGAGACTTAGGCTGAGGAATTTGTGTTATGTTGTTCTGGTCTACACCATGTATTTGTTTTTACACATTTAAGCCTCGCATTTTTTACAGGGTGTTCCTGTACAGAACCGATTCTAGTTTGAAATTTGAAATACATCGGTTGAATAAAGCCACGATTTCCCCCGTCTTCCCAAACTAGATCAAAGTTCAACAGGGCATTAACATACCTCTCAACTCCTTATTGGTACCAACCTAATTACAGACAAATTCAGACCTTATTGGTCACCCCGTGCCCTTATAAATCTCAACGTTTATCATACAAAGTCCCATCACAAGGGAGAAACACAAACAAATATACAAATAAAACATTTGCCCGCATTGAAACGGCTATACGCCGTATGGACATGAAACTCAATTTCCCTGTACAAGAATACGGGGTAAACCCTATCGGTTGACCAGAATGCATTAAACGACATAAGTATATTTTAGATAAGTCTCGAATCAAACACTCAAAGACTGTTTAATCCAGACTCAGCAGCATCTTAAACCGAGTTGAATGGTATTATTAACCCTTCTCTGACTAAAACAAGCGACTTGTGTGCTATTGTAATGTATAAAGTTTAAAGGGGGGTTGATGTGGGATTACCGTTCCCTTTGCTTAATTGTGAACACGATGCGATAGGGAAACACAAATGTGGTTAAAGGTAACGATGACACACAGAAAAGTATTTAAAAACAACAAATATTCCCCTCCACCACCACCTAATACCACACACAAACACTCCGTCACCCAAACTCGTGACCGGTAAAAAAGAATAATAATTTAAAAAACCGCCTCCACTCCTCACATCAGTATGACGCCCCCCCCCCCCCCCTCAACAATTACTTATTCAAACTTCTCTTAAAAATCTGACGGACAACGCGGGTAACACGAACAAAAAACCCGCATCCGAACCCTACAACAAACCGTTCAATATAAACAAAGCGTCAAAGTGTGCGCCGCTATATTTTAACGGAGAGAGTGGAGAGGGCCCGGCGTAGACCGGTCTTGCCTAGATCCATCCAGCCGGGTCGACTTACGCGTTTCCCGGCGGCCGAGGCGCCACTCCCCCGTCGAGAGCCGACCAGCGACGTCCCCTCGTTCACCTCGCCGTCGTCGTCCTTGCTCGACCACGATACCTTCTTGAGGATGTTCGCCATCAGCTCGGCCCGCGCGCGAGGAGACGAGGAGGCAGAGACGGACCGAGGGGACTGCGAGAGAGGTGGGGTGGGTAATGTTGATGGGGAGGAAGGGAAGGAGGGGTTTAACGTTAACGCTGTTTCCCCCCCCTCACCACATCCCTACGTAAGATGGCAACCCTCACCCCCTACGTAAGATGGCAACCCTCACCCCCTACGTAAGATGGCAACCCTCACCCCCTACGTAAGATGGCAACCCTCACCCCCTACGTAAGATGGCAACCCTCACCCCCTACGTAAGATGGCAACCCTCACCCCCTACGTAAGATGGCAACCCTCACCCCCTACGTACGATGGCAACCCTCACCCCCTACGTACGATGGCAACCCTCACCCCCTACGTAAGATGGCAACCCTCACCCCCTACGTAAGATGGCAACCCTCACCCCCTACGTAAGATGGCAACCCTCACCCCCTACGTAAGATGGCAACCCTCACCCCCTACGTAAGATGGCAACCCTCACCCCCTATGTAAGATGGCAACCCTCACCCCCTATGTAAGATGGCAACCCTCACCCCCTATGTAAGATGGCAACCCTCACCCCTATGTAAGATAGCAACCTTCACCCCTACGTAAGATGGCACCCCTCAACGTAATATTTTCCCCCTCCCCAACGTTAGATGCCCCCCCCTCCCCAACGTTAGATGCCCCCCCAACGTAAAATACCCCCCCCCCCCAGCGCGAAGGCGGCCATCTAACGTAGGGAAATGGTCCGTTAATTGCAATGAGAATCAGAATTGTAATTATCCTGGAGGAATCCGATGAACTATGAAGCTCTTTTTTACAGATGTCCAGTCTGGAGGGGGGCGGGGGGAGGTTAGAAATTATAAAATAGCAACGTAAAATGTGACGCTTTCTCTATATTATTTTCTCAGCTTAAATGCATGGGGCTTCGTCAGTACAATATACAGTGCACACATGGTTTAAAGTTATCTTGTATTACATTAGGACCCATTTCTTCGAGAGAGAGGATCCTTGTCTTTAACATCTGGCAGTTCAGCACGGATTCAAGGAAGTCTGCTGATGAGACACTAAATGTCAAAACCGGTCCAGTTTGCTTGTGCGTCCTGAATTAATGCTGCTGAAATTCTTTCCACCTGTCAACTGATCCAGCATACTCAATGCACCGACACATGATATGCTGCGTATATGTAGAGCAGAGAAAACATCGATGTTCTCTAACATTACTCTTTCCTGTCGACACTGGGATTTGTTGGCCATGAAGTACTTTTCCACAAATACTCCAACCATATGGGTTGCTTCTAGATAAACTTGGACCCAGGGCTTAATTCTGAGTCACTGGTGGACTGGAATAGGTGGAAGGAATGTTGTAGCAACAGCCAAAGTGAAAGGCATGATTTAACGTGGTGTGCTGGGTGCAGGAATACCCAGGTAACTGACCTGGACACACCGCTGAAATGAAGCCATGTTTTGGCCCTTTACCAGTGGCGAGCAACTTGCGGCCCACGAGCTGCATGTGTTCCCAGGAGCCTCTCGTGTTGGCCTGGTCCCCGGTACCAGCCCTAGCGGGGCTTGGTGAGTGCAGGGATAGCGCGGGCACCACGCATAGCGTGTAGTGCGGGCTTCCAAAAGGGGAGTGGGAGAGTGTCATCCCAGGGGCAGGGTTGCCCTGGGCCATGGCACTCTAGTTGACCCAGTAGACACGTGATCCGGAGTATCCACAGAGAGGACCCCAGGTGGGGGGGGGGGGCTAGGGGGTGATCACGTGTCCAGGGAGAGCTCTCGAGGGGGATCGAGAGGGAGCTGGAACGCTCGAGAAGGCGGGCGGGGCCGAGGGCGGAGCGACCCGGGAGGATATAAGGTGGGTCCCTGAGAGGGACCGGGTTCGCTTCGTTCTACAAGCTGGAAGCTCTACGTCTCAAGCTGGAAGTTCCACGTCTACAAGCTGGAAGTTCCACGTCTACAAGCTGGAAGCTCTACGTCTACAAGCTGGAAGCTCCACGTCTACAAGCTGGAAGTTCCACGTCTACAAGCTGGAAGCTCTACGTCTACAAGCTGGAAGCTCTACGTCTACAAGCTGGAAGCTCTACGTCTCAAGCTGGAAGTTCCACGTCTACAAGCTGGAAGCTCTACGTCTACAAGCTGGAAGCTCTACGTCTACAAGCTGGAAGCTCCACGTCTACAAGCTGGAAGTTCCACGTCTACAAGCTCGAAGCTCTACGTCTACAAGCTGGAAGCTCTACGTCTACAAGCTGGAAGCTCTACGTCTACAAGCTGGAAGCTCTACGTCCTACAAAGCATCAACACGTGGCCGGGGACCCGAGTGAGGGTCCGACCCTTCGTAGCTGTAATTCCTACGTATAGTGTAGTTAGCTGGGTGGTCACCACCCCAGGCTGTATCTGTTAAAGGGGCAGTTACCCCTTTGTATATACGTGTTGCCTCTGAAGAATAACGTCTGCAACTCAATTGGACTCACTACAAATGCACAAGCACGATTTCAAGCTTGCGACACACTGGAGTGAGGAGGGCTGATCATGTGGCCCACTAACTCGTTTTGGTTGCCTATCACTGCCCCTATACCACGGTCTGATAAAAAAAATGGGTGCAACTCAAAAAAACCTCTACCTAAAAAATACGTAAAATGAATTCCAAGCTCCAGGAATTAACACTTGTTGAATATATTTCGGAACAAAGGTTTACGCGCACGTTACATTCATTGTGTTGACTATGCATACAAATACAATTGGAGCAATTCAATAAATACATGATAACATGTCAAATTTCCTCGTCGTTCAATGCATTGTCATGAACACTGGAGGTATTAACACACATGATAAGCCTGTGCTCCAAACTATTGAAAATATGTTTTTATTGTGGACGGTTATTGTGAATTACATTGACAGTCTTGCACAAAAATACATGAATATATAGTCAATATATTAATTTCAGAGTCTGATTAAATATATTCATGGAATTGTAAAAGCCATTTTCTGCAAACGTAGTTTCCATTAACGCAAATATTTTTGCGTTCTAACTTTAAGCATAGACTATACGAGTCTTTTGTCAATTCATTTCTGGATGAGGGCCTCCATTTGCTGTGTCAGTTGTGAAGGTCGTTAGGCCATCATGCCTGTTCAGTTAAATGGATTCGTCCAAATTTGAATTGCCACTGATGTTAACCGTAGTTGGGAATCAAATTCACGTCTCTGGGTTGGTATGCCGGCGCGTTAGCCACCGTTCCACTACTCCATCCCTCCTTACCATACTATACAAATACGGTACGCAAATTAATTTTACTTGGTGTCTGTTTAAATGTAAGTACAAGACCTTCATCTTTTTCTCTATGTTTTGATCAATTGTCTTTATTTGCACCTTTTTTACACGACTTCTTTATAATTTCCCAATAATTGTATCAGTCATGGCTTCCCCTCCAAGAATAAATCTTAAACAATATTCTTATTGTCTTCCAAATTTACACTTATTTTAAAGTTAAACTTTTGTTGTATTAATAGAGGAGCAGTGGCGCAGTGGTTTATGCACTGCTCCCTCAGCCCAGTTATAAGAATTTGATTCTTGGTTTCGGCAAACAGCAGATATCTGCACTGGTCCTGGACCCTGTCTCCAAACGCCACCTTGACCACCCCACAGTGGTCAGCATGGTTAAATATGGTCAAACATTCCAATGACCAACATGGCGTGAAGAAGCCTTCATCGAACAGCGCATTGACCAAGAGCTGTAGGTGCATCTAATGGTGTATGGAAGCAGAATTTTCTTGGACAATGTTGACCATACGATGATGCAAAATGTTCAAGTGCGTTGGTCTGGCAAGTCCTGCTTGTAAGAGACGAAATTATCCTTTGGGGTCCAATGCTATGAGAATAGGTATATACATCTAGCAATGAATACATATGTATATTAAATACACGTTTGCAGTCCTGGAACGGGAAAAAAACATGTCTGAAAAAACGACTCGTGTACTATTTGACGCTAGATTATTTACGTCACACACTTCAGATCACAGTGGGTAGAGTGGCGGCACAGTGGTTAGTACACTGCGGCCATTTACCATCAGCGATGGGTGATATCTCAACAGACCCGAGCTTCAGATTGGTGCAGATATCCATTACCATTTCATAAGGTTAAACATATATATACAGCAATTAAATGCCAAAGCATCTCAAAGCGCCATATATCATATCTCATGTTACTGATTTCATTGCCCTGAGACAGTCTCACCTCGGGGACCCTAGTGGCAAGTCTAATTTGGATCATCAAAATATATTCCTTGATGTTGTGCTACACACAACTATTAAACAAGCCCTGAAGTGCCAATATAATTAAGAAACACTATTGAACAGAGCACTGCACAAAGGTAGTAGCACACACAAACTTTGTCACAACATTGTTCAAGCACAATCAGCAACGTTTTATACACTGGAGTATATGATAATAAAACGAACGCAGAACAAATCATGTATAGTGGCATCATTGTACCCTTAATATATATGAAACAGGTGACGTTTCAACCTCCTCTTGAACTGCGATACATTTGCACAGGAAGCTATATGATCAGGCAGCAGATTCCGTAGCCGTGGTGACATTGTAGAAAAGGCCCCATTCTGCATCATATCCAGCGCCAACCTAACCCACGCCCTTCTGGTGTCCTCAGCAGTCATCCAAGCAGTCACACTGCACCAGCTTGGCATCGCCCGAGAGCTTTCCGAGGTCACTGAACGTGAGCGCCACCCCTTCCATCGGCAGTTGTCCACCCCTGGCGAGCGCCGACACCTCCCCGGGCGCCAGGCTGCGCGTCCACAGCGCGAACCCGGCCAGCGATCCCACGAACGCCTCGTGCCTCTCGAAGCCACCACCCATTGCGTCCTGCTCCTGGCCTAACATCAGCGAGCCGCCCGACGCCACGGCATAGCCGCGCCTGAACCCCGACCCCGCGGCGGCCAGCCTGCGGTCCACGTAGTAGGCGTAGCGCCCCTCGGCCGAGGACCACATGACACACGCGTGGTGCCAGCCGCCGTCGAGCAGGGCGGCTGCCGGCAGCTCGCGGTATTCGGGGTCGCCGATGACCAGCTGGAGACGGCCCTCCCCCGCGGCGCGGCCATACAGCACTAGCTTGTTGTCGTTGTCCTCCGTGGCGTAGGACAGCACGGTGCCCACGTAGCCAGCGCTCGTGCGCAGCCAGAAGCAGGCGGTGAAGGCGCTCAGCGGCGCCGAAAGGCCCTTGCGGAACGAGGCCGCGCTGGACACGGAGGCGGCGGGGAAGCGCAGGGCGGCCTTCACGTTACACACTGCAGGACACAACACAGAGAAAGATCCCCCGTATAGCCTTAACATACTTTAGGGGCAAGTGCTGTTGGCAAGCACCTATGAAGGCTTAAGACACCAACTCACTTGTTACTGTAGATGCAATCGCTAGTATGACTGACGGTGTCATAGTGCGTTCGTCATGGGCCCTGATGTAAGTCATTTAATTGGTAAATTTCACCCCTCTGGTCTGTGAGTCCTGGTGTAATTGCACCGCCTGTATATTTGAGAGCTTTGCCAATTGATATGAAGCATCTTTAAAGAGGTATTGCACTACGTCACCTGGTCACATATATTATACTGCCAAGCAGCCCATCACTTCGTTACTATCATTAATTGTGAAAGATTTTGGTAATTTGTATCTAAGTCGTACATAATTAATCAATATGGTCAAAGTAAGTGGAAATCCAACTTTAATATACTATTTTTGTAGAGTCGTTAGTGACCTAACGAAGAGCTTCAACTCACTACATTTGATATTCTTGGTTCTTTCGGTAAAGTCACATAGAAGGGAAATAATAAAATAATATAAATATTAAACAATAAACATTATCACGACGTTTCGACTGCAACACAAGCAATCATAATCAGGTGTGAAATTTCTAATTTCTTGCTGTGGATTTCACACCTGATGATGATTGCTTGTGTTGCAGTCGAATCATCGTGAGAATTTTTATTGTTTTATATTTATATTATTTTATTATTTCCCTTCTACGTGACTTTACCGAAAGAACCAAGAATATGAATCCCTGCAGTCACATTTGAGTTGGTTTAATCACAGGTGGCTGCCTGGATTCAAACCCGAGATCTTGGCGATGCCAGCTCAGCACTCTGACTTCTGAGCCACCCAGCGATCTCAATAATTGTTCATGACTGGAACCCCCACTGCCAACACACGGGCACATCAAGAGCCCTCCACTAGAGGTGCAGCCACATTTCGGATGGTTCGGGGTGTGCTACTCACTTATGGTTACTGGTGGTTATTGGGTAGGTTGCAGATAGAATTCACGAAGTTCGCCCCTCAACATCGTCACAGATAAGTGGAATTATCCTGCACAAAAATGACAAAGTACTGGCTACTGACTCATTACTGAGCCTAGTGTTCGTGGGCTACGGTGTATAGTATATCAAGGTTTCGTCATCAGCACAATCAGCAATTATGTCACCTTGTTGGCCTGGATAAAAAAATGCAGACTCAAATATGGTATTCTTTTCAACATTTTGTTGGTGTTTCTAAGCCATATTTAAACATTTTGGGGGTGCGCTGACAACCACGAAATCCACAGCGGCTGCACCGCTGTCCCCCCACAAATCTCACCGCCAACGTGTCTCCTCGGCTCTCCGCGAAGGGTCCCCTTCGCTGTCCCCCTTCTTCCCCCTCCTCCTGCCTTCCTCCTGCCCCCGCCTCTGGCCGTCAGAGACTCGTTCAGCGCTCGCTCCAGCGTCTGGAGTCGCACGTCGCGAGCACGTCCCTGCCTCTCCAACGCGTCCAACGCACGCCGCAAAGCGCCCGCCTCCTCGGTGCGCGCCGCGACCCCGGCATTCCGTAGCTCGGCCGTGGCATTGGCGAGGCGCGCTACGGCCTGGGCACCCTCGGATGACATTCGACGCTGCACCCCGTCCAAGACGGCCTCGAGGGCCGAGAGACGCAGCTCCCAGTCCGTGGCCTGCTTGCGCGCGCTTCTCTTGAACTCACGCACCTGTGCCTCCAGGTCGCGGCTGGCGGTGGAAGACGTGGTGAGGTTCTCGTGAGAGGCCCCCAGAGACTCGAGGCGACGCTGAGCGTCGTCCCTGAAGAGGCGGAACTGCGATGAGAAGGAGAAGAAGGGGTCGGCGAATTCATGAATTTTGGAGACGATGTCGGGACTGGTGGCGTAAAGTGAAGAGGCGGATATAGTCATTTCCCAAGGGGTTGGGTGGGAGGCAGTCAAGAAATGTCAAGCTGAATAATCATTAAATGTCGTTTTCCTAAGAAATTTCAACGAAATACTAATTTTGGACGTCGGGAAGGCGTTCGCTTTGTTCCTCACATTAGCAATCGTAGGTGCATATACATATTTTATTAATTTTTTATGTTAATTGTAAACTACTGAAAATATATTAGTAAAGGTGTCCAGTTTTGGGGGGGGGGGGCTGCCCCCCCGTGCCGCCCCCCACCCCCCCCCCCCCCCCCGCAAACTCCGCCCATGGCTGCACCTTTTATGATTCAGAGTCAAACCAATGCTTATTTTCGGTGACCCGGAAAATATTTCACACTTCATTCATCATATGGCGAAAGCTACGAGTCACATGCCAGTGAAAATTTAAGCTGCAATTGGTGGTATAGTAATTTCATAATGAGATAGGATAAATTTGCAAATTTGGAATATAACAAGATAATGGGTAGTGTTAGCCCGTGCCCAAAAATCCATAGTTATTGGGCTAAATATATTTAATTTTACGCGGAGAGACATACTTTTGTCTATTTTAATGATTACCAACTTCAGTTGAAAGCATGTACTGTGCACATTTTCTCTGTCCATCTGCAATGGGAGTGGGTGGGCATGATCAATCTAGTAAGATGATCAAATATGAACCAACTTATATATATGCAGCTGTTCGGTATTAGGAACTCTGCCTTTTAAAAACAGACCAAATGGATGCCTGAATCTTGGAGACACAAGCTAAGGACTACTGTATGTACTTGCAGATACCTGCCGTATTGTGTGCTTCTAATTAAATGCTTCAGAGAACAAACACGTGTTAGAAAGCATTCTATAATCCATGCCTGTGCGTTATTTTTCTCAACTTGTTTCTTTACAGAATAAATAACCCATACCAATAGAACATCTTATCTTGCTCTGGCTTTGTACTTACTGGTCAGGTTCCCTCTAAGGGTCATGTCCCTCGCCAACTTTCACTGCATGTAATCTAAGTCGCACCGAGGCAGTGGGTGTTGAAGAGAGGGATTTAATTTCATCCCCGCGCAGCTCCGTTTATTGAAGTTAAAATTAGGCACCTCGCCACAGGCGGTTGACCTTTTGACAGCATCTCTAATATAAGCGCGGCCAGCAGCAACGACACAGAATCTAAGAATACTGGGTGTTTGTAGGCTTGTGTACTGAATTGGCCCAGGAAACAATACAGAAACTTATTATTTAAGCCACAAATGTGGAGATTTGAGTGTTATTACTTTGGATGATTTTCTGGGTTTTCTCCGGTTTCCCAAGTTAAGTCAAACACAAGTTAAGTCAAGTACACGTTAATGGAATTGGTCAAACATCCGCATGTAAGACATCTTAAATGCCATTTGTTTATATAGCTTTCCTTGATAAATAGCAATAAAAGGTATTTTGTTTATTGCTGGTCAAAGTAGAAACGTAACCATAGTTGAGTTGTATTAAACATTTTAAAATGTTCTGTAATTGGGGTAAACGATATGGGTCGTTAGCAATAATAACACGTCATTAAAATATATGCGTAAAAATTGAACGCTTACACATGGAATCGGGTTTCATAATGAATGTGATTACAACCTTTGACCACGTTTTCCAATTAACACTTGGCTTTTCACACGTTTTGGAAAAAGTAAGATACCTACATTTGCTAAAAAATATTAGCCCATGTTGATTGCATGGCGTGTGGTGACACGTTTGTGATCAAGCCCTTTGGTGGAACGTGTTGGTGGTTCACGTCGAGATTTGTTTAACTCTTAAAAATTTACCCGTAAAAACAAAGTTTTTCACTATAAATCCTTTATATGCGTGGCATCGATTTTATTTTATTATTCATTTCTGTTTTTCTTGAGTAAGAGTTTCATTTTTATCACATTGGTATTTGTAATTAAATATGAAAAAAAAAATCCAAAAAAGTGGAAAATTTTGGAAAAACATTTTCACGAAAATAAATTGTCACGCACAACGAGTCTGTGTGCAAAATGTCAGCTCGATTGGATCACGGGAAGTGGGTTAAAAAACGACCGAAAGATTTGCACGGTCGTAAGCGCGCAAGCAAACAAGTGAACTTAATATAAAGGATTTAAAAACCAGCAAGGGCTGCCATGGGGCCAGGGTATGGCAGTACGGCAAGTAGGTTCGTCAACCCATCTGTTTCGCGGAGCTATGCTTGTTATCACATTCGTGTACATAATCGGTTTTTCTCTGGATACTCCGGTTTGCTCCCATATATACAGTAACAACATATCCGTTCATGAATTTTCCGAGTATCCCAATATAGAACCGTCCAGAAAAGAAAAATCGGGAGACCCGATGAAGCACATGTGAAACAATGTTCACATGTAGAGCCGTTTTGTCAATCCACTATCGTGGTCGTTATTGTCTGACCATACTTTGGAACGCTGGTCAGTGCGCATAGAAGTGCAGTACAACGAATTATTTCTGCTGACCACCAGAAAGCAAAGCCACGTCGCCGCCAATGACAACCTGGTGTTCGTTACAATCACAAATCTCACCTCTATCCAGGCTCAAAACCTGACGATCTTCCGAGAACTGACGAGGTGGGACGCATTCTGCGTGATCTGTACGACTCAACAAATGCATCACATTGTATATAATATCTGGTGGCAAATGACGCCTGCATCCACAGCGTCATCTCAACGACACGCAAACGTACCGCGACTTTGAGCTCGTAGACGTCTCGGTGGAGGCGAGGGAAAGCGGCTCTGAGCTCAGACAGGCTGAGGACGGGTCCAGGCTGGTTTCCCGTCACGGTCGTCTGGTTCAGTGAGCGCAGGGCAGAGGCAGCGGCGGCAGCACTCAGAGGTCTCCGGCGGACGCCTGCAGCTGCTGCAGAGCCGAGTCTTCGTGGCTGGGATTCGTCGGCTCCGAGTGGAGCCAGGGTTAAGAGCGCAGCCACCAGACCGAGGACGGCACCGTGGCCCACAGGGCAACGCATTGCTGGGCACGACCACTGGCAGACTCGAGGAGGTAGCAGAGTGCGTATTAAGTCGTTTTGAAGACGATGGCTTTGAGGAGGAGCGGGAACACGAGTCGTGATTAAAATTGGCTGCTCAGGTCAACTACACCAACCCTAACTCCAGTCCCCCTCCCTCCCCATTCCCCAACACACACGCGCACGCATCTCCGACGGACATACCAAACAGCCGTGGTGGAGGAGGAACACATGTCACACACACACACACACCCCTCTCCACCACCCACAACCACCCACTAACGTTGGTCCAGCTCTGCTATTTTCATCAGGATTGAGCGGACCACGCGCCCGCCGTCACTCGCCCACGTATCGCTTTCCAGCGGCCACTTTTTTTTTAAAAAAGCCCCTCTATTAAAACCGTGAGGCCAGAAATGGCAGGAGGCAATTGCCACGAAGGACAACGCGCGCGGTGCCAGTGAAGTGCCGTCAAATGCAACGACCAAACTCGCTCCTGGCACGCGAATGTTCACTTGCAGGCCGCACAGAAAGAGCTCCCACTGGGGCGGTGTGGGGGGGGGGGTCCATTAAAAGTGTTTTGAGTTACCGAGGCTTCTTTTATTTTTACACAATTTGAATGCAAATACTTTTACATTTATCTTAACAACAGTGTTCGCTCACTCTTGAAAAAGGAACGGCCTCAGAGGCACGAGGAACCACAGACAAGCGACGAGCCGGCGCCAACAGTTGCCCAAGCCCTGCGGTCCTCTACATATTAAGGTGTTCTCAGCTAATTTATGAGTTTAAATGGTGGGGGGGGAGGGACTGGAGCACCTGGACAAAACCTCAAATGCGACGGGGCAAGTGGAGTCCACATTTTTGCTGTACTGCCTTCTCCTGGCAAACCAGGGAGTTTCACAACATCTGTTCAATCCACCAATTCTAACCCCCACAGTGCTGAATTACACGCATGCATAGCCACAGCCACCGCCCGGCTGACATATAGAGTAAGATATTTATAGATTGCTCAGAATAACAAGAACTAGAAAAACTGCGTTTTATTATGAAACCTCCACTTCACCAATCTCAATGCACTTATTGCATCGTTATGACTCGCTTCTGGAAGATATGGAGCCGTCACTTTTACAATAGGCCTATTCAATCACCTGTTTAGAATATGCGACAAAAACATTAATTTGACATTCAGCAAAGTGCATCGCACCGTGTTTGAGAACGGCCTTCAGAAGGTAATGTCATAGAACTTTGTCAAAAGATCGATTTAAGTGAGCTTATTTGATCTACAATACAGGTGCCACAGTTATTCCCCATATGCTTCGAGAGAAGTAAATGTCAAGGTTGTCAAACCAATGCAGGAAATCTGCTGACGTGATAAACTGTGCTTTTCCTCCGGAAACACCAATTTCCGCCATACAAAAGCAAAACCTTTTAAAATGGTAAAGTATCCCAATACAGGGCAATTCTGAAAATAGTGACGCATTCCTGATTAAATGACATCACTACGAGTCTTTCAGTTAAACCCAGTAACAACAAAGTGTGAGCTTTGACAGCCCTTTCGGCAGTCTACCGCTAGAGAACGGCCGTGTGGGTTATTTGACCATACTTCACCACGCTGGTCACTGCGGGTTTCTGAAGAGGGTGCCCCCAGAACCTGTTGAGATATTATTCGTCAGTGATGTTGTAGCCATGGCCGGGTATCAAACTAGTGATTCTCGTTATTTTTATATGTATCGAATGTTGAATTTCTTTTGCACCGTACGGAGCCAACATACATGTTACAAAAGTATATTTTTGTACTCATCTACCCCAGGTGGGACTCGAACCCACAATCCCTGGCTTAGGAGGCCAGTGCCTTATCCATTAGGCCACTGGGGCTGCACATGCACAGAGTGCGTGAAGTGGGGCTTATGCCACGTGGACGTTATCTACATCGTGATTTGGTGGAATTTCAGCTTGTGCGTATTTTCTCGTTCACAGCGCAGTACGATAAAGATCTGGCGCATGTGCAGACACCTTAAATAAACCGACATTTACCGTAAAAATTTGACATCTTTAATTAACTCGAAATCATTTCAAAGCGATTATGGTTAAAGATTAAACAGGAAAACCTAACATGACCCGTGGTGGGACTCTAAGCCACAATCATTGACTTAGGAAACAAGTCCATTGAGCAACTGGGCCACATGAGGTAAGATGAAGATGCAGATCTGGCTTATTATGCCCCCCCCACCACCCCAATGAACACCACTGCTCATCACGCCCGCCACCCACGTTGGGTATTAGTGTGTTTTGTCGCTGGAATGTGGTTATGAATTTCCCCGCGCACATTTGAAATGTCTCCTGGGCGACAACCATGCCGCAGACTGCCCCCCAAAGAGCCTTGGGGGGCCTGAGCCACGGGCTGAGAACGGCCGAGTTAAACCAAATGTAGAGCAATGTTGAGGGGCGTTTAAACGTACGTCTTGAACATTGGTATCAATAATTAACGATATTGCACTGTGATACAACTCCTAAAGCGGCCTTACAATTGTGTAAAAAAGTACAACAAAGGACCTTTAGGTGAGAACATGATGGAATGGCCTTCATGCAACAGTCATTACCCTTAAATTCTGCACAGTTGCATATTTTATCAGAAGTCAAATCAGCTACATACAGAATGTTTCCTAAGTGTAAGAAAAAAACACAAAGTGAGCCACAAGCAAAAAAAATTAGGAAGAAAAATCATGCATACGAATGCACCCTGTGATGCTTCCCAACCGCGGGGTTGTCCTGGGAAATATTTAATGAACGATCAACTACAGCGCTCGCGTCAGGCGGGCAGGGGAGAGCCAGGCGCTGCCGGGGAGGGCAAGGGGCAACACGCTCTTTGTTTTTTTCGGTAAAGTCACGTAGGTAAAAAAAGAAAATTAATTTACACTATTGGAACCTCATTTGCCAGTAAAAATATGATAATTGGTTTTTTACCCTTCGATCTGGCAACAAAACTGACACCTTTTTACAAGGAGTCATGTTTCCATAGACCGCAATACCTGCAGTCATGATAATGTGCACTGTCCTTGAAGTTGATTGGTCCACACCCGAGACAGCTTTCCTTAGAGCCTAGTCTCACATGGGTTGGACCAGATGACGCCATGTGAGACGAGGCTCGAAGGAAAGCTGTCTCGGGTGTGGACCAATCAACTTCAAGGACAGTGCACATTATCAGAGTTATGTCTTTTGTTTGTATTATGACTGCAGGTATTGCGGTAAAAAAGGTGTCAGTTTTGTTGCCAGATAGAAGGGTAAAAAACCAATTATCAAAATAAATGTAATTAAATCACGACGTTTCGGAGGCAACACAAGCTTCCGTCTTCAGGTGGAACCGTCACAGCAAAAAAAAATTACCTACGTGACTTTACCGAAAAAACCAAAGAGTATGCACCCTTGCAGTCACGAAAACTTCAAATCTAGAAGGGGCAACACGTTGGTCCATTCGGCAAAATTCTCATACCGTAAAACATGGGAAGTCATTAATATCAATAAAACTTAACGCTAAAGTCCCGTTCGAATTAGTTTGGAGGTATTCTAAATCCCCCCCTTCATCCGTTACGGAAGGACCAGAGCTAATGCATCAACTATTACAGACGTTATTGTTTTAAAAAAGACACTGCCAGCTTGAGACGATCAAGCAGATGCATTTGCCGGAAGGAGTGAATCACTGAACGATGTCTCCACCTGGCGGACAGGGAACGGCAATGTTAAGAGATCATTTCAAGGTGGCCTTGGTGACTCGGAGGTCAGGGTAGAGCTGGGTCTGAATCCGGGTTTCAGTTTAAACAGGTACAGGTGCCCGAAAGAGCCCCCCTTGAGGGTATTTGGCCTACTCTTCCACACTGGCCAAAAACGTATTGAAAGAGGTGGGAGTACCCACACTTTCCCACCCACCGCGCGCGATCTGCCAACACGTTGCGTGGTTACATCAATACAAGTCGACAAAAACAGTTGAATATAGCTCTCAGTTAAACCCAGTACAACAAGGTGTGTACTTTTACAGACCTTTCGGCAGTCTACTGCTAGAAAACGGCCGTGTGAGTTATTTGACCATACTTCACCACGCTGGTCACTGCGGGTTATTGAAGGGGGTGCCCCCAGAACCTGTTGAGATATCATTCGTCAATGATGTTAGCCATGGCCGGGTATCGAACCAGTGATTCTCATTCTTTTTATATGTCCCGAACGTTGTATTTCTTTTGCACCGTACGGAACCAACATACATGTTACAAAATTAGATTTTTTACAAATCTACCCCAGGTGGGACTCGAACCCACAATCCCTGGCTTAGGAGGCTAGTGCCTTATCCATTAGGCCACTGGGGCTGCACATGCACCGCGTGCGTGTAGTGGGGCTTATACCACGTGGACGTTATCAACAGAGGTGGGACAAAGTCATTGTTATGCAAGTCCAAGTCGAGTCTGAAGTCATCAAATTCATGACTCGAGTCTGACTCGAGTCCAAGTCACATGACTCGAGTCCACACCTCAGAGGTGGGACAAAGTCATTGTTATGCAAGTCCAAGTCGAGTCTGAAGTCATCAAATTCATGACTCGAGTCTGACTCGAGTCCAAGTCACATGACTCGAGTCCACACCTCTGGTTATCAACATCGTGATTTTGTGGAATTTCAGCTTGTGCGCATTTTCTCGTTCACAGCGCAGTACGATAAAGACCTGGCTCATGTGCAGACACCTTAAATAAACCCACAATTACCATAAAAATTTGAGATCTTTAATTAACTCGAATTCATTTCAAAGCGATTATGGTTAAAGATTAAACAGGAAAACCGAACATCACCCGTGTTGGGACTCTAAGCCACAATCATTGACTTAGGAAACAAGTCCATTGAGCCACTGGGGCCACATGAGGTAAGATGAAGATGAAGACCTGGCTTATTATGCTCCCACCACCACCACCCCAATGAACACCACTGGTCATCACACCCGCCACCCACGTTGTGTATTCGTGTGGTTCTGAAGTTCCCCGCGCACATTTGAAATGTCTCCTGGGCGACAACCATGCCGCAGACTGACCCCCAAAGAGCCTTGGGCTGAGAACGGCCGAGTTAAACCAAATGTAGAGCAATGTAGAGGGGCGTTTAAACGTACGTCTTGAACAGTGGTATCAATAATTACCGATCTTGCACTGTGATGCAACTCCTAAAGCGGCCTTACAATAATTATACCATTGTGTAAAAAAGTACAACAGACAAAGGACCTTTAGGTGAGAACATGACGGAATGGCCTTCATGCAGCAGTCATTATCCTTAAATTCTGCACAGTTGCATATTTTATCAGAAGTCAAATCAGCTACATACAGAATGTTTCCTAAGTGTAAGGAAATAACACAAATTGAGCCACAAGCAAAAAAAATAAGGAAACAAAATCATGCATACGAATGCATCCTGTGATGCTTCCCAACCGCGGGGTTGTCCTGGGAAATATTTAATGAACGATAAACTACAGCGCTCGCGTCAGGCGGGCAGGGGAGAGCCAGGCGCTGCCGGGGAGGGCAAGGGGCAACACGCTCTTTGTTTTTTTCGGTAAAGTCACGTAGGTAAAAAAAGAAAATTAATTTACACTATTGGAACCTCATTTGCCAGTAAAAATATGATAATTGGTTTTTTACCCTTCGATCTGGCAACAAAACTGACACCTTTTTACAAGGAGTCATGTTTCCATAGACCGCAATACCTGCAGTCATGATAATGTGCACTGTCCTTGAAGTTGATTGGTCCACACCCGAGACAGCTTTCCTTAGAGCCTAGTCTCACATGGGTTGGACCAGATGACGCCATGTGAGACGAGGCTCGAAGGAAAGCTGTCTCGGGTGTGGACCAATCAACTTTAAGGACAGTGCACATTATCAGAGTTATGTCTTTTGTTTGTATTATGACTGCAGGTATTGCGGTAAAAAAGGTGTCAGTTTTGTTGCCAGATAGAAGGGTAAAAAACCAATTATCAAAATAAATGTAATTAAATCACGACGTTTCGGAGGCAACACAAGCTTCCGTCTTCAGGTGGAACCGTTACAGCAAAAAAAAATTACCTACGTGACTTTACCGAAAAAAACAAAGAGTATGAACCCTTGCAGTCACGGAAACTTCAAATCTAGAAGGGGCAACACGTTGGTCCATTCGGGCCAATTCTTATACCGTAAAACAAGGGAAGTCATTAATATCAATAAAACTTAACGCTAAAGTCCCGTTCGAATTAGTTTGGAGGTATTCTAAATCCCCCCCTTCATCCGTTACGGAAGGACCAGAGCTAATGCATCAACTATTACAGACGTTATTGTGTTAAAAAGACACTGCCAGCTTGAGACGATCAAGCAGATGCATTTGCCGGAAGGAGTGAATCACTGAACGATGTCTCCACCTGGCGGACAGGGAACGGCAATGTTAAGAGATCATTTCAAGGTGGCCTTGGTGACTCGGAGGTCAGGGTAGAGCTGGGTCTGAATCCGGGTTTCAGTTTAAACAGGTACAGGTGCCCGAAAGAGCCCCCCTTGAGGGTATTTGGCCTACTCTTCCACACTGGCCAAAAACGTATTGAAAGAGGTGGGAGTACCCACACTTTCCCACCCACCGCGCGCGATTTGCCAACACATTGCGTGGTGACATCACGACAAGTCGACAACAACAGTTTAATATAGCTCTCAGTTAAACCCAGTACAACAAGGTGTGTACTTTTACAGACCTTTCGGCAGTCTACTGCTTGAAAACGGCCGTGTGAGTTATTTGACCATACTTCACCACGCTGGTCACTGCGGGTTATTGAAGGGGGTGCCCCCAGAACCTGCTGAGATATCATTCGTCAATGATGTTAGCCATGGCCGGGTATCGAACCAGTGAATCTCATTCTTTTTATATGTACCGAACGTTGTATTTCTTTTGCACCGTACGGAACCAACATACATGTTACAAATGTAATTTTTTTTACAAATCTACCCCAGGTGGGACTCGAACCCACAATCCCTGGCTTAGGAGGCCAGTGCCTTATCCATTAGGCCACTGGGGCTGCACATGCAAGGAGTGCGTGCAGTGGGGCTTATATCACGTGGACGTTATCAACATCGTGATTTGGTGGAATTTCAGCTTGTGCGTATTTTCTCGTTCACAGCGCAGTACGATAAAGACCTGGCTCATGTGCAGACACCTTAAAACACGTTCCTTCAGAGTGGGCAGATAGGAACTTGGTTGGACAGCGCATTCGTGCACGACAGAAACCTCGCGGTCACGTGACGCACTTCAACCAATCCCGGAACGTATATGTTTGGGAGGGGCTATGCACGACAGACAAATAATCCCTGGTGGGCAGTGTGAAACTGTTGTTCCTACTTGTATAATTCCACTCGTTGAGTTATCCTTCAGCGATGAGGACTCCAGACTGATTTTCTTCTCACCCACTCCGTTCGACCACCACTCGGCAGGTCACAACACTTTTCTCTCGGCTTCCTCCACGCACTGCTCAAATTTGGAAGTCCATCCTACGGTTTCAATTCTAAATATCTTGCTAATTTCCATAAATATTTTAATTTCACACTTGATGATGATTGCTTGCGTTGCAGTCGAAACGTCGTGAGAATTTAATTGTTTTATTTTTTTATTATTTTCCTTCTACGTGACTTTACCGAGAGAACCAAGAATATGAATGTCATAAACATGTTAACTCTTATTGACTACAACTTTGATTGTAGTGCTGTCCATTGCTGACCGTATGACATGTTGGTCTTCTGGATTTATGCTCAGCAACCATAACGAATGAAAACAAGCAGACGTTTTGTGCAGGCCACGCATATTCCTTCGAGTAAAATTGCCCACTCCAGCGCTCGCGTCAGGCGGGCAGGGGAGAGCCAGGCTCTGCCGGGGAGGGCAAGGGGCAACACGTTGGTCCATTCGGCCCAATTCTCATACCATTAATATCCATAAAACTTCACGCTAAAGTCCCGTTCGCATTGAATTGCCTTCACGAGAGGTATTCTACCCCCCCCCCCCCCCTTCATCCGTTACGGAAGGACCAGAGCCAATGCATAAACTATACTGGTAGGAACCTCCTGGTTACACCAGCCCACAGGGGATTATTGTGTCCGTCCGTCCGTCGTGCAGAGAGGGGCTGGGTGGGGAGGGAGGGGCTGGGTGGGGTGGGGAGGGTGGGGAGGGGCTGGTCACCCCGTGGTGCCCTTATTAAACTAAACGTTTAACCTACTCACGCCGGCTTGTGCCCGCCCTCACAGTCGGGCATATTTGCAGAATCGACCGAGCAACCCAACGTTCCTACCAGCTCCCTCCGCAGGAATGTGTTTACAGACGTTTTTGCTTTGTGTTAAAAAAGACACTGCCAGCTTGAGACGAAAAGAGTCAATCACGGAACGATGTCTCCACCTGGCGGACAGAGAACGGCAGTGTTAAGAGATCGTTTCAAGGTGGCCTTGGTGACTCGGAGGTCAGGGTAGAGCTGGGTCTGAATCCGGGTTTCAGTTTAAACAGATACAGGTGCCCGAGAGAGCCCCCCTTGAGGGTATTTGGCCTACTCTTCCACACTGGCCAAACGTCTTGAAAGTTGGGGGGAGTTCCCACACTTTCCCACCCACCGCGCGCGACCTGCCAACACATTGCGTGGTTTCCTATTTATACCATCGGGTGGATAGAGGCGTGAGTATTTTAAGAAACTTGAACATTGTTTCAACTGCTGCGCTGGAAGGTTAAACAGGCGACCTCTGGGTTTGCAAGTCCGGTGCAAAGGTACAGCACTAACCCATGACATCTACCCCGTGCTTTAATCACCCTTGTAATGATTATTATGGGCTGTGCTGAATGAGCTCTTCCATGCGTTTTCGGGTCGTACCTCGTGTTTGTCCGGCATGATGTCCGACGTTTCGCCAAAGAAGCTCTCCACTGAACACGTGCGGCGAAACGTCGGACATCATGCCGAACAACGACGCGGTGTGACCCGAAAACGCATCGGAGAGCACGTCACTGTTTTGACCTGTCAAATTAACTTTATCCATCATACAGGGTGCTTCAAAAAATGTTTTACCACTAATATGGGACTATCGTATTTAATGGAAAAATAACGTATAATACACTGTAACATAGCTTCGAAAAGTCAGAATCTCCACTTGTTCGCCATCATTGTCAACGCATGCATGTAATCTTCTCCATGTGATCTCTGGAGCCCGGAGGCACACTTTTCTCGTGGTATTCTTGCAAATTCTCAAAAGTGTTACGTTTTTTTTAAGCGCCCCTGTACAAATTGACTTTAACCTCTTGGCAGGAGTTTCGGGGCATGAAGGCGGCCCCTATCCGTGGATATGATTCCAAGGCCACCTCTGAATCATTCTGAGTCGAGCACTTTTTGGAGCCGTTGGCACCCAAATCGACAGAATTAAACCGCGCAGTTCAATGCCCAAGCCGTCATCATTAACCACGACGAATTCTCAACCCGCGTCGTTTCTGACAACTAACGCTCACGGTGCACGGGATATGCTTTGCATCGTCCCGCTGTTCGAGTGTAACATACAGGGTGTTTTAAAAAGATGGACCCATTTTCAAAGCAAAGCGATTTCAAATCGGGTCCATCTTTTTCATACACCCTGTACATCAACAACTACACTTGCACTTATTCTTGGTTCTTTCGGTAAAGTCACGTAGAAGGGAAATAATAAAATAATAAAAATTCAACAATAAAATTCTCACGACGTTTCGATTGCAACACAAGCAATTACCATCAGGTGTGAAAACCACAGCAAGAAAATTAGAAAAAAGTGGCGTTTTTGCACTGTTACGGCCCTTTTTGTCAATCCGCTGGTGGATGAAGGCCTCCCCCAGCAAGTCGTGTGCAGGTCACGGGGGTTGTTTGAATAATTATGTACACACTTCGCCCGTGCGGACTGGTCGGAGAGTGGCGAAAGCGAGGAAATTAAGATCAAGGCCGTAATTACAATAGTCAAATATGCTCAAAATGCCCCCCCCCCCCCCCCCCCAATATATCGCTATAAAATAGATTTCTGTTCATATGATTGTGGTATGATTGTACTTTATTAATCCCTAATCTCTGCCGTTACATACAATGAAACAAGAAAAAGTAAAAAAGAAAAAACAGAGCAATGTAATACAATACACTATTAGACATTATTATAAAAAAAAATCCATCCCATGTGTTAGTGAATTTTTTTATATTTTAGGCAGGAAATGTCAGGAAATTCGTTTACAAATTTAGATTTTTTTCAGACCCTCTGTAAGATTTGGTCCCCCCCAATGTTGACTCCATGGCTACGGCCTTGCATAAGATGTTGGGAGCTGCGTAATTTAACAGACATCGGAGGCGGTGATGGGGCCACGTTTTGTGACGAGTCTCACTCCACACGCTACGGTCATTCACCGTGTATCTATTTAAATCGACGAATCGTCGCCGGCTCCAGATGGTGACAGACACGCGCACGAAACGATGTTGAACGAAGGTCGCCCTGTTTGCTTGCCATGTCACAAATCTTCCGCTAGGGGGGGTCCCACATCGTCTTCTTCATCATCATCATCAGACCGGGACAGTGAGATCATGGCTGCGCTGCTGCTGAGGACAAGCCGGAGCCTGGGTAAGCTACAGAGAGGCGACGGTGATGATGATGATAATGGGTTGATCATCTCTCTCCACGTCGGTGTGTCGGTTCGAGTGGTGGGTGAAGGTGTCAGCTGGGATGTCGTAGACATGACACACTCCCGTCCCACACCTAACACGACTCCAGTACACACACACAGATACACACACAGAGACACACACAGATACACACAGAGACACAAACACACAGACACACACACAACCCCGTGCGACTACTTCGTTTGACTCGGTGGGTTCTGCGGTGTCCCCAGACCGGCCACATCCCAAGTTCGCTCCCTGGGCCAGGGCCCAACAATCGGCGGCGGGTGTCGTCTAAGCCCGTTGATGGCGACCGCCTCCCCTAAGTCAACTCGGCATTAAATTAGCACTTTGGCTCGGTATAAACACAACAACAACAACACATCAGCAGTGGGGAGACAAAGGCGGCCGGGCGTGGTGTTAATGTAGCACCACCCCCCCTCCCCACTATTGTGCATTTGGCGTCCTCTCTCCCCTGCTCAGCACATGGTGGACTCGCAGTGAGTGAGTGTCAGTTGAGGCTCTCTCACTAACAGCACTTGCCCCAGCAGTCTGTTAAGGCTATGCAGGGTGGGAACTTTGTCTTTGTTTGACTGTTGAGGTTCTCTCGCTCACAGCACTTGCCCCAGCAGTATGTGAAGGCTATACATGGTGGGAACTTTGTCTTTGTTTGACTGGGGAGGTGGTCACTAACAGCACTTGTCCCAGCAGTCTGCTAAGGCTCTCCAGGGTGGGAACTTTGTCTTTGTGTGGCTGTCGAGGTGCTCACTAACAGCACTTGCCCCAGCAGTATGTTAAGGCTATACAGGGTGGGAACTTTGTCTTTGTGTGGCTGTCGAGGTTGTCTCACTAACAGCACTTGCCCCAGCAGTATGTGAAGGCTATACAGCTGGGATCTTTGTCTTTGTTTGACTGGGGAGGTGCTCACTAACAGCACTTGCCCCAGCAGTCTGCTAAGGCTATACATGGTGGGAACTTTGTCTTTGTGTGGCTGTCGAGGTTGTCTCACTAACAGCACTTGCCCCAGCAGTATGTGAAGGCTATACAGGGTGGGAACTTTGTCTTTGTTTGGCTGTCAAGGTGCTCACTAACAGCACTTGCCCCAGCAGTCTGTAAGGCTATACAGGTGGGATCTTTGTATTTGTTTGACTGTCGAGGTGCTCACTAACAGCACTTGCCCCAGCAGTCTGTAAGGCTATACAGGGTGGGATCTTTGTCTTTGGTGTCTTGCCAGGCTTGCAGACGAGTGACCGCTTGTCGGGGTGGCAGTGTTTATAGTTGGCTCGAGGTGGCTGGCTGGCTGGCTGGTGACTGTAAGGCAAAGGTTGTGGGTGACGAGGTGTCACCGACTGCCCTGAGCGACACACTTGCGTGTTGGCCAACTTTGCATTTGGGCATGGTTGCCATAGAGCAAGTAGGTTGTAGGTGCTAGATTTGAAGTTTTCGTGACTGCAAGAATCCATACTCTTTGGTTCTTTCGGTAAAGTTAGGGAGGTGAAAAATGAAAAATGAAAATACAAATATTAAATAAATCTATTTTTTCACCTACGTGACTTTACCGAAAGAACCAAAGAGTATCTTCTTGGTTCTTTCGGTAAAGTCACGTAGAAGGGAAATAATAAAATAATAAAAATAAAATACAATTCTCACAACGTTTCGGCCACAACGCAAGCAGCCGTCCTCAGGTGAAGAACAGGTCTGCCGGAAAGACAGCGTGGCCGAAACGTCGTGATAATTGTATTTTAGTATGTTTTATTTTTTTATTTTATTATTTCCCTTCTACGTGACTTTACCGAAAGAACCAAGAAGATGAATCCCTGCAGTCACGAAAGCTTTAAATCGAAACCAAAGAGTGGGTTATAGGTGCACGTGTTTTCGGGTGGGTGATGTCTTCTCGTTTCTCTGGGTTTCCCGAGGGAGTTTTAGGGGGTTTTTTCATCCTCCATTAAGGGGCCGTCCATAAATGACGTCACGCACCTGGGGGGGGGGGGGGGGTCAGGCATTTGTGACGATGTGTGACGAGGTGGGGGGGTTAGAAATGTGACGTCACATCAAAATGCGCAACTTTAAATAAATATAGACAACACGTTCTACTTAAAAAAATTTACTTTTTAATAAATGTTTTCTCCTACAACATCATAGTGCAGCGCCACATTAAATACGCACTACAATGACAATCGTTTAAAGCGATTTGGAGCATGCTTTATTTTCAAAATGGAAATATGGTTTTGAGGGGGGGGTGCAGAGCTTTGTGACGTCATATTTGAGGGGGGGTCTGACTTTTTGTGACGCCGTATGACGAGGGGGGGGGGGTCAAAAATGGTCCAAAATCGCTTGAAATCATTTATGGACTGCCCCTAATGCAATAGACAACCCAAACTTTGTCCGAATAACAACCACCGCTTAATAAACTCGCCGTATCGCCGACGCGAAGCAGATTTTAGCCTGGTTAGCACTTGAATGGGTGGTCATCAGGGTTTGCCCAGGTGTTGTAGGCATAGGGCTTCGAATTGGCCAGGAGGTGGCAGTGTTGCATTACGCCGGCTACTCGCCCACGTGCCAAACACACACACTGAATGGAATTGACCAAACATTCCAGTTGCAAGACCCTCCTGAAAATAAGCCTTTAAGACTCCGTAAAGCTTTCCTTGTGTGAGTAATAGAGATTATGTAACGTTGAAATTTTATGGAACTCATTCGAGTAAACAGGAAAGGGTCGAAAAAATATTTTCTAGGTGACAAACGCCTCGAGGGCATGGCATACATGTCAACCCCTTATCAGTGCCAATCTTATTACAAATCAATTTAGACCTTATTGGTCACCCCGTGCCCTTAGAAATCTCAACGTTCATCCTACAAAGTTCCATCACAAGGGAGAAACACAAACAAATCAACACAAATTATATATACAAATACTGTGTTCTTGGAATTTCTCTCACTTGATACAGCTATCGTGCTGTGACGGTTCCACCTGAAGACGGAAGCTTGTGTTGCCTCCGAAACGTCGTGATTTTTATTTTATTTTTATTTTACTTTAATTAATTTAAATTTTTTACCTACGTGACTTTACCGAAAAAACCTAAGAATATGAATACTTGCAGTCACGAAAGCTTCAAATCTAGAACAAATTATGGGTTTTTTTAACCCGTACTGAAACGGCTGTACGCTGTATGGACCTGAACTCAAGAATACTCAACAAGAATACGGGTACACCGTATGGGTTGACAGATATGGCATGGCATGTGAGATGTACTGCTTCGTGAAGGTACGTCAGCATTAGTTGAGTGACATAGATGCCGCTCTCTAACATGGGGAGATGTTTTACTGCTATGGAAATGTCTCAATCTCTTAACAACATTTTGCAGGTAGCACGGTCGTAATGTCATTTACAGCCCTTGATTTGCCCAGAATCAAAATATTATATATATATAGTTACACCAGCAAACAATACAAAAAAAAACTATATAAAAGCAAGATAGAGAAATCGTTAAGTCGCTCAAATAAATACAGGATAGAAGTACAAATTGCACAAGAAGATAAATTCCTGCCGATTTTTCACAACCAAATGCAAGCTTGGACAAGGCAGCAAAACAACAACAAATGCAGTCCCAGACCACATCAAGACAACACACAGTCCCGCATTACATTTCGCATTAACATTGAACTATCGATACGTAGGTAAGGTTCAAAGTTACAGATCACATTGGAAATTTTGGCTGTATCTGGCACTAATCTTCTGCTTATATACTCTTTTTGAAAGAAGATTTACGATGGTGAGGAAGGAAACACGTTTGTTCCAAAAACGTAACGGCAAAGGATTTGTCACCTATTCCACTTTTTCTCGGGATGGTTAAAAAGGCAATTAGATGTTCATCTTTGGTGTCTTGAGTTTGACAATGAGGTTAATTAATTAGATACGTTTTTCGGAGATTTGCCGATAAGGATTTTATGAATGAACAGGGCCAAATGGAGATTTCTTCTTGCATCAAGTGATGTGAGATTGCATTTTAAGTAGAGGTCATAATGGTGGGTCCGGTATGGTGCATCCAGTGCAAATCAAAGAGCAGAATGATGAAGCGGGTTTAGTCTGTTTAGTGATTCATCAGTAGCTGATCTGTAAGCAGCGTCACAGTAGTCAAAAAGTGATATAATGATAGGTTCAGAAATTTGGAGGTGCAATCGAATGGGAAAACGATGTTTCTGTATGAAAACTATTTTTTTTATTTCTTTCCAAGATGAGATCAATATGGTGTTGGAATGTAAGTTTTTAATCAATCAGTAAACCCAAGTATTTGAACCACTCTGTTTGTTCAATGATGTTGTTTCTGATATTCGTCTTAGGTGAAGGGAATGAAACTGAATTTTTGTTTCAAGCAAAGAGTGCGTATCTTGTTTTTTGGGGGGATTTAGGAGCAATTGAAAGTTTTATCAGCACAGAGATTTAATTTTGAATGATTTGAGTGTAGTCCAAAATTTTTAGATATAAGGTGAACAGAATTTGACCCAGCATGGAACCTTATGGAACGCCCTTTGTTTTGTTCATATTTGTGGACGAGATCTTATCACTATGTACCTTTTGTCTTTCTTCTACACCGAATTGAATGTTCGCCAAAATAGTCTTGGGTTTTTTTGTGAATTGAAATTAGTTTGATGATAGTATGAAAATTTTGCTCTTCTTACATGGCGAGTACATCTATTCCTTAGTGTTCCATCCAATAATGGAGGTTGTTTGATGTCTTTGCATCATTCCAGGCTATGTCTGTTGTTTTCATTAAATCAGAAATGTTCAGATCAAACCATGGTCGACAATCATCCTTTACTCTGAACTTTTTTGAAGTGGACATTTTGTTCACCGAATCCCAGTCAAAATGGAGAGTGTCATTTTTCAATGCTTGAATGTCAACATTTCTTAATTATAGAAGTAATCCGCACGGATTACTTCGATGGGGGTTATTGTTGTTTGACCATACTTTACCATATTGGTCAGTGCTGGTCGATGATAACCATGTTCGGGAATCGAACTCAGATGATTGGGTTCATAGCGAATCGCACGAACCTCTGCGCCACCACTCCATCCCACAAACGGACTATAATTTGGAGTAATTCTATTTACAAAGTCCCAAATCAGAGCAGACACAGTTATATTGGATTGGATGAGTGGCTGGTCTGGTCTGCGATGTCCAACCGACACCTCTCCCTGTTCCTGCGCTCCTCCCTCCTGGACAGGCGCGTGTCTCCGCGTGGCCACCGGTTGCCCGTCGCCATCATCCTGTGTCGTGGCGGCATGGTCGACGGCGCGGGGGCCCCGGGAGGGTGCGGTGGCGTGGAGGACACACGCGCAGGTGCGGCACTACTCGTCCAGCGACAAGCTCTCCATTGAAATGGACGACAAGACCGGTGAGATTCGCGAACACCGGCTTCTTGTCGTGCAGCCTTGGTGCGCGAAAAACCGTTGTGAAATATTCATAATATAGGTTTTTGGGTCAGATCGCGTTATTTATAAATGTGTCGTAACCCTCCACCACCCAACACGGCCAAACAGTAAAAAATGTGTCCCAAGTTTTTCAAAGGACAAAATAATTCACTTCTTTAGCCCACCGGTCTGTTGAAGAGAGAATCAACTGCATTTAAAAATTTGAGTACAACGTTTCGCTGATAATTACAATCAGCTTCATCGGGCAAGAATGGTGAAGCTCTCCTGTTGCTCCCGGTCTTAAATAGAGCAGCAGCAGGGTGACGTCATCATTTAATTCACTCTGGTGCAGTGATTCGAGGCAAAGAGGGGGAGGGTATTGTAATTATATAGATTGGTAATCATTCAATTGTTATTCATTGGTATTTGTTTCCCTTATAAGGAATTGTAATTGTATTTATTTAATAATATGCTTCCAGGCCGCACTAAGCCTGTTGCTTGTCAGAGCGAAGTGAATTATTTTGTCCTTTAAAAAACGTGACACATTTTTTACTCTTTGGCCATGTCGGGTCGTGGAGGGTTACGACACATTTATAAATAACGCGATCTCACTCAAAAAACCTATATTATGAATAATATTGGTCGCGAAAGCCTACGTGTTAAATTGTTGTGAAATATCATCGTCATCTTCAAAATCAACCACGATCGTCCATACTGTGTTCATCCCATCCATGCTGTGTACATCCAGCACACTGCTGGTCACAGCACTTCTCTTTCTGATTCTTTCCTCTCACCGCTCAACTTTCTTACTCCCTTCTATTATTTATTTTCCAGAATTCGTGTAACCTTTTCAATTAAAGAAACCTATGAACTCCTATATGTTGCACCTTAAATAGGACTCTTTGTTGCTCGCTGCTTGGTGCGTTGGGCATGTGCTCAGCAGCTGTGATTTTAAAAAAATATCAAACTCCATTGCTGGATGAAGACCTTGCAAATCTCTCACCGTTTCACATGGGTCCTGAGAGTCATCCATCTTGCACATGTCATTGCTCCATCTTCATAGTGGACATCCCCTGCCTTGGCTGCCACTCTCTACATAGTTTTGACTATCGGCCATCATCTTATCGAGTAACATATCCTGCCCAAGTATGTTGCAACCTGCTAATACTCTTTGGGTCTTTCGGTAAAGTAACGTAGATAGAAAAATATCTACGTGACTTTACCGAAAGACCAAAAGAGTATGAATTCCTGCAGTCACGCAAGCTTTACGTCAAGACTCAACCTGCTCGTGTTCACTACCATGTGTTTCTGTCTCTGTGTAATTTCAAGCATTCATCTCTCAACGCTTTATAAATGGTTACGTTTCTTTTTCATGTGTCCAAGCAAGTAATAAGCCGGTATAACAAGGTTCTAAAATATTGTACCCTAGCTCAACCGTTTACCCCCCTGACTTGTCAAGAATCGGCGCTTTGGAGGCAAACGGCGAATCTCTGTCCTCTGGCAGGAGTGGCGGTCCTGAAGCTGTCGAATCCACCCGTCAACAGCCTGAGCCTGGAGCTGCTCACGGAGCTCGCCATCGGCCTCGATAAGCTGGAGATGAACCCGAGCTGCCGCGGCGTCATCATGACCTCGGTGCCGTGACCCATGACGCAACGAGGCCGTGCATTCTTGCGAGTTTTTGACCGAATGTGTTCTCTGCCAATGTTTGAACTGCTATAGTGAGGTGGGCAATGTGTAATTTCCTTGGCGGCTGATGATGATGAGACTGGATACACTTTTTACATTCCTCGCTGTCTCTGGTTATGGAAATCGCTTCCTGTTCAGCGACTCTTTCCTCTATTAAGGGGCCATCCATTTAGTACGTACGCATGGAGGGGAGAGAGGGGGTTAACCCAAATGCGTACGTTTGCATATGGGGGGTCTACTGACAATGTACCTACGCATAGGAAATTGGGGGGGGGGGGGGTGAAGCCTCGATAATAATTTATCTACATTGGCCTTCAAATGAGTTAGATAGTCCGGCGGTGGACTACCTGTTCGCTTAAACACGTTAATATTATTAATCCTTGATCGTTTGTGCGTGGATTCAATATCGGCCGTTCTATAGGATTCGGGGGGGGGGGGGGGGGGGGGTGCGTCAAGCGTACGTACGTACGCAGGTGGGGGGGGTGTAAAAAGTACGCGCGCGTACAGGGAGGGGGGGGGTCAAGTTTTGACAGATTTTTGCATACCTACTAAATGGATAGCAGAGTACAGTCACATGGCTCAGGAGGCACCACGTTTTCCACTGCAGAAGCCGAACCGTGCCATTGACATCACACTCAAAGAACGAGTTTAGATGCTTATAGATGATGCGGTTATATTTCCTCAGTATATTTGCGTCATTAGCCTCACCTTTGGCCCTGCTTGGCCCTGATCCAGATTCTGTCTTGTGAGGCCAGCATGTCACGGTTTGGTATCGACTCAGCACCGTATCTCACCGATGTAAAATCTTCTTTACTGTGAGGACCTCACGCTGGCTTGGCTGGGACGTGCCAATGCAAAGGGGGTAATCTTGGCACCGTTGCGTCGTGTGGGGTGTGCTGCGTTGTCCAGGCAAATCCGCACATCTTCTCGGCGGGCCTGGACGTGTCGGAGATGATGGGCAAGCCCACGGAGCACTACCGCGAGTTCTGGCGCGCCGTGCAGGAGATGTGGCTCAAGCTGTACGGCTCCAGCCTCATCACCATCGCCGCCATCAACGTACACTGCCCTCACCCCCCACCACCCCCTTTCAGAACACCACCAACAAAGACAAAGATCCTCCGCACAGCCATATAGATTACTGAAGCAATTTCTTTTTGCGAGCACCTATGAAGGCTGGCGTCGTACACAACGGAGTGGTGGCAGATGTGTCTTATCTGCGGGTCGATCCATAACAGATAATTCCAATATGAACGAAACTTCAGTTTAAAGATGTGTTGCTATGAAGCACTTACCTATTGAAAACAAGACATAGTTATGAAAGGGTTAGTGCCCAAAAGGTGGAGTTACAAATCAGAGCAGAAATAACTATTTGCATATATGCAAAGGAATGTTTGTCCTGACAGCTACCCATTGGCCTCCATACTGCCAATTAAATACTTCTGAGCATTACAGATTCCGTGCGTTTGCTTTATGTTTCGTAACTTGTCATTCCACAATGTGCTGAGCCGTGGTTTCTCCCATCAGGGCTCGAGTCCAGCAGGCGGCTGCCTCATGGCCATGTGCTGCGATTACCGCCTGATGGCCGACAACCCCAAGTACTCCATCGGCCTCAACGAGACGAAGCTCGGCATCGTGGCGCCATTCTGGTACGAACCTAGCCGCTCGGCGCATGACAAGATGGTCTTGGTCTCTGTCTTTCCATGCTGTCAGGCTCATAAGGAAAAGCTGGGACATTTCCACTTTGATCCGTCTTGGACAAGGCGTTCCAGGTCACGGATGTCGATTAGGAAGCTGTCTTTCCGACAGCTGTTCTTCACCTGAGGACGGCTGCTTGTGTTGTGGCCGAAACGTCGTGATCATTTTATTGTTTTATTTTTTATTATTTCCCTTCTACGTGACTTTACCGAAAGATCCAAGAATATGAATCCCTGCAGTCACGAAAGCTTTAAATCGAAAATTAATAAGTCCTTTGGTGTTTGATTGAGGCATCATTCCATTACCGAGGTATACAGTCCTGGCGTGGTCAAAGTTTTGTGAGGCATGGTCAGACAACCCTCATGACCGGCACTGTGTAGGGAGTCGCTAACCCAGCAGAGGATCAACAGAATGGCTGTACATACATGTTACCTTTATCACTGCATGGCTTATTTATACTTGATCAAAGTGCATATTATTATTGCATACCGACTAATGTTGAGGTGTTATTAAATGTGCATAGCTGCCAAATGGTACTTAAAAGCCCGACCCGGGCCTTCGGTGAGGAAAAATGTTTTGCGCCCCTGCCCCAGTGCATCATGGCCTTAATCCACGCTCCTGACAGCAAGCCTCTATCTCTACGACCGCATGTATATTGAACTTCTTCTGCACCGTACGTAGCCAGCCGTGCTAACCGGAGGTGGGGATGCGTGGTGGTGCACACGCCAGGTTCCGTGACACAATGATGGGCGTGGTGGGCACGCGCGTCACAGAGCGCTCGCTGCAGCTGGGCCTCATGTACTCGCCCTCCGAGGCCGTGCACGTGGGGCTGGTGGACCGCACCGTGCCCGAGGAGACCGTCATGGAGGAGGCGCGCGCCGAGATGGGTCGCTGGCTCAAGATCCCAGGTGGGAACGCCACTCCTCGCTTTCCTTGCAAATCCCAGGCTGAGGGAGGGGGTTTTCTGCGCCACAGGCGGCAGTTTAGCGGGAAAAGCCGCTTTCTTGTGGGGACTTTTCAGTGCTGCTGAGCGTTGGGCTTGCTGGTGCCGAGACTGTGTATGTGACAATTCATTGTCGTAAGGTTCACATGGTGTTTCTTTTTACCTACATAGCTCATCATGACTACCATACACGTCACTGGCTTCTTACGATCAAGAGTCCTTTCTCAAATCTGTGTGACAAAAATGTTATCAATTAAGTGCTGTGACTGACAGACTGACTCACAGAAAGACAATTGAAGTATATTGTAGTGTAGCTAAATACCACAGCGGTAACTAAACACACCAAAAGTTTGCTGAAGACTTGTGGAGAATGTGTGGCAGGCCTGCTCATGTTTGTCATTTAAACATATGTATATATAAATATATGGGTTAGTCAGTTTAACACGTAGGCTTTTGCCTACGTGTAAAAAATAATTGTGACCGTTCGGATAGCTGCCAACTTAGTGCTGTGTGGAAGCGAATCATGAAATAAAACATTGTTTAAATGCATGCCTATACAGGCCACCATACTTCAATAGGGATTACCGTTGGTATGGATAAGATCAAAGTGCTCGCATAATGCGCATGCATAATGTATTCTACCCCCCCCCCCACGTTGCGCAAGAGCGGAGAAGCGTGGTCACCATATCTACGCCTCTATATAAGGAACGAAACAAGTGGACTTCTCCACAAATCTGGCTGTCGCCTGATGAAGCTAGTTGTAGTTACTGGCGAAACGTTGTACTCAGATTGTAAATGTTGTGGCTTGGCTCTCCAACACACCGGTGTGCTGTACTAGTGACGAATTGACATGTACGTGACAACCCTTACTCATTGGCTGTCGGGTGGTGGCGGATTTTAACGACACATATATTTACGTGATCTAACCCAAAAAAAACTCATGGATATAAATGTATGCTTACATGTTATCGTACATGCCAATATACTGTGTTCATTATATATACCATTTGAGATATGTATATAATGAATTGGAATGTAAGAGCTCCTCCAAAGCTTCTTCTAGTGGAGGCCCCTCCACCAGCAGTAGTGAAAGCAAGAAGTCTAATTGCATGATTACACGTTCATCAATAAACTCAAGAAGGAAAAAAATAAACATCAGTGTTTCAGAAAAACTTTATGAGAAATAAGTCGGACATCAGTTGCACCATTGTACACTGAAATATAAGGTTGTGTGGGCATAGGTTTCCACTCAAGCGTGCTGTTGGGCACTGACCTTTGCCTTCATTACCAGTACCTGCCAAGCTGGGCACTGTGGCACGAAGCTAATATTGACTGTAAAGTATGATAGGGCTTTCTATAGCTTAGGATGCAACTGGATTGGTAGATGTTACCCATGCAATGGCTGACCCTCGTCCCTTGCGATTTGCTGAATTTTCACGATTCAACAATTTAAATACAATTACAATTGTGGTGAATGCAGCGCATCTAAATGCTGCATACCGACCTTGTCAATCCACTGCGAGATAAGGGCCTCCCCATAATGTGGAGCTCATGGGGTTATTTGACAACACTTCACACTGGTTAGTGTGGGTTGAAGGTAGCGAGCATTGACATGGGAGCATAGTACAGTACAACAATGTATTTTTCTGCACTGCCGTCTGCTATGGAAAACACAGGTCTGCTACAACATATACGAATGTAAAATAATCGATACGCACACATTCTTCACTGTGTGCATTGAGTGTGATAATCTATTTTAATTGAGCAACTCGTGCAAAATGCTTTAGCTGGTGCCGACTCAACCACATCGCCAATGCCTGCATGAAAATTTGTATATGATTGTTTCCCAGACCACGCGCGGCAGATCACCAAGTCCATGATGCGCAAGACGACCATCGACCACCTCCTGGCACAGCGTGATTCGGACATCTCAAACTTTGCGAACTTCATCTCCAAGGAGTCCATCCAGAAGTCGCTTACGGCCTACATGCAGGCTCTCCGCCAGCCCAAGAAGTGAAGCGGAGGGAAAGGGAGGGGGGCTGTGTGGTGCCCTCGGTAAGTGCGTGGAGTAATTCTGCCCCCCCCCCCCGCTCTCTCATGTGGAGCTTCCTTTGAGACTCTGACAGCACCAGCACGAGGGGGTATGTGGTTGTAGGGATCATCCAAAAAGTCTAGTCACACGTGATCCTGCTTCTCGGTATTTAACTCATCGTACATGTTCGCACTGTTTCCTCAAAATACAACACATTTTTTGTTTCGCCTGCTTAATTTACCCTCTTTCCACTCCCTCGCACTGATCTCTGTAGAAAATGCAGAGAAATAACTAAGTGATGCAGTGCCCAGTGGTGACTTTACACGTGAAGAAACTGCATATAAAGCAATAATAAATCTACCTGAGAAAATATTTAGTTGAGTTTGGTGCTTTGGCTGGACAACACCATATTAATGTTTGTTAATTGTTTCATACCTTTGAGGTGTGCAGTATTCTATTGTGAGTTGATAATTACAGCAGGGTTTAAAGGCCCTGTTTGCTAAATGTGAGGCTGCTGAATATATAAGATGCAAAACAAACTGGTTTGGCTCAGAGCCTTGCTGTGGCCTTGCAGACGTGACAATCCATTACTCTCTTGTATTTGTCTCTGTTTATTAAACAGCCTTCCATTTCATTTAACACACTGCGAATTTTCACATAAGCTGTGCATTGCACCAACACATCTATCTGAGCCTGCAGATGTGTAGGCTCCTAACAAGGAAACTGTGACTTGAGTTGAAACTGGTTGTTGGGGAATTTCGTACGTTTTATGGAAAACCTCTCGTATCCTGCAAAAAGAATATTTTAGTAAGCAGGCAGAGGCATTTACTAACAATGTTTGACAACTTTCATCGTGACGGTGTCTATGTGTGCGATTGCTGACAAGTGGGAAGAATTATACTGTTTTAGGAGGGCTTTTAATTCGAGTTTGAAATGAACATCACTTTGCCCTGTTGAGTGCGTTACACAAACTGGGTGGAGATACGGGACAATAAAATTGTTTCAAAAAACCTTCATGTATACTGGCATTTGTTATTGTTCAACACTAAACAACAAACTACTCAGTAGTATAAAAAAATAACTTAATTACGTACACATCAATACTACATTTTTTCTTTTATAAAGGAATTAACATTTAAATGCCAATCGGAACAGTTAAAGTAGAATGAGTTTTTTTTTTCTCCCAGCTTTGACTCCTTGGTCTTCTGTTTTTACCAGATCTCCCTTACAAAGGAGATTTGTCTTAGTGGGCTATCGCATAGTTAAATCAAGGCTACGTATCTGCAGTGTTCCTTGGTACCTTTCTTATCACACAGGGTCACACAATAATCCTACTACTTCAACATTTTATATTAAAAAAAACTATATATAGCAACAATTAAGGCTTCAGGTGACTTATTAAAGTGTTTCCAGTGTCTTATCAAGCAATTTGATGCCATAATAGCCGAGTCATTCAGTGTGAGCCATTCATGCCAAAAAGTTGGCTGCTCTGCATAGCTATGGAATACAATTATACTGGTAGGAACCCACTGGTTCCACCAGCCCACAGGGGAGGATTGTGTCCGTCCGTCGTGCAGGGAGGGGCTGGGTGGGGAGGGAGGGGCTGGGTGGGAAGGAGTTGGGTGGGGGGTGGGGCTGGGTGAGGGGTGGGGCTGGGTGGGAGGGGTGGGGAGGGGCTGGTCACCCCGTTGTGCCCTTATAAAACTCAACGTTTAACCTACTCACGTCGGCTTGTGCCCGCCCTCACAGTCGGCCATATTTGCAAAATACACCACGCCGCCGTTGACCCTGGCCATTGACCGAGCAACCCAACGTTCCTACCAGCTCCCTCCGCAGGAATGTGTTTGTTTCTGGAGGAGACTTGTCCCTGCAGCCTGTCACACAAGTAAATTAAGGCTACTGAAGTGAACGCATCTGTGCAGTTACCTCATGCGTTGCTCAGCACACTAGGGGTCACAACAGTAACCCTGCTACTTTAACACACATTTGGAGGAACTGATATTCGTTGACGATCAATACAGCCGGTCACATGGCGACACCGAACGCCAGCTTGAATGCGAGCTCCACGGCGCTCTCCGACACCGAGTCATGGAAGCAGACGTAGAACTCTCGCGCGGGCGGCTCCAGGCACTGCCTCCTGCGCATGCAACAAGAAGGGGTGCCAGCACAGCAGCGATTCAATGGGAGGGACTATGCATTCCCCTCTAATATATATATTTTTAAAAAACTATTTGTTACGGGCACAAATTGTGCAAAACCGGCACACGTTCAATCGCTAACTTGGAGGTAGTGAAAATTAACAAACCGTGGTGCCAGCTGCTGTTTGAAGATGCCCATAGTAGTGCTTTAAGAAAACCTGATAGGATATACTCTTTGGTTCTTTGGGTAAAGTCACGTAGGTATAAAATAAATCGCGACGTTTCGGGCGCAACACAAGCGTCCGTCATCAGGTGGGAAGGCATGGTCTGCTGCTGAGGCAGACTGTTACCGAAAGAACCAAAGAGTATGGATTCTTGCAGTCACGAAAGCTTCAAATCAAGACTGATAGGATATGCTGAACACAACCTAACCCCAAAGACAACACTTTAACTGTATACTACAGTTTGGTTCATAATGGACCGTCTATATAATGCTCCCTGCGTCATGGACAGATGTACTGAGCCAATGCATAACTTCTATCAACATTCGTTGGAAAGTATTTAATAGGCACGAGTGGAGCAGCTCACCCCAGCACCCAGTAGGTGAGCGTCGGTGCAGGCTTTTTAGGGTCGTTCCAAAAAGGCGCACTACAGTGGAAGAGCACGCCATGCTCCCTCACGCGGCCCAGCGGTGACCTTTCACCCCTGAGGTCAGAGCCCTGGAGGACGTCCGGCTGGTCTGTTCGCTGTTTTCAGAAGAAGACATCGCAAAAACATGGGAAATGTCGATGAGATAAATGAGATTTATTTTATAACCACGCGAGAGTTCCTTGACACGAAAAGGCTCTTTTCCGAGCGGCAAGAGATACAATTGAGGTGTGTTATATTCGTTACGACCAGCCGTAACCAATTTACTGCTGATATGAAAGCCTCCGCAAGCCTTCGCCATCTATCATGGTTCTGCCAGAGGAATGTGAAATTTCCACCACTGGCTCAAAGCTATAAATGGAACACGAGCGCTGACCCACATCATGTGAATGGGAAACCACAATACAGTGGATATAACGTGTCCCACGGTTTTGTTTATAAAACAAGCCAAAGCACCACACACCTTACTTAGCCCGGTATTCCAAAGACACATAGCACAGGGTGATTCATTTACAGATTATCCACTGAATTCTAATGATCTCGGCTTATGCATCTTGGAATGTTGTAACCAAATCAAACTGGCTGCGTTGGACAAAAGGTGTGTTACGAGCGTTAATTCTCTTCATGGGTTATCTATATAAATGACCCTGTATTTTATTCAAGTCTCCATACAAAAGAGACGTTTTATCTACAACAGCTGACCGCTCCGGTGCTAGCGACTTTGAGCTCCTGGCTTACCGCTAGCGGACTGCTCTGCTGAAAGAGCGCCCTGATGGAGAGGCAGCAGCGGTGGAAGCTGGCGAGCAGCTGAGCGTGCAACGTGCCGCCCAGACGCTCCACGTCGCTGTGGGCAGGGGCGATGTACACACCCTCCGCTACCTCCAGCGACACGTAGTGGAACAGCGTGTTCTCGGCGCCCGATGTCAGCCTAAGATCACACGCAGGATTGGAAAGACTGGAATCACACAATAGTCTGATATCACACGCACAGCGTGCCAGACTAAAATCAAAGCTACAACAGCCTGAGTATCACACACAATGTCAGACTGGAATCAAACATACCGTACAATACAACAACCTGAGACCATACACAACATTACAGCCCGAGATCACACAGCACAACAGCCTGAAATGACATCCATGATATACGAGTAAAATAAAATCAACAAGTAAAGAAAAATATCGTGCACACGCATGGATTATGTAGCACTTTCCAACATGCATTTATCCTCAGAGATATTTAATCAAAACTACGCAAAACAACAGCTATGGGCACAAGACAGGTTTTACATTTGCAAATAGTCCTTTTTGCTCTGGTTTGTGTCTCCAGATTCTGGGCAATGCTTGATAAATTTGATAAATTTTAAGTCCTTCATAGATAAACTATTTTTTTCATGAAAATTGTATTCATATTGGATCATCTTTATGCGAGTTATCCTGAACTCATGTTACAAGTAGACAAACAGATAATCCATAGATGCTTTCAACCTTAATTGGAAAGTGTTAGACAGAAAAATCTGATCTCAGTGGATATTTACTTGTTTACTGCAATCATAAATAACAATGATCTGATATCTAAATAACTACCTTCTATAGAGTAAAAGGTTAATGTGGTCCCTTGCTCAGTTGAGCATGGGGCGGCACTTATTTCCTGTTTATAGCACTGAGCCCGAAGTAAAAATCCCATATTGCTCTGGTAGGGTTAAGTATTTTCAAAGGACAACCACATTGTTGACCTAACCACAAGGCAGTACTTATTTTATCAACCCTGGAGGGATGAATGAGCTGAAGGACACAGTTGACCCCCGATTGGGATTTAAACTCTCACTCAGCCTTCCGATTGCGAGCCGCTCATTTTGGACATCTGTGAAAAAATCTTTATAGCTCATCGGATTCCTACAATATGAATACATATTCTGATTCTGATTTACCTCTGCCACCCAGCTAGATATATTGAACAATGATCAGCTGCAAATTTAGTTCGAGCACCTTGTACGAATCATTTGCAATAACATCACACCATTAAGTTATTGAACTGGATAAAAAAAAAAATCCATGCCCATTTTTATCAAATGAAGGTAATTGGATGTGACGCGTGGGTGTGGTGTTTAACACGCGGAACTTTGCCTGCACACGCTGCTCATCTCCTGTGTGTCAGCATCGGCGCTCTCCCTCCAGCCACCGCCCAGCAGGAAGGGACTGGATCTCTTCTTCGTGATCTGTGCATAGTCACCACAGCCGCAATAAGTTTGATGGGTGCCTGGCGCATGCCAGGCAGATTTTTCTGCTTTCTATATTCAAATCTTTCCCTTAACTGTTTTACTAACGCCCGTGCCTGATTACAAACCACTAAATTGTTATTTAAACAACAAAAAGTTTGTGATATGTGTTGGCAGTGGAGCGCAAGAATAAAAAACAAAACTCAACACATGCATCAATAGATTTCCCTCAAAGGAAACACGTCAGGCAACATTTCAGACAACGGCTTTTCTTCATCTCTCGGTTATTAAGGGCCATTTCCCGAAACGTTACCATTGTTATTAACCTTGGTTTTCTCAGTTCTGATTTTGAAATGTTAACCTCAGTTAAAGCAAACAAAGCTATTTTAATTTCAGCGCATACTGGTAGTCATACAAATAATGATACTACGGCTTTAGTTACCAAATGACCAATAGGGTTTATCATAGTACAACAGTATTGTGTTTCAGCCATTATAAAGCTGGATAGATGTTTTGGTGTCACTCGAAATACAAGGCCCCAGGCTACAGACCCTTAAGTCCCTGCTTTAATATAGCCATGGATGTCCCAGTGTGACATAATTAAAGCAGCACCAGCCTCTGAGCCAGGGTTTGTCACACTCCAGTTGCAAGGTTTTAGCTATTCAGCCAGACTCATCCATATTAATTTATTTGTCAATATTGTCATCATGGTCAATGAACTGCTGGAGAGTTTGGCTCTCTGAGCCTCAGGCATGAACAAAAAAATACCTTCGTCTGAGCGTCAGGACTTAACAGGTGCATGAGTCTGCCTTTTTGAGCCTCAGTAATAATATCTTCAGTGTGTTGTGATATATCGCCTTGCTTACCTTTGACTTTCTAATACATGTGTGTGATGAACAGTGCTGTGTGCATGTGCGTGTCCACTGTCACCTTGAACGCACTGGTGACTCCACTGCTACCTCCGCTGCCGGCAGAGACCCCTGACCCCTGGCTCTCCCTGCGCCCGGGCATGCCCGGGACGCCCCCCTCTGCCGAGCGCTGCGCAGTGGTGCCGGGTGCGGGTGAGTCCGCTCCATCCTGTCTCCCTCTGGCAGGACTGGGACTGAGTCTCCGGGGTCCACGAAAACCCGGAGAAGACTGTGTCCTGCGGTGGCCCGGACTGAACACTGTCGAACCGCCACCTGCAGCCAAGTGTCGCCCGTCGCACATAGGGTTAGTGGCGTTGTCATATTTGATATGATATACATTTTCACGATATGAAAATAATCGTAAAATTAGTTTTCCAGAAATTTAAATGTTATCATTTGCATTTTTGCATTGTTTTAATGCTCTAATCAGTCACACAAAATAGTAATGAATATATTAATTACAAAAATTAATATGTCAAGTATTCCTAAAACCATTTTCAGAGGAACAATTATTAAAACATGAAGAATTTTGCAGCCAATATTATGATACATAATTGATTTTTGGTATAGACACCATTATGATCTGACCACATTTTTATTATGAAATTCTGACTTCCTGGTCTCATGACCTGAGGATGCTCGATGTAGGTCACAGCGAAATGTCGTATCTAAATGCTAAATTTGTTTGTGAGAATTATTCTTCAATTTACCGATGAGCTAAAACTGCAATAATTTGCGCGTTATACGCTTGCACATGTTACAATAAAAAACGTTTGGCTATGTCAGATCATTACGTGGCCTAACCCATAAACCAATTGAGCATTTTTTATATTTAGTTTGTTACATTGAGAAAATGCATGATTTTGCTGACTTGTTTTGGGTGCACATCTTCTTCTAATGGGGCCCGGTGAGGCTTCATGGCGGCGTGCGGCATACCGGTCGAGTGGCCCAAGAAGCAGTCGGCACAGGAGAGCTCGGGCAGTGGTGGTCGCTCGAGGTGCTCGCGGATTCGCGCCGGCACGGAGAGCGAGTCGAGCGCCAGCAGCGTAGCACGCGCCTCCTCCACGTAGCCGGGGTCGGGGCCAGGTGAGCCCACAGCACTTGCAGAACAGCCACCCGCCTCCAGCACCACGGACAGCAGGCAGGGACCCTGCGCGCAAACATGCGCACGCAGCGTAGCAGATGATGACAACAGCTGCCATTCGCCACCATGTGACGTCGCCACAGCGCTTGTGCCAGACTAGGTGCACTTGCAGGCCACGTGAAGTCTCGAAGGCTCACTGGCAGGTCCCAGGGTTAATCGACATGACTACACCATCTGTACAATACTGGTAGTGTGTACACAGACATGTACAGCCCTTTTGTCAATCCATTGCTGGATGAGGGTCGCTCCACGCCATCTGAGTCTTGGTGGCTCTTGACCATACTTCACTATACTCCTCAGTGTGGGTTAGTGAAGGCAGGGAACATAAACATTTTATATATGGTGGTGGTCCATACAAGTAGCATCCAGTCTCAACCTGCTTAGCTTTCAAGATCTGAGGAAATCGGGTGCATTCCAGGTGATTCAGTTCGAGGCTCAAGCAGTACATTCAGTGATTATTAATGAGTGTCACACAATCAAAGGCATTTTAGTGAGCGCGTATTTACAAGATAACTTTACAGACTTTTTCCTCTTTGCATCTGGTTTAGCTGAGCTGCTGTGTGTGCCTCTGGGTCATCCCCATAAACCCGGTCAACAAAAGAGCACGGCAAGTCGCCAAAACAACGTCACGTTCGCCACCGCGACCCACACTGGGCTGCCCTCATTACCCCGGCACGGCCCCGACGGGTGACTGATGGCATGGCCCTTTCTAAGTGGCAGGGTCAAGGGCTCAGTACAATTCATCAGCAGGGATCAATTCCAAGGGGGGAGGCACACGTTGGGAAGAGAGCATTTCTTTATTAATGCGTACAAAAGGCGCAGGCATTTGGATTAATCTGAATTTAGACTATTGCGTGTGAAAGCGCCCGTGTGTTAATTAATGCGCGTGCGGGTTAAGGCGGCCACAAAACTTTGGAGTGTTTTTTTGTTTGTTTTATTTCCTCGTCGTTTTCTTATTCCGTCTCTTAAAACTCAAGCACACAATGACATCATTTGTGCAGCTACATGCTATCCTGCTAAATATAATACAGTTTACCGAAAACATTTGCCTTGCTTGAGTGAGCCTGTAAACACTTGCTCCAACCCGCGCCCTGCCCCTGCCTATAAGCCTTCTTTACAGCCAAGTTTCATGACCACAGTGACTCTCTGTGTTTCCCATGCATCGCCCTTTATGGTGGTATAAAGGATTGATGGAGGAGCACCCGGAGTAACCACTAAGCCTCTTAATAACCATAAATAATGTGGAGGGCTGGCCGGGACAAGGGGAGGCAGCCACAGGAGAAAACTGGCCCATTCACCTCACATCAGGAGCAATCCATCACGTGCAATGTGCAAACAAGAAGCTGCTAACTTTGGGGCACGCTTAGGACCGCAGCTCTTTAATTGTATAATATCACAAAAAAATCGAGATGATGCTAACATTATGAGATAAGCACTGCCCAACGCCTGTTAAGAATACAGGGAAAAACTCTGATATATTCTTTTCTATGAGCATCAGTCAAAAAAGGTCATCCTTAGATTCGAAAAAAAATGCCAAAAAACGCAACACTCTATAAGATGATGCTAAAATTATTAGTATAATGAGGGATGCCAACTGTATAATACTTTTAATATGATAAACTACTTATCCAATTCTTCATTGGGAACACTTCACCATCTCATTTGTATTTCTTGCTTGCGATGCCTAATAATATCCCTTAATCGTGTCGTGGATGAGTCGGGCAGTTACCAGGCCGACGATGAGCAGGAAGTGCCGCGCGCCCTCTGGCGGCGAGTATCCCGTGGCGACGGCGGTACGTGGTTTCCGTGGGAACAGCTCACGCCACACAACGAGTTGCCCGGCCCTGGGGCTCCGCGTCAGCAGCAGCAGCCCATGCAGGCGGCAGTAGAGCGTGACGGCAGTGAGCTCCTCCCTCGGTAGGTGGTTCGCGACGAGGCAGCCCTACTTGCGGCAAAGGCACGCACGTCGCACACACACAGACCATAACCACAAGCACATGGCACCCACAGTGGCATAGCTGTAGAGTATGCAGGTGGTGCAACTGCGCCGAGAACTATGGGTCAGATGGGGCCCAGGCACTGGGCTATGAAGAAGGGAACATTTTACTTGGAGACCTCATTTCATTCCTTGCACCATGGCTCATTCCAAATAATCCCATGACCCGCAGGGCGTAGGGAGTTTTTAATTCAGCAGTGGGTTTACAAGAGTTGTGCAGCATGTGCATGTATTGTGTTCATATGGTCAGCAGGCTGTGTCGGGTAATTCCAAACGAGTGTCGCATCAGTGGCATGTATTCCTGTGTGACCGAAATTGCATTTTTTCCTCCAGGTGAGCCATTCCCAAGTGTTCCTCATCTGCCAAGTGCTCGTGTAACGGGTTCCGGAGACACTTGTAGAGGTAGCTTCTTTATTACAATACAACACTCCAACAGTCCAACTCTCCAACAGTCCAACTCTCCAACAGTCCTGATACTCTGTTACAGCCTAGGTACACAGCCTAGGTACACAGCCTAGATACTCTACTCTGGCTATGCTCTGGAACTCGCCCTCACAAGGTCGTAGAGTCGGGAGTTCCAGAGTCCCACCACTGGACTCTCACAGCATCCCAGGGTCTTCAGATGGCTGGTCGCGGGTCTTGGGTCTTGAGTTACAACTGGGCCCTGATCGTCCAGGGAGCTCTCCTTCTATGCCTGGTCCAACGAGGGGTGGGGCCGTGTGCGCCACCAGACATCCCACAGAGCACACACAGCCCCCCCCCGTTGGCGGCGCCAAGAGGCTTAAGCGTCTGGACCCGCCTGAGAACCCAACGCCTGGTGCCAAGAGGCTTAAGCGTCTTATGTCACTACATTTGTGATGGCTTGTGCTCACCTTGTAGAAGAGGCAGGAGCCCAAAATTGTGTACAGTCTCCGCATGGAATAATAATCTTCTGACTGAAAAAAAACACAGCAAATTGTTTACCCTCAAGCCAATAATTAATAATCCTGAATTTGTATTGCAGGACCTACACAGAAACCAGTAACGTGCAGACACAAGTACAGGTATTACAGCCTCAGCTGCTATAAACTGAGGTGAAATGTTCATTTCTGTTCTAAATCATGTTGCAGCATACTTCTACCCTCTCATCTGTCTTTCTACTTCCCCTCGTTGTAAACTCCATTCCAGTAATGAAAATTTATTGGCAAACCTCACAGTCAACCTCCTATCTATACTCTTTGGTTTTTTCGGTAAAGTCACGTAGGTAAAAAATAACATAAAATAAATGAAGACGGAAGTTTGTGTTGCCTCCGAAACGTCGTGATTTAATTTAGTTGTTTTCATTTCTTTTCTTTTATTTTTTACCGAAAAAACCAAAGAGTATGAATCCTTGCAGTCACGAAAGCTTCAAATCTAGAACCTCCTATCTGCGGAGGTTGCAATTTCTCGACTGCTGCCCCAGATATATGGAACTCCCTCCCTCTAAGGCATCCACACTGAAGACTCCTTCTTGAAGTCCAAGCTTAAGGCCTTCTTTTTATCTCTGCCTTTGACAAGTTGCATCTGTATTCAAACCTTCCCACCCATTCCCCACATGTCCACCTCATTTAATCTTCACCTAGTGTGTGTCCCCCACCTATATACAACACTAATCTAACTGTAGATACTGTCTAAATGCAATCATACGTGAAAACACAAAAAGGAGAGGGGGGAAAAAAAGCTACATTCAAGAATGAGAGGGATAGAGGTTGGGGTGCACTGGCGGGGATGGGGGTAGGGGAGAGAGGGGCAGGGGAGGGAGGGACAGAACGGGGGTCAGGGAAAAATGGGTGAGGACAGAGAGCAACACTGCGGCAAGCCCAGAACAAAGCAATTGGGGCCCAGCAAAAATAAAAATGAGAACCTTGCTATAGCCGGGCCAAAATGTATATATATGCATCGTGATGTTTTATAAATCACAGCTGTAATTGTGTAGCGCGAGTTGAGTCACTACAATTGTGTGAATCACATCATCTCACCAGCTCCTGAAAGTCTGCCGATTCCAGCTCACTCAATGTTGTGTCAATGTCGACCTGAATTGTGAGAAAAACAAAAATAGGTATTTTTATTTTTCTGACTTACTACCTGGAAGAGAGATAGCATTATAATACAATACAAATTAAATGCTGCATTCCAACAAGCAGCTTGCTGAATTTGTGGATTCATTCTCTGTATGCCTCAGATTTCAAATGTGTCAATCCGTGCTTTTATCTAAAAATGTATTGAGACTCAATGAGGATTTCTTGAATAAGTCGAGAATTATTATTTTCCTCATCACTTGCATCAGAATAATCATAATTTTAAATTCACAACAGAGGTATCAATGTACAACCTTCAAATTACATATTTACAGATGACGAATGTACTTTACAGGAGAACAAAAAAAGCATTGAGTTAGAATCCACTTGAGATCTTCATTTGACTTGTGGTTGTTGTTGTTGTTGTTGTTTGACTTGCATCCCACTGGGATTTTTGCACAGCGTTGGTGTACGGTGTTTTTTTTTCTGGAAGACTTTGCAGGTTTTTCCTGGATTTTTATGTTTGCGCATAGTCACTTTAAGATGTTTTCTTGTTCATGTTTTTGTTTTTTGTTTGTTGCGGTTGCACCCGATTCAAGAGCCGAATGGCTCACAGGGCTATACCATATAAATGAAACTGAAATTTCATACATATTTAATTTCCTTCCTGAAGATAGAAAAATCCTGAAAGCAGGGGTTGGGAACCTATGGAAACATGGGCTGGATATGGCCCATGACTAAAATCACTTGCAGACAAATGAGGCATATAACCACTTCGAAATAACCCACAACTAATATTTATCCATCACGTCAAGCACCTAATTGGATCCTAGAGGCGTGCTATTTTAGACACCGCGTTTATCATTTCATTGTGCTCGGTCACTCCTTTCAATGCAAGAGGCTTTTTGCAGTGACAAGTGGGACTAAAATGTATGCTAATGTGTGTCCTGCCAAGGTATTTAAGAGTCCTACTCTGCTCTCAGCAGTTGAAAGGTTTCCCTCCCCTGCCTTTAAGGGACACTGCCTTGCCTTTATGTCCTGCGGTAGCGGCAGCCAGGGAGCAGCAGGGAGGTTGTCGAGAAACTCCGCCCCGGAGCAGTGCGGGTGCAGCCCCACTGGACTGGGGGCTGCAGGAGCACCTGGCCCTGAGTGCGTGCAAAGTGACTCCGGCTCCAGGCAATGCTGGAAGAGCAGACTGAACAGCTGGTCCAGGTGGCCTGGCCCTTCTGTGCGCTGATTAAATGCCCTGGAAATAATAACAGGTTATTATATCAGTGGGGTGTCGCAAGTGGTTTGCAACAGGCGCTATGAACCCAAGCGAGTCCATTGAAGAGATTGAAGACAAAGAGGGTGATCTTGTAGTTACTAGGGAATGGATTGTGAACCAGTGGATGGATCTGAATTTTGGATGGATGTGCTCTGATTTAAGAGTGCATCTAATCAGTCTCGTCTTATGTTCAAAAAGTTCATATTAAGCTACAGTGTCCAGGAATATTCCTCCTTCAGAACAAACCCCCCATCTATTCCAAAGAGGGTCCATTTCCATGAATTTTGGTTTAAAATTTTCGTGACTGGAATAATATTAATTTGGAGGACCTTTTTACCAGCAGAACCAGTGTTATTTCCTTTTGGCATTTCAATAAACGCCTTTTCTTGTTTGTGTGCCTTTTATAATTCAAGTAATTAATTCAGGCGTGTCCTCCTTTGTTGAGAAGGCACACACAGGTATGCTTACTTGTGCAGGGATCCGTGGAGAAAGGACAGAAGCCGCGCCAGGTCTGATATCAGGTTCCTCAGTCGAGCCAAAGGCACCCTGGTGTTTGAGAAAACCAAGGGAGGTTATCATCAGTTGCCATCTCATGGTCACATTGGCATTCAACCTTTTACTGACGGCCAGGACAGCTCGCTCTGTAAAGTACTGGGCTCGTGATCACAAGGACACAGCAGAGTTCAAATCCTGGTCACGGTCTATTCAGGCTCTCTTTCGTCTCATCGAGGTCAGTAAAAGAAACACCACCTGGTTAGATCAAACCACTTGGTTGGAAGTCGGGGGGGGGTTACTGTGGCAAGACTGGTTTCTGACTGAGAAATGTGGAGATTGAGCATTTATTAAAGGATTCGTGTAAACTGTATTTGGAAGGTTCACATTAGCATATATTTGCAATACATTATAAACACTTAATTCTCAAATGTACAATTCGATGTATGTAATTAGAACATAAACACTTATTTAATCTTTGGATTATTAAATGCCTAACACCTTCCTGTCTAAGGTGTTACTAAGTGAAATATCTGGTCTTCGGCCATTGCACTAAGTGGGGAATTCTAACCTATCAGCAGGCAGTCCAAGAAGAAGCAGACCATCGCCCTCCCTCCAGTAGGCGACATGAACCAGGCGGCCTTCAATTACCATGCTGGAACTGTGAAAACAGGGGAGGCACATGGACAGAGATGGCAAAGTTCATCAACAGTTCTCTAACTGCCTACTGATGTGTGTCATGTTTTCCGGCCATGCTTTATTAACTGCACACGGCAGTTGTGGAAAACAGCATGCTCTTGAGAAAATAACAGCCCTAAAATCTTACCTGTGTGGCTGTACCTTTTGTTAAAAAACTGTAAACAGAGAATGGGCAAATTATTCTGACCGATTGTAAATGTACGCTTAACAATCTGTAAAATACCAGTAGAATACTGCATAGATTCAGAGGTTGTGCTGATGTGTCTTTGGGTGTTGACACATTGTCGAGCATGGAAGCTTATTCAATTCAGTTCCTGAAGAAGCTGTCAGCATATGGAGCAACATGTTGTACGGTTGGCTACGTGCAGTGCGAAAGAAGTTAAACATACATACATACGAACAAACAACGTAGTACAACCGTAAAAACATATTTAAAAGCTACATTAGCAGTATTTTTCACAGTTTCAAGCTTTCTGTCTGCACTAATAGTTGAGACCACAAAAAACAGCGGACTTGTACCTTGGATCCTGATTAAAACAAGACAATTAAACTCCCTCATTCTTAAATTACCCTTAAGCCCTTTAATGCAATTGATTGGAGGATTACAAGCTCTGAAGATTAGCAATGTGATGCTTACAGCCCACAAGACCTTACTTATAAAATAAAGTGCCAGTGTATGGAGCCAGGATTATGGGCACTTGCCCTCATTTCATTCCCTGAGCACGGCTCATTCCACGAGTCTCCTAGCAGTCATCCGTGACATGTTGCTAAAAATCAAGGCATCGGGGATTTGGCTGGCTGGCTTCAAGGACTAACACTGTGTGAGAGCACTGAACCAGCACTGCTGAGATCCTAGGTTTAGATCCACGCTTGGAATCCGTGTATAAGCCGAGTTCGAAAATACAGCAAAAGTTGATGGTTTTAAACCAGCAACCAATGATTGCACACGTAAACAAAAAATGCCTAATATATTATCGTGTATTTATTTTTCATATTTCAGCTCTTAGGACAAGCTATTTTGGTTTGATTGTCAGGCAATTAACAACTCTTGAGCAGGGCATGCGAGACAGTGCACCATTTAGAGTGCATAGACAGTCCTATTAAAGTGGCTTCAGAAGTAGATCTGTGACGTCTTCTTTCAGCGATATTTTATTACGCAACATGGTAAACTTCTAACTGTGATACTTCCCAACGAAAATGTCTTGCACTTGTTCCATTAGCACAAGTGGGAACATCATTGGCCAATTTTTTTTTAAACAATCCCAGCATAAGGCGCCTTATAATACTGCTCAATGGTGTCGACACTTTGCATGTATAACGCATATGTGTGCAATCAGGAATTAATTTCTCAACGAAAATATTCTGGGTCACTTGTTAGACTAAAGCGGACATGCGAACAGTAGCCACAGTCGCAGAGCGACAATTACATTGGATGTTGTTTGCCGGGGACAGAAATACTTTTTGGGCCAGCGACCTGGGCAGAACGATATAAAATGAGCCCTGCATGTAATGATAATGGTCACAAAACACTCAAGCGGGCAAGGTCAGGGACAGAGGTCGCAACCGGGTACCCGATACCCGTACCGTACCCGATACCCGGCTACCCGTACCCGGCCGGGTACGGGTACCCGTTTGCGACCCTGGTGCGGTCGGGTACGGGTAGGCCGTGAGTCACTGGTGAGTAACTGTCACTCATTTCCCAACGTCTTGTCTCGTCTCACAATTCAAGTTCCTAGAATCAACCCACCCACGCCTGCAACATGGCTTCATCCCAGAGGTCACAATCAGGTACCCGATACCCGTACCCTACCCGTACCCGGCCGGGTACGGGTATGGGTACCCGTTTGCGACCCTGGTGCGGCCGGGTACGAGTACGGGTAAGGTATCAAAACCCATTTGCGACCTCTGGTCAGGGATCAGGGACTGACATGGGACCAGCGACCGATCGAGCACGGCGATACTGGAAGTGACAGTTGCACTAATCCTCGAGGTGAATCAAAGTGGACAGATGTCCGGTGGAAAGCTTTTTAACATACACCACTGAAGGACAAAACCACCTGTCTCTTTGCGATAAAGGGCTCTCGGTAAAACACGTCAAGCATAGGACATGGCGGGTTGGCCTTGATGTTTGGTAGAGGATATGTGCACTTATTGTATCAATGTAAAGGAAAAAAACATCTGCAAAAACACTAATTCACTATATGTTGGTCAAGTGAGCTGTTAGGATAAACCTGTTTTCAAATTAAATATTTTGAATTAATAAAACAGTGATTGTATGAATGAAAAAACAATTCAGGAATGTAGCCAATGGAAACCAGTTTTAATGAGGAAAATGTTAATGTAATGGAAAACAGGATTCCAAATTACTACACGGTTATAAAACAGTTCTTGCCACTGAATGGCATAATTAGTTTAAGACTTAAAGGAATGTATTTTTGCAGACATATGCAACAAGTACCATGGGCCAATCTAATGCACAAAACATATTTGTTATTAAATAGTTTGTTAAACATTGGTTTAGCATGTGTAAAGACGCCATTATAACGTTAAGCTGAAAAGAGATATTTGAAAAAAATCATGACCGTGATATACTTTAATACCAGTAAATGAATACTCACTAAATAATACAGACTTCTGTGTGAAAGCTTAGCACACCGCCTAATCCCCGGCTCAGCAGGCGCATTTTCTTTTCACCAATGAGGCAAAGTCCCGCTGCTGGCATTTTCACACTGAATAATGCTAATGCTGGCGGCGCAGAGAAAGGGAAATATAAAGAGACTCTCTTTCTAGCACAAAGCATCTGTAACTGGCAGCACTGCATTAGTCCAAGAGGATTAAAAATCAAGGCATGCCACACCAGAAATCGGCAACAACCGCCTTTCAGTTCCCCGCGCATTGGAATTCAGGAGAAGGCATCGTTCATGGCTGCATTACAGAAGCCACAAGATAGCGTTGCACGGTAAATGCTGTTTCACTTAAATATAAACATAAGCCCTGAAAGTGACACGTTTGTTCACTGTAAAATTGAGCGCTGCATTATGTAAGCTTAACTTCCAATTTGATGCTAAGCTCATATTCATTAATGAAATAGCAGCAGGCTACACTTGATGGTGCAGTAAAACTTTTGCGCACATTGTGGCAATGCATAAAAGGGGCTCACAAAACTTGAATGAATCAAGGCTGCTGCATAAATCTAGTGTGGTATTTAAAAAATGTTTACTCAAGTCTCCTGAATGGATCTGCAGTGTTGCTTGTAAGCAAAGCAAAAGACATCCCACATCTTAGGGGTTTTTTGACACAAGTTCTGTTGAAACATTCTGCATATTACTATTCTACATCTTTGATAAGTTGCATTGCATTAATTCAACTGAATTACTACTATAATAGCCCAGAAATGTGTCGCTTCAAATATGACGTTTCTTTACAGAAAGTGACGGTAAAAAATTAATATACGCAGCATAGTGCTACACCCGTACGTGACGCCACTGCAAAAGAAACCCCCCCCCCCCCGTCATTACTATCATAAGCAAGACATTTTTTTACGCAAATTCGCTTTCAATTCGACGTTTCTTTATTTAAAGTTAATCAAGTAATTAATTCTACGCAGCAACAAAGTGTATTTGGTGTCTTTATTTATTTCTTCAGCACTTGAAACAAAAGGTAAGTCTAATTTTTGCTTCTAAATTATGATACATTTTTTACATTTCTCTGTGATTTTCCAGACATTGTATCGAATTCAAATTGATTACAACCCCAGCGAGCGAAAGCAGAAGAAAATAAAGTATGAGAGCACTAATTTTGAACTAATTGAAGGTGAGTTAAATGCAGTGCTACAGTGACATGAAGTGAGGTGTTTTATGACATAGTTTTGTGCAAGAATCACTGCCATTAAGACAGTACAAGAGATTCACACAAAATATTGTATACCGAGGTTTCATTTTTTAAGTTCAGAAAAATGTATTTACGTGCAACAGTTCCTAAAAAAATGTACAATCACACGAGAAAACATAAATGTACATCTTTAATATTACAGCTTCCGTCCTAGGATGGGCAAAAGGCTAGTTATAATAATAATATCCAACCACCTCCAGCCACTGCATGACACATAGCTAATAAATGTGTGTCAACACAATTTGCCTCTGTTTGCGCAAGTAATGCAAAATGCAAGTGTGAAATCAAACCAAACTTTGATTCTAGCTGGAAAAATAAATTAGGTCCTTAATGTATAAGTCTCTGAACTAAGACACCATGTTGAAGTGAATATCATCAGCTAGGAGCCCACACTGCCAATGTGCCTTATAAACTATGCATTTGCTTTTCCAGCAGTCATTCCCCAAGTTCGCAGCTAAAAACATGTGGAGCTATACGAGCTTTGAAGACCCAATACCATTGTCACAAACAAGACCGGGTCCTGTTTTACTGGCAAGTGTGTTATCTCGAAAGGCTGCTTAGAACAACCGAAGACAAAGGTGGGAGTCATCGGTGCATCTAGGCCACTCAAAAATAAAGAGCCATCACGATGGGGGTAATCGGTGTGTCTGAGCCATTCAAAACATAATACACATCACAGCACTCGAGGTCCAGATGACCTCTCTTCCCCGCACTCTAAGTGACCCCTAATTTTTGTTCAACATTTTTGTTTTCTCACATATAACTCTCCAATTGTGTGATGATGTTATCAGCATCATGGCATGAGACAAATGAATATCGATTAGAAACGTTGAAGCTAACAGTGGGTACTTCACTCCTCTTACTCCTGTGTGAGAACGGCATCGGAAGATGATGTCACGGAACATCTGATATCACACAAATGGTCTCTTATCCACACTGGGCACACAGCATTTAATTTCCAGCAAAGATTTCTCGTTACACGCCAATCAAACTAAAATAAGCATTGGGGATGGAATACACCACATTCAGTGAACAGCCAAAATTTATGCAATTAATATTTTGTGCAGTCAATCGTGACTGGGTGAAGACTATACGACTCACTGGACTTGAGAATCTGGTTTAATAACAGGCAGCTGAAACCCAAGTCCAAACCAAAGATCTAAGTGTGCTGACCCCTGAGCCACGCAGTGATCTGTCACAACCCCTGCTGAGTAGTCACCTGCGGACAGAGTCGCCTGTGACTCGGGGCAGCATGTCACTCAGCGTAAGGAAGATGCCTCGAACCGCCCTGAGTCTCGCCGCCGGTCCCCTCCGTGGAAACGAGTAGATGATGTCCTCCTGCACAAAGCACGAGCAGTGGCACAGCACGCACCCAGCACATGCTGGTACATCACGAGAACATGTGGAGGAAAGCACTCTCTCTCCTCTTCCATAATTCGTCACATGGCAACAGATGATGGGACTGGACAAACCTCTTGCATTTCTTTCTCTGGTCATGGCAATCATTTCATCTAGGCCTACAGTTTTCTCTTTCAAGTCCTCATTTATGCCGTCATTCCAGATTTTGTTAGGACGGCCTTGAGCAGGAGTTGTGGTAAAACTTGATTTAAAACCAGCTGTAAGGTCATTGGGACTAAAAGGATCTTGCCTATGACCAAATCACTCTGAATGTACCCAATTTTGCAGATAGGCACTTTATTTATCAGATGTATTAATACCTTTAGAAAATCCATAACACCTGTGACACGTCTTGATTGTTTGTTCACGATTCCTAGATTTCGTACAAAACTTGGTGTAAAAGCTTTTTTATGCAGCTGCTCTAAAGTTTTGGAACCAACTTGTCTCTTCTCTGGAGATTATCACTCTGCCATCTTTGTCCTCTTTTCAAAAGACATTATTGAGGTCAAAATAATACAAATGCGAATGTACAAAATTGTTTTGCAAGATCATTTGGTTTAAATTACTTTATTTATATTTATAATTTAATATTTTATATTGTATGTATCAACTCTTGCTGCCGTGTCCATCTGCTGGTCGAGTCACCCTTGAAAAAGAGCAGTAGAGCTCAATGGGTAATTTATTCGGATATTAAACGTATGATTCTGTATTCGCTACTCCCACGTCTTTGGTGTCGCTATTATGTCCTCCAAACGTCTTCCGCTATTTCAATTCAACTTTTATTTGTAACACAGAAAATTGAATTTAGCCAGTTACCCAGCAAGTTTCAGTGGCAAAAGGCCCACAGCCAATAACAACAGAGTTATTGTTGGGTTGCAGAGGAGCCCAACTAGCAGCCAGCCAATAAACTTGAGGCATGAATTATTTTTGATAGTAGTATGATGCGTTCTGTGTAATTGGTTCATGTAAGCCCTGCAGCCACTAGAGCCTCTAATTCACTTTAATGGTAAAACATAACCTATCCTTGAATTGAATAGTTACCCAGAATTATCACAATTCATTCAATCACAAGGGGGATTAATCATTACATGCTGGAAACTATGGCATACACTCAAAAATACAAATTGATGAACATCCAAATGCAGGACCATCTTGAAAAAACACAAGATTCAGTGAGGCTTTCCTGAATAAATGCGTGATTATTACATAAAACAATACTTAGAGCAAATGAAATAATTAACTTAGGATCAGGAGATAACCAATTAAAACAATACATTTCTGGATGTGACACAGTAAATATTTCATACCACAGTTGATGTTTGTGTATTTCTGCTTATGCAACAATGTATATTTTAAGTGAACCATTAACATTACACAAGCTGCACCTTTTGCAATGAACAAAGATGCATTTCGTATTTCAACGACTAGGGGACTGGTGCTGAAAGTCTGTGCCCTCTTCTAGAATTGTAAGAATTTGAAAAAAGCCCTACGGGGGATAACAGCACAAGTGCAAAGCTAACCCCTGCTGCCCGGCACAAAGGGCTCCACGCAGCACAAAGGGCTCCACGCAGCACAAACAGCGCCCCGAGGCAATTAGCACTGGAGAGCCTGGCCCTACGCCGCTCCGAGCACAAGCGCTTTCATAACCCAGCCCAGGAGCCTTCCACCACCACCACCACCACCGAGGCTCGCCTCTTGAAGCACTATGCTGAGAGGTTCCTGAGAACTCGACGGCCCATTTTACTTTGCACGGTTTCAAACACCCATCGAAGTTTAGGCTTCAACAAAACATAAATAAAAGAGTTACTCCCTTTTCCCATCCTAAACAGCACCCGTTGCCTCACTCCCCCCATCAACCCAATAACGGCGCTCCGGCCCACACACCTACTCGGCCGATCGCGCCACTGCCGCAGCCCACCCAGAGCTGCCTCGCCATAAAGAAAAGTGGGAGGAGAAAGGAGAGCACACAAGGGGCATACACGAACGGCAAATAATACAGAGCAAGGCGCACGCTGATGAGACGGAGCCTTTCAGCAGTCACGCAACCAGCCACCGACAGCCCGGCAAGGAGAAATGCATTCACCGCTCCCAGTCTGATCCCATCAAACGACACAGAGCAAGACGAGTGATGTCGCAACAGTTGACAATTGAACAGACAAGCACACAGCTTTGCTAGGTGGCATTGTCACTCAAGGCATGGATATCATTCTTGTACAACACGTGCACACTTGCAATGTTAGCAGGACCATAGCATGATTGGTAAGGTCCCTGGTGCATGAAATGAAATGGGGCATCTGTCCAATATCCCCATTCTGTGTAGCCCGGTGCCTGAGCCCTGTGGTTTTTGAGCCCTGGTGCAATTACAGACTCCTGCACACTCCATGGCTCTACCACTGAATGGTAGTTTATTTCAGATGAATCTCCAAGTAAATTGGGTCCTTGGGCAAATATAATGAGTCCCATCAACACATATGCGCTGCTTATGAAAAACATTAGAAAATGAGCTCCAAGATGTGACAAAGGTATCCTGGGCACTGCCACGCATGAAGGCTGGCAGAGGCAGGCTCACCCATGGAAACGTGGCCGCAGTAACAGGACTCGCATGTAAGTGCACATGTTTCCCATGGAGGTCCAATTGAAGAAAACACGGTGAGCGTTTCAAAAGCAAACATGTCGGCATTCACGGAGCAGACGATATACACACAGACACGGATGAATCGTTTTTTTGAAGCTCAAAGAATCGGAGCCGCCGTAAAAGCTTTTTGTTATCAGTAGTGGTTTCTAGGTAACCCAAACACCTGCTTGTTTACTCTGCAATCATCATTTAAAAATGCAAGTGAACTATCAAGCCAAGTGTGTTTAGCCAAAACATGTCAACGACTCGGGGGCGTGCGTCCTCGCCAATGTAAAAGTGGGAATTCGCCCTGTATTGACTGCAGGATTTACACTGCTGAAAGAAACAATGATCGCGACACATATCGGCAAACACAGCCCGCTTCGCTCTCCATGTGCCATTGTGCCGGCGTGGCATCGCTACCGCCGCAGCATACAAAAAGCCGGAGCAATGCGCTCCAAGTCTCGTCCGTCTTGGTAGAGAATCACATTTACGTCAGGCGCTCTTGTTTGGACGTGGGACAAACGACCGAATGAACTTTGCGCGGCTTGACGGCGATAAGTGAGCCGTGCGTGCTGGCGCTCTGCGGCTCTGCACGGTTGCACCACAGAGGTTTAAATTAAAGGCAACCCTCGTCTTACGTTCAGACAACAAAAACTAAAAATCGCCGTGTACGTGTTTTTACCGCCTGCCACTAAGCAACGGGTAATGTAGGTTATTGGCCTCATAGTGCCTTCATCAAACATATATCAATCAGTCCAGCTGTCCAATAGGCTTTCAGATTGTACTGGCTGTTGTTTGGCAAAAGTTGTCCGAGGTTTCGCTCCACGTGTTGAGAGCCTCTTCAGGTCTTGAAGAAACTCCCAAGACGTGAAGCGAATTGTCAGACATCTTGCCGAACAACACACGGTAAAAACAGAAAACACATCGGAGAGCTGTATAGAACAAGCACAAAAACCAACGTTATATCGGTCTATATCCCCATGTCAAAATATAGACTGAATTGCTCAATTTAACCGACTGCAGCATATGCTGATAATGAACAGGGTGTGAAGAGGTTCGTAGACTGAGCTGCAGTTCCCGTGAGTCACATTCAAATCCTGGCCAAGCACCCAACTCCAAAAATGTTATCTGAACATAGCCAGGGCATCTTCGAGGTGAAGTTTGGTGAATCACACACATGTTGTATAACTCCATTGACATGGTCATCAAGGTGCAATATACCCTGTCTTGCCAGGAGAAGGCAGTAGGAAAATACGTGGACTAATCTCGATCGGTATGGGATAGAGTATTGCCCACTCACACACATAGGTTTTCTCCGGGTGCTCCGGTTTCCTCCCACATGTAAACACTCATTAATTTGCTTAAAAATAATTCCATAAATCAGTGTTTGGCTTCAGGTGGGAGTAAACTAGAGAGCTAAGCAAAAACAAAGGCATACTTCTCAAAGCTCTGCATAAATATTATCAATTCACTTGCAGTACTGACATCTCATACATGCCAACCATTAATGATCTAAGCCAGGGGTCCTCAAACTTTTTAAACAGGGGGGCAGTTCACTGTCCCTCAGACCGTTGGAGGGCCGGACTATAGTTTAAAAAATCTAAGAACAAATTCCTATGCACACTGCATATATCTTATTTTGAAGTGAAGAAACAAAACGGGAACAAATACAATATTTAAAATGAAGAACAAGTAAAGTTAAATCAACAAACTTGCCAGTATTTCAATGGGAACTATGGGCCTGCTTTTGGCTAATGAGATGGTCAATGTCCGGTTACATATTTGTCACTGCTAGTCGTAACAAGTGATGCAAGTGTGCATCCGTTAGTCTAGATCTGGTTGGAGATTTCAAATGTTTCATTCTGGAAAAAGTCTGTTCACAGACATAAGTGCTGCCAAAGATGGTTGCCATTTTGAGTGCATGGTTCCTGAGATGAGGATATGTCTCAGAGGGGAGAAATGCATAGAAATTATGAAGGCTGCTTGACTTGAATGCGTCTTTCAGAGTCACAATTCTGCAGTTCAGCCAGTTCCATTTGGTAAGTTGTATCCACATTTTCAATGTCAATAGAAAATGGGTTACGGAAAAGCTGTATGTCCTGTTCATGGAGATGAAGCTCTTTAAATCTAAATTGGAACTCCTTTTGCAATTTTTCCAGTGAATCCACACATGTTTTGTTTGGGAATGCAACCAATGGTTTTTCCGCTAACAGATTTTGAGTTGTGGGGAGATGGCAGAAGTTTTCCTCCTTCACTTGTTTGATGAGGAGGCCTAATTTTACTTCAAATGCTTTGACATGTGATTGCATATCACAGATGAGCTTCCCCTTTCCTTGAAGTTGCACATTGAAACTGTTGAGTAGCTCTGTTACATCTGTCAGAAAGGCAAGGTGCCATTTCCATTCTGCATCATTGAGCTCTGGTACTTCTTTGTTTTTTGAAAACAGAAAAGCTGTAATCTGTGGAAGTAAGTCATAGAAACGTTTCAAAACTCTCCCTCGACTCAGCCAACGGACTTCTGTGTGGTACAAAACATCTTCATAGTCAACATTTAGCTCAGACAGAAATTCCTGAAATTGTCTGTGGTTTAGTGCATGAGCTCTAATGAAGTTAACAGAGTCCCACTTCAGTGATTTACTACACAGCACTTGTTGGTGGATGAGGCAGTGTATGGCTATTGGATGAGAATGGTTATGTTTGTCCATCTCTTGGTTAATGCGAGCAATTACTCCTTTCTTAGACCCCACCATGCTAGGAGCACCATCAGTTATCACACTGGCTAGTTTAGCCCAGTTCAACTCCAAACCATTCACAGTTTGGCAAACCTTTTCATAGATATCCTCTCCTGTAGTTGTTCCTTTAATGCTTTGCAATGCAGCAAGCTCTTCTGTGACTTCGAAATAGTCATTCGTCCCACGAATAAAAATGAGAAGTTGTGCAGAATCACGAACATCATTGCTTTCGTCGAGTGCCAAGGAAAAATAGGAAAGTTTTTGTGTGGAGTTTTGCAAATGCTGATGCAAATTGTCTCCCATTTCTTCAATCCTCCGTGTAATTGTAGGTCCTGAAAGACTCACTGTACTAAATAAATCGGCCTTCTCTGGACACATCTCTTTGGCAACAGAAAGAAGGCATTCTTTAACAAATTCTCCCTCCACAAATGGTCTGTCCAGTGCACGCTATTAGCTTGGCAACTTGAAAACTTGCTCGCAGTGATGAAATATTTAGCTGCTTCTGCTTCACAAAAGTATTTTGCTGAGTTGTTAATGTATTTTTCAGTTTTAATATTTTATCTTTTCTCACTTCTCCGACCAAACAATCATAATTATCTTTATGTTGAGTTTCATAGTGTCGACGTAAATTGTATTCTTTGAACACAGACACTATATACTGGCATATCAGACACACAGCTCTTTCCTTGTACTGCATGAAAAAGTAATCATAAGTCCACTGTTCTTTGAATATCCTACACTCAGAGTCAATTTTTCTCTTTCTTGACATCATTGTTTCCTAGGGAGTCAAAATTGCTATTAGTAAAATACCAATATATATACAGCGCTACAAAAAAATATACCAGCAATAACTTTGCCCACACAGAGACATACAGACTGCACTGCCCATCAATGCAGTCTGATTGGGGGAACTCCGCTTTTACCCCAGGCTCACACTGGTGCGGGTGCCATTAAAAAGTTAATTACACCTGCAGTTTTGTTCACAGATCGCAGTGCGATCTGTGAACTCGCATAGGAATCTGATCGCATGGGGGAGAAGACCCATGCGATCCGATTCCACTGCAGGAAAAAAGAAGGCACATGTGCCTTTTTTCTTCCGAATCTAATGCAAGTTCAGCCATACAAGCATATGGCTGAACTCGCACTGCTCAGATATCGCAACAGTATGAACCGGGGCTTACACAACATACAACATATAACCTCATACAACTGAATAGCAATCAGAATATAAATGCAATTACTGTCATTTAAATTGGGTTTCCTACTCCTCGGCTGTCTGTCACTGACCAGCACGGGAAAACAGCAGGCAGCCCCTCCAGAGATCAGAGATCACTCTGTTATTACCCCTCTATCATTTACTCAGCACACAGGAATATCACTGGGAGTGGAACCGAGGGGCAAGTGAGGGAGCTGAGGGAGGGAGAGCCAGTCAAGCGCAGCCAGGGGAGGGCTGGCAGCCTTAGGCCTGGGGGGCAAGTCCAGTCAATTGGCCCATTGAACCATTCACCAGCGCAGCCCAATGAGTGCCCACCGCCGCAGCTCAATCAGTGCCCACCGCCGCAGCTCAATCAGTGCTCACCAGCGCAGCCCAATTAGTGCTCACCAGCGCAGCCTAATTAGTGCTCACAAGCGCAGCCCAATTAGTGACCATGGGCCGGATAAATGCCCTCAGTGGGCCGCATGTGGCCCGCGGGCCGTAGTTTGAGGACCCCTGATCTAAGCGGTTAGCTGCCACGGTTTGAAACTTTCACTGCATACTGATTTTCTAAGCTAATCATGCCACTTCATAAAATATTTAACAAAAAGACTAAATTGATGCGATTTTTTTTTTTAATCGGCGTGTGGTAAAATTATTTAAAAGTCGGGAGCATAAACCATTTAAATCGCTACCGCACAGCCCGGCGGGGTTTGTGAATTTCACAAATTTGCGTGATCATCCAAACCTGACCTGCAAAAGCGGCGTATTACAAGCATGCGTCACCACGAATCAGCCAGTGATAGAAAAAAAGGCCTGACCTCCTCGCAGGCGGACTCGGAGTCGAGACGCAGGCTGAGGTACATGGCGGAATGGGGGTGCGAGGAGAGGCGAGCGTGCAGGTCGGCCGTGTCCTCCCCGCTCAACAGCCTCACAAGGCCCGAGTGGGAGTAGACGGCGCTACTCTCCTCATCACCCTCCGCTCTACCGCGGCCGGCGCTCGCACCTCCCTCCACCTCCATTGTCAGCCTTACCTGCACAAACAATGGACATTCTCCTTCCTCTGGTGTACGCGCACATGGCTGAGCCAGGCCACAGTGTTATCGTGCGCAGTGATTAGCTCTCAGGAATGAACGAATCGATAAATGAAAACACCACGGACATTGATGCAAAGGTCTTGTGTCTATGCGGAAGGCGATTAACTTCACTGGTGGATGTAAGAAGATAAGATATTTACGAAATAAATCAACAAAAGTGATGACAACACAGTAGCCTATTAATACATTTGTATTTTTGTGACAATAATCTTTATAAATATGACATACAATACAAGTGCAGTGATGTTTAATATCAGTATCACACATTTAGTGGTTTGTTTTGAAAATGGGACAAAGAAGACAGATTATAGGTGCAATAGTATATTTTGGAGTACAGTATTTTAAAACATCACTGCAAGTAGTGCTTGTCAGAACAAAATGATCTTGAGTGCCACTTCTTAAAAGTGGAAGATGTACTCAATATCCACAATAGAAAATGATATTTGGCTGGCACATGATGTGCGGTAAAACTTCATCCTACGTCTTTCAATGCATCACTTAAGCCATCGCCCAATGTAATCGGACGGCATGCGAAACTGCCAATTAACATCACAAAGCACCGCAAACGTGACAGTCTTTCAGGAATCCAGCATTCAGCTTGACATGCTGCTTCAGGCATGAGTGGGGAAACACAAGAGAAGGCCTTTTTAGTCCCAGTTCAAAAAAATACATAATGCAGAAGGCGACAAGCCTGGCGTGTACACAGCACTGGAAGACTTGTAATTTTACACAACATCACAAGCTGAAAATTCATTCTGCTAATGGGCCTATGTGCTTCAGCAACTTACAAGTATTTGCGTAGATGTACGAAGCATTTATATGTATTACAAGAGCTCATCAGCATTCAAGCCTTAGTTAAGGAATATGTGGTGTCATTTTTATCAATGTTTAGTACAGTGCACTCAGCTGCAAAGGAGCAGGATGGAAACTTCAATGTATCGTGCAAGCATGGTCATATCTCCTATTAGCATTTAGCAAACATATAAATGACAATTAGAATGAATAGATTTGGTACTCGTGCAATTATTTTCCCACAAGGTTATCACGAAGGAGCCATGTTTAAGAGATGGGTAGAGCCTACTAATAGGGGGCAGTGTTGCTACATAATTTTACCCAATTAGTTAATTTACAAGCAATTTTCAAAGATGGAAAATTTGGACCGTGACGTGACAATGACGAACGTGGCTTTTGTAACTTAGCCTAAATACACATGTTGTATGTACGTATGTTGAACGTCTTTCGTACGTAGCCAACCATGCTAATCGGAGGGTGAACGACAACAAACTGAACACAAACAGCAGTTCTAAAGAAATCAGAGCAGTAAGTATCAAACAAGGAAGGATGGGTGGAAAATCGGGTGATGACTACAGCTGACGATACCTTCATGGGGCCGGGGATGCAGGAAAGGACCCTCTCAATGTTCTCGGTCGTCACATCAACATCATTCACCGCCACCAGAGAGTCGCCTATGCCGCCAACACCGCAAGTGCACAGCACAGAGAGACATGGGAATGTTCAGCAATGTTAATGCCCATCACCATTAATGGAAACTGATTGTGATACTACGTGGGTTTTAGTGTTTTTTTGTGGTTGTTCATCATGCTGAACAATACGCAGTACAATTCAAAAACACATCAGAGAGCTATAAATGTAACGCTCCCTCGATATTCACACTCACTAGCCTCTTGCTGAAGTTTATGAAATGATGTATGGCTACCCCAGAAAACATGTTGATTCCAAACAGGCAAAAGCAGGGTTGTGGTTAAAAACAGTATTTTACAATTTTTACAGACAGCAATCACTTCAATACTGGAAGAAGGCTACCCCATGGCATGTCAGTTATGAGAGTTGTTTGGTCATACTTCCCCATGCTGGCCAGTGCATTTTATCCATTGTTGGGATTGGAACCCAGGTCCCTGGGTTCATGCGCTAACCACTCTGCCATTTAAGATTATAGTTCGTACAAATACACTTGACAGGCTATTTTCACTTCGTATGGCTGCAATCACTCATATGTTCCATTTTTCAAAGCAATTTTGTGAAAGCCATGAAGTTCTCCCAAGCCTTGAAAATAGGTCATACTTTGACACCATGTTGTGAGCTTTACTTGGGTAATGGTAGCAGATGTCTGCATTCGAACATGATGCAGCCTGCAGAGAAACTAATAACTGTGCTGTTTTTCTAAAAACATTCTCTGTAATGTCTTTGCCAGGAAACGCCAACCACTGTAAAATTCATAATGCTTTATCACTCTGTTGGAACATTCTGTTCGAATGATCCTAAGTCTGGCATGAACACTAAAACAAAACACATTATTTGAGTTTTCACAGTTGTATTGCTTTCCAACACCGAGGCATTTTTCATCAAACCCAAAACCCCAGGTCTCTCTTGCAGAATAAACGTTTGTTTCCATGGGCTCTTAGTTGGTTCAAGTTCAAGTTCATTTATTAGGTATAGCCCTGTGAGCCATTCAGCTCTTGAATCGGGTGCAACCGCAACAAACAAAAAACAAAAACATGAACAAAAAAACATCTTAAAGTGAATATGTGACTAAGTGCAAACAGAAAATCCAAGAAAAGACAGCAAAAATATTGCAGAAAAAACACCGTACACCAACGCTGTGTGCAAAAATCCCAGTGGGATGCAAGTCAAACAACAACAACAACCACAAGACAACTTAGATTAAGGCCATCAGTCTAACTCTGTACTACAACAACACAAACATGGCTAAACCAATACACTTTTCGAAATCACCAAAATAAAGCCATGAAGGCAATGAAAAAGCAATCATAGGAACTGACGGAATTTTCACAATAAATGGCATAAACAACATGTACTACCAAAACCCTGCAGCCATAGCTGGCTGCATGAGTCACTCTGTTGGAACATTCTGTTCGAATGATCCTAAGTCTGGCATGAACACTAAAACAAAACACATTATTTGAGTTTTCACAGTTGTATTGTTAATAGAGTTCACCGAAATATATATATTTTTTAAAACAACTATACAAAATGACACTGACATGGATGTAATCTTTAGCTCAACACACATATACCAACTTTGCTAAAAATCAGGTTTCAAGTATTTATCGTGAAACTATGCAATGAATACACATGCGAAAGGCATGATGCACTTTATCAGGCTGCTTGAAACTAGAGAAGTAACAATTAGTTAGTTCATCGATATTGGCTACTCTTTGTGGTCAAATACTCTTTAAATATGGCAGCCACCTGTCCCCTGATGGCAGGAAACCACCAATATTCCATGATGCAGCTGATGATGCCGATGACATCACCAAGCCTCACCTATCACCTCCCATCCAGCTGCACACATGGAAACGGACGTGCGAGAACTTTTTTGTCGTCTTATTTGATTAATCGGGTCATCGATTATATAAATAATCGGATATCCCATCTATAATTAACGCATTGACAGTGTGTATCACCCGCCCCCCCCCGGCAATGAGAGGACAACCGCGCGCAAGTACTCACCTATGTAAATCTTCCCACTCTCCATGGCTGCTCCTCCATGCACGAGGCCGTGCACGGAGATCTTCTCGTCGGCAATCGGCGCCACCGAGTCCTCCGAGCGACTCTTCCTGCCACTCCGCGCGTCGCGCCCTTGCCGTCCACTCGCGCGATGCAAGATTCCGAGGAGCGACCCGAGCAGGGGAGCCTCCTCTCCCACGCGGATGTCACGTTCCCCCGTCGGCCGGCGCAGGGGGTTCACGTAGAGGGTCACGTCGCGGAAGCGCAATCGAGCCACCACCAGAGGAGGAGCGTCATCGCCTCCGTCTCCTCCGTCACCAGGGCCCTTGGTGAAGACAGTGTCGCCGGAGTGGCCTTTACGATCTCCATTCGCTCCATCGGCTGGCAGCTCTCGGCGAGCCGTCTTCCTCCTAGTACATCCGCAAGGATGTTATTAATTACAGTATGCAATTTCTTTGGAAACATTTGATGAGTGATAATAATGCAATACGTCCATAGATGAAGGGGAGACAACTGAGATTGAATAGCAGCTCTGCTATCCAATCTCAGTTCATGGAAAGAAAGCAAAATAAGTATTGAGTTATTGTGGCCCCATGTTAGAAAGAGCCGAAACATTTATGCTTTTAACCTTTCTTGGAAAGCATTGAAAACCATAATAACAATAAAAGCCTACGCACCTGCGCAGGATGTCTGCCAACTTTCTCAGCTTGGGTCTCCCCCCGTCTTTGCGCCGGGCGGCATCCTGGCCGGGGGCCCCACCACTCGAGGGTGCGGCAATGCCGGCTTCTTCTTCCTCCTGTGCCAGGGCGGCCGTCTCCTCGCCCTCGCTCAGCTCCAGGTAGAAGAGCTCTCCATTGGGCTGCACCTCATCCAGCCACTCTGGCTCCAGCTCACTGGGTGGACAGACAGCACAGTGCAGGGAGATACTCAGACACTGACCATCACTTGCTAAATGTCATTTGTAGAGATTGTCACATTAACAAATATTGCAATTTGACATAAAGAAAAGTGTATTGACTTATCCATCTCCAATGTATGTAAATGTGCAACGCTTTCATCAATCCACTGCTGGATGAGGGCCTCTTCACAACGGGTGAGTTGTGGGGGTTAAGTGTTTTCACAATACAAGTTTTTTTGGGTTAGATCGCATAAATATTAATGTATCGTTAAACCCGTCATCACCCGACACAGACAATTAGTAAGGTTTGTCACGTAAACAGAACATACCAATTACTAGTAGAGTACACCGGTGTGTTGGAGACAACCAGCATCATCAGGCTGCCGCCTGATGATGCTGGTTGTAATTCCTGGTGAAACATCGTACTCGGATCGTAAATGTTGTGGATTTGCTCTTCAACACACCGGTCTGCTGTACTAGTAATGAATTGACATGTTCTGTTTACGTGACAAAGCTTAATAATTGGCTGTGTCTGACGGTGGTGGGTTTAACGACACATTTATATTTACGCAATCTAACACAAAAAAACCTGTATTGTGGATATTGGTCGCGAAAGCCTACGTGTTAAACTGGGTTGAGTGTTGTTCACCAAACTGGATGGTGCAGGTTGGTAAAGGTAGGGAGCATATACTTTGGAGCATAGCGCAGGACAACTGATTTTGCTCCACGACTCTCTGCTGACAACGTAGCCTCGAAGTAGCCTACGAAAAATGGTTGTACGCATGTTGGTCGCCTATCTAAGCAGTAAGCAGGCCCCAACCTGCTTAGTTCCTGTGATGTGATGAGATCAAGCACATTCAAGGTGATAGTCAAAGGCATCAATCACAAAGAATGGGATCATTGAACCTTATGGCGGTACCCCGGGGTTACCATAGTACCCCGGCTCTCGCATAATGTCCGTGATACAGTCATTTTTAGTCTGTTGATGGTCGGCGATGCGGCAATCGACTCATCTCGACGAGCTGTACACGATGCACTATGGTGCATACGAGCGTTCAGGGTTTCAGCGCAATCGTCCTCGCTGCATTTCGTCATCGCGGAGTAGCACTGATTTCGGATTGATTGGTACCCTAGTCGCGGAGTTAAGTACACCCCTGGAAAAAATAGTGTCCCAGAAATAATATATTGAATTGCCTTGGCCATTTTGTATTATTTGGTATCCCGGGGTACCGCTGTAAGGATCATATCGCACATGCTATGTGTTTCAGCCATTTCATCAAGATGGGAATCAGGCTCAATGTGTTTTGATACTCGTTTTAGGACGTACAAGTGATATCTGTTTGTATGACAGTGATGGTTTGTTAATCCATGTAACTTAAAACAATTGAGTCTGTCCCGTGACCATCTGCCTCTGAGGATTGCATGATTTCAAAGTACACCTAGCCTGGCATCAGCATTGGTAACATAACCATCACTTAGTGGTGAAATGCAGCCGTTTTTGTTGTGTTCAATCCACAAAGTGTGCAGTTTCAATCCCCACGTGAGGAGTATACAATTGTAAATATTATCACCAAAGGATGTGTAAATACACGAGTATGCAACCTGGATCAGTGGTAAATGCAAATAAGATATTAATAATGTAGTCTGGGTCACTCCAGCCTCGAGCTGAGTTCCTATGGTGGTGTCAGCTATTAGGGAAATTGGACCTAGCTATCGCAATTAAGGAAGGGCCTTCATCATCCAGTCATTTAACATGAATTTTTTTAAAGTAAATAGTCGTCTATTCAGCAAACGTCATGGACACGAATTGTAATGATGCCTGACTTATGGCCCAGATAATTCCTTGCAAGCACAGCTGAATCTTAATCATCTCTCTCCTGAATGTAAGCACGGATTGCATACCAGCATTTGCAGCATCATATACACGAGTATATTTTAAACAGTAAACAGACGCAAAATTAAATATATTCTAAATGGGATATTATTGTGAATTATTTCTGGATCTGGCCCTTTTATCAACTGATCTACAGATTACACAAAACGACGTTTTGTCTCAACTGACCATAAACTGATGTTAAGTTTGAACATAAACGGATTATATCTGCCACACCGGTTGGGTGCGTTCATGTGCAACTGTAATTTGATCAGACACCAACACTGAAGTTTAAGGCAGGATAAGCTACACGCAGGACATGCAGGACACCGCGATGCCTGTAGGAGGCAGTACAAGTAAGTTGCTGACATTAATTCTAGATTTGAAGCTTTCGTGACTGCAATGATTCATATTCTTAGGTTTTTTCGGTAAAGTCACGTAGGTAAAACATCAAAATTAATAAAAAATAAAATAAAGATCACGACGTTTCGGAGGCAACACAAGTCTCCGTCATCAGGTGGGACCGTCACAGCCAGATTAGCTGCATCAAGTGAGGCAATGATTCAAGATGTAATCCCTTAAAAGCGAGTTGAGGGGGGAGGAGAGGGGGGGGGGAGCTCATCAGAATGTGGTAGCCAATGAATGGAACGTATCGGGAGGGAGGGGGGGGCAGCCCCCCCCTCCCCCAGCTACCGAAAAAAACCTAAGAATAAGTTGCTGACAGTCCACATGCAGAGAGAAATGTAAAAATTCTCCCCTCATTTGGGTTTTTTTCTGGTCACTCCAGGGTGTTTTTCATACAGAAGACTCAAACATAAAGTGGCCAAATATCCCAATCAGTATCCCTCGAGAATGGTATTGGGGCTAAGCAAAGTTTTCCTTGATAGTCACGATAATTTACTGTTCACGTACTGTAGGCGGTGGCGCCGTGGTAAGCCCAATCGCACGATAAACCCAGTGTCTTCATTGTATTTGGGGCACCACAGTGGCGAGATGTGAACTACCTCGCCTAGTGTACAGGAGGTCGTGGATTTGATCCCGACTCTGACGCCTGTATATTTGCGGGTTCTCCCCGTGGTCGCGTGGATTTTTCTCCGGGTCCTCCGGTTTTCCCCTCCACATTTAGAAACATGCGTTTAGAGTAGGTGGCTCATATACATTTCCACATCATAAGCCAATTCGTTGAGCTATCATTTGTCGCCAGGTCGCTTCTGAAAGAAATCTAAATAGCTCAGTTGACCTTACCTGGTAAAATTGTTTAGTTATTATGGTTAAACAGCTCCATGTCAAAGGGCTGTAAATTACTTTATTTTATATTATTGGTTTTTTCGGTAAAGTCACGTTGAAGGGAAATAATACAATTATTTTAGTATATCTTTCGTCAATTCGAATATGTACAGTATTTAAAAAGTTAAAGTTATATCACTTGGTGAAAATTCCACATTCCTTTGGCGGGATCATGTCAACCAATATAACGAGTCCATTGACTAGAATACACACATACTTGATTATAGATGTGGCTGTGATTTTTTTATGTTCATGCACGAAAATTAAGGTTAAAACAAGACAGTACAGAAACAACTACAGTATAAGTAAATATATTTCCTCCTATGCTCGCTGGTAGCCAAAACATGCAAACGTGTAATATTTGCACGTGCCATTTATTTGTACAGCTGCTGCTTGTTGTGACTGTCATTGTTAAAATTAACACGAAACATATCCATCTGCCCGGAACAAACCACCCACATTACTCTGGGGCAAGCTTCCGTCCCAGCTGCTGCCTATATCTACACGCTCCTCTTGCTGCTATTATTACACGCCTTCTGTTCCTTGTGTTATCATTTTGATTACTACACTAACACAAAGCACTCCCCCTCCTTTACTCAGAGCCAAATGACCAGTCTCCACCGTTTAATCCAGTCTCCATCTCCATCCTGCTCCATCTCCTCGTGCTGCTACAGCGGCTGTCACAATTACATTTTGCACTAAACACACCGGTTCACCCGGTACGAGCCCTTGCCCTCTTACTCAGACTCGCTGAACCAGGAACCAGAGTCGCTCCCGTCCCAGCTGCTGCCTCCATCTCCACCCTCCTCTTGCCGCTGCTGCAGTTGCAGCCGCTTCTTCTCCTCCCCCTCCTCGCCCCGAGACTCCGCTCGACCGGCCATTGCCCCCCCTCCCCCGCCTGTCTCCTCTAGCTCCCTCCAAACCTCCCTCTCAAAGCCCGCACACCCCGACCGCCCGTGCCGCCCCTGTGAAGCGGGGCTCGCTGCGTTTATCGCGGCCGCGGAGACGCTGAAGGCCGATCCCCTCGCCACGCCGCCATGTTGCTGCCACCCTTTCGTGCCGCCGTTCCCGTCACGTGACACGCGATACCGCGCGCCTATTGGTCGTGCGCCGTTGTCACGGCAACGCGCGCGAGGGGGGGGAGACGCGCTGCATGCTCATTGGTCGTCGTGGCGTTGCTGTGGTAACGCGCGGCGTGCTGCTGGTGGTGGTGGAGGTGATCTCGCACGCTGATTGGTTAGAGGTTTGGGGGGGGGTTCGTTGCCATGGTAACAGGAGGACGCGTTGGGTACCACGTGTCTTCTGTGAGAGTGATGGGGAGTGGTTGCCACGTGCTTCACGGTTGCTGAGCCACAGGTCCAAAACGCACAGCGGCCAGCAACAAGCGGCACTACTAAAGGTGTAATAATAGATAAGAGGGTAACGCGTTTCTCGAATTGACCAAGATTACTGTGAGGTGGTGACAGTGAAGCGGTGTGATGGAAGAAGCAGAAAGATAAGTGAGGTGACCTGTGGTGTGGTGAGAGCTGCAGTGTGGTGGTTGAACACACAGTGTGGATGAGACGAAACAGTCAGACGGGAGACCGAGTCCTCCACATGGGAGGAGGAATCATCCTTTAGCTCAGGGGTGGGGAACCTTTTTTCTGCCAAGGGCCATTTGGATATTTATAACATCATTCGCGAGCCATACAAAATGATAAACTTCAAAATTTGCCTGTTATATTTCGTCAAACATTTAATTAACTCGCCCCTAATGTGATGGCTGGAACTGCTTCTCTTTGGCAAGGCGTGTGACGTTAGCTGGTTTTGATGATGTTGCTACTCGCAACTGATTTTCCAGGTTTGCTCCTAGATTTATTGAATTTCGAGTCCCGCCTGCGATTGCCTTGGCAGGGCCACACCAAATGATTTCGCGGCCCGCAGGCCGGACGCTCCCCAGTCCTGCTTTAGCTGAGTGACTGCAGCTAAATTTGACCCTGGTCAAGACGAAAACCTATGTTTTCACACCTGGAAGCCTGGTACCATGATATTGATACTGTTGCAGGTATTGCTATTCACCCAATGGAAGACCTACAGCTACATGATATTTACACTGCAAGAGCATAAATTTGAAACTTGATTTGAAGCTTTCGTTACTGCAGGAATTACTCTTTGGTTCTTTCGGTAAAGTCACGTAGAAAGAAAATAAATTAAATTAAATAATAGAATACGACGTTTCGATTGCAACACAAACAGTCGTCATCAGATAAAAAGCAAACCTAGTGAACTTCTAAATTTGAGAGAGAGACAAAACAGACACGGAGATACATAGACAGACACACAAGCAGAGAGAAACAACACAGAGACACAGAGAGAGACACACAACATAGACACACAGAGACCCAATGCCTCCGTGTCGAGGCCTTAAATAGAGATAGGGGGGTGGGCAGAGAGAGAGAGGTGGGTCTGCTGGAGCAGAAAAATTAGCATGTGAATGAGATAGCTGTGTGGAAATCCACCCCGCGGTGGCCGGGGGAGAGAAAGAACGAATGGACCTATGAGAGTCTGGTAAATTTTAGAGAGAGAAATAAGCAGTTTGAGAAAACAAACTTAGGAATTTTTGTGACTGCAGGAATTACTCTTTGTTGCAATCGAAACGTCGTATTCTATTATTTAATTTATTTTATTTCTACGTGACTTTACCGAAAGAATCAAACATAAAGTCGGGTATCGGGGAATTGCTCGGCCCATCATCACTCCGGGGACGATAAAATAGCTGACACTTTGTGGGACGTTGCCAGTGCTAATTTTATTGAGCTAATGTCCACTGCGATAGAAATGTGGAATGTTTAACCCATGGACATTAACATTACCCCGTGCTTCTTTGAAATAGGGAAAATTGAAAGATTTCAGCTGCATATAGCTGAGCGGAAGACAAAACATCTCAAACACATGCGTGCACATTGTACGTCTATATAAAATTAGGTCGCGACACGTGTCTGACCCGCGGGTCGTACGTTCCCCACACAGTGCACACGTGCTTACCTGTGAGCCAGGACACTGCCCACCGAATCGAGGGCATCCAGCGTCCTCCGAGGCCAGTGCAGGGCTCCGGGCTGCCCGCCAAACAACCCCACTTCCCGGGATTCCAACAGGGGCTCCCCGTACCCACAAGAACCACTGCACTCGGGGTCCCAGCATAGTGGACCCGCCGAAGCGAGCCGCAGTGCAGCACTGCCGGGATAGTGCAGAGAGTGCATCTCTTCCAAAGCGTCTGCTTCACACGACTGCGTGAACATCTTCTGCAGAGAGACCGGGGAGATACGGAACATGAAATGCATTGTGATACATTCATAGATATCCTATTATTTTTATAATTATCATGCTTTTGGGTCTTTCGGTAAAGTCACGTGACTTTGACGAAAGATCCAAGAGTATGAATTCCTGCAATCACGAAAGCTTTAAGTCAAGTTTATAATTATCTTCTTGGTTCTTTCGGTAAAGTCACGTAGAAGGGAAGTAATAAAATAATAAAAATAAAACATAATAAAATAATTCTCACGACGTTTCGGCCATAACGCAAGCAGCCGTCCTCAGGTTAAACCAGGTCTGTCGAGGCGACGGCTGCTTGCGTTGTGGCCGAAACGTCGTGAGAATTATTTTATTATGTTTTATTTTTTATTATTTTATTACTTCCCTTCTACGTGACTTTACCGAAAGAACCAAGAAGATGAATCCCTGCAGTCACGAAAGCTTTAAATCGAAATTTATAATTATCATCACCCATGGTCAATCCACTGCTGGGTCCTGCACTGGAATAATACCCCTCGCACCTGCACATGAGCTGGTTTCATCGCATCATTACCTCGGTGGTCTTCTTTCGGATGCGTTCCATTCCTTGGCTGACACTCCTTCATTACCATAGGACTTGAATGCATGGAAGCAGTAGTAACCGGTGGTTCACTGTACTCGCTTTCCAATGGCTTTAGCGTCACACTTTTCAAAAAAGTATCAACAATTGTATCATTCCGTAATTGTATTCACTGTCATTCAACACATTCATATTTAAACTTTCATATAAAACCTTCAAAGCCTCCAGATAAAACTAACGTCGTAGGGTCGAATTTCAAGAACAAAAAGACCCAAATTGTCCTGAAAACTTAGAGTTTAGAGACTCACATTGGACAATTTTTTTTTGTTAATGTTTTCTCGTTTAAAATATAGTCGAATACGGTATACATAGTAAACCAGAATTCTAACCCTTCTAGACAATTATTATAATTTAAATTAGACAGATCTAAATAAATGAGTTTTAAACCTATATTTCAGAAAATCTTTAGCCTTAATATAACAGAAAATGTAAATTCCGTACATTTTTATTTCACTTATTAGTAACTGAAATACATTATTGATCCTGCAGATACAATTGTATTTGTCATTATTTTAAGTAATTTATAGTGTGTGCAAAAGCAATTGCTTTTTCCCCATTATGTGTTTTGATATCAATTAAATTGTAGGTATATTGTAAAAATAGAGCATAAACGGTAAATTCACAGTCCTGCATGCTGCATATAAAGTTATTTTATTGCAATAGTGCTAATTAATTATATTCTTACAACATTTGTTAAATAATGCATAGAGTATTCTTGGTTCTTTTGGTAAAGTCACGTAGAAGGGAAATAATAAAAATATAAAAATTCTCACGACGTTTCGATTGCAACACAATCATCATCAGGTGTGGTTTTCACACCTGATGATGATGATTGGTTAAGCGCGGTGGCACCACGCACAGCGTGCAGTGCGGGCTCCCATTGAGAGAGCGAGAGAGTGTCAGCCAGCTAAGGCTACGTTGGGGGCATGATACTCTGGCTGACCTGCAGACATGTGACCAGATGATACTGGAAGGGGACCACCGGTGGAGGGAGCCAATGGGTGGTCACATGGTCCGAGAAGAACTTTCGAGAGCCTTCGGGCAAGGGCGAGAGAGATCGAGAAGGTGGGCGGGGCGAGAGGCGGAGCCAGCCCCAGCTCGGCCCGATATAAGGAGGGCCCCAGAGGGGCTCGGGGTTCTTACTGTTGGAGAGGCAAGATATTCACGTCAAGCTTGAAGAAGCCTCCAGCCACGCGGTCTGGGACCAACTTGTGGGCCGGACCGGGATAGTGGAACCGTATCTCGTTCTGCCGTAGCGTGGTTAGTTGGGTGGTCACCACCCGAGGGTGTGTTGTGTTAATAGCCTGGAGTATGTTGTGCTAAGAGTTCAATAAAACGTGTGCTAACGTTTCAGGCCACGGGTATTTTCTAGACACGAGCTAATATTAGGCAAATACATATATATTGCTTAGACGCCACAGTGTAAAGTGTAAGCATCAACTATAAGGCTAAGTCAATCTTTTTGCCATTCCTTAACACATCTGAAGAAGGGCCATTGCTCGAAACGTCCGCTTACAAAATAGTTATATTTTACTGCAGTGTTAGTGGCATACGTGGTAGGGTGTATATATTTGTATTTTAATATACTCATGTTACGGACGACTGAGGCAGATCACTCCATTGCAGAATTGTGAGAGATGGCCAGGGGCTTGGTTGAAGGCATACATCCAGCAGTAGATTGATGACGGCTGATGATGATGGACTATAATCATATCACACTGTCTCTACCCACGAACACATACATACATTACACTCCGTCACAGCTGCCTGCATCCTTTTATACAAACCCCACGTAGCATGATTAAACGTTAATAATCACGTTGTTAATTGTAGCCCACGACCGTATTAAAAAAATCATCTCAGAATATATTAGGCTTTTCGATTGCTGTAATTATCCCGAAATGTAGGATACCCCTTAACATTTATTTGGCTCGTTTCTTGCAATAGTATTTTAACCCTTTATATAAGGCAGCTAATAGAGCCAGCCTTCACTAGTAAGTATCTATATCTCGAATTATATTATGCTGCAAATTTACTTGCAGCTTAATTCAATTTGTAATTTAACAAGTTGCATTGATAATTATCAACAATTGCAAGTGCTTGCTCACACCACTGCTGACTGAACGGGCTCCTCTAGAGGGAGCTCTAGACGGCCCTTCGGAGGCCCTTTGAGGGTATGTTGGTCTACTTTTCCAAGCTGGCCAAACGTGTCTGAAGCGGTAGAAGTACCCACACTTTACCCCCACCATACCCAACAGGCCGGGGGATTTCATAAACCTGCTATTTTTCAATTGCCTCGCCGGGAGAATAAATAGAACAACCGACGACCTCTGAATTTCAATTCCAAGGACATACATGAATAACAAACAGCAAATAAACTACAGGTTTTTATTTAAAGCTTTCGTGACTGCAGGGATTCATATTCTTGGTTATTTCGGTAAAGTCACGTAGACGGGAAATAATAAAATAATAAAAATATAAAACAAAATTCTCACGACGTTTCGACTGCAACACAAGCAATCATCATCAGGTGTGAAATCCACAGCAAGAAACGTCGTGAGAATTTTATTGTTTTATATATTTTTTATTTTATTATTTCCCTTCTACGTGACTTTACCGAAAGAACCAATAATATAAACTACAGGTTATTTAACTCTATCAATTACATAGCTATATGACATGAGCTTAGATTGAATATGCTGCGCCATAACAAGGCAAAATACACGCCGCGTTTTGACCATACTTCACAAGATGGTCTGCGCGAGTTGGTGAAGACCGAGGACACGCACGAGGATCGGTTTAAATACGACTCGCCACTGTCATTAGCGCTTTGCCGGGAATCAAACCCCGGTTAACCACCCACTGAAAGGAGGCTGCTTTATTTTAAATAACAAATGTTCAGTACATTAGTTAAGAAGCAGCGCATATACTCACCTCGACTCAGCACCAGCGGGTAGCTCACAAACATTCCATGTCTTCGGAGTCAAGTCTCCGAGACTCTTGTTCCGTATGTTCTTACACAATTAACATGCGCACACCCTCACGAACTACACACGGACATAGCCTAGGACGACAACGTGCTCCCCTGTAGTCTACTACACTGACTGCAAGTGCGCATTTACTGTTACCAATTAGGATGGGTGGTGTGGACAGCAGCAAGCCGCGCCGCCGTCGTCTTCCACGTGTTGATGATGATGATGATGCTTACAGACTGCACAATGTTTACAGACTGCACAATGTTACGCATTACTTGCCAAGCAGACCTATTAGAGGTCCTGAACCAGGTTCTGATATTCCCCACTTATGTTAACCGTGACCGGGAATCGAACTTGAGTGACGATGTAGTATCAATACCATTCCCCAGCGGACACACGCACACACACAGAGACACTCTCACATACAAATACTCAAACATTGGCTATGCATACACACATGATGATGCTGCTGCTGCCTTCATCCCAGCCCTCCCCCACCCTTCACAACCCCCACTGTATGCAGTTCTTTCTCCGCACCTCCGATTAGCACGTGTGTTGCTACGTACGGCGCGAAAGAAGTTCAGCACCGCTGTTCGCCGCACGCATTCGCGCTGATGTCGAGCGCCGAGTGGCACCACGCGGCTCGTGGATGAGCGCCCCCGACTTGCCCGTGCGTGGCTCAGCGGACAGCGAGCGCAGTGCCAGGAGGGTGCGGGCAAAATTTGAAGACGCAAAGATGCGCCCCTCCACCTCGTACATAGACTCCTGTTGTTGTTGATGGTTCTGTCGGCGAGCTCAGATTAATGCCAAAACTGCGCGCAGCAACGAAGAGGAGGGGGGGGTGGGATGAGGTGTGACCAGCAGCACCACGACCGGGCCGTCTTTGTTTCCCCGGCGCTAGTGTTTATTAAACACCGCACCGAAAGAACCAAAGAGTATGGATCCTTGCAGTCACGAAAACTTCAAATCGAGAATTTATTTTAAGGTTAAGTCGACCTAGAAGAAGGCGCGGGATAGGTTCTGAAATAGCGCGCTGCTGATGTGAGCCGTCATCGGGAATCGAACTTAGGTGGCCGGATTTCGTAACCACTGCGCCACCGCTCCCCACGAGTAGATGAGTTTTACAAAGACAAACAACAACTCCCCCGTATAGCCTGGACAGACTGTCGGGGCAAGTGCTGTTAGCGAGCACCTATAAAGGCCCGCACTGTGGCACACGAGGGGGTGGGTGGCCATCACCACGTCCGCGCCGGCGGTGATGTCCACACACAGCACCAGGTACTCATTTGAGGCTGCGTCTCTCTAGGAGAGGCCCAAGATCGGTTCAGATAATCGTCACTGGTGTTGATAATCGCGAGCGAGATTCGAACTCGAGACCACGGGTTCGTATCGCAGCGCGCTGACCGCTATACTGCTGCTCTCCACACACACTCAGCCAGACACAAAGATATACATACAGTACTCAGAGACAGACACACACTCTTACAAGATATACACTCACAGCCATACATATACATACCAAACTATATATTCTCAGACATACACAAACAAATATAAACGCATACACACATACAAAGAGACATACTCAGAGACGCTCACACATTCAAAAAAATATAAGCTCTTCCACATACTCAACAGACACACACAGCAACACTACTCACAAGTCCATTCACCCGCAATGGCATTGCTTTACTCTGAGCACGTATAATGCCCGTGCCTCTGCTCTTGCGTGCAGTTAGTTCACTTAGTACCCGAGCTGAACACAAAAAATGTTCTTTTTGTAGCATGGAATGCTCACACGTCCAGCACACACACACACACTTGTATACCCTACCCTGCCCATTGGTGTGGACATCACTGGGTTTCAAATGCAGCAGCGTCTATGTGGTCATGCCTCAATATAAGCTATCAAGGTACCGTCTCATTTTAATCATTGCATATCAGTCAGACAATCCGCTTATCAACTCCTGGAATGCGTTCAAAGGGAGTCAACCGCTGACGACTCGCTGCACTGCAATTAAACGTGTTATTTTATTACCCTGTTATTTCCTCGTGTGAGTAGCATATTCCCCATGTCATTTATCACTCCTACTGACCGGTGTGGGGAAGTATGATCACATATCACCCCTCCCCACCCCCTCCAATGGTAGTGCAGCCTAAAGCTCAAATCAAGTCCTTAGTCGCTTGCAATCAGGGAATTCATGTCAGCCGGATGGGTCTGTTCGGGTCGGTGACCCCTAAACTATTCCCGCACCCGGCACACCACTTCCAGAGCACCTCTCGATATGACTGTGGCCACCCGGCATGTGCCACCGACTCAAGTCTAGCTGCGACCTGGACAAATAATGCTGTGACAACTTCAAGTCATGCTTACAACTTGTGGCGGGATTGCTTCATTTGCAGGCGCTGCAATGATTATTGCGTCACCGGATTGTGAGCGATATCTGCTGGATATTTTTTTTGGGGGGGGACGGGGACGCGTGGCCTACAATGATTCATGCCTCAATATTTGCACCCGGACGTTCTTTAATTGTAAGCGCCCCTGCCTTGCGTGCCTTCCTGCACGTGCTGCACCTCGTGGCGCATTCAAGTCCAACGGTGCGGAACACCCAGCTCTGTGGGGCTGGACGTGTCACGGCTGTTTCACAACGGACATGCTCCAGGGACAGCGGTGGGGAAACATGCGGACCGAGGGCCAGGGGACGGCCAAATGCTTCATTTCATACGGCCTGAGGCCAACATGAGGTCTTCTACTTCGAACCGGCCAGCAAATGATATCAATCCGTCATTACAAGGCATCTTAGCCGCACGAACGGGGAACTAGAGGGGGGGGGGGTCATTTTCGACTCGCTAACAACAGAGTGTTTAATGTGTACTCTTAGGTTTTTTCGGTAAAGTCACGTAGGTAAAAAATAATAATAAAATAATAGAAATAATAATAGTAGAAATAAAATAATAAATCACGACGTTTCGGAGGCAACACAAGCTTCCTTCATCAGGTGTAAAAAAGGCACAGCAAAATAACAGTAGTGGGAGTTATTTGTGATGGGGCATTAATATATAGGGTAAAGAGAAGGGTGGGAGGAGCCAGTCACTCACGTCACTGCAAGGGTCTCTTTGTTCTCGGTGGACGCGCACGTTCTGTCTTTGCGTTATCATTGGATAGCAGATGCTGCCGCAGTGTAACGATGGTTACGCACACTGCACCTGCAATCAAAATGTTCGGGTTCAATTTTCTTGCGCAGCAGCAAAAGGACATCAAGAAGAAGGGGGTGGGGTGGGGGGTGAACACAAACTGGAATAGAGGAGGAATGGGAATAAAATGTGAGAAAGAATCGTGAGTACAGGCACGCACAGAGACATACGCATTGAGACACGGACACATTGACAAAGATCCCCCGTATAGCCTTTAACCTTTGAAAGCCGGCACGGCACACGAGGGGGTGGGTGGCCAACACCACCCCCAGTCGCTTTTGTCTAATGTTTACACACCACAAGACCGGTTCAAATACACAGAACTATTAGCGGTCGTGAGCAGGAATTGAACTCAGATGTTCGGGTCCGTAGCGCAGTGCGCTTACCACACTACCGCCCAACACAGATACACGAAATCCCTGCACCGCTGCTCCCCAATATACAAAGACAAATATCCCTCCGATAGCCTTTACAGACTGTTGGGAAAGTGTTGTTAGGGAGCACGAGGGTTGTGAGTGGTCAGCACCACACCCAGCCGCCTTTGTCTCCCCAGTGGCGATATATACAAACCGCAATTATCCACAATGTGGCGGTGACGTCACCACGGTGCTTGTGCCAGGCTAGGTGTACTCCGAGGCCACGTGAAGCGGTGACGGTTCGCTGACATGAGGCCACTGGACAGACTCAGGTGCCATAGGTTGACTGACTGAGATGACTGGCAGATGCACCACCTGTGCCCTCCTACTGTGCCAGCTTGCTGTATTTTAACCGCCCGGCACCCCGCTCGTTGTTGTGAGCGTCGCTCCTCTGCCCTCCGTTGTTGTGGGAGGGTGACTGCCTCCAATTACCCAGAAAGGTTCTTCACGAGCCCGGCGGAGGACCTCACCGATAGGAATGTGTCCAGATATTTCAAGGATTTGTGAGCTCCTAACACAATCCAGCCTGGTTAAGCCAGCATGGATAATAGGCAGTCAAGCCTGAATGTTTAAAACTGTCGCAAATGTTCCATAAGAAGGGTCCCCCTTCGCAAGCAAAGAGAAGGAAGGACATTACTGTGGCCGAGAAGGCCCAGAGCTTAGTGTGGAGCGACAGACCAGGTAGCTTCCACACAGCGTCACGCAGCTGATGAAAAGATAATGCCGCTCGGCTGATTCAGAGTGAGACATCTGCTGCCAAAGCGGAGTTGGCCATAAGCACACTGCCCAGGTACGGAAACCTCTCCACTCTCTCCACAACTGCCACACCCACCACTAGTGGGGTAGTTGAGGGGGTGGAATATTTGATGATACAAAAATACCCAGGCAGTGGTGCTTAGTTTTGGTGGGGCTGATAGCGAGGGCCCATCTCTTAGTGGCACGCTCCAGGTTCAGCAGCAGAACCTCCAACTCCTTCTCAGAGTGTGTAGCAACCACCAGATCATCAGCGTGCATTATACAATAGGGAGCCATCCCTATTGTATATGTACCAGATAGGAATTCCTCTGGTACAAACATGGAACGCTTATCGAACTACGTGGCCGAAGATGATGTTAAATAATGTGGGAGCCAGAGGACATCCCTGTTGCACACTACACATAGACACTGGCAGAAAATCACACGAAACAGTTTCGTAGAAATATACATTCAAGTTTGCTTTCAATTGTAATAACATTCGTACTCTACAATTATGTGACTTGTATTAAAAGTGAAGGTCAAAAGGCCCTGGCGACCAATGCTGGTACATCATATAGGGCTATTAATGAAGGCGGCCCAGAATCAGACTACAGTAGTCAGAACAGGTTGGAGTGCTTTTTGAAAGCTGAACTTACAATTGAAAGAAGAAAAAACCCAAATACTCGTTAATAACCCCGCATTAATGTGTTTTGACGATTGTGTTGTGTAATGAACGAATGTGTTGAGTTATTTTTGTTTACATCTTCGACGCTTGTGTACCACGACCACGGCAGCAGGATCGCCAAGTAATTTGAAGAATGAAGAGCAACAGATCAGTGTGCCTCAAGAAGACAGCTGTCGCCCAACACGGCACATCGTTTTGCATGTCATTTGCGTAAATCGCAAATCACTTTCTCACGCGCGCCATTCGATTCGTTGTTATTACGAGCGGATGAATGGAGATCTAAAGCGATGCATCAATGCATCATCGTCCCAAAGCCTCGTATTGATCACAGACACAGATGCTACGTTTACCAGCAGAGGGCAACAGCGCACAGTGGAAGGGAGACCGGGCAGGTGATATTTAACACATTCCTGCGGAGGGAGCTGGTAGGAACGTTGGGTTGCTCGGTCAATGGCCTGCAGGGTCAACGGCGGCGTGGTGTATTCCGCAAATATACCCGACTGTGAGGGCGGGCACAAGCCGGCGTGAGCAGGTTAAACGTTGAGTTTTATAAGGGCACCACGGGGTGACCAGCCCCTCCCCACCCAGCCCCACCCCTCCCACCCCCCACCCAGCTCCACCCTCCCCACCCAGCCCCTCCCCACCCTCCCCACCCAGCCCCTCCCCACCCAGCCCTACCCAGCCCCTCTCTACCCAGCCCTTCCCCACCCTCCCCACCCAGTCCCTCCCCACCCTCCCCACCCAGCCCCTCCCCACCCAGCCCCTCCCCACCCAGCCCTTCCCCACCCTCCCCACCCAGTCCCTTCCCACCCTCCCCACCCAGCCCCTCCCCACCCTCCCCACCCAGTCCGTCCCCACCCTCCCCACCCAGCCCCACCCAGCCCCACCCAGCCCTTCCCCACCCTCCCCACCCAGTCCCTTCCCACCCTCCCCTCCCCAACCAGCCCCACCCTCCCCACCCAGCCGCTCCCCACCCTCCCCACCAAACCCCTCCCTCCCCACCCAGCCCCTCCCTTCCCACCCAGCCGGACGGACGGACACAATAATCCCCTGTGGGCTGGTGTAACCAGGAGGTTCCTACCAGTAAGATTACGCTTGTTTTCGCGCAGTAAAGCCCGGATCTCAGAGCGCTTTTTCAAGAGGGTCCTGCCAAAAATGTCGCAGGAGGGAACGAGGTTGCAACTGCAAATTCTCTTTTTTTTTCGGCCCTCCTGCCTCCGCCTTCACTTCTCCCCAACAACAGATGCAAAATGCCTCAGCCAGAATTATATCTTAACCTCCCCCACGAATACCACACTTCTGCTCCACTTTCTCAACTCCACTGGCTCCATGCCTACTATCGCTAAGTGCCTTACTCTCGTCTACAAATTCCTCCATGGTCCTGTTCCCACCTTATCTTGCTTCTCTCATATCTCACTACGATGTCCCGTTCCGTCATCTACCCTCCCAGTCTCTACCGTGCCTGTCGGTGCCTCCCCTCGACCTGTTCCCAGGCTCGCTTTGGTTCATTTTTGCTCCCCTTCACTGGAATGAACTCTCACTGGCTCATACAACACTCATCTTCGCTATCACAACCTGCTTCCGTGCCCCCATCAAAACCCCCATCTCTTCTCCAGTAGCCCATGCTGCTGATACTCCCTGCCCCCAGCTGCGACCAGACATTCCTCAACCCCTACCACTAACCCGATCACTACCCCTCAACCACTACCCCCAAAATCATTAACCATTACCCCTGTCACTACCCAAACCTCTATTACTCCCCCTACCCTTCTTAACCACTACCACATGTTCTCCTGTCGCAATAACTACACCACCACTTTTAATAATCCCACTCTTGATATGAACCACTATCATCTTATGTACAATTGTTGTAAAGCGTCTTGGATTAAGGCGCTAGATAAATGTATATCAGATGCGTAAATCCAAATGAGTAATTTGTATTTTGATTGAAAGCTTTCGTGACTGCAGGGATTCATATTCTTGGTTCTTTCGGTAAAGTCAGGTAGAAGGGAAACAATAAAATAATAAAAATATTAAACAATAAAAAATATAAAACAACACAAGCAATCGTCATCAGTGGTTTTCACACCTGATGACGATTGCTTGTGTTGCAGTCGAAACGTCGTGAGAATAGTATTGTTTTATATTTTTAATATTTTATTGTTTCCCTTCTACGTGACTACCGAAAAAAACAAGAATATGAGTAATTTGTACGTAATTTTTTGGCCAATGCCAGTTACATCACGTGGGAACTTATGATTTTCAAGTCTCCCCCCCCCAACACATTCGTCAATAACAGTGCCCTGAAATGAAAAGTACGTGATGGTTTGGGAAAATGGTCCTTCTTCATAGCAGAGACGCTACGATGAAAAGCCGTTCCCAATAAACAACGCCTTCTATATTTTTATTCCTTGAAATGCAGTGCTATTGTTCAATTGTGTTATGTTCCTTCGTGCCTCGCTGTCAAAAAATAATCACAATTATTTTCGTTGCTTAATTTTGAAAGATACAAGCAGATTCACGGCACCACGCACGACTGCCTGTGTAGAGAAGCTCCCGACAGATGCACTCGGAGACGGAGGTCAGTTAAGGGCTTTCGCCAGGGTTTATTAAAGCTGTTACAATATTACACAGCAGGGTACACAACTCCCAGGGGCTAGGGGTCCTACTCTTGAGTTCGGGTCCCTGCCGGCTAGCTCCGGTCTCTCTCTCTCGTGTCGGATCGGGGACTCTGCCGACTCCACCGAGCGGAGAGAGAAGCACCTCTACGGCTACCACCGGTTTCTCCCCAGACTCCCTATTCGCTCCCTCTCTCTACCCCTGGTTCCCTCTTCACCGTGCTTACTCTGCCCGTTCCCACAGTGACCCCACTTACGTCACGGGGTATCCCTTAAGTACCCTCGGAGACGTGACGTCATCGCACTGAAAGGCACACCTGACGTCATGTCCCCATTTTACTCCTCTACACCTGCACACAAACTCGTGCTGGTCAGGGCCCATGAGTAATATACCGTACACACACACACACGACACATCGACGAGCCAGTTGACAACACTTAATTAACTTGACTGTTTATTCGCCAAACATTTGGTGTCATCTCAAAAAATAATGTAAAATATTACTGTAATAAAGCCTTATCTTGTAATTAAAGAACGTACCAAACCGTATTCATTCTTAAAACATTGTAATGAGTTTTTAAAGCTTAAACATAAAAAAACCCACGAAACCGTTTGTGTGAAACTTACAGGGATGTACAGTAAATATACAAGTTATCTCAGAGAATTATTGACTGGCATGAAGAAACGCTTTCTGAACAATAACAACACAGCTTAATGCTGCCCATGTACATCCTCTAAAGATCAGATGTTCGCCTTCGAATGCAGTAATCATTGTGCACGTACAACCAGCACATACATTACATTTCAGGCTGTTGTTTTAAGTTTTTTATATACCTTTCATCAGTGAAAGTTATCTACTGTAAGTTGACGATGTATCTAACACCACTGTCAATGTTTTGGGTTTATTTCCTCATGATGAAAACTAAATATCAAATGAAGTGCGAAACCTCTTCCAAACAACATTTGTGAAAAATGTAAAGTACTCTGTAGACAGAGTATGACCCGTATTTCTACGAGTGTAAAAATCAGATATATATTTTATGCAATGACAGGTTTTCAAAATTCAACAATCATTAAGGTGGGTTATACTTTGAAAATGACCTGCACCAACTGAAATACGAAATCTACACCCAATAAAACAAGACTTTGTAGCAGCAGTTTTCTTTCACCTGTAGTATGTACACTTGCTGTAATGAGCATGCCTCTTACAAAATAAAAACACCACATAAATGTTTAATTATTGAATTGAAAAAACCCAGATGTAGTTTATTCCATTTTAATTACAGGCATTTTTTTACTACTCTGCAATTACATTCATCCCATATTAGCCGATGCATTTATTTTAAAAGGCTGTTTGAGTATTTTAATCTCAGCAAGAAAGTAAATTTAGCAATTTCTTTAAGCCCAAATGGAAACTATCACTGCATAAAATGACACTCGCAGTCCATTTTATGCCTATGGGAAATTACATTGTGGTGAGTTTGCAGGCAGATGTAAAACATTTAACCTAATCCAACATCTCCTTAAAAAAATACACGTTTGTTAAACAAGATGCATTTTGGTGTTAATATAAACTACAATATACAAACATGTAGGAACAGTCTCAGAATCAGTTTGCATTGCAGAAATACTTTTTAAGTTTATGTGCGCACAACCAAATCATACACATAAGGTTGTCCTGTTATACAAAATTCAACATGCCATTGTGATATTTTAATACATTGACAAAGTATTTCACACCACTGTCAGTGTTTGGCTGTGATGATCAAAACGCAATCAGGTTTACGTAGAGTTTCGCCGTTGTGTTGTCTCTCCTGATGTGTTTTGGGGATGTACCGCGTGTTGTTCAGCATGTCCGACGTTTCGCTCCACGTGCTGGGGTGTTTTAGGAACTCAATTTGAAGCACCTGGAGGGAAACGTCATTCATGTCAAGCCATACAAAATGTGAACTCCTACACACCTCGTTCAGAAGCTTGCATAAAGCTGGACGGTCAATTTCTACAGCCGCATGAACAAGATCTGTGGGAGAATTAGCAAGAGTGCATTTCTGCAAGAAAATAGGGACAGTGAGGTAATCTTCAAGAGTATGTAATTGCAAGCCAGAGCTCAAATAATGTGAAAATATCCACAAATCACGAGGGATTATACCCACTGAGAAACGCATGCATTAAAATAGACCATTACGGTTTAATTTTATGCATTTTAATGTCTGAACTCACCGTGTTTTAGATATTAGCAAGTGACCATTGCGTTCTAATGCCAGTGCACTGCAGATTAAATCTTATTTGTGGGAACTAGCTAAAGATTAGTGGATATATGAAGATGGTAACACAAAGTAATTTACCAGATAAGACAACATTTTGCTTTACAACACAGGAGAAAAAAAAGCAAAGAATATGTTATCTATTCAGCACCAACATCACTGTAAGGTTCGAGTTCCAAGTGGGTGTTTATAAAGGGCCAAGTACTGTTACTGCTTTTCAAAATTACATGTATTTTGTGCTACAGATAGTTTGCCAGAACTGTAGTATATTATTGGAACTAAGACCAAATTAAGTGTTAATTTTGCCTTGTATGCAAGGGGGGGGGGGGTAAATATTATATATGCATTATGCTGATTCAACTAAAAAATTCAACATGACACTCAAAACCTACCAGCATGTGTATCCTGTCACAACACCGGCAGAGTTGGCTCGTATTAAAAAAGTGGCACTACAATAACCGACTTTTTGCCCACAGCACTCCAAAGGATACCGTTATCAATATAAAGATTAGGGCAGGGTGTCTATATTGAACAAACACAAATAATCCATCTGCCATTCCAACTAAAGGCCAGTTTTACCAAAGGCATGTGAAGCTCAGACAGATGCCGAAATTAAAACTTACCAGAGAATTGCACACCACATTCTTGTAAATGGTTTAAATGTTATGCAGCATCGAGCGATAATCAATTATTGTGTAAGTGCGAATCTGCGACCTGACACTAAACCACCAAATTATTGACCTTTGAAAGCTATTTATTTGTATTGACAAGCGTAAAAAATACCACTTTGTAGCAAGTGTAACATAGCAGTTGGAAAAATATGACTTGCATTTAATATCAAAACAATCCTAACAATATATTTAATATGCAGTGTTGTACAAAAAATTATTGAAAAAGGTGTTTGGCTATGCCTACAACAAAACAAATGGAGAGGCAGTGTAAACAGCAAAAAGTCAACAACCAACTCATGACCGGTAGTCTGACATGGTACCTAACTGGCCACGTATTTCATATCTGCATGCAAAGCCAGTTTCATTCAGTCGTAACAAAAAAAGTTTTATTATTTTCAACAAGCAATTTTTTATAAGTTGTCTTCACCATTTTGGTGCTGTTTACATACATATATTTAAACGTATGCATGTTATATGTATTTCACATTCATGTTGAACACCGTTAAATAAATGTGAAATCTATTCAAACAATAAACCAAAACACAAAAACACAAACGAATGACTGTACAACTGTCAAACTGAACCAACATAAATGTCCCGAAAACATTTCAGCTCGTGTTTGTCTGCATACTATAAAAATGTGAACAAATACAAGTGTACATGAATAGTTACAAATAATAAATACTAGATTTTCCATAAATTTGGGTGTGAAAAACAGCCTCCAATTAAACGTCATAGAAACACTGCAATGAACCAACCTGCTTGTTTGCCACCTTTGGACATGTATATAAACGCATTACTCTCTTCAGCATTGCTTCATAATACATTGTTTGGGTCAGATGGTATGAATAAAATGTGTTGTAAACCCTCCTCCACCCAACACGGTCAATGAATAGAGTTATCACGTGAACAAAAGCGCCAACGTAGTACTGCTTCAGTACACCAATGTGTTGGCGAGCAATCTGACAAATTTTAAGTGGGTGTGAAATTTTGCTGCCTGATGATGATGGTTTTAAGTATCAGCAAAAAGTCATATCCATTTAAATGTCTTGAGATTGCTCTAAAACACCCCGGTGGCGCTGAAACAGTAATAATTAACATTTGTTCACGTGACAACTTTCTCAATTGGCTTTGACGGGTGGAGAACGATTTACAGCACATTTTAGTTATGAGATCGGACTCAAAATATGAATTTTGCATTATATCTGGTTGCGAAAGCCTACGCGTGAAATGTCTCCAGCCCAGTTTACCATCTCAGAATCAAAGTTTGATTTAAATGGGAAGCATTAGTTGCCAAACAAACGCAGAACTTTTGTTGATATACAGTTTGTGATTGTCAAGGGACAAGATAAAATGCAACAACAAATAAATTGAGGACATAAATCTTATTTATATATTAATGGGATAAATTATACATTGTAATGTTCGGTGCATAGAATACACAGTGACGTCAACATGCAGGTATGAAAACAGACATTGTTGCAATGAAACTAAATTAAACAGTGGGTGTCGTAAAAAGAAACTACTTAGGAAATCTAAGTGGTCGGTTCACTCCCCAGAGCCAATTTGTATGAATTGACAGTCGAGTCCTGTGGTTGCCTCAATCTTAAGTATTTTGTTCTCAACTAATATTGTGTGATAATTTATAACTTAAACCTCAAACCATCATATTAACAACTTTGACATATATCAAAACAAAACACTGTTGCAATGTAATTGAAAAATATAATCTTGATTCATAAAAAAATATCGTGTTGGACTATCATCTGGTCGAATTAGGCCAAAAATGTACTTATGTGAAATATCATTTGGGACCAGGCACAGGCCTGTGCCTACGAATGGTCATCATTGATGAGACTAAGTTGGTGTAATGGAGACGAAATTAATGGTAAAATTTAAGTAAACCGACATTCTGACAGTAATAAAGCAAGTGTGCTGGTTTGTAAAGACAATTACATAAGCAAAAACCAAGTGCCATCTGTTAACTGTGCAACAGCTGCACTTTTCAAACGCTAAACCCCCTATACTTATAATGATGCCTTGTGTTAACATGGCTGGGTGGGTCAGTAGGTTGAACCGATGCCAGTGTCAAGGCACTGTGCTAAACACTGTTGAATTCTTCTAAGGTATGAGGATGGGCGACTCTAAAGTATAAAAACTTCTCGTGATAAGAAAATAGCTTGATGTTCTCAGAGTGGACACCAGCACATGATTTCACACGAGAGGAACTTCACATAGCAATGTTGGCAAAAGCAATTTCCCAAGCGTTATGTCAAAATCAATATCAAATGGGGATTAAAGCGACTGAAAAAGTAATGGTTGTACACAAAAAACCCAAATAAAAACAGTTTGTGATAAGATAAAAAATATATTTACCGAATTAACCACCGAAATGCACAAAGAAAAGGAAGTTGTCTCGAGTCGTGAAAGTGTCGCTTTCGGGGTCATTCTTAAATGTGTCGTGAGGCACTGATGGCAATCGGGATTCCCAATTGACTTAACTACATCGCTGTGTGCCTTGGTACCAATTACACATTTGGGTTATAAACATGAGCAATCGGAAATTTATTACAAATTTTGTAATTATTTTCTGTTCGACTTTAAATTGTCACTTTCCACTTGTTCCTTGTGAAAACTTGGAATTAAAATTCCACACGTCCTAAACCGTCACACCTATATCTATCACACGAGTTTACACGTATTTGGTTGGCTGCTGCAAGCAAATTGTACGAGTGTTGTAAACTAATCTCTGCAAGTGCACTCAAATTTACATGACACAGGCTGGAGTTTGATGAAAATGGGACCAAAACTAAGTGAACAATTATATCCTGCTAGAAATTAAAAAAAATATGCATATATTAGTCAAGCAAGCTTCCTATACAATTGATCAACATGCAATTGCCATTTCAATTGCTCTGCTCACTACGCCTAAACTTTGTAATAAAGTGCACATTAGTTTACATAACAAAGGGACAAAGTGTGCTTGAAGAAAGGGACTAACAAAACCTGTTTGCAGCGTACTTTGCTAAACCACTAAACTGGAAATGCTTCAAAACCAAACACAAAGGGCAGTGTTTTTGATTCTGAGCACAACCCCCCAAATTAGTATTAATTTAAGTTAAAGTGCAAGACAGATGGTTACCACATCTGTAGAACTAATGATACCTTATAATACAATGGGGGAACATATTCATGTTTGTTGGAGGTACTGAGAGGATATGTGACATAATAAACTCACAGACTCGATGACGTTGTAAATAAAGCCTTTTTATATTGGTTGTCGGCACCTGAGGATTACAAAAGGATGTTGGTAACTTGAATTCCTAAGGGGCTGCCGCAGGCGCCAACACAGATGGAGTCAGGAGATTCCAAAAAACCAGAGTCAAGTATTGATCTTCCACTGGAGTCTATCAAAAGCTGCTCTCAACGTGAGGGCATTTGGTGAGATGGAAAGCCATTTAAGATTAATGTCAATTTGGCCAACAGTTGAAAGTGTACTTTTTAATTAAGTGCCAGGGGTTTAACAACAAACAGGTTAAAGAGATTGTTTAACTTTTAGCAATCACCTCAAAATGTGTTATCTCCTACACAGAACCACGACTTTCATTCTCCCATAGAACGAACTCTGTCTACTCAAGACATCAGCCGGAGCTCAGAGAACAATTTAAATGATAAAATGTTGCCAACATTTTACCCATATATATACAAATTCATACATGTGGACACAAACAGAACAATAAGTGCCATAGCACAGTAATAAATAGGTATGCACAAATGAACCTGGAAACCTCCAAGTCACCACTTAGAGCGATGGAAACTCATATCATACAAGTCCAAACGGTCATCAGCACAGTGGCAGTCAAGACGAACAATTCCCAGTGTTGCGTCCCCAACTAGTTTTACAACTCATAGGACACCCATTTCCCATCATCTTCCTTCCTCAGTGTCCAACTCTGGTCATTCAGAATAGACCACAGACTATAGGACTCAATTCACAAAACACAAAGGAGGCATCACAGCGATAAACTCCGCTACTCCTGAAGAGGTTCTCTAGCTCGGGCCAGCTTGGTATAGAATTGTATTTGTTGCACTAGTTCCTTAGCTTCTTTTCTCTAGCCTTCTTCATTGAGATCATTCATAAGGATCTCTGGATTAAAATTGCAGATATAACAGGAGTTCAGCTTCACTCACCAGTGAACCAACATGAGTGGTCAGGTGGTGGATGGATCACTGGAGGTAAGAATGGGATATGTACACTCGCATATTTGTTAAATGGTTAAGGCACTAACTGTTGCTGTCTTCTGTCTCCGAGTATGAATTTGTATATTATATAATTTTGACACACTATTTGTTCCGTAGGATTTTACTGATAGTGTGTGAGAGCAGCCGAATTTCATTATATGGGAGTGCAGGTGCCATTCAGACAGTAAAAACATCACTGCAGATAGCCTGGTCATAGCCAGGGTGGCACAAGAATATCTAGAATTTATGTGATAAAGATCATGCTCGGGAAGACTCAGAAGAAGTGGCTTTGAGACAACGAAGGAGAAAATTAAGGTCAGTGTCAGCATGGAGTAGGTACTTGACAGAACATTTCAGAAACAATGGACAAGAGGTGTCACGACCCCAACTAATGCGCCAAGGGATACCCAGAAACATTCACATCAATAACAAGTTTGATGACAAAAATCTCCAACAGCCACCACTGGGATGCACAATACTTAAATCAAATATGAATGTCATAGGCGACAATTCTGAGCATCCAATTACGGCATCACGCACCTGGTGATTGTAATCCCAACATATTTATAGCATCGTTCACTTTCCACTTAGCACCGTGTATACCTTTTCCCCCCATCTTCAAATATCTGTATACATTCATACTGAGAACCAAAAGCCCTGAATATTTCAGGGAAGCAAGTTTCTCATTGAATCCTGGACGACCATGACCTGGTGTAGCATTTCATACGAGCACAAGCTTGGTTGCAATGTGTTCAACATGTGCAGTGTAACTTTCATTGACATGGCACAGATACTGGGGTCAATCGTAACATTCGACGGATTTGGCCACTTTGTTAAGTCAAAGAGAACAGTCAACAAACTTCCACTACACAACAAACATTCATTTTAACCAGGTAAATTCTTACTGGAAATCATCACCTCCTGTGACCTGGTATTCATTGTTACGTGAATATTTCCCACAACTATTTACAGCTAGTTTTCAAATTATTTAAATCTACTGCTTACACCAGCACAGTGGCCTTCTTTGCAAACAATGTCACAGCATGGCCTAATTTTTCACATGCCGCAAAATATTATATTTTTCACTTTTCATCATAACATGTGCTTGGGCAACTTCTATAATTAACAAAAGGCAGTTCAAACCAAACAATCTAGTGCAGTGAATTCTACCAAACACATGTTGAAACAAAAAAATTAAAATCACATTAGGCAGCACGGTTCCCTCCGCTGAACACCTTTTGCAGAGAAATAACGTGATCCTAGCCATGTGACAGGGCAACTTTATGGGTTGATTGGCCGTGTTTTTGTTTTGTCCTCTGTAGGAGGCGACTACCGCTGCAGGAAGCGACCTGTTCAGAATACTCACACCTACGTACGTAGGCACCGACATTGAAAAATTAAAAACATTAACGATTTTTTTTAATCCAACCTGGTCTATTGCACAGGTAATTAAAAGTGCCACACAGCCATTAAATTAGGCGAAACAAATTTTGCCATGCACACGTGGGGGAAAATCCTACACTGGGAGCCAGTTGTTAATGAAATGTATATTCAATTCAGCGGATGCAATCAACTTGTGATAAGAGAAAAATATATTATCATGCTAGTTGTATTCTTCTTGATGCTGTATGCAGTGTGAATTATTTTGTCTGACCAAATCATCCAGAATTCGGCTGATTTGGTGATTTCTTGGGTCATTCAGATCTCAAACTAATCAGCGTTGAGCTTGGATAGTGCTTGGATGAGCGACCACCATGCACGCTAGGTTATCATAGGCAGCTGGGGGGCTGTGCTACATGGTGTTCAGCATAGTTGTACTGTAATTCTATGCAGCAAAATAAGTTGTACTGTAATTCTATGTTCCTATGTCCATGCTCTCCGCCATCAACTCACAGCGATCAGCATGGTGATGTATGGTCATGAAACCCCCATGAGCCAATTTCTAAAAGGCTTGTTCTCATCCTGCAGTTTACTGACAAAAGACCTGTCCATGCCCTTCGTTATACGTGCTTCTTTAACACATTTTTCGCTCACTTAAAGCCTGGTGCTGTGACCTATTGGCATGAGGTATGCACAAAGAATTATTATAACTCGGGTATATTTGTCCCCCCCTCCCCCACCAAGTATCCATCAATTTGCACCATTTCACAAGTGTGAAGAGATAGGAAACAGTATAGGCAATTGTGTTGCCTGGTGGAGCGTGATTGTTCCAAAATGCCCATGTTCGGAGGCACAGGGGGCATTTTTAAAAGCTCCGAGGTCCCCCGTTAAACAGCAACCACATACAAGGACCCTGAGCACAATGTAACATGTTGGAAGTTGAAAAGTAATGCAAACAAATACATATTATTTGCACAACCTTGAATAAAGTATCACTACCTTTGGTAAGTGTAGCGATGAATCCTGCAGTTTCAGGGGATATGACGATTGTACAAAGATAATAAGTCACGATAACAAAGACTTTTAAATTAGTTGAATCAGGTGCTTCTAGTCTGCACCAATTAAAAATGCCATTGGCCAAAATGAAATGGAAAAATCAGTGCCATACATGGCTGTCTCCCGAGCACCTACAGTGGTGTTTAAACGACACCACTCAAGGTAATCAATGCAAGTCAAGTCAAGTCAGCTGTGCAGTGCGGTAGAGGGGGAATCGAAGTGACTTGCACAAGCTGCTTGTGCATGACATTGACATCCTCAGCTAAACATAGACATATAACTTTGGAAATAATACAATGCATTTGTATAAACATACGGAAAAATCAGTATAGTGTCGAGTTGTTAGGAACATTGCTCTTTCCACCTTACTCACGAAAGATAACCGATTTTAAACCGAGTATAACACTGGAGTTTATATAAAAACAATTTAAACTTTGTCAATATAGACAACTCCCTTTTAAGGGAGGTTTACAACATTCTTGTAACACTGCATCCTATCAAAAGATTAAAAAAAAATTGTTTTAGAGTTTACATGCCTTAACATTCATGCTACTGAAAAGTGACAAAACCTTTACAAATATCATCCAAAAAACACTCAAAACTTGTATCAAAAGCTCCAATAACATTTCCCCTCCACATGCCATTTGTAAAGCCCTCATGCTCTGACCCTGTGCTGTAGTTGCTCAAACGAGCATAATCTATTATGTATTAGTACCAACTGCTGCCAATGAGGGGCGAAGGTCAGGCATGCCATTTCCTATCCTGTAGAGAAGCCGTGACCACCCACCTACCTGGGCACAACGCTTAAGCCAAAAAAGGCCAAACCTGTCCCGTCCTCGGCTCGAAAGGGGCTTCTTGCAATGCCACTGCACAAGCCCACCAGCCACGAGCTATGCGCACGCCTCCTCCGTCTTCATACGCGCCGCCTCTTGCCGTCATGCATGGGGCTTCTCTCATCCGAGCTGCTGCCCGAGTGAGCGAATGGGTCGCCCCTTTTGGGGCGACTGCCCGGAGCTGCTCGGTGCCCACTCTTGCGCTGCGCCGCTCGGCGGTTCTCCTCCTTGTCCATCTCGAGCATCCGGGGCCTGCGAGAGGCACGGCGACGCGGAGCGAACCACGTGAGAGCAGAGCGACCGCACACATCTACAAGCAAAAACGTGCTGCAGATCCAAGGGGCTTGCAGGGTACAAATTTCGCCACACGCTACTGTGGGCATCTTCAGGAGTTCAAGTGAGGAATCTCACCTCAACCTTAAATGTTGTCTGAATGGTTCCAATTAGCCTGCTGGCCCCAGGATTCCCATAATTGGATAGTGACTGGCTAGTCACTACCACTATTCTGCTTGGTTCTTTGTCCTTCCAATTCCTGATGATGCAAAAGCTTGAGAGAATCAACATTCAAAATGTGGCCTCATCTGGAAGACCACACTTGCATTACAAGTGGCTCTAAAAACCTATGTGCTAATTGTAACCTTAAACGAGCTCTAACCTCCTGAAACGGAAGCACGTGTGGTCGCATCTGAGTGCAGGGCTGCCAAAATGTTTTTGGACGCCTAGATAAGGATGCAAAGTGAGACTCCCTCTAAGGCCCCCTTGGCCTTTTCTGAAGTGGCCTTTGGATCTGAGGCCCAAGGCAAACTGCCCCATCTGCTCCTTTTTTCTCCAGCCCAGACTGTATGCAAGCATAACTCTATAAAGGAGCAACTAGAAGCCGATTAATATTAGCTTCCCTTCACCTCCTTTACCAGAAACACCCACGATAGACATTCTGGGGCCCCCAAGACTATCACTCGGTGACGGTGAGGCTGCCAAAGGCCAAAACCTCACCGATCATCCAATTGCGCCTGGCAGGTCTGCTGAGGAATCAATTTTCAGAGCACGGTACCCTGCATGTCATGGTTTGAATCTAGTCAAGGGGCATGTCTCTCACATAGGTTCTGTCAGATGTAGCACAATGCTATATACAACGCATAACTAGACGAGGAGAGGCCTAGGACAGTTAATATGCAAATTGCATTACGCGCACATGGATAATCGGGGTAACTGCAAATTTAATTATGTGTATGTTGTAATGCCCACGGATATATATAGCTGTTTTTCAGAAGTGACCTTGCCACATATGATATCTCAAGGAAGTGGTTAATCATGTGAACATTTATAGCAGTCAAATCATCTCAAAACATGTGGATTTTAAATGTGGATGGAAAAACCGGAAGAACTGGAGAAAAATCCACACAACCAGGGAGAACATGCAAACTCCAAATATACAGGCATCAGGGTCAGGATAGAACCCATGACCTCCTGCATACCATGGCGAGGGAGTTAACACCTTGCCACTGCGGCAAGGGTCTAAGGTTTCATTTCCAGTTCTGCACGCACTATGGGTTGACATTTTTGGAGACATCTTTGAAAATGCGACTCATGGATTGCCATTGCATGTCTGCAGCTTCCACCGAGTTTATATTCTGTATAATGTACCACAGCAGCGAAGCCAAGCTGTGTACGGTAGCATCTGGTTAGTTGGCCGTACAGAAGTGTGCAGTATTATATCTGGGCATTATTACATGCGAAGATTACGCAAGTTATTGCTGCAGATGAAAACTGCAAGTAGTTACCAGTGTGCCTCATGTGGCGCCGCTTTCCGACGCGATGTCTTGCGCTTGCGGGGCTCAGCCTGGTGATGGGGGTGGCGTGTGTGGGGTTGCTGGGCTGGCAGTGGTTGTGCGGGATGGTTGGCCAGGGAGTCCATCCGTGGCGCATCATCCCTAGTTCTGGGAGGCAACATGCACGAACAAAAAGATTGCACAAGGCGTAAAAAAAGTAGACAAAAATACAATAGCACATAACTGCCTGGTGGTTTTTGACATGTCCAGTTATTAGGTCAAAGGTAATTTTACAAAGCCTCAGAGATGAAGCTTGCAGAAGCACCAGAGTAAATGTTGTGGGGTAAGATTTATATTGTGCACGATGAATAAAATCTTGTTTTGGACTAATTATAGTACATAGGAAACCCGCAAAGTGTGTCAGAACTAAGTTGATTCACAGATTGCAGTACATAGGTAAGTACTACCCCCTAGTAGGGACTTTAGATATACATTTTAGACCAGTTTAAGCATCAGAGCAACTGGGCACAAACTGTATTCCATGAGCAAGAATATGTCATTACTGCACTCGGAAAGCATTTTCATTTAAATGAAGACATGGCTCAAACCGATGAAAGTGAAGGAAATCATTATCAAACACGATCTATCAACTGCTGGATGAAGGCTTGCCAAAGTTGTTGCCAACCCTCAATCCATCTAGCTCCAAAATAGGAGCTCATCTCATGAGCATCTCGTGCCTGTATCCCCATTTGTCCGTCACTCCATTGTTAGTCTCGATCATCATCCCCTTTCAGGTGATGTGTCCTACCCAAGCCCACTTTCTTAAGTCAATGATAGCTCTAATTTGCATTTGTTCTCCGACTGATGTGTTCCTCTTCATGTCACTCAGTCTAATGCCACGCATCCACTTCTCCATACTCCCCTGCACACTTTTTAGCTTTTGTTCCATTTTCTATGCAGTGTACATGTTTATGATCCCTACGTCATAAGTCAGGTCATATGCCATCGTTATTATAATATCGAATGCAAATTAAAATGAATCCATGCAGAAATGTGCAAAGAAAGCGTCAAAGGTGGATCTCCAGATAATTGTAAGCAAAACAAAGTTACGTGCAACAAGTTTGCTAAGCAAATAAAAAAGTGTTAGGACAACTGTTAAAACACACGAGTATATGTATGCATATATACCTCCAGCAATTAGTGATGGAAGAGAGATCAAATTGCTGAAATGAGGTGAGCAGAAGCGGATTTGGAGTGCTTTTGTAAAACTAAATTTTATAAATCAAAAACAAAACACCAAAGTGCTTATAAAGTTTTAAATGGGTGAAAATATCCTATGATATGTACAAAAAAAGACCTCTCATGTACAACCTTTTCGTCAATCCACTGCTGGACGTATGGGTTATTTAATCGCATTTTATTACGAGAGTTTGCATGGCTTGGTGAAGGTGGAAAGCATAGATGTGTCAGCATAGTACAATACAGCAAGGATATTGCTGGACTGGCCTCTGCTGCCCATCATGTAGCGTTGAAGCGCCTACAACCAACCCATGGTCCACTTTCTCAAATTACCTCAGCTACAGAAGCTTTGCGCAAGACTGGTATTAATGGTGTTACTGGCTGAGATATTCAAAACACAGAGTTCTGGCCAAATAAGAATACCAAAGAAGATGGGCGAGTCCAACACAGAGACCTGGGGGATGTTCAACAAGGAAATTGGACGCACAACTGTGTTCATCTCGCACTCACCGCACACATGGGTGTTGGCTATACACGCGTATCTATAATAAACAGTGAATAACAATGGCTCATTCAAGGACGTATTGGCGTGGGTGGCGGGGACACGGTGGAGAAAACTTAATACATTTGAAGCGTTGTGTTTTCAATGGTCATGAGATCTGAAACCGGACCATGTGACAATGAGGAAGAAATAGTTATCCTTTATATGAAAAAAATATTTAAATCGTTAAAAAACACATCTTGCAGAAGTTTTTTTAAGAGTTATTTTTACAAGGTATCTGGGCACATTTGGACTAAATGCAGGCAAAAACTATTTTGAAAATGTCATCGCTTACAGCTTATGAATATGCATCCAATTGTTTGTTTGGTGTACTACAGTGGTGGGTGCCACAGTGTAATGAAAACTGTGCAGAAGGAATAAAGGAGTAATCAAGCAAATTCAGTCGGCTTGTGTCATGTTTCTCCGAGGCTCTCCGGCGAAGTTGTTCTATGCGTTCAGCAAACCTGACCTTGCCTACCAGCAGGTTCTCACCGACATTTGTTGCACAATTCAAACATCCACTCACTTGCGCAAGATAATGACAGCTCTCCTCTGCTTGATGTCTTGAGGACGTATGCAGTGCGTGATTTCATCCGCAGCATACCCACTGAAACGAGATAAGGCACAGAGAGCCCACATATAAGCCTCTCCCCTCCCCAAGGCCGGTTAAAAGCGGTCCAATTTTGTCTCTCACTGTCTACAGTCCTATACAGTACAGGTGAAAATGGTGAACTACATGTTATTTATGCATCCTGTCGATTCAGTGAACCTGCTATGGGACCTCAACAAGCCTGGCCACAGATACTGCAACGTGTTACCACAACTTTGCACCAAATGGCGGCTGCTGCTGCTGCTGCTTATGCACGGAAGGACAAATGAATGCACGAATCAAGTCACTAAAGGTAGATGAGTATGTAACGATGGGAAAGCTCAGTGAAATTTACTCTCCTATTCAAAACAACGAGAGACTATTTTGCAGAGTTTCTTTCCTTGCGTTTAAAGCACAAGGGTTTGCCATATTAAAAGTGCATTTAAATTAAGCACAAGGTTTTACCATATTAAGAGTGAAATAGTATTTTACATGACAGTTAATTAGTTACGCAAATAAAGTCTTAAATACCACAGACATGCAGGATATTTTTAATACATTGAAGGGTGGATTTCTAAAATGACTACCACACAATGTTCGACTTTACTGAGTGACAGGAGTTTAACATCCACTTTAGAGCAGACGGCAAGCACCCCATGACAAATTTTTCACACAAATTACCAAATGGGAATGTGAATTAAAATCATTACCTCCACAGAAATAGACTCAGTGACAAGAGCAATTACACATTTACTGCCCGGGCAGCCTAATGGAATCATGAAAAGCAACCTCACTTATTGGTTGTTGGCATTTATGGCTTAACCTGCTGTTCTCTGAATAAAAAATTCCAAGGAAGCTGTATGCCACCAAAAAAAACCACTGGCTTTTGGCAAGCATAAGCAGGGATTTTTGTATGTGTTTTCATTTACAGCCGGCAAACTTGTCAATTCAGGTCAATTCATCAAGAACAAATTGCAATACTGCAACTCATTGTTGGTGTTCGTCGATTACTCGGGGACAAAAAAAATCACGGCTGTTCCAACATCTGCCACGCTCATCATGACATGGCTTTACATTTTGACATTTGCGTGGATGCCCTTAATGGGCCGTATTCCCTTACAGACCCCAAGTAGTCCTCTTCTTCTGCTCATGTGGACTCATCACCAAAAACAACTATTTTAAACGAAAACAAAGACCCCCCCCACCCCACCCTTACTAGCAGGAGCAGTTCGTCCACCAGGGCCGTTGGGGGGTGCCTCCCCACCAAGCAGCTGGAGATGAGAAATAATTTTTCTAATAAAAAATACTTTGCTATAGTTTTGTTGTTTACATTTTTTTCATGTATATAATGCTTCTTTTAACGTGAATTGCCTAATTAAGATAACATTTTAAGTTGTTCATATCAGAAACCGCTGCAACACCACAGTCTGATTTGTGCCTCAGGGAGGTCTCGGGGAGGCTGTGAAGGTGTCCGAGTGAGAGATTTCCCTTCGTTCATTGCGATCGTATTTTAGCCACGCGGTTGAGACCCATTGAGGCGGCGAAAAGGCGCCCATGGCTGTACTGACGATGTCACAACGCTCGGTTGCACTGTGCAAATATAGCAGGTCACGGCCTCCACGTGGGTGGGTGTACGACGGCATGTGGCCACTATTGTACAGGACACGGTGTCTTGGTTGCCTTGGCTAATTTGTTGAGTCGTGTCAGCTGATATTTAATTGTTCTTTAGGCTTTTGGCAGTGTGTGTAGTGTGGACTTGAGGGTCTTGGGGACAGTATTTGAGTGCTGTTTTGTTTCGTATCGTTTATAAATGCCTACCGTTGGTAGATAATAGTCTATCACTTTCACGGGAAGGCCAATAACATGACTCACAACAGCCCTACCGATGTCACGAGCTCCCACACTGCTTACTAGTCTCCCTAAGACATCCCAGACAACTGGGACCGCAGAGTTCTTGACTAAATATTCCAGTCCAGCAAAATTATTGTTAGTGTCTCCTGCAGGGAGGTACTTGCATATCTATTTCAGTGTATGTATATACCTCATGTTGCCTGTTCAATACTGTGGTTCAGCCCAATGCACCTAAAACCACCATATGATCCCTATCACTCTTAGCAAGAACTCCAAAATATGCCACCTGTCCCTAACTATTCCAGAAATATGTATTTACAACTCACACCAACTGTCCATGAGAGAAGACAAACACTAATCCTCAACATCTTAGCAGTTTTAAGCATGGTGAGTGAGGCGTGACGCAAATGTGCAGGCCAAACACATCACATTAGCGGAAACTAAACAAACGGTACAAAGTAACATACTTTATACATCACATTGATGTAAATGGGCTACATTCGGTCTTTGTGGAAATGTAGTTTTGGAAAGAAAATTGATCAACTGGGGCACCCCATCCTAGAATACGCCCAGTATTGAGGGTCCTGTATACCATTTAGTTACAGGAAATGTTACAAACTGACAACAGCACACATGGGTACATTCAATTCACATGACTAGCATGCATGCCACTTTGGCAATGTCTTGCAAAAAAAATTGTCCAATGACGGGAATCAATATGACAAACTGACCACAATGAAATCCAGCCACTTTGCCTGCTTAAATTATTTTCTCATGTATTTATGAAGTTGTATCAATATTTGAATGACACTACACATGTCAAGCGACTAAAACCCATCCTTGCTCGCTTTCCGTCCATTAACATCACATCACCAACAGCCGCAGACATCTCTGGAATATGCTTCTCTTAAGAAACCACGTTGTGCAGGCTGGTTCACTACCATCTCAGGAAATGTGTGCAGTATTGACACATTTAAGCATGCAATTATGGGGTAGATTAAAGTGACTTTACTCATTTTGCGCTGCCATGTGTAAAGCTATGAACTTGCTACACACAATAACTGGGTCTAATCTGTGATTGACCAGGATTTAAATAGAGTGTATACAATCTCACCAGTGCTGGCTCTGCATTAGCTCCGACCCATTCAGGATGGCCTTAATCGGTGGATTACCTTTGAAACGTTGGTAAAAGCATAATGCTTGCCCCTTCCAATGTTTAAACTAAAATATTATCTGCTTTGCAGACACACCAGAGGCATTGTATGCACACAGCTTGTTATCCTTGGTGCATCAAGACGTCCTCTTTCACCATTGGAACCTCATTTGCCAGTAGCAAAATATGATAATTGGTTTTTTACCCTTTATCTGGCAACAAAAAAACAATCATCATATTTTGCTATTGGCAAATGAGGTTCCAATGGTGTAAATGCTTACCCCGAGCTCTCATACTCTGATGGTGCATTGTCTTTGAGTTGTGCGCCTTTTGGCGTCATCTGGTCCAACACCATGTGAGACTAGGCTTTAAGGAAAGCTGTCTCGGGTGTGGACCAATCAATTTCAAGGACAGTGCATACATTATCAGAGTTGTGTTTTTTGTTTGCATTCCGACAGCAGGTTTTGTGGCCAATGCAAACATGACTCCTCGTAAAAAGGTGTCAGTTTTGTTGCCAGATAAAAGGGTAAAAAAAAAATTATCACGTCCTCTTTCAGCAGAAGTTGGAATTACAACGCGAATACAATAACAGTCTGGCGAGGTGGCATTGTGGTCAAAGCATCATCCTACACCCCCCCACCCTCCCAGGTCCCGCACTCGCCTGAGCACGGTGATACAGCCGCGGGCCACGGGCACAGACAGCACGGGCTTGGACACGCGTATCGGCTTGAAGCGAAACTTGCAACCGAAGCAGAGCGCCGAGTCGCTGAAGAAAGACACCGACACGATGGGCCGCTCGAAGATGTGAATGGGGTCCACGTGCGAGACGATGCACCCGCCGGGCAGGTAGTCGTTGATGACGGCCGAGTTGACGAAGCCCGCGGGCAACACGCCGCGTCGCTCCAGGGGCGCGATCACGAGGTCCCGTACCCAGCGAGGGATCTCGTCCACGGAGCCCCGAGGAAGCAGCCGCTCCTGACCGGGGCCACGGCGTTCGAGCTGCGCGCCGTACGAGTAGCCCTCGCCGAAGAAGTATTTGACGCGCAGAGGCGCGCGGTCCACGGTGCCGGTGCGGAGCGCGCCAGCCTCGCCGCGTCGCACCACCTCGTCGATGCGGCCCTCGATGCGCGCCACCTCGGCGGCGGAGAAGGCGATCACCTGCCGCACGCCCGTACGCACGAGTTTGGCTATCTCGTCGTCGCCATCCTCGTCGTCGTCCATCGACACATCCACGGCCTTGCACTCCTCCTCCTCCTGCTGCTGCTGCTGCTTCGCGTCGTGCTCGATCACCTCTTTCTCCATCTTCACCTCAGCCTCATCCTCCTGCTGCTGCTTGTCCGCGCCGCGCGGTGCCTCTCGAGCCCGGGCCACCGCCACCGCCGTCGTCGCCGTCGTCACCGCCGCCGCAGCAGCAGCAGGAGCCTCCTTCTCGTCGCGGCCGTGCTTGAGGCCGCGCTCGCCCAGCTCTGTGGCGGCTGTCTCGTGCTGTTTCTTACGCTGCTGCTGCTGCTCGTGCTGCTCGTCACTCTCGTCGCGCTCGCCCCTGTGCTGTTGCTGCTGCTGTTGTTGCTGCTGCTGCTGTTTGTGACGGAGTTTGTCGCGAAGGTCCCCGAACACGCGCGCCTCCGCCGCCATCGTTCCCGCGTGCTGCGTCCTCCCCCCCCTTGCCCCGCCCCGACGCCTCTTTACATTTCCCACAGCGCTCGCGCGTCCCATTGGCCAAGCCATTGGACGAGCGCCTCCACGTGCCGGCGGTGCAGGAGCCAATCACGGGCCGCGCACCGTCCAGACGATCTACGAAATGCAACCGGTGGGCGGGGTTTTTTTGGGCTCCTCCCACGTTTGCACGTTTCGCGCGTTCTCATTGGTCCGCCAGCGCGCACGTGGGCTCGCGCGCAGCCAATCGCGGCGGCGCGAGATTGCGGTAAGTCGTTCCGCAGCATTTACCGTGGCAGCGAAGCGTGGCGATTCGATTCCGATTGGGCTATTGGGGAAAACTTGATTCTAGACCCAACAGTGGAAGGAATCGAACACCTACCGATTAATGACCAATTTCGATTCCCTCCCTCTCAACTTGTGCCACGGAACGATTCGACTCCAACTAGCACGGTGTCGTGTCCATTATCGATTTCCAGTTTTCTTAAATTACATGTCGTCACTAACAGTTACAACAACAATAAACCATCGTGAAACGTATTTTTCGCAGTGTTTGTGAGTGCTGTGTTTAATATTTTCGTCCGGTTGGGGTATATCCGAATTTTAGTCTCTTTTTTTAGTGTGGCCGTATCTGAACGTGACTTGAACTTTGAACCCCGTCACGGTTCTGGAGGCGATCGGGTTTTCCCACTTCAGAAGCCGAGCCGTGCCGCTGACGTCACACGCAACGCATAATTGTAGCCCTGCTTGGCCCCGAGCCAGGATCAGATTGTCATTTGAGGCCAGAGTAGCACGTTTTCATAGCCCTCAACCCAGGATCACATTGTCATGTGAGGCCAACGTAGCACGGTTTCATAGCTGTCAACCCAGGATCAGATTGTCATGTGAGGTCAGCGTAGCACGTTTTCATAGCTCTCAACCCAGGATCAGATTGTCATTTGCGGCCAACGTAGCACGGTTTCATAGCTGTCAACCCAGGATCACATTGTTTTGAGGCCAGAGTAGCACGTTTTCATAGCTCTCAACCCAGGATCAGATTGTCATGTGAGGCCAGCGTAGCACGTTTTCATAGCTCTCAACCCAGGATCAGATTGTCATGTGAGGCCAGCGTAGCACGTTTTCATAGCTGTCAACCCAGGATCAGATTGTCATGTGAGGCCAGCGTAGCACGTTTTCATAGCTCTCAACCCAGGATCAGATTGTCATGTGAGGCCAGCGTAGCACGTTTTCATAGCTCTCAACCCAGGATCAGATTGTCATGTGAGGCCAGCGTAGCACGTTTTCATAGCTCTCAACCCAGGATCAGATTGTCATGTGAGGCCAGCGTAGCACGTTTTCATAGCTCTCAACCCAGGATCAGATTGTCATGTGAGGCCAGCGTAGCACGTTTTCATAGCTCTCAACCCAGGATCAGATTGTCATGTGAGGCCAGAGTAGCACGGTTTCATAGCTGTCAACCCAGGATCACATTGTTTTGAGGCCAGAGTAGCACGTTTTCATAGCTCTCAGCCCAGGATCAGATTGTCATGTGAGGCCAACAGCACGGTTTCATAGCTGTCAACACAGAATCAGATTGTCTTGTGAGGCCAACGTAGCATGGTTTCATAGTTGTCAACCCAGAATCAGATTATCATGTGAGGCCAGCGTAGTGTTTTCATAGCTGTCAACCCATATGGTTTACCCGTAATCTTGTACAGGAAAATGTAGGTTTCAGGTCTATGCTGTGTACAGCTGTTTCAATACGGGCAAAAACAATAGCCTATTTGTGTTTCTCCCTTGTGATGGGACTTTGTAGGATGAACGTTGATATTTATAAGGGCACGGGGTGACCAATAAGGTCTGAATTGGTCTGTGTTATGGTAGGAACTAATAAGGGGTTGAGTGGTTCTGGCTCGGCACGGTAATTGGCCAGTGGAAACCACCCGTACCATGAGGGCCCCGTGCTGGCTCGGCTCGTATAAAAATGTCGTGTAGGTCATGCGTCGTGCCTAAACAGCACAACGCACACAATGATGCAATTAGTCTGCACAAGCAGACGATGCAGATCACATCATCACAGCAGACGACAGATACCAACCGAGCACTATCCAGGCTCAAACTGCTTAGCTTTCTGAAATGGGATGCATTTAGTCATTGTCGTGCTGTACAGTCGTGTATATTAATTCTGAACACGCATCATTTACTTTGTATATGTACTGTATATTGTAAATAATTCCCAATTTATTGTTTTATTATTTTTTGTTTTCTGACTTTACCGAAAGAACCAAGAATATGAATACAAACTACAAGTAATGCTCTTTTGAACGCAATTGGTTTGAGAGAGTCACTGGATGGGGTATTCTTTTTTCGACCCCATTACACAATTTTTTTTACAATAAAACAAATATATGTGATGTTTAGGTTAAATGTAGGGCGACTTGCTTGATTGTAACAGTAGGACATTTGGCAACTATGAATTTAACAGCCACTTCGCCGCCTGCAATCTTGCTCCACCATGTGGACTTGTGTGTTGCTGAAATCGAGGCACACCACGTGTGGATTTGATCACGTTCTGAGGCCACCGAACGCTTGATAAAAATGCAGCAGCTGCCGTTTTCACAGATACACGTTTATTTTCATATAAGGGAGAACAGCCTGAGATGTAACTGCACATACAGCAGAACCTCATTACAACACGAAGCATAAACGTGGTTAATGGGAATTACAAGCTGATATCAACTACAGTAGTTCAGTCCCTATACTGTACTTGATCAGCTAATTAAATACAGTGTTGTTAAAAATACAATTTAACACAGTTTTTACTAAATACAGTTAAACACCGCTAACATTATAACAAGCTGTGTTTGGCCTTTTCCTTCTTTTTTCTCTACTCGTGTGCCACACACAATGCAACATTGTAACAGTGGTGATGTCATTGCAAAATGAAACGAATGAATAGCATTCTAGTCATACTACATTTCCATACATTCTTAGCCAACTAAAGTTAGCTATACCTGCATCCTGCAGCTTAAGAATATTGTATTGTTTTCATGGACATATTTACATAAAAAATAACTTCCAATAATAAAAACTCTAAAAAACACACACACACCTCCGACGAGTGTATGAAATAAAATAATTGTTATTTAAAACTTTATTTTAGTGAGGTTCCACTGTATACAAAAAAACTATACATGTCTAGTGACTGTGGCTGAAAGGTGACGTGTTTATTACTCATGTTAACTGCACCTACACTACGAAATACATGGCAGTATCGTGTAATGTGAATTTAAAAACCCCGTGTACCTGTACATCTATTCTACAATATTAATATTATATTATTCATGAATATTACTAACTTATTGCACTCACGGTTACAGGACTGTACTTTAATAGTTGCTGATATATTTATTTGTTGCCTATAAGCTGCATGCATTCTTAAGTCGCCAAAAAGTAATGTCAAACAAGTAAAAAATGTAAAGACGCAAGTTTACATATTTACTCTGCATGCTAGTGTACATCTTTATTCTATATTGTAAACACATGCAGCAAAATGCATTCCGTGAATTCGTGTTATTAAATACAGCGTCATCCATGCAAACTGCATCTCACAACGCTATGCAATCCGCAAACACGAACGGTGCATATATATTGAGATGTTTTCAACCAATTAACGAGTGTTTATATATATCCTATGGGATCTGTGTGGGAAATATAAAATCACATTCAGTTATCAATCATGACAGCCACATTCCTAGGAACAGTCACACAAAGACGGTCTCACACAATGCACACAACCAATATAAATTATCAGGTCATGTGGCTACATTTGTGCCTAAACGCATGTTTACCTTCTTCATGCTGTCATTTTTAAAATATTTTAAAGCTGCATTTTGCAACCTTGGAATCTGTTTAAATAAACGACTACCTGTAGAAGTTCTAAATAATGTATTTGGCATGCCACGAAACATGCTCATATCTGTCTGCCAGCAAACTATTCTCGGTGCATATTGCTTGCTATGTAGCAGATAAACATTTTCATCAAGCACAAATATAGCCCAATTTCCATTCAGCACACGCAACCATTTAACACATATGTTTACAGGGCTGAACGTAAACCAATCCAAGTGTTGTTTTCTGGGTTGAGCTGCATTTCTTCTCTCAAGCGTTCACCCACATTGCTGCGGGCACCTTCAGCTCCTGAAGGGCCAACAATGGGCACCCCCTTGATCAATTGAGTAAAGAGCTTCTTTCACTTGACTTAGTAGGCCACTCTAAAAGGGTCTCTTGCATTTAGTGACAAATCTCAAAGCTCTCGTCAACCAGTCCATTTTTGTTGAGAGAATAAATGGCGTATTGGGATCTAGGAATTTGCCTTACAAATATAAATGATTATCATTATTACATGTAACCCAATCCGGAAAACCACACTTGAATGTACTAATCACTGTTCAAATATAACTTTCAAACACATTTGAAAAACAAAGAAGACTCAGTATAAATTAAATATATTATCCTCACCATTCATTGCAGATTCCTGGCAGCTATAAAAAAAAATGTATTCAAGGCACAACATAAAGTATTAGAGTACACTCAAATGTCTCAGATGTGAAGAGTTTGTTGCAATAAATCATGGGGAAAACCTCAATACCTTCTAGCTGACAGCTAGGTAAGGGTGCTGTATAAATCCTGTAATTACGCTTTGGTTAGTTTTACAAGGTAACACATATATCCCATAATGACATAATTATTTTAATAGATGAAATATAGCAAAGAGCTGTTTGCTTTATGAATATAGCAAGTAAATGTACGTGATATTTGCATGAAATCATGAAAATGCATTTATGTAAAAACATATCTTCACACGAGTCATTCCCTTTGTAGTGAAAAAAATATCCAAGGTTTGCACAACAAAGCATGCAACACACTTTCATACTTTACTTTAAGCTTGACGTTCATAGTATACAGGCAAAATGGCATAGCCATGAAAATTAAGTGACACTCAGTGACACAGCATCCACAAGTTGGTGAAGGCATGGCACAGTCGTCTGCAGCAATCAAAACCTATTATACAGGGCATGCTGGAAATAGCAGCCTACATCAGGTGGCTGGATAGCCGTTTGGTCAGCATGCATGCCACTGAGACAGTTTAGATGGATTAAGTTTTCATCTTGTGGGGAATTACAGTAAAGAACTAAATTACCAAAGCACGTATCTACTACACAGAGGACAATAATATGATACAAGGTCACCGACAGTAAGCCATTGTCTTCCAGTATGAAAGCATTTCTTTCAATGTGTTAAATTAATAACTTTTCAGATATAAAACAGTAATTCAGGAAAACCTTGGAAATTGTATTGAAAGACAATGAATCAGCAAAATTAGAATCATAAAGAGGTTGTATATTGTGTATTTCAAGAAGCGAATGAACTAGTGACTGAGCTGAGACCATGGCCATATTTCGAATTGGCCCACTCATCGGCCCCAAACCAGATTTTCTGAAATTAAATACATTTATGTTTCCATGGAGGTGAACTTCATTGTGGTGTTTTAAACGCATAATGGGAATTATGCATTCAGCTTTTAAATCCTGTGGGATTGTTTAAGATAACCATCAACGACTGTTCTGATTAAACGGGCAGCAGATTCCCACAGCAATTATTGAATGTAGGACTAATTAAGAGCTTTAGATATGATGTTCTCTGATTAAACCGACAGACGCATTCCCTGCTGCATAGCCTACTATTTAACAGTCCTAATACACCACTAATATAACATTTAAAAGACGACATTGTGAACCTCGAGCCCCAGAGGAAGTCAACATGGTTTTGAATGAGCAAGCGTATTAAATACTTGCACCATTGTAACAAGGCTTGATTTGAATATTATACAATTTATAAGTGCACTGAGTTAGGGGATTAGTCATGGAAACTGTGAAAGTTATTTTAGTTTAAAATCTTAAAAACTCTTTAAAATCTTTATACTCTGACCTTATTAAAATTATCTGCTGACAAAATTGCTTCAAATTTTAGTATTCTGCCCATACAAGTTGATGTAGTTTTATTATGGCAATCTAAAATCCTGATTTAAAGCTTTTGTGACTGCAGGAAGACGATTGCTTGTGTTGCGATCGAAACGTCGTGATCTATTATTTTCTATTTACGTGACTTGAACGAAAGACCCAAAGAGTATAATCTAAAATCCTGTTGCATTACCTTATATCATTTGTGCACGCATCCAATTTACACCACTCTTGGTCAATGACAGGGTACTAGAATGACACGAGTTTTCGCAAAATAAACACATATCATAGACCAGGGGTCAAGTGCCAACCCTAGTTGTGATAAATACATATTATCGGCATCAAGGCATGAGGCCTAGCAATGCCACTGCAAGGCACAGAACTCTCCAATCACAGCTCTGTGCTGAATGTTATGGTGGAATAGCCCTAGAAGAGACAAATATATATTTACTGTACTTTCCTTCGCTACAACTTTCGTGCTTCAATAGACCCCCTTACCAGCACCCACTGGATATTTAAGTAGACAAATTGTGTGCTTCCTGTCTGTATAGATATGTCTATATTTAAGTTGGGTCATACCAAATTGAGTGCAGCTTCAAATGTACATGATGGCTAAAGTGCACAGCAATCACTGACCAGGCTGATGTTCATCAAATTCACGATATATATGCCAATCTGGTCTGATTGCACCTAAAAAGCTCAGGGTTCTAACAGAATATCTCAGTGATGTAGACTCGATACGCGAATAAGGCCATAGCATAAGCTGAGACAACCAGTCATTACATGATCAATTCCAATGTAGTTGAAAGGTGACTTTGAGGTTCCACTAACAGTTCTTTGTGGGAAACACCAACACAACCTATACATCTGGAAATTCACCAGCATTAATTCAAGCAGTCCTGACTCTCCTGATAAAACACTGAATGTTGAATCCGGTCTGCCATTTGTATGTACTGAACAATGCTGCTGCAATTTTGCACTCCCAGAAATCTGTTGGATTGAAGGGTTGTCTTAGATATACTTTTATTTTTAATGAGAAGAGACAGATAATATGAAGGATAAATATTGTCTGCGTATATCTATTTTATTCTTTATATTTTCCATAATGCTGCGAATGGTTATGTTGGGCAAGAATGCTCATAGTTGCAGTAATGTGCCAGGATTGTGAATTCTCAGGCCGAGTTTACATCATCTGAGGGTATCCAGACTAAACCAGACGGGTAACCAGACGGGTAACCAGACCGCCCTGGCCAGCACACCCCTCATCGACAAAGTCATCAGTCCAAAGAATGCTGTGCACAGGTAGTGATGCATGGGTGGCATTGTAAGTCCAAATGAGTACTTGGATAATTATTTTATTTTTGGTGTTTCATTACTCATTTTATTATACCGCACAGTATATTTTGTAATTATTGTATTGTTTCGGTTGGTTTTATTTGATACGATTTTGTTGTACGTTATCGTATTTGTGGTGTGTTGTATAATTATGTCCGTTACGTGTCGGATGACTCCCACACCAATAACACCAGCAGCAGCCCCAGAGTTCTCTGCAGTTGCCATTTTCTTTTCCTTTCATCAGCAGCCCAAACTCCCACCTCAGCCTGCCCCACGTGGTCGTCTCACATCACAGACCTCGCCAGCCAATTAAGGGTCCCTGTCCTCCGATTCAAGTGCACAGGCGACTGCTCGCATGGCCTGGTGGCATTGCTAAGCAGGTGTGGATGCTCGTCCACAGTGAGTCTCCGTGGTTGTTCCGGATGCGAGTGAGTAGTGTGAACGCGGCTTTAGAGGATGGTGATGTCACTGGGCGGGAGGCTGTGTCGCTTCTCCCGGGCAGCAAGGAGGATCTCCTGGTGCATGGCGATCACCCGGCACAGCTCCATGCCCTACACGGTGACAACAAAGACAAAGATCCCTCTTATAGCTGAAACAAACTGTTGGGGCTAATGCTGTTAGAGAGCACCTATGGAGGCTGGCATGACGCACAAGGTAGTGATGTGGCCAACACCAGTACTGATGCTTAAACACTGCCACGGATACTCTTTTAATGCTGAGTCACCCTCGGGGAGGCCCAGGACTGAAGCAGATATCGGCAATTAATTGAATCGTGGAGTAGGTGAATGATCACATTGCCAATAGACTAGTAGAGTGCATCGTTGCATATCCGTCACATATCCGCCCTGACCAATTAACCGCCCCCACCCAGTACATGACTTGTGCATGCCGTACCTGTAATAGATGTCTATCATTGTCATACACAGTAATGTGTTAATATCATATGCAGTTACTGCAAAAATCCGGTAATGCATTTTCCATAGAATGTGCTTTATTTTGTATTCAACAATATATGTGTGAATGATATAACTGTAATTTTCAATTGATGTTCACATATCTGACCATTACACATATCCACCTCAATCTCAGTCAGTCCCCAGTGAGTCGGATAGGTGAAGTTCTACTGTGTATAAATGTTACATTACATTTAATTGTATTTACCCAGGAAAGCCTCACTGAGTATCATGACTCTTTTGATGAGGGTCCTGTTATGACTGCTATGCAGGAGGCAAATTGTAATTGAGAAGTTTGCAGGTAGTTTTTTTCCCCTTTAAATATTGCACAATTGGAACCATGACAACAGGACACAATGGCATACTCTTGCGAATGGCGTCACGGGATCTCTTAACGTTCACCACGAAGCGGACGATGGGTATTATTACGGCTAATCCACACACAGTATTATTTAGGGTGGCCACTAGATTCGGACTGTGAACCTCTGCGACAAGCGGCAAATGTGCTATTGCTAGGCTATGTCACCACCCATAGATTACGCACAATGACGCGTGTGCACTGTTGATGCTGCTGGTGGCGGGATAGCTCCCTGCCGTGTGCCCTGTGTACCTGCTGCAGCTGCAGCTGCATGATGCGTTGCGACATGAGGTTGCCCAGCATGATCTCCACGTAGGGGATGGTCTCGCCCTGTGTGGGACGCTGCGTGCGCGTCGACTGCACCTCCTGCATGGGGAAGCTCACCAGCACCTCCTGCGGGATAGGGAACACGAGGTCTGGAGTTACCGCAGCGCATGGGCAGGCGAGTGAAGTCTCGTACTTTTTTTTCAACAGCACAATCAAAGCTGCACCAGGGGGTTTGCTGAGTCGGCCCGGCGCAACTCAGGCAGGCGCCAGGTTGTTTATCCACTGCACAAGCTGAGCCACATTGCCAATGTCACGGGCAATGAACAAGTCGAGATGTGTGTAGGTGACATGTGACACCATGTCCTCACAGTGTACTGATTAACATCACATGCAATTAACGCATCATTAGCCCTACCCTGGTGCTGATTAGCCCCGAGCCAGGTGCATATGACTTGTGAATCCCACACGTTTGGTTCCAATATGGCACGGCAAATAGCCAGTGGAAAACCATCTGTGCCGTGAAGGTGCCGCCCTGGCTTGGCTAGGATATGCCCGTGGAAAAGGGGTATATATGCCTCAGAACAGCTCAGGTTATTGCGTTATCGTGAATGGTAAAATATTCAATGGCTGGTGAAAGCAGCCGATTGTCAATCCACTGCTGTATAAGAGCCTCCCTCCGCTGTGTGAGTCGTAGGCGCCATTTGACCATACTTTGCCACACTGGTGAGAGTGGGTTGTCAATTGTAAAAGTGGGCTAAATCCCAGTTCCGAAAAAATAGTCCAATGCATTCCCATAGATTAAAAGTCAACAAAGTGTATTCCCATCGATCATGTAGCATTGCCGAGCTGGTCAAAACAGCTTTTACAACTTGGCCCAGGCAAATTTCCAATCATACCAATGCTTGGACAAAGTCCAAAAGCATGGAAGCTGAGATGAATATAATTTCAATTGACTCTCTTTCACCTTTCCTAGAAACTGTCTGACATCCCCTGTTTTGGTGGCTCTAGGCAGCACAGGCTATGAGAAAAAAAGGGGCAGCCCTGACCCAGACCCATTAACTTGGCGCTTAAAGTTGAGATCAAACATATCAAGGCTTGATAATTGTTTTTTTACCCATTTATCTGGCAACAAAACTGACACCTTTTTTACAAGGAGTCATGTTTGCATAGACCACAATACCTGCAGTCATAATGCAAACAAAAAACATAACTCTGATAATGTATGCACTGTCCTTGAAGTTGATTGGTCCACACCTGAGACAGCTTTCCTTAGAGCCTAGTCTCACATGGTGTTGGACCAGATGACGCCAAAAGGCGTTATGTTTTTTGTTAGCATTATGACTGCAGGTTTTGTGGTCTATGCAAACATGACTCCTTGTAAAAAAGGTGTCAGTTTTGTTGCCAGATAAAAGGGTAAAAAACGAATGATCATATTTTTTCTTCTGGCAAATGAGGTTCCAATGGTGTAAATATCAAGGCTTCTCATGATGCTACTGGATCCTACTGAACTCAGACTCGCACGCGGAAAATACGAACTCTTGAAAGACTGGGACTAGGAAGCCCTGTGTCTAGGCCTGGCTTTGGTGCGCCCTTTACGTGAGTGATGCTGTTGAGGAAGCTCAGCCCCTGCTGGTTAACGGCCAAGATGCACGGGGTGGTGATGGCCGTGTTGCTGCTGCTCTGGACGAAGAAGAATGCCGACCCGAAGAGAGGGAGGGCACTTGCCAGTCCTGCATGCGGTGCATGGAAAACGGACACACGCGTCACTCATCCGTGGCGAAGCACCAATAAAGGGTTTGCGTCATTTACTTTGCCAAAATCAGTACAGTATTTTCTACATACATACATACATTCTACAAAAGCGTTTCCAGACTCGAATGTAACCGTAATACCTATTGTGGTGTGTACACATCAGCACTGGAGAAATACAGACATCTAAGCGTGATGCTGGCCATACCATCTCCTTTGCACCATGCCAGCCTTAATAGGTGCTCGCTATGTCTATGTGTGAGTTTGTTTGTGTGAGTCGGCATCCAAAAGTTTGTGTCTGCGTGAGCACCATTTGGTGTGTAGAAGTACCTGTGTGTGTGTGTGCGCGAATGTGCGAGTCAGTGTGCAGGGTTATGCGTGTGCACCCTTGCATCCGTGTGTAAGTTCATATGTAGGAGCATGTGCAGTGTGTGTACATGCGCTCATGCACAAGTGTATGTGTGAGTTGGGGTGCAGAGGCACTTATGTATGTGCGAGTCAGTGTGCAAGGTTATGCGTGTGCTCGTGTGCGCACGAGTTTGTGCAGCAGCAGCACCTGCGAGTGTGCATATGCGAGCGTGTATGCTCATGTCCACATTCACGCGCGCTGCTCACCCAAGAACTGCGCTCGAGCTTGATGTGCAGACAACGCCTGCACCTGTGCCGAGTGCTGCAGCACCACACCAAGCCATGACTGAGGCCGCTGCATTCGCAGCACCTGAGCCGGGATGTATTCCCCGACCTCACGCCTGCACCCCGCAGCACAGACACCGAGTTAACGCTACCGTGGCATGCCACCCTGTGATGCAAACATGTAAATCGCTTGTATCTCTTTTACACTGTCGAACTGAGCCACACCGGACGAGGTACCGAGCCATCCTGACTCATCTCTGGAGGCGCCAAGTTATTTTTCCACTTCAGAAGCCTGAGCTGAGCTGTGCCACTGATGTAACACAATTATTCGGTCAAATAAAAAAACAGGCAGTCTTTGTATATCAACATTATGCAGCTCACATGATGTGCGCTGAAACCAACCTAACCTGGTCCATTCCAATGAACCCAACCCTGGGCCAGCCCAGCCACTCCCAGTGCGCCTGGCACTGGCTACTCACTGCGTGGGCTGGTAGTCGCTGCCTTTGATGCGGTGCTGCAGGGCCGCCAGCTTGGCCACCTGCTGCGTGAGCTGATCGTCGATGCGGCCCGCGGTCAGCACCAGGAACAGACCATTCATGTACTCGGGCAGGATCTGTCAACATTAGCGGTCGGAGGAGACAGAGCATCTCTCAGAGAGAATGGTTTGTATCGGTCATCATCATTATCATTGTTTACGGCAAAAGGCCATGCCTCCCACCTCAGATTGCCACCTCTGCGGTACAAAAACACCAGGACGAACCATGGGAAGAGCATCTCAGAAGACCAGAAGAAGGGAGCACTACATGTAAGCGCATTGCCTTGAAAGGTGTATTAATATTATTGTATGATAATTGGTTTTTTACCCTTTTATCTGGCAACAAAACTGACACCTTTTTACGAGGAGTCATGTTTGCATAGACCACAATACCTGCAGTCATAATGCAAACAAAAAACATAACTCTGATAATGTATGCACTGTCCTTGAAGTTGATTGGTCCACACCCGAGACAGCTTTCCTTAGAGCCGAGTCTCACATGGGTTGGACCAGATGACGCCAAAAGGCGCACAACTCAAAGACAATGCACCATCAGAATATGAGAGCTCGGGGTAAGCATTGGGAATATTATTGTAATTCTTATGCAATTGACAAAAGAGCGGGATTTTAACAAAAACATTGTCAAGACAGCTACCTCAAACAGAGGAATCAATCCTGAAAAAACGAGCACAGGTGACAACCCTACCTCCTACCACCAGGCAGCCTCCCATGCTGCGCTGTGCACACACTCGGTTGTCGGGATGACAGCGAAGCCCACCTGGTTGAAGTGCATGCTGATGTAGAGCTCATTGTCGAACTTCAGCGGCCGCACCCACACGATGCGGCGGAACCAGAACCGGTGCATTTCGTCCACCTTCTCGGCCTCGGACGAAACGTCCAGGATGTATTCCTTCTTCTGGAGAGGTCGCACCGACTCCCCTGCACACAGCGCAGCCATTAGAACTCTGCTGCTGCTACAGCAGACACAAAGGCAGGGATTCTCAAACTCCATTTCGTGTGGCTCACCATGGTACGTCTTTCCAAGGGGGTGGTTTATGTTTTTTCATGACAGTAGAACGAATATTCCCTCTGTGATTCTAGATGTGTTAAAAAAATGTCCAAAACGTTGTTGCAAATGAGACTATGCTTATGAATTTAAATAAAATTGGAGATTGAGATTTCACATGTGGTGTCAACATGAGCTCCCCTGCACGCCTTTTCAGATGTGAAGGCCTCGTGGCTTAATGGATAAAGACACTGGCCTCCTAAGCCATGGATTGTGGGTCCAAGTGCCACCTGGGGTAGAGCAATTTGAGTGATTGTACATACTCTTTGGTTCTTTCTGTAAAGTCACGTAGGTGTAAAATAAAATAAATCACGACGTTTCAATCGCAACACAAGCGGCCGTCCTCAGGCGGAAAAAATATAATCCAGCAGTGGAACTGCTGATCGTACATGTTCATTTAATGAGAGATGGTTTCTGATTTTGTTTTCAAATAAATGCAGACATACATTTAATATGCAGTGCAACTATGTTAAATTACTTGAACAAATCTATAACTATTTTTCAAAGAACGTAGTGCCGACTCACTCGCCACTACGCCCAGGTTACTCCTCTTCATATGCAGCACTTTGTGAATTCCGTCTATTGATTTGCTGTATAACGATGACTGTACTTAGCTCTCTTTAACAATGATGGCCATCTCCACATCGTGATAGGAAGCCCTTTCTGCAAGCCATGCCCAGCAGATGATGCCGATGAGATCTCTCATTCCAGTACCACGTATTAAACAAAATAAATTCTAAATACAGTCCTGTTTTAGAATATAGAAACATTGCTTTAAGAAACATCAGGCCACCCTAACTAACATGGGTGTATAATACGGCATTTCATAACAATGATCGAATTAGCATATGTTCCCATTTTTCTGATAAAAAAAACACAAAATCAGGCCTAGAAATTAATTTGTTCCGAATTCGTGATGGTTTGGCGCAAAAAATTAGAGGTATTAAATTTGTACAAATATATATCCGAAACGCAAAAAAACTAAAACCGGCAAAAAAATCCAATAATCCCATGTTTTAAAAATATTTAATCCGAAATGTATTGCCGATATACCGTGCGGCTGATGGGATGTGAAAAACAAATGTAATATTGTCCACTTATATAATTAGTTATTAAATCCTTTATATTAAGTTCACTTGCTTGCTTGCTTGCGCGCTTACGACCGTGCAAATCTTTCGGTCGTTTTTTAACCCACTTCCCGTGATCCAATCGTGCTGACATTTTGCACACAGACTCGTTGTGCGTGACAATTTATTTTCGTGAAATTTTTTTTCCAAAATTTTCCACTTTTTAGGAAAAAATAAATTTCATATTTAATTAATAATACCAATGTGATAAAAATGAAACTCTTACTCAAGAAAAACAGAAATGAATAATAAAATAAAACCGATGCCACGCATATAAAGGATTTATAGTGAAAAACTTTGTTTTTACGGGTTAATTTTTTTATATTATCCATAGCGACATTAATGTGTCCTGTTGTGAATGATAATGGCCCATAGGTGGCATCATTCTCACGGTATCGACGCCACATTGGTAGTGGAGATGATGCCCCCTAGGGGCTCCGGGCTATTTTCAGGTGGCACAAAGACATTCAGAGATCGCATCGTTCGCTTCACGCAGCCTCTCGCAAAAATCGACGCACCAAACTCGGCAGGTGGAAATGTTGCTGACAAAATATGAATTTGGCTTTGGGTAGAATTTGGAACGCGTTGTGAGCTGCAGTAAAAATGTGTGTGTTATAGACGCTGTCACAGTTTTAAGTTACGAGGCTCTTCAAGACATTTCACATTTGTGTTGAAAACAATGCGATGTGAACGAGAAAATGCGCACAAGTTGAAATGCCACGAAATCACGATGTTGCTAACGTCCACGTGGTATGTATATAAGGCCCACTGAACGCACACCTTGCATGTGCAGCCCCAGTGGCCTAATGGATAAGGCACTGGCCTCCTAAGCCAGGGATTGTGGGTTCGAGTCCCACCTGGGGTAATGGATATTTTTATTTAATAATTTCTTTATAAAACAACATTTTATGTTACAGGTGACGTCATTGTCATATTGTACAAAATGTAAAAAGTTGCCGATGTTCTAAATATATTTGGAGAACATTCCAGGTGATTTAGTATGCATTGGTTGTGGGCCGCCAATGCTGACACCTAGCGCTTGGCTTTAGCAACTACAGGACAATTTTACACTAAGATCCTGCTCCACCATGGTAATTGCATGCGTTACATCCGCGGGAATGTTTGAGAGAACTGATTGCAAATGCTCTATGATAAATTTTTTCACAATACTATATTAATTTTTCACGATATTAATTTTGTGTAACTTTGTAATAATCTATTACACTGAAGAAAAACCCGCCACAATTACATGGGCACAACACTCATCTCTCAGCTCCTTCAGGTATCTGAAGGCATCTAAAGAAGCTGCTATCTTAGCATTTCGAAGTCCACGTCAATTTCCGAGTCCACTACCTGACGAATCTCATTGCAGTTTGAGTGATATGTCGTATATTCCACCAGTTATGAGGTTTATTACAAAAAATGTGATAAACACATGGGAACGTATAAAAAAATATATCTTTGTAAACGTGACAATCTTGTCAGATGGTTGACAGATAATGACAACACTTTCACCATTAAAACACTAAGTGGTCTTACCCAAAAACTAATACGGATCATCTCACGTAATTTCTCAGCCCACCTATGAGCATGAGTAAATTCAGCACTATTTAAATCCTGTGTGAGGTAGCATTGATCACTAACCCTAAGGGGAGGAAAGGCTGATAATCGGGAAACATTGTGGTATAAATTTTTCTCAAATTGACCTTGTTATTTGGTCTGCGGGGCTGGCACCGTGAACCTCTGTAACAACTATCAAATGGTCAACTGGCTCGGCCATAATCTGTTAACCTCCTGATGACATCACTAAAACAAATATCAATTTGATCAGAAAAATATATCTTCTAAACTGTAGTTACAACTTCTAGATTTGAAGCTTTCGTGACTGCAAGGATTCATATTCTTAGGTTTTTTCGGTAAAGTCACGTAGGTAAAAAATTAAAATTAATAAAAGTAAAATTAAATTAAAATAAAATTAAAATCACGACGTTTCGGAGGCGACACAAGCTTCCGTCTTCAGGTGGAACCGCCACAGCACGCTTGCTGTATCAAGTAAAAAAAAGCGTGCTGTGACGGTTCCACCTGAAGATGGAAGCTTGTGTTGCCTCCGAAACGTCGTGATTTTTATTTTATTTTTATTTTATTTTACTTTTATTAATTTACATTTTTTACCTACGTGACTTTACCGAAAAAACCTAAGAATATGTAGTTACAACCTTTGAAACAGTATAAATTGGCAAAGGCCCTAACTCTGCGCCGTTTATGCCTTAAGAAGATTGGATAGGACCCAGTCTCACTCACCTCTGTTGGTGACAAGGAAGATGGCAAACTCCTCCTGAGCCTCCTGCCTGTGGAGCCCCATCTCCTGGCAGATCTCCTCAATCACATCCTGCACAGTCTGCACATGCAAAATCGTCATACGACCCATCAACAGGGAAGAGATGCAGTGTGATTTTCAGTGTAACGAGACAACTATAGCTCTTATTGGATCAGAATGAATGTGTTTTTCCTTACAATCATGTGTAGCCCCAGTGGCCTGATGGATAAGGCACTGGCCTCCTAAGCCAGGGATTGTGGGTTTGCGTCCCACTTGGGGTTGCTGAGAAAAAGCTGTTCATTTTGTAAAATCAAGATGTCAAGTTTACGAATCTGATAATGAAAAGCCAAAATGGCGCTGTGCCTATAGAAGAGAGTTTTAAATCAGTCGACGTTGGTGACAATTATCAACATTTATGAAACAGACAGGACGAAAGAGGGAAATACATATCAATTTTAATAATTATTGTCAGGTTTTTATTGAAAGCTTTCGTGACTGCAGGGATTCATATTCTTGGTTCTTTCGGTAAAGTCACGTAGAAGGGAGATAATAAAATAATATAAATTAATATTTTTTATATTTATATTATTTTATTATCTCCCTTCTACGTGACTTTACCGAAAGAACCAATAATATTGTCAGGTTATTTAATAAGTCTTTACATAAGCCAGATTTCCATCATGTATATGTTGCCCCAGTGGCCTAATGGATAAGGCACTGGCCTCCGAAGCCAGGGATTGTGAGTGTGAGTCACACCTGCGGTAGCTGAGAAAAAACTGTTCATTTTGAAACATCAAGATGTCAAATTTCTGACGATAATGATGATGAAAAGCCAATATTACACTGTACCTATAGAAGACAGTTGTTAACAGTGTACTTTGGTAACATTGATAAAGCAAAGGACGAAAGGGGAAATACATATCCATTTTTATAATAATTGTCAGGTTGTTGAAGAAGTATGTACATAAGCCAGGTTTTCATCATGCTACATGTAGCCCCAGTGGCCTAATGGATAAGGCACTGGCCTCCTAAGCCAGAGATTGTGGGTTCGAGTCCGACCTGGGGTAGCTGAGAAAAAACTTCATTTTGAAACATCAAGATGTCAAATTTCCGACGATGATGATGAAAAGGCAAAATGGCACTGTGGCTATAGAAGAGAGTTTTAAAACAGTGTTCAATTATACTCTTTGGTTCTTTCGATAAAGTCACGTCGGTATAGCGTCCATCATCAGATGATGATGGATGCTTGTGTTGATGATAGACGATTGTGTTGAGCCCAAAACGTCGTGATTTATTTTATTTTATACCTACGTGAATTTACCAAAATAACCAAAGAGTATGGATTCCTGAAGTCACGAAAGCTTCAAATCAAGAGAGTTTTAAACAGTGTACTTTGGTGACAATTATCAACATTGATAAAGCAGAGAATAAAAGGGGAAAATACATATCCATTTCTATTATTATTGAGAGTTTATTTAAGAAGTCTGTACATGAGCCATATTTTCATCATGCTACATGTCGCCCCAGTGGCACTGTCCTCCTAAGCCAGGGATTGTGGGTTCGAGTCCCACCTGGGGTAGCTGAGACAAAGTTGTTCATTTTATAATATCAAAATGTCAAGTTTATGAATCTGACGATGAGAAGCGAAGGTGGTGCCTATAGAAGAGAGTTTGAAATCAGTGTACTTTGGTGACAGTTATCAACATTGATAAAGCAGAGGGGACGAAAGGGGGAAACACATATCCATTTTTTAAATTATTGACATGCTGTTTAAAAAGTCTGTACATAAGCCAGATTATCATCATGCTACTTGTAGCCCCAGTGGCCTAATAGATAAGGCACTGACCTCCTAAGCCAGGGATTGTGGGTTCGAGTCCCATCTGGGGTAACTGAGCATGGAATGTGCATTTTGTAAGGTGAATATTTATTTAACATGTGGTCATTGCACTAAGTTTATGAATCTGAGAATGTAAAACATCATGTCACTGTGCCTTTAGAAGAGAGTTTTAAATCATTGGGCGTTGGTGACAATTATCAACATTGATAAAGCAGAGGACGAAAGGGGAAAATACATATCCATTTTGATAATTATTGTGAGTTCATTGAAAATGTCTGCACATGAGCAAGATTTTCATCACACAGCATGTAGCCTCAGTGGCCTAATGGATAAGGCACTGGCCTTCTAAGCCAGGGATTGTGGGTTCGAGTCCCACCTGGGGCAGATAAATAAGAAATGCTGCTCTTTTATTTTTACGTAACGATTCTTTCAATACGTGGTCATTACACGAACTTAAATCTGATAATGAAAAACGTAATTTGACTGTGACGACACAAGAGCGCTTGAAATCAGTGCCCTTTGGTGACAATTATCAACCTAAAAAAGGTGAAGAGGAGTAACGATTTAAATCATGATTGTGAGTTTATTTAAGAAGTCTGCACATGAGCAAGGTTTGCATCGTGCTACATGTCGCCCCAGTGGCCTAATGGCTAAGGCACTAGCCTCCTAAGCCAGGGATTGTGGGTTCGAGTCCCACCTGCGGTAGCTGAGAAAAAGCTGTTCATTTTGTAACATCAAGATGTCAAGTTTCCGAATCTGATAATGAACATCCAAAATGGCACTGTGCCAAAAGAAGATAGTTTTAAATCAGTGGATGTTGGTGCCAATTCCTTCGGAGTGGGCAGGTAGGAACTTGGTTGGACAGCGCATTCGTCCACGACAGACAAATATGCACGACAGACAAATAATCCCTGGTGGGCTTTGTGGAACCTGTTGTTCCTACCTGTAATATGCATTGTCATATAATACTCCGTAAAGTGTTTTTTTATGGGGAGGGAGGGTTAATTTATATGCTTCATGTTAACCTAGAAATACATTAATTTGCTTTATCTTTTACAAGGAATACACTTGCTTTTTTGAACAGACTGAATCACCTTAAGGCTGGGAATGTTGAAAGAAACACGAGGCAAAAAGATCCGCTTTATTATTTTCAAGGCTTCCATTTTATGAATGGAGCCACCCTCCCCCAGTTAAATTTTGTGAATGAAACATCGCCCGTCTCCTCATTGGCCCGAGTCACGGCGGTGCCCCCCCACCACAACCCCAACCCACCGCTCCCATTGGTCGGCGCTCCCGAGCCAATGGGAGGGCTCTGGTGGGGCGGGGCCATGCACGACAGACAGACAAATATTCCCTGGTGGGCAGTGTGGAACTGTTGGTCCTACCTGTATCAACATTGATAAAGTAGAGAGGACAAAAGGGGAAAATACATATTCATTTTTATAATTATTGTCAGGTTGTTTAAGAAATCTGTACATAAGCCAAATTTTCATCGTGCAACATGTAGCCTCAGTGGCCTAATAGATAAGGTACTGGACTCCTAAGCCAGGGATTGTGAATTCGAGTCCCACCTGAGGTGGCTGAGATAGAGTTGCTCTTTTTATAACATCAAGATGTCAAGTGTATGAATCTGACAATGAGAAGCGAATGTGGCACTGTGCCTGCAGAAGAGAGTTTTAAAAACACATTCCTGCGGAGGGAGCTGATAGGAACGTTGGGTTGCTCGGTCAATGGCCAGGGTCAACGGCGGCGTGGTGTATTCCGCAAATATGCCCGACTGTGAGGGCGGGCACAAGCCGGCGTGAGTAGGTTAAACGTTGAGTTTTATAAGGGCACCACGGGGTGACCAGCCCCACCCCTCCCACCCAGCCCCACCCTCCCCACCCAGCCCCTCCCCACCCACCCTCCCTCCCCACCCAGCCCCTCCCCACCCTCCCCTCCCCACCCAGCCCCTCCATCCCCACCCAGCCCCTCCCTGCACGACGGACGGACAGACACAATAATCCCCTGTGGGCTGGTGTAACCAGGAGGTTCCTACCAGTATCAACATTGATCAAGCAGAGGATAAAACTGGAAAAAACGTATCCATTTGTATAATAATTGTGAGTATATTTAATAAGTCTGTACATGAGCAAGATTTTCATCACGTAGTATGTAGCCCCAGTGGCCTAATGGATAAGGCACTGGCACTCCTAAGCCAGGGAGCGTGGGTGTGAGTCTCACCTGGGGTAGCTGAGCAGCTAATGTGCATTTTGTAAGGTGAATATTTATACCACATGTGGTTAATCCACTAAGTTTACGAATCTGATCATGGAAAACATCATGCCACTGTGCCTTCAGAAGAGGGTTTTAAATCAGAATACTTTGGTGACAATTATCAACATTGATAAAGCAGAGGGGATGAAAGGGGAAAATACATATCCATTTTAAAAATTATTGACATGCTGTTTAAGAATTCTGTACATAAGCCAGATTTTCATCATGCTAAATGTAGCCCCAGTGGCCTAATGGATAAGGCACTGGCCTCCTAAGCCAGGGATTGTGGGTTCGAGTCCCACCTGGGGTAGCTGAGAAAAAGCTGTTCATTTTGTAAAATAAATATGTCAAGTTTACGAATCTGATACAGGCAGGAACAACAGTTCCACACTGCCCACCAGGGATTATTTGTCTGTCTGTCTGCCGTCCATAGCCATGCCCTCGATTTGGTGAATTGCCCGATGATGCTGGATGCAATTACCAGCGAAACGTCGTACTCAAAAATTGTGAATGTTGTGGTTTCACGCTTCAACACACTGGTTGGCTAAAGCAGTTAATTATTTGTCTTTTGTCAACGTGACACTTTTTTGCTGATTGGCCGTGTCGGGTGGTGGAGGTTTACGACACATTTATAAATAACGCGATCTAACCCAAAAACGTTGATTATGAAAAATGATCATTATTATTATTATGACTGATGCAATGTACACTGTGGCACACCTTTGGGATGAGTGGACATTTAAACACCTTCCCTTGTAGGAGTCATTTAGCATTTTTCACTAAATTCATGTGCACCAACCACTGCAATGCACTCTGCATTTTAGCACAAATCTCAATATTGTTTTTCTTCTACAAAACAAAATGTTATTTGACAAGACGATGATCACAGTTCAAGTTTTGATCTTAACTAGACAACTTTCTAATCTCTTATCTTACCACATCCTCTGATTCAAGTGTGTAATTGTGAAAAGTGCGACTCACTCTTTACCCATAACACAAACCAGAGTCAAACAAGCTTGAATGCATGTACTAATCAATCTTAATATTATGGGATTTTCTGAATAAACATCGATGACTTGGTTGCAGTCCATAAAATGCTTTACACTTGAGACCCTGATTTTTCTTTTAGCTTAGGTCAGAGCTACGATTTCATCCCAGGATCTCAGTATAGCTGCCTTCGTGTTGTGCTTTGGTTATAATATGTATGTATTGCTGCGCCAATGAACATGTCTTTGGCTATCACTCATTAGGGAATTTTTTTCCCACCTTCAACGATATTTACGCCGTGATGAACTAACATATTAAAAGTAACGCAAGTGAGAGTGAACAACTTCTGTTTATGTCCTTTAGTTCTTAAGTTATTAAATACAGTGATCTTCCTAGTCATTACGTTATTAAAGCCAGGTTGTATTATTTAGTTAAGAAGCTATCATATCCGGACTATTCCTTAGTTATTACTTCATTCTAGCCATAATGCATTCCTTAAACCAACGGCAATTAATGAAACCGGTACCTGCTTACACAAATGCTGCTGGTTAATATTGGTCTGAAAAGCCAATAGGCCGATAAGCCCCAAACTTTGTATTTATATGTGGAGATAGGGAACTATTTTTTATGTGGATGATGTAGAATTGTGAGACTCCAATCACCGATCGACTGGTAGCCAGGAGGTGGCAGTACAACACGTGGGATAGTCGTGTGGACCTATGAGTGTCATTCCCTTTCGTGTGCACATCTCCCCCAGCTACTCTGGTTTATTTCCACGCACAAAACGCTTCTTAAAATGGAATAATCAGACATCCCAATGCAGTGCAAATTCACAGCTATTTTGTTCATCCACTTCTGGATGAGGACCCCCCTACGCCGTGCATGTTGCGGGAGACAATTAACTGCTAGGTGTGGAATGGTGAAGGCGGTGAACATAGACATAGGAGCATAACAGGCCAGTATAACAATGTATTTTTAAATCCTTTATATTAAGTTCACTTGCTTGCTTGCTTGCGCACTTACGACCGTGCAAATCTTTCGGTCGTTTTTTAACCCACTTCCCGTGATCCAATCGAGCTGACATTTTGCACACAGACTCGTTGTGCGTGACAATTTATTTCCGTGAAATTTTTTTTCCAAAGTTTAGGAAAAAATTAATTAGATTTAATTACCAATTGCTTAATGGTGGCAGGCAATCATCTGACCCATAGGTGGCAGCCATCTCAAGCCAGAGGACGAGAGGACTCTAGCCGCCACGCATATAAAGGATTTATAGTGAAAAACTTTGTTTTTACGGGTTAATTTTTCTGCACTGCCTTCTACTGCCCACCACGTAAACCTGGCAGTAGCCTACAAAAACCCCATGTGCCCATCCAAACACAGATCAATACTTCCATAATAGAGATCAATACTTCGATAATACAGATCAATACTGTTTCGCTTCTGAGATCTACTGAGATTAGGTGAATTTCAGGTGACTGGTCAGTGAGGCTTTCCTGGATAGATAAATAAATTATATCACTAATATTATCTCTATAATGGGAGTATCTCATGCTGTAGTTGTGCGTGTTCTTGTTGCTCCTGTTTCCCCATGGTGATGGTGCCACACACTCACCGAATTGGTCTTGATTTTCACGTGGCGCTCAATGGCTCCTGGGAGGAGGATGAGCTGCCGCTTGGAGTTTCTCCCGGCCTGAAACACACACACACACACAGGGTGAGGCGAGGCAGCGACTGGGTGCCACCACCACACCATGCAAGGCACCAAGACAGGGCAAATATCATAAACAAAACCATGCATTGTTGAGAGCATTATGGGTACAAATCATATTTAGCAAAACTCCATTCTGTCTCCACATTTCAATAAAATATGTGTTAGGCTAGCAGCCTATTGGCTTCCCAGACTAATACAATTCGACAGCATTTAATTGAGCAAGCAAATTGGACAGTAGGTCGGTGATGGGAATAAAACATAATTTTATTTATTGGTGGAGAATGAGAATGATGTAGATCAAGTCATTAAGGAGTATCTATATCAGCTGGGATCAGTGGAGACAATACATGCTTATTTTTTGTATACGTTCACATTGTTAACAAAACTATTTTACCCCAACTTGATCTTCATGGTGATATTAGTGTCATGTCAAGAGACAAATAATCTATTCAAATACTCTGCAGAGCAGAGAGCCCACCGAGCCAATATTACATCAGTACTTCTTCTTGGTTCTTTCGGTAAAGTCACGTAGAAGGGAAGTAATAAAATAATAATAATAAAACATAATAAAATAATTCTCACGACGTTTCGGCTGCTTGCGTTGTGGCCGAAACGTCGTGAGAATTATTTTATTATGTTTTATTTTTATTATTTTATTACTTCCCTTCTACGTGACTTTACCGAAAGAACCAAGAAGATGAATCCCTGCATTCACGAAAGCTTTAAATCGAAACATCAGTACTTGTGAGATCCTTTCAAGTGAACTCTGGTCCACACGCTTTCCCACTCACCCTGCTACTGAGAGTAACATTCATTGCGTGGCAGTAATACCGATATTTTTACATTGCACGTGGGGAATTTTTCCAAGCAATGTGCAAAACCAACGTTAATGATTACACATATATCGTAATTGGTGAACATGCTGAGCCCATCCACGCACTACACTTGAAAATCTTAATTATCACACACACCGACGCCGAATTGAGCCCAAGATCCCAGCTGTCAACTCAGTGCTCTGATCTCTGATCCATATGGCAAGCCCAGTTTGCATGCTCTTTCATTAATCATAACCATTAAGGCACAGAAATACGTGTTTTTTTTCTTAATCTGCATCTCGCCTTTTGACATAATAGTTGTACATCATATCGTGGCATGCCAAAGAAGTCACATGAAAGACCATTCATTGCCTGATATTCTTCAAAGGTATACCTAACACAACCAGTTTATTCAGTTCAGTGGCGTAGCATGTTTGGCATGAGACCTGATGCAAGAATGACATGAAATGGGGCCCCCTGTCAAATCCCCCCCCCCTCATCATCATAGCCCAGTGTCTTGGGCTCCTCCAAGCTGTGCGCGACAGTGCAGTTGCATGCCCTGCACAATTGATAGCTACGCGATTTCTTGCATCAGCTGTGCAAGTGAGCGGTTTGCTCCCCTACTCAATCATTCACTCACTCACTCACTCGCACGCCGCACACCCTTCTTCCTGTGTGTGCAAGGGTGTCTGATCGTTACCACCAAGGCCTTGAGCTCCATGCTGGACGGCAGGTGAGTTCGCCCGCCCATCTGCAGCGTGCGCCGAAGGTGCTGCTCGCACACTCGCGCCATCCCTGCCGAGACAGCAGCAATGCATACACGGTGCGCACGTGAGGCCAGGTCGGAGGGGAAGCCACCACTCTAAAGGCAACATGCATACCTGGTTTTCCACTGTAAAACAGAGCTGTACTGGGAACGTGCCAAGCCAACTTAGCATGGCTCATGAGGCACCAGATTATTTTTCTGCGACCCAATATTAACCAATATACCCATTATTGTAAAACTACCATTGACTACATTTTGAATAGTCACTTCTTTATGGTTATCTAAGTCTTCCATGAAAAAGAGATCATGTTTTCAATGGGCTATTTTCTGGTTAAATATAGAATACTTAATCAGCTAATAACATGGACATAGCTGGAGGCAGTGATATCAACACATGGAAAGCTTCCTCCAATTGTAGATTGTACAATGTGATGTTGCTGACAATAATGTATAAATGGTTGATGATGATTTCATTGTGATGCTTGCAATGATGGTTTTAGCAGGAATACATTTATTGTATCCATATAAAACCAAATTCGTCAATGATGACAAAAGTCCAAATGTTATAATAATTTAAAGTACAAACGCCAATTGATAGTACGCAGGTCAACTGGCCTGTCACCACAAATATAAGGAAGAAAGTTACAGAAGAATGCCCTTTTCATTGTAAGCAAGATAATAGTATCATTAGACTGCACTTACTGGCGAAGACAACCATGTACACATTAACGGCGATAATGATTGTTAAAGTTAAGTGACCGAGCCGGTTTGCTCCTCTCCCTGCATTCACCCTGGAAGCTGGCCTTGCTGTCGTTGGCCACCTCGCGGAGGTAACGCAGCAAGTACGGCTTCAGGTTGTCGGAGCACTTGCTGTACGCCGTCACAATGTACAGCAGCCTCCAGCCACGATGGCAGCTGTCCCTGCACACGACCCAGAGGGGAAGAGCGAAGCAATGTTAAAACCGATACGAATATGTCACAGAGGTCGCAACCGGGTACCCGATATCCGTACCCTACCCGATACCCGGCTACCCGTACCCGGCCGGGTACGGGTAGCCGTTTGCGACCCTGATGCGGCCGGGTACAGGTACGGGTAGGCCGTGAGTCACTGGTGAGTAACCGTTTGTCACTCATTTAGGGTAGGGTACCCGTACCCGGCCGGGTACGGGTACGGGTACCCATTTGCGACCCTGGTGCGGCCGGGTACGGGTACGGGTAAGGAATCAAAACCCGTTTGCGACCTCTGATATGTCAGCATGGAAGGTGCTCCGGTGGGTGGCGACGTGGCCAAGCGGGTTGAACACTTGGGGCTTGTTTCAGAGGTAACACAGTTCGAGACTGGCAGCCGTCCCGGTAAATACTACAGGTAACATTCCGTAAGCCATTTCGGGATGTCGTCGCAGACACTTTACATTGTGTTCATGGCCTTTGGTGAAGCTTGTAGGGCAATGCATTTTAATCTCCCAAACATGGATATATTTAAACGGAACAATTTTCAGTGTAAACAGAAACATTACATTTTTAGCGGATCCTGCTATCAGGTGCATTGTAAAATATGCTTAAATCAGACATGCCAGGATAATGTAACTTATACACCAGGACCGTAAGTTGAACTTTCTGCTTATTTTGACAATACAATGGTGCAAGGTAAGAGAGAAATCACCAAACATGGTTCAAGCAGTTAGACACAGATGCCTTTATACAAAACGTTGCATTGTGGTAGAAATATTTGGCTTTTATTCTTCGATTAAAGATGATAATGTAGTCATGTTATGGTGTCACGTACGGCTTGGGACTCTTGTTGCTGGTGATCTGCTTCACGATGTGGCAGTAAATCTCATCGCGCATCTCCGGCTGATTCTCACTGAACTGGAAACATACGGCACAGCACAGGGCTTGATATCACCAGACCAGGCCCTAATTTGAGCCTCAAACAAGACAGCTACGGCCTGTAGATTTTGTGAGATCACAATGGCTTCGGCTTATGAAAAGGCAAACACATATGAGGTCACACACTGCTAAAACTGTACATAGGTGTTTTTTTATACCAGCTGTCCTCAAAAACACTGGCTAGCTTGGTCAGGTCCGAAGTTCAAGCGAATTTTCTAGTGACCAACCATACAATTCATGTACATTTGTGTGACATAGTTTCAGGACAATTATGAACATTGTGCTTGCAATCACAAGAGCATACGTTCAAATACACATCACATTTAATTCAGTTCATTATCACGAAATGGGTAAAGTACAAACCACTTATTAAGATGCATCACTCAGAAGATTTCAAATATTTTTGCCTGAGACAAACTGCTCCCTCACATAGGAATATGGAATTGATACCACAGTTACAGGATTGATAATGTTTGAAAGAGTAAATGCTTGAAAGACATTGGCTGACTGTATGTAAGACTGTAGATAAGTGTTAAAATACAACTAAGGTAGATTGGGATGAAAGAAATTTACCAAAATGGTGGAGGATATGGTGACCATAAATCCCACTTTATTAAAAAACTAACCTGCTCCTGATGGCCTCAAATGAAAATGGTTAAATTTCAAATTAAAGCTTTCGTGACTGCAGGGATTCATATTCTTGGTTCTTTCGGGAAAGTCACGTAGAAGGGAAATAATAAAATAATATTATTTATCGGTAAAGTCACGTAGAAGGGAAATAATAAAACAATATAAAAATATTCTTCATTATTTTATTATTTCCCTTCTACGTGACTTTACCGAAAGAACCAAGAATATGAAAAGGGTTAAGTTTAACAAAACAATACTTCCACAACCAAGAGGAATGATCACAGCACTTGGAAAGGATAATGAAGACCAGAAACCCATGGCAAGTCCAACACCTTAAAACCATCTTGTTTCATTCACTAAATACATTTGTATAAATCATTGTCAATTTGGTTCTTGCCAAGAGAGCTGCTATCACCATGTGGCACTTTTCTCACTGGATGCTGTGAAAACGCCAAGCTCATCTGCGTCATGCATCTCACCTTGAGTAGGGAGAAGACGCTGTCCACCTCCCCCTGGCCCTTCAGTGGGTAGTCACCCATGAACTTCATCACAGCTGGGGTGGAGATGAGTGGAGAATGAGACACAGACACACATTTATCATTACCACAGTTTGGCACCATAAACATGAGTTGGCCATATGGAACATGGGGGTTTCCTCATCTTGTAAGTCTTATTCATCATTTTATAATTGTAAATTTAGGCCAAACCCATTCCACAATATCCACAGGGAAAGAAAAAAATGTTCCAACAACTTGTGTGTGTGCTCTGTATGTCATTACGTGCATATGCACAGTTATCCAGATCTCCACTACAAAATGGATAATTTTTCTAAATTTTAAATAAACGTCTGTGACTAAACTACAAATTATTGCGTCTTTCGGTGAAGTCACGTAAATCGAAAATTGAAAAAAAAAATCTAAAATTAAAAGAAAATAAAAATAAAAGATAAAATAAAAATATTATAAAAATAATAAATAGAAAATAATAAAAGCAAAAAACCCACGACGTTTCGATCGCAACACAAGCGGTCTTCATCAGGCGGAGAGAAAAGAGGGGCCATGCCTCCAAATGTAGCTGCTTATAAGGGTTTTAAAGTGAGTGGGTGGGGGGGGGGAAGAGCTGCGCAAGCAACACGAGCTGCAGGAGCAACACAAAGGGGGAGTTGGGTGTAGGTGAGCTTGTGCAGCGCAAACAGCGTGGGCAGGGCAGCTAGTCAGACAATGGGAGGGGAGGAATGGGGCAGAGACAGGGGGAGAGAGAGGGGGTGGGGCAGAGATGGGGGGGGGGGGGTAGAGATGCGAGTGGGGGGGAATTGCACCTCGCTACACCCATCCACACAGCTGACGGTAGAGGTTGACAAGGAAACACAAATTGAAGTCATGACCCAAAGTGGTTGATGACATCTTTCCAATTTCATCCGAGACGACGGTTTTAAACTCAGCAATCATTGCGCATCCCTTTCCCGCGCCCACTCCCTTTGGAACCCTTATAAGCAGCTACATTTGAAGGCTTGCCCCCTCTTTTCTCTCTGCCTGATGAAGACCGCTTGTGTTGCGATCGAAACGTCGTGGGTTTTTGCTTTTATATATTTTTTATTTTTATTAATCATAATTTTATCTTATTATTTTAATTTTATTATCATTTTATTTTTTTATTTACGTGACTTTACAGAAATAACCAACAATATGAATTCCTGCAGTCACGAAAGTTGAAAGTCTAAACTGAACTACAAGTATGTGGTAGGAAGTTCACCTACCAAGGAAGGCCTCCACAGCCAGCTTGTTGAACTTGGGGTCTTGTGAGTGAATCAGAGACTCCTGGATGGGAGACTGGACACAGATAGAAGACAAAGATCACTATGACCCTATACTAACATTCACATGAATATGACTGTGCTCAAAGCCAGCTTCTTTCCTGCAGTTGCAACTTGTCTTGAACCGAACGCAATAACAAAACATCACCAGCTTTATATAACGTTGACTCCTTATGCACAACACAGTCATTCTGATACGTTAATAAAGCCAATGGACCCATCACCATGCAGTCCGACCTCAAGAGAAGCCTAAATATGGTTGAGCCCCATGCTGGGATGGGTGAAAATGAAGATGCCAAGTTGCTAGGATTGGCAATGGATTCTCATTATGGGGAATCTTCCCACGTACGTGTCCAACATTGGTGCCTTGGAGCCAATTCATGGATGTGGTCTGGTCATTCGCACGAGATCCTGGCCTGATTTTCACAGATTTGTTTCCAGTTGATGGGGACGGTTGTCGGCCAGAGAAGGCATGACCTTGTTTAAGAAGCCTCCAGCGTGCCTCATTGTGGAGGCGATGCAGTTTGTAGGGAGGGCAAACCAATGATCGCCACTTTTTAACATTCATTTGGTGGCTAAACCCAGCTGCTGTTAATATACTGTGGACACTTTCTGCTGGGGTTTGTAAGGTAATGTGAGTTTTAACCAATCCTACTTTTTTACGACCACAATATGATATGTTAATAAATACGTGCATTTCAAACTGCTTCTACTTTTAAATAGTGACTTTGATCAAATTAGTAAAACCTGCTGAAGGCATCTCGATTTGGAGTTGTTTGATTGGAGGGCACCTTGTGAATCGATGATGGTCACCTTACCTTGGTGTACTTGACCATCTCGGAGGGATCCGTGGGAGCCTTTTCTTTCCGCAGTTTTCCGCGCCCTCCATTTCTGTGAGCGAATCACAATGTGGCATGTATTTTTTAAGAGTTTGTGTATGACAAAAATAAGTGTAAATCAATAGAACTGCATTGTCAATCAATGCCACATCGAACCAATTAGCATGGCTGATCAAGCTCTGACATGCACATTCAAGGATAAAACAAGAAAAAGAATAATCAGACAATATATCTCCTCCATATATCTGTCTCTACATATGACAAGACCATTCTTTTTTACACTTCCTGTCAACAAAATGGCCTTCTGGTAATTTCAGCAGCATTGGTTCAATACAGGAAAACTCTGGACCAATTTCGACATACAGTGCCTCCGCAGAGTCAGGCTTGCTTGAACAAATGTCCGTGATGTTAATATATGGGTCCTAATTCTAGATTTGAAGCTTTCGTGACTGCAAGGATTCATATTCTTAGGTTTTTTCGGTAAAGTCACGTAGGTAAAAACATCAAAATTAATGAAAATAAAATAAAACAAAAAATCACGACGTTTCAAAATCACGATGTGTTGCCTCCGAAACGTCGTGATTTTTTGTTTTATTTTATTTTATTTTCATTAATTTTGATGTTTTTACCTACGTGACTTTACCGAAAAAACCTAAGAATATGGGTCCTAGTTTAATGAAAATTATATAATTCATAACACAATATAATCATAACCAAAAAAATGAATGGCTATGTTGTCCAAGGAAGATGTTAAGTCTAAACCAGATGACACAGACAATGTTGTTGTGTTTGAGAATATGATTAAATTACTTTTTGTTCATCTGCAAATGTCAAGTAATGCAGTAAAAAAACACACGAAAAGATAATTCAGTACTTTCTTACAAATCAAATTCGCAACGTTAATGACTGTACTCTCTTGGTTTTATTTAGCACAGTTGCTAATCACAGGCCCCAAATATCCAAAACGCAGGTGTCCAATAAAATACAGGACTAATGAAGAAGGAATAGATAAGCGTTAATATGTTTGTTGAACAAAGCACGGTTGCGAAAAAAAAACTTGGAAAAAAGTTTAGAAGAACTTGATCTGCTAAAACAGTGTGGATGAGACAAAAGAGTCTGTCTGGTAGACCAGGTCCTCAACATGGATGGAGGAATCAACGAATGACATTCACAGGAACAGTGACCATGGTAGTAGTGGTCTCAACTCAAAGGTCCATTGTTGCAGGAACTGCACTTACTTCTGCTCATGCACGTGTGCATAAAATTGCAAATGCAGTGAATGCAATGTGAAAATGTGGTTTGGCACTAGCTGCGCCTTGTGTGCACATGCAGCCACGGTGCCATGAGACTGTGTTTTGGAGGTGGGATTAACCCACACCCACGGAAGCCAATCCAGCCCTACAAGGCTAGTGGTCATCGAGACTGGGCGACGCACTTACTGGTTTGCCTGTGCCTCTCGGAAGAACTTCTTGGCGAAATCGAGCATCGTGTAGCCTCCGTCTTCCGAGGCAATGCTCATGCAGTCATCCAGGCTGTCCGTGTACTCGCTGGCCACTGACGATGTCTGTGCACATAAAAAAAAATACCATTTGTTTATCAATTCATTCTCTGAGCGTTAAGTATTTGCCGGCATCAGTTAGTCGAACAGAGAACTCTCCGTGCTCGTCACGTCAATTTGTCCCACCCAACAAATATATAGTGGCATGATAAAACTCGGATAACCCAAAACACATCTGAGAGCCACACAGTTCCACTGTGAAAATATACGCAGTATTCATTAATACCGATCACTAATTAGTGCGCAGAATTTAGGCGCACGCCAGTAATCCAGAAACGTGCAGATGGGTTAGTGGACCATGCAGAGATGGAGCCGTTTTATAATTAACACACCCACCTGCATGACAATATGATGGGGCCTAGGTGGGGATAAAGTGTGGGTACTGCTACCACTTCCAACACGTCTAGGCAGCCTGGAAGAGTAGGCCAACATACCATATAGAGGAGCTCTATAGATATCTATCTAGTGGAAGCCCTTCCACCAACAGTGGCTTGAGCAAATTATTGCAGGGCTGGACCTTTACCTTACCACCCAACTTAGCACCATAGTTCTCTGCCGAGATGGTGTGTGTGTGTGAACTTGTGAGTGTCCAGACCTCAGTTCCACGGTCGAGATCGGCCACGTTGCTCCCGGCAGCACTAAGCGCGCCTGTAGGCCGGTCAGACAGATGCTCGTATTCCGGTGGAGCGGCCGGTGTCACATACTCAGCAGGGAAGAGCCCCGAGCGCCCGTTCCTCATGCCAAAGCGCCAGCCTGGATGCCCCGCCACCGGCGAAACGAACGCACACGCAGCGTCAGCAGGAACCATCCGACCTATGACGAGGCGCTGGCGCTAGCTTGGGCTGCTGTGGGTTTAGCCTCCAACACATTGTGCAGACAAATGAGTCATCACAATCGGGAACGCCACAGCTAATAATGAGAAGGAAAATATCTCCGGTAGTTTTCTTTGCTGTCAAAGCGGTAGCTGGTTTATTTACACGTAGACATGGATTCAGTGGATGGTTGTGTTAATAATGGGAGAGAATGAATGGCTGGTTTGTTAACAATGGCAGGTGGCAACCACTCCAAGGTTTGTCTGATTGGTTTGTAACTGGCCGATTCAAGCACACCCTGGTTAGCTTCTTCGACTTACTGTGACCTTACAGTTTGTTTTCAGGCTACTCATTCTACCTATTCTCTACGAGTTTCCGAAAGAGCCTTTGGAATCACAATAGGGAAGTTGATATCCTGGCAACTGGCAGGCTCTGTCAAAGAGTATAGACATCACGTAACATCTTCTTTTTCCAGATTAACATCGAATAACTAGACCAGCAACACGGGCAGCGAGTCACTGCTTGCATTGCGAGTGGGAGAGTAGGGTGCACGGGGCTTGAAGATTTGGATAGATCTCAAAAGACAACGAAAAAAATAATTCACAATGCCTTCATGAGGGCTGGTGCATACACTCAATAAAACCTTCCATGAGGTAGAGACAAAAGCCTCATGCTCACGGTGCAAGTCAGATGGTGAGGAAGGCCGAGACAAGTGTAATCGGTGACCATAAATCAAATCATTAGTCAATTTGATGTTGGCGCAATTATTATAGCGCAAGGTTACAATGAAGGCGCTGTGTTTCACCGACAATTATAGTCTGCAGTGGATTTACAATAGGTGCAATGTTGCTACGTGGCTTTACCAAATTCATTTAATTTGTGGTTAATTATTTTCAAATTTGGATCAGAACGCAAGCACACATGGCCATTCTTTCGTGAATAACGATGTAAAATCTCTTTAATGTTTACTGTTAAGTGAATCAAGCAACGCGTGTTCTTCTTTCAAACAGCCGCAGTGTTAACTAGGGCGGCCTCTGGGCTCGAACCACGAACCTCTGCAACATGCGACAAATGCGCTGAGGAAGTGCAGTGAAACCTCCCATATTGTGTATCATTGCCTGCTATTCGAACTATTGGAACCTTTTTAATTTTACAATCGTAGACATAAAAAAAATCGATAACCGTGTATGATAAAAAATAAATCCCGAGCTAGAGATGTTAAATTACTGATTCATGTACCCCAGGATGACAAAAAATAAAACCTGGTGAGTGAAACCTATAAGCCCATACATCCTCTTATCTGTGTCAAATTTACGACCACAGTTATTGATATAATTACTGTGGTGTATTTGTACGTGACCAAATCATTCAGAATGTGCGCAATCTTGTCAGATCTTGTAAATTAAGCAGAATGTAGACAGAATAGAGCTCGGATGGGTGGTTGGATGTCAAGCAGGTGACACCATTTCATGATCCTCAAACCCCACCTCAAGATTATAGGATGACTAATGTGTGCCTCCAAAGCTGGTGCAATTATATATATAGTATATAGAGCCCTATTGTCAATTCCTTTGTGGATGAGGCCTCCCCACACTATGTATGTATGTTGAACTTCTTTCATAGCGTACATAGCCAACTGTGCTAATTGGAGGTGCAGGGAAAGGACCACAAACTAAACACAAAAAGCAGTTCGCAGGAAATTAGTTTTCAATCTAGATCTAGATTTTGGTCGTAGGGCTAATTTGGCCATATTTCTCCATGCTGGTCAGTGCAGGTTGTTGAAGGCAGATAACATAGATGTGGGGACATAGCAGTACAGTACAATGAGGTATATTGCTGTATTATCCTCTGATGCGAACCATATAGTAAAATTGTAAAAAAATATATAGTTCCTATGGGACAGCCAACTAAGTTTTCTGTAAAAATACACAAAGGTTCAAAAATATCATTGCATTATGTGAAATGGTCCGTCTACAAACGATGTGAAATTTTCCATAGAACTGCAATTTATGTGGAACCACAGATGCCCACAACATCCTAACTATGCTCCCCTCTTCCCTAAGAAAGATTCCTCTTTTCACCTCATAGGCTCTGGGCAATGTTTGTTGCCACCTATTAAAACCAGAAAGGCTCACGTAACAGCAGTGGAGCAAGTACCACACATGCCCAGCCACATTCGTCTCCCCAGTGGTCAGTGGCCAAAGCCAGGGCCAGGCTCAGAGACCAAGTGCCTCTGTTTTTTTATAATTAGGGCGAGAATTGAACCTGGGTTGCTACTCTGCCACTGTAAATTCCACACCACCACCTCAGACTGGCCCATACACACCTACAAACACAGCCATATGACTGCACATGTGTGTTAGGGTGTGGGTCAGTGAGAGTCTGTGTGGGGAGCAGCATCACAGAGTTTCACAATTGTTCACAAAGACCAACAAAACAAAGATTGCACTTCAAATTCATGCAGAAAATCATGCTCCAGGAATGGCCAGGGAAGAAAAAAACACAAGGACAGCAACAATAATGACAACAGGATGGAAAACTGTAGGAGGGAACGTCATTGGGTGAGGGGGAGGGAAGGGGGAGGGAAGAGGGAGGGATCTTTCGCATCAGCCAAACCCTGCACACAACACCACCAGCACTCCCATGCCCCCCGCCTCCTCCCCGCCTTCTAACCCACCGAAGTCAGGGGCGTTTCGCTTACATCCCTCCAGCAAAACCACCCTTTTCCTGACAAGGCAGCCGTACCAGACGCCTGCAAGGCAAGGCAGCGGCATGGTGGAAGGCTCAGTAGGTGGGGTCAAAGTACGGGGATCAGGAAGGAATGGTAGAGATTGGTGGCCGTGTAGCTCAGTGGTGGAAAATATCTACTCTATGCTCCTGAACCAGATCTCAAAAAATATTTTTTTATTGAACCCCCAGGTTATTCCCTTTCTCCAAAAGGTGACAGGTTAACAAGACAGGCATTGCAGTGGCACCCAGAGGTCGTTGACCAAGGGGCAGACACTATAAGAAATGGCCTTGGAGGTCAAGTGTCTACCTTGCCAGATTTGTAAGATTAAGCAGAACAAAACCACTTGTTTTTCAACATTAAACTGTCCACATGTTTTTGTGAAGCACTTACTTGTTATATGGATAACTTTTAATTGACATTTCTCAAAAGCTATCGCTGCTTACTTTGTTGTCTTGCGGTAGAGAATGGTATAGTTGCATGCCATTGATTAGAAAAAATATTCATCTGTGAGCCACATGGACAGACGTTGCATATGCTATCTGTAGTCTATATATATAGATGTTCCACATTTGTAAAATACCCATCGGGATCTGCATTGATGTAGGAGCCTGTGCTTGCTAACAAGAGCAAAAACGCAATGACCAACTGTTCAATTGCTTGTGCAAGGCAGCTTATAATCGCCTATGTGACGACTGGCACACACACGGTGCCACTCGCCAGAAAAGTGGACGGAGGAAAGGGAGTGGTGGGGATGGGGCTGGGGTATCGAGAGGTGATTGAGGATTAAAAAACATCATTCATCTCCAGTTCCCTTAAGCAGCGTCTCCTCTCACAGGATTCAGCTGAACAGAAGATAAATATTGACACACACACATTAATAAACAGAGAAAACGGACATACGAAGGTCCACAAAACATTTAGAGAGCACCAACTTAACAGTGGTTCTGACGGCTCGTAAGATTTCTTGTAAATGTATGAATACCCGATGTCATACCTCTCCCATTTACTCGGAGTTACGAGTGCTATATCATAGCCTGTGTTGTACTCCAATATATGAGCAGCATGTTAGGAGCCTGTTGTCAGCACGTGACAGACGATCTCTACAATTCCTCCTGTTTAATCGCAGACCTCCATGGATTCGAGAATGGCCATGGAGCAAAATCGTTCTGCAGTATGAGATATCTTCAAGGAATTCATATAGCGCCTTAATTAAGACACTTCACAAAAAAAATCACAATTTTACATATGAATGTAATGGTGGAGATGAGGTGAATGAAATAGATGAGAGGAATAAATGGACAAATTTGCTTTGCGTCAATTCGGTGAAAGCGAAATTGATGATAGTAAACGATGATGAATGGATTGAATGAATGCGGAATGAGTGAAAGCCATATGAGAATATGAGGAGTAAAAAGTAACGGTGGCGGTTATAAGGGGGGGATTAAGGGGTCGTGAGGTGAGCTAGGAAAATAAGTGAGTCTTGAGTGCGGAGCAAAAACTAGTGAACGTAGGTGACTGTTTAATGTGGAGGGGAAGTTTGTTCCAGTTAAGGGGGGCGAGAAGAGAAAAAAGAACAAAAACATGGATTGAACGCAAGGAGAAGGAGGAACAGAGAGAGACGGCAAAGATTGAGAACGAATTGGAAAGGAAGGACGTCTCTGGGCACCTGGCTGAGTCACAATGCGCATCGTTACCCTGTGTGGCTTGCTTGATGCACGTGCACAGATAGATCTGCTGCTGTGCAGCAGTATGTGCATCTTATTCTTGGGTTTTTTCGGTAAAGTCACGTAGGTAAAAAATTTCAACTAAAATTAATAAAAGTTAAATAAAAATCACGACGTTTCGGAGGCAACACAAGCTTCCGTCTTCAGGTGGAACCGTCACAACACGATTGTTGCATCAAGTGAGATAAATTCTGTGATGGTTCCACCTGAAGACGGAAGCTTGTGTTGCCTCCAAAACGTCGTGATTTTTATTTTACTTTTATTAATTTTAGTTGAAATTTTTTACCTACGTGACTTTACTGAAAAAACACAAGAATATTAATCCTTGCAGTCACGAAAGCTTCAAATCTAGAATTATGTGCATCCTGTATTCTGAAGCATACGTGCACTATGTGCAAGGTGGAGTAAGCTCATGCAATCGCAGAGTGACATGCATGGTGCAAGAAGAATAGATATGCACTTGCATATCCGTGCACGAGCACCTCTGTTACTAATATTGGCCATTAAAATCAATCTTAGACATGATCATGCAACTATGTACACACATTCTAGGAGTGTAACACTGAATGGGCATTTACAACAATGCACATATCCGCACACTGGGCTGTCTTCATCCTAAAGGTTATCTTCAAAAAAATCTGCTGACGACCCAAAGGACCGCTTAGTTCCTCTAAACCCCTCCCGTAGCCTCAGAAGTGCCTCCTTATTCCGACTAAAAACTCCATTTCCTAAAACTTTGGTTTAAAAGGACTACCCCGTTGGTGCTTCCTGTTTCTGGAACACCTTTGCCGCTAAGCTACAGCTTGGTTCCCTCCCTTAACTCCACCCCTCTTTACTTCCCCATTAAACCAAAAAACACAGCAGACTTGCAGCTGTACCTAACTTCTTCTTGGCGGCTCTTCCACAAATTTGCATTGTAATTTTTAAATTTGCACGTGTCTACGTCACCATTGCACTAAAATATTGAGTTTATTTGCACTTGTGCCTGATATTTTCTACTGTATTTTACTTGAGTGTGTTTCTTTTACGAACATTAAATATTTCGCTTGTTAGCTGCGCAACACTCCTTAAGGAGACTGTAATTGTCCTCTGCAATAATGATGGGTTTTTTTTCTTTGTTGTTGCCGTCCTCACGCACCACGGATCTCCCTTGTAAAATCGCCGTGCAATTGGCTAAACGGGATCATTCGTTTTTTTTTTACAACATTTATTTAACAAATAAAATTAAATGCGCACGTGATGTGACTTAAATGTAACCTGCAAACTGCTATATGTCCATGAAGATTAACACACACATCATCTCTCACAAGAACAGCTATACTGAATATGCATAGCACGTGAAGACGAGCCCACGCATGAATACAAACACAATGTGAGTGGTCTGACACTGAAAAATAAGTAGACTTGTCAGCAAAAAAAGGCAGACAACCCAGCAGAAAATCACAAGAGTTACAGAATAATAACTGAGGCAAATCAAAACTATGAACATTTCGAACACAATACTGCAGACACAAGACAAACAGATTTTGCAATTCGTCAGCAACACAAGCAAACAAAAAAACAGAGAGACGACACAAAAAAACATTGTGCTGACAAGCAAGCTGAGCATGCTGGACTACAAGAGGGCCAGACGTAGACCCAGACAGACCGACAGAACGCGCCGACCCTCACCAGGCTCCAGCCCGTCCAGGGGCAGCAGCTTGATGAGGTCTCCCTTGTGGAAACTGAGGAGGCTCCGGTCCTCCGTGGAGTAGCTCCTCACCGCGACCACGTAGTTCGAGTCCTGTGCAGTACAGCGACATCGGTTTTCGCAGTTGTGCTTTACGGCTCTTGTGATTTCTGATTGTGTTTTCGGGTTTTATTGCATTTCTGAGGATTTGCTCCTGGGAGCTTCTCAGTGTTTGCAGAAGCTTCCCTGCACGCTGGACATGGTGCTGAACAACACATTTAAGGGTTCTGCAGTCCAACTGGTATTTATAAAGCATCCTCGATACACCGAATCTCAAGGCACCATACAATCGGGCCACTCCAACAGCAAAAATCAGAATCAACACTGAAGCATGTCTGAATGTACCCGAAACTGAATGAACATGCATTCCTAGCAATGCCAGGCTGATATTAAGATTGACACGATCATTGTGAACCAGACAATTTGTGATCATCATTGTGTTTGTAAATGGACAGCGCTTTTGTGAATTCACTGCTGGATGAGGGTTTCCCCACGCCGTGCATGACGTGGGGGTTATTCCGATTAGACTTCAACACACTGGTTAGTACATATTAGTGAAGGTGGGGAGCACAAGTAGAGTACAACAATGGATTTTTTTATACACTGCCCTCTGCTGCATACCACGTAACCCTGCATATCTATGATAACCTATTTTGTACAAAGTGGTTACCCTTCCAAACACTATCCAGACACAAATCCTGCTAAGCTTCTGAGATCCGTATGTATGTTGAACTTCTTTCGTACCATACGTAGCCAAACGTGTAAATCGGAGGTGCAATTATTGTGCAAGTGTAATGGGCTGATCTCATTACACTTCCACAATAATTGCATATTCCGGGTAATTTGATCACGTGTAAGACTTTTTTGATAAACCATTTCGGGTCTAAATTGATTGTGTTCACGCTTACGGTGACTTTCAGACCGCATTCCTTTTTCTTCTCCCCCCTCCTCTTTTCCCGAACATAGATGGACTCGTCCATCTGGCCAACTGCCAAATCGCTTTCCGTGGTGCTGACGTTAGGAAAAACCGCCACCTTTTTTCAAATTTTCTTGCTGTGGATTTCACACCTGATGATGATTGCTTGTGTTACAGTCGAAACATCGTGAGAATTTTTATAGTTTAATATTTTGTTATTTTATTATTTCCCTTCTACGTGGCTTTACCGAAAGAACCAAGAATAAGAACACGTGTAAGACGTTTGTTAAAATGCTGGTACATGGTAGCAGGTGGTGCCCAACTTTCTATCAGCCACTCGGGGAGTGAGGAGTGCTGCACCTTCTTGAGCTCGGTGATGAAGTGGTCGACCATGGCCTTGACGTGGGCCGCCTTGGGAGAGAAGAGAAGCAGCTTGTCGCGGGACAGCATGAACTCCAGCGTCTTTGCGTCCAGCAGCGTCACAAACAGCACGTCCGCATAACTGCACAGGGTACCGGTACTCATTAAAGCTCCACGCACGGCTCTTACAACAGGTGCTCGCTCACTGCTATTGCTGACAATCAAAACAATCACTTCCTTAAATATGATAAAATTAACATTATCACGTTGGATGCTGTTTAACTTGTCAAGGAAAATGTAATGTATGGATATTCTTTTGCACCGTACGTAGCCAACCATGCTAATCAGAGGTGCGGGGGAAGGACGACTAAACACAAAAAGCAGTTCTAAAGAAATGATTTTGCTAAGAGGGGCCAATGCCTGAAATGTCCCCTATCATATATATTTTTAAAAACATAATTTTAAGGCAATGTCATAGCGTTGAGTTTTGTTAGTTTAAGTGGCCATTAGCTCTCTGTGTTTTAAGGTTGTGCCGCTTGTTGTTCTACATCATGTCCGACGTTTCGCCCCATGTGCTTCATCATGCCGAACAGCACACGGCACAACGTGAAAGCACAACGGGAGGGTTGCGCAGCGCAATCGCTCAAGCCTGCGCAGTTGTGAAGTGTTCACTATTCATTGACGCAAATCACTGATCACCTGTAGCTGTGCAGCACACGCAACTGCGGCGGATCGGAGGGTCGCGCTCGGTGCGGCGCCAGCAACTTCACCCCCTTGTGGGAGACGCCCAGCATCTGGACCTCAGTGCCCGCGCTGCCCTGCACCGCAACACGTACAGACGAAGATTGTCCAGGCTCGCAGTTGAGCCTTAGAGACTGAACTGATGAAGAGGTTTCGATTTAAACTTTTCGTGACTGCAGAGATTCATATTCTTGGTTCTTTCGGTAAAGTCACGTAGAAGGGAAATAATAAAATTAAAAAATATAAACATTATAAAAAGGCGCTCTCCTCCTCCCACCCAGCTTAAAATATGCTGCCAAGCTTAGCAGTGTCCATTACGACGCTATCTTTCTGACAGCTCTGTTTCTTCACCTTAGGACGGCTGCTTGCGTTGTGGCCGAAACGTCGTGATAATTATATTTTATTATGTTTAATTTTTATTATTTTATTATTTCCCTTCTACGTGACTTTACCGAAAGAACCAAGAATATGATAAAGAGGTGTTCGCGTGCGCCTATCAAGGTTGGCACCACAAGCGGGTGAGCAAAGTGGCCAGCATCACACATATCTGTATGTCTGTGTGTCCCCACCCTGGTGCTGCTGTTTACTCACTACACCAGGTACTCATTTAAGGCCGAGTCAATATAGATGACCAGAGCTCGTTCAGATATTCATCACTGATGTTGGACGTAATTGGGCATCAAAATGGGAACACTGGGGTTCATAGTACAATGTGCTAACCACTACACTACCACTCCCTACAGTGGCACACACAGTAGCAAAGAAAGTGTCACACGCGCACCGTCGCAGGGAAGAGACGAGCGAAGTACGTGGCCCAATTGTCCCTCGCAGCCATGATGACCCTCTTCTTCAGCAGCTCATCAGCGGAACTGGCATCCGGACCCACACGGCAGTCCGCTACCAAACGGACACATTCCCAATCAGCAAACTGCGTCACTCAACAAACTCTGGAGGGCAATGGTGTGTATGGCCTCAGATTAATGGGATTTAAATGGCAAGGTGATGTAACTGGGAGCGTGCTCACTGCAATAGGCAATGCTCACACTGAGTCATGCATATGAGGCAAGGTAACACAGCAGCCCATGGCAAAGGATGTGGACTCCTCTTGTAACCCGGTAATTTGAGTACACACAACACACAGATTGACGCTGCTGTACGCAAACTGAATAGGCCCGAATCACGTGGGTTTTTGCCTCATCCATTACTTATTTGGAACAAAAAACATCCCCATTCCACATTACAGATTTCAAAGGACCCACTGCTCCACCCACAATTACACAATTGTCCGAGGTGACCAGGGTTATGGTGGAGACCATCATGGGGAAAAGTTATGCAATCACATGTATATTGATCGAATAATCACTATTTTTTATTATAAATAAAAGTAAATACACCAGCTATGCACAGGACAAATGTGCAACAAGGCAAAGATCAAAATAGTCATAAACATTGACAATGTTAATCATTACAATAAAAATACTAGTCTAATACAAACCAGAAGCAAATTCTCCTGACATCTGCAAATTCAGACCGCTGTGTTAGCACTGCCAGAAATTTGAAGCCATGTAATATTTCTGTTAATAAATTTAAAACATACACCACGATTAGTGACCCATTATTGCTGTAAGAATGCCCTACACCAAAACACGCCACACAATGTATTTACCCCTAGCCGATTCCGTGCACCACACAATCCTAACTCTCCAATTTACCGACGAATGTGTGGGAGACTTACCCAACATGCTCTTCATCTTCTCGCGCTCGCCCGGAGTGATGCGCAAGCACGTCGCGGAGAACGTGTCGTGGACAACCTGGCCACGTACACAACACGATTCACTATAGGCTCAGCTTTTGTAATTTTGTATGAGCATCAACTTCACAAACCTCACAGGGGCATTCAGAGGGGCTTCCTATTACTTAAATAAAAATTAAAGCATCTCTGAATTATCTTTGAAAGAGAACCGTTGTGGTGGTGGTGGTGGGGGGTGGTGTCCACACCTGTTTGAAGAGGAGATTCACCACCATGGGGTTGTTGAGGCTCTCCTTGGGGTAGAACACCTGTGGAACCACAGTGGAGGTGACATTCATTAAAGTGTCGAAAGGGGTAATGCAAAGCCATTACCTACAGCGTAGAGAATAATAAATAAATACAAATCACGAACATATTGGGATATAATTATTGCGGCCAAAAGAAAAAAACTGTAGTCATTAATCGTTGCATTATTACGTGCTTAATGAGCACGCACATGGAAAACGCCTTTTAAAAACCCGCAAATGTATAGACCTTTAATTACGGTGGTGAACTTTGATTTTTGTTATTTCTAAAATATTTTGTCAAGATCAATGACAAACACAATATGACGACATCATGCCACACTACTGCATGGTAACATGCCTGGGAGAAAGAGAGACCCCTGAGCACAAACGGCAACAACAACAACAACAAAAATCAACAAATGTGTCAACAACACTGCCTTAAAAGGACAAATATAGAGCAGATGGTGGGACACATGCCTCCTTGCGAAGGAGGATTTTCCAGGGCACTTTGCTGTAGATGTACGTGTGGTCGGTGGGCAGCTGGTGCAGCTGAGTCTCCACTCGCTCCTCCTCAGGCTCAATGGGACACAATCCTGAATCTTCTTCTAGCACAGGTAGAGATGCAATCCACATTCAAGGCATTAATGACTTCATCACGTAGGTGTCCACGGTTGTGCTGTACAGCTCTCTGGTTTGTTTCATGGTTGTACTACGTGTTGCTCGTGTTGTTGTTCCTGAAGGAGCTTCCACACAAGTGGAGTGAAACGTCGGACATAATGCCAAACACCACACGATACGAACCGAAAACAAATCATATGAGTTTTGCTGTTTTGGTGCGGTAAACTCGGCGCATGAAAAACTATTCACCCAAAAAGTTAATAAAAAACTGCCATGACTTATTTACCATGATAAACTTTCAGAAATAACGTGAAAGGACTATTACAATTAACTTGAGATCACATACTGTAGCACAGTTTTACCAGGTAGGGATGGGATCTAAACCATTTGAATAGTAAAATTATTGCACCTGAATATCAAAGCAAAATAGGCACAAAAACGTTGCGTAATTAAACAAATGTAAATAATCATTTAGATCCCTTTATCAATCTACTGCTGGACGAAGGCCTCCCAATGCTGCCATGTTTTGACCACGCTATTCAGTTTGGGTTTGTGAAATGGGAGGGTGCCCAGGACTGGTTCAATTACACTGGTCAAAAAAAAAAATCTTTTTTTTCTGGCCTGGACTTTGCAGCTGTTTTAGACTAATTTTAGGGTGCTGATTCCAAATCTGATCTCAGATTTGCTCTATCACATATATTTTACCCGAAATCAACTCTGTCACTTATGATTGCAAGTTGTTGCGAGTCAGTGACTGTTTTAGTGTTAAAATATGGTGCTGTATTTTTAGGATAGTGTGTTTATAATATCATTTTATGTAGATATCCACATTTATTTAATATTTTTCTTCTGCAATTGTTATTGAAAATGCAATATTTGATATCTCAAAAACCTGATACCAGATTTGGAATCAGCACCCCAAAATTACCTTAAAACCGTTGGAATACCTTATGCCAGAAAAAGCGTGTTGACCAGTGTTATCAATAGCCACTGATGTTGGCCTTGTGCTGGAAATAAAACTCTTGTCGCCAAATTCAAAGAGCTCTGAACTACTGACTGTGCCACCACTGCACCCAAACAATTAATAGTTAAAGGAATAAGAAACCCCGATAGAGCAAGGTTTTACATATGGTAACCATTTTCCGGCAATATTTTCAGAGGTAGATTCATGAACCTGTTATGAACTGTACAATATGTTCAACAGCCGCTATCTTTGCATACCTGTAAAACCCTTATCAGTGCCTAACTCATTACAGATCAATTCAGACCTTATTGGTCACCCCTGTGCCCTTATAAATCTCAACGTTCACCCTACAAAGTCCCATCAAAGGGAGAAACACAAACAAATAGACACATTTTTGTTGTCCGTATTGGAACGGCCTTATGGGCCGGAAAACTCAATTTCCCTACACAAGAATACGGGGTAAACCGTATGGGTTGACAGGTATGTCTTTGGTTTAGAGTCACCAAAAGAGGTGGGCAATGCTGATGCTTGTTAACGCAAGGGGATATTTTAATCCACTCCCTCCCCGTGCCAAGATAAAAAATATTATGACGATGGTCCCTTTGTTCTCTACTTTCTGGATTGATATCCCACGTGCTGAGCTGGCATAATTCTGTAAAATAATCATTGACATGCAGATAATGACAACATATCAACATGTCAAGGGTAAGTAAACACCATGGAACATCACTGTGTTCGTTACATCCATAATGAAGCACTACACTAATCCACTATTGGCTTCAAAGCAGATTTTTTTTTTAAGGCCAAGCACATAACTGCAGCGATGAGAAAGTTTTCAAACTCTAAGCAAACATGTACTCATGATCTACAGATGGAAAATGACAAGTAGCTGACAGAGTAGACATGTTGTACGTAGCAGTTGTAAAATTGTGAAGCTGACGAGGTTGTACCCAGTGACTATTAGCACCCCCATCTCCTTTACCTTCCCCCAGCCAATGCTATGGCTTGTGGATCCAGAACTTCTTGGGTTTGGGGGCATGTTTTAGATGTGTTTAGGCATGCGGGTTGTTTGAGCCAACGTGACCACTCTGGTCATTGTTGTTGAAGGGAACTGAATTTTGGCTGTCCTCTTAGTGAGCATCTCACTGGTATGGGTTCCCCATTCCCGTATAGCTACTCAGGTATTAAAGGTGTTCAAGCTTCTTTACCACACCATGGTAAAGAAGGCTGCTCACGTTAATAACAATGCCAACACCGAGTATTGTGTCGTTTTGTGATGGTAATGAAATTAGGTGAGGAATTGTGATTCTGAGGCAAAACTAAACATATATAATTAGTATGTATTTTATGGCATTATTGTTACTGCTCTTTAAATAAAATGCTAACACTTCCCATTATCAAAATTGGGAAAAAGTTGGTCTCGGCAATAATTGGTATTGAGTGGCTGAGGGAAAAGGAAGTTACTAATTTGCGAGGCCGCTCGTATAACCACACATCTGCACAATCACAGATGCCGTTAAGTTTGACCCAGTCTCAATTTTAGCAACACTAGGGGAGAGCACATAAGCCTCTACACACATCAAGAACCCTCCACCAGAAAGTGCAACCAATGAACAATGAAAATTTTGATGTAAAGCTTTCGTGACTGCAGGGATTCATATTCTTGGTTCTTTCGGTAAAGTCACGTAAAAGGGAAACAATAAAATAATACACCTGATGATGATTGCTTGTGTTGCAGTCAAAACGTCGTGAGAATTTTATTGTTATATATTTGTATTATTTTATTGTTTCCCTTCTACGTGACTTTACCGAAAAAACCAAGAATATAAAAATGAACGATGAGTTTAACACGTAGGCATTCGCGACCAATATCATCCATAATAGAGGTATTTTTGGGTTAGATCGCGTAAATATATAATTGTGTCGTTAAAACCCGTCACCACCCGACACAGCCAACTAGTAAGGGTTGTCACGTAAACAGAACATGGCCAATTCGTCACTAGTACAGCACACCGATGTGTTGGTGAGCCAAGCCACAACATTTACAATTTGAGTACGACGTTTCGCCAGTAATAAAATCAAAGGGCACGCATAATGCACATGCATAATGTACGCTGCCTCAGTAATCCCCCCCACATTGTGCAAGAGCGCAGAAGCGTGGTCAACACATCTACGCCTCTATATTAGGAACGAAACAGGTGGACTTCTCCACAATTCTGGCTGTCGCCTGATGAAGCTAGTTGTAATTACTGCCGAAACGTCGTACTCAGATTGTAAATGTTGTGGCTTGGCTCTCCAACACACCGGTGTGCTGTACTCGTGACGAATTGGCATGTTTTGTTTACGTGACAACCCTTACTAGTTGGCTGTGTCGGGTGGTGGCGGGTTTAACGACACATTTATATATTTACGCGATCTAACCCAAAAACCTCTATTACGAATGAACGATGAATGGGCCAGATTGAGAGTTCAGCTTTGGAAGACACAGTCATCTACAAAGGACAATGGTGAGTGCTTAGCACATGCCCTCCCAGGATGGTGCACTCCATTCCAAATCCAAAGTGCATCATCTCATTAATTAGCACTCATGTCTGCATCATGTTGTGATGAGTTTAAAAGGACTGGAAGAGGCAGCATTGATTCCTTTCCAAAGCTGGAGTCTGGGTGCCATCTGATAGCAGGTTACCTCCGTTGATAATGGTCTCAGTTCCAAACCTCACAGAGACCCCGCGCTTTGCTGAGCATGCAAAGGCAATGGAGCGAAAGACCGTGAAGTTATCGAAAACATATTATCAGATAAATTCACGAAAGTTAAAAAGCAACCCGTAAAAGAAACCCGTAACTTTAAACACTTTTTTTCAAAATTAACCAATGTTGCGCTTTTCATGTTACATGTATTTATACAAACAAGAAATATTAACAAGGTTTTATTTTTCAAGTTTAAAAGTAAAATGACATACACAGTAATATTAATATTGTTGATAATACTTCTGTATTGCTATAATAACTACAGAGGCACAATGACTATTCAATTTCGAGTATCTCATCTGCTAGCGATGGTTTCAGGTTTTATAATGGCTCAAAGTAAGGGCCACTGAATGAGGATTTCAGCAATTAACCACATCTCAGGACTTGATAAGGTTTTAAAGAGTCACTCACTTATTGATTGTTATAATTCATCTCATTATGCTTGTTTACCCAGGAAAGCCTGATTGAGTCTTATGACTCTTATTCAGGAGGGTATAGAGAGTCTGTGTTTTTAATCAAACAAACAATACATGGCCCATGCGAATCAGTATCGCCGAATGAGAACTTCAACTTAATCATGGTTATCACAAGAAAGATAATTCAGGATTAGGATGATGTTCTCAGTAGGCGATACTGATTCGCACGGACCTTGCTTTTTGTTTAAAGCAACAGACTCTGTGTTTCATGGGACCTTTATTTACGAGTATCAATGTATGAAAAATAAGAAAAGGTGTTATCTTTTCTTCCAATAAAACAGCTGTTAAGATGTTCAAACCTCAAATAGAAACCTTTTGCAAGATAAGCCACCCCAAGATATAAATGTTCTGATAGTGCCTTATCTTTGTACTTTTTGCCTGTTGGCATTCTCTAGTCTGACACTGGTGAGACTAGGCCATAAAAAAGGCTGTCTCTAGTGTCGATCAATCAGTTTCAAAGACAATGCATATATTATTCGAACATGTTTGTTTGTATGTTCACCACAAGTACTTGTGGTTAATGCAGACTTGATTCCTCGAAAAAGGTTTCTATTAGGTGTTTGAACATCTTAAAACCTGTTTTATTGCCTTAAAGGGTCAAACCTATTCTTATTTTTCATACAGACTCTGTGTACTTTGGGGGATGCAGTTACAAGCCTTCTGAAAAAAAACGTTCTCCAATGCATCATATTGCCATTGCAGATAGTTCTCGGCAGAACTTAAATTAGTGCACAGGAATTCACGGCCATGCGTGTAGGCGAATAGTGCAGAAAAGCACATGCATCAATGCTCAATAGGGCATGCTGGGTTGTACGTCACACATATCGTGTGCAGGACCTGGGGCTTCTTACACCATCGTATCCCAATATCGCCAGCCACAAGTAATTTATGTCCTCTGACTACAAATTTTTGCATCTTTGAAAAACAGCGGATAACAAAAATGTAATTCCCCAACAATGATTGTAGATATGAGTGTGTGTTTACAAATTGATGGAAGTAAAAAATTAATAAGCTGGGTGTGCATAATAATAATAATAGAAACAAAAACCAAGACACACGGAGAATTCAGAGGGCCTGCCTCACTTTTCATGGAGCGTCGAGAGTCGCTGAAGGGCGGGGGAGGAGGCTTAAAGGCCGGGGGGTCGTCTCGTGAGCTCAAGGCCGCTCTCGCTTCTGCGATCTGTGACCTCTTCCGCTGCAGAGCATGACCACATCCCTACAAAAACAAAGATCCCCCGTATAGCCTTAACAGACTGTAGGGGCAAGTGCTGTTAGCGAGCACCTATGAAGGCCGGAACGGTACACGAACGAGGGTGTGGGTGGCCAGCACCACGCCCGACCGCCTTTGTCTCCCCAGTGGCGATGTTTACACACCGCACCAGGTACTCATTTAAGGCTGAGTCGACCTAGGGGAGGCCCAGGACCGGTTCAGATAATCGGCACTGGTCTTAGCCGTGAGCGGGAATCGAATCCGGGTCGCCAGGTTCATAGCGCAGCGCGCTAACCGCTACACTACCGATCCCTACATACACACAACCACACACGACCACACACGGCCACTCAACTACACACAACCACAAAACACACCCAACCACACGCAACCACTCAACCACACAATCACAAACCACAAAATCACACACAACCATGAACACAAACACGCACAACAACAGCCATGCACTACTAAGTGGCAGTTAATGCCTCCATAGTGCTTGTGTCAGGCTGGATGCACAGGTGTGATGGCTTAACTGACTGAGATGACTGGGCAATGCACCACCTGTGTTCCGCACTATGCCAACTTGCTGTACTCTACTCGTTGTTAAGAGCATTGCCCCTCCACCCTCCTCTGTTGCTGGAGGGCGGCTGCCTCCAACTGCCCAGTAGCATCCTTCATGAACCTCCTCCACAGACATTGCTGGCAACAGTCGTCATCCACTCACCCCAAGGTTCTCCTGCACCACAACAGTCCATCTCTTCTCTAGACCATACTGCCCCTTTTATCCAGCCAAACAGAAGCTGCTTGGGGATGCGGTGGCTGAGGCAGATTCCATTTCCTTCGCAACGTGTGACTGCTACTCATTCTTCCACTGCCATAAGCCTCCTTATTCGTGGGCATAGGATATCACAGATAGTGAGAATGGGACTACTATTGTCTTTCAGCTAGCTGGAACACCTTCTTTATCAGACAAGGTTTTTGTAAAGGTCTGGACCAGGTGCCTAGTGCAGTCATAGCAACCGCATGAACCACAGTCTTGAAACTTGCCCATTTACCTTCAGAATTAAATGGGGGTAGATGCAAACTCCAGCTGAAAGCGATGATCAAATTCTCACTTGCTACCTTTGCTTTTGCTACTCTAACAATAAAGGTCTTGGCCTAAAGCACTGGTAATGTTTTCCTATTATGCATATATTTATCGGTGAAACTGGCACAATATAGCACACGATGCTGCCCATACATTATTAATACTGGTAGGAACCACCTGGTTCCACCAGTCCACAGGGGATTATTATGTCCGTCCGTCCTGCATCCCAAAATGGGAGGGGTGGGGCTGGGTGGAGAGGGTGGAGAGGGGCTGGGTGGGGAGGGGAGAATACCACACACACAACTGGGGCTGCGTGCCTGTAATCAACGTCTAAACGGTGAGTGGATGTTGCTCACATGAATGTCTGGTGCTCGAGGCTTCATCTGTAGGATCGCCATGGCCTCCATATGTGGATCGGGCTTCTTCACAAACTGCCTTTCCCGTCCCTCTGCTGCTCCAGAAAAAAATGCATGCGCACACAGGTGACTTTGAATTGAACGAGTGGACATTTAGAAAGGCGAAAGAAACAATGTAGCTAACTTTCGATTTAAAGCTTTCGTGACTGCAGGGATTCATCTTCTTGGTTCTTTCGGTGAAGTCACGTAGAATGGAAATAATAAAATAATAAAAATAAAACATCATAAAATAATTCTCACGACGTTTCGGCCACAACGCAAGCAGCCGTCCTCAGGTGAAGAACAGGTCTGTCGAGAAGACAGAGTCTGAATGACACACCCCAGGCTTGGATGGAGGGGGAAGAGCGCCTTGACAAAAGCGCCTTGACAAAATAATTTGCATATCAAGAGGAGGTATTTTATTATTTATTGTATTATTTTATTATGTTTTATTTTTATTATTTAATTATTTCCATTCTACGTGACTTTACCGAAAGAACCAAGAAAATGTAGCTAACGTATTTGTGGAAAAAGTCTGTGCTCCAACCCTCCATTGTAAGCTCAAGAATATGCCTGACTGCCTGTATACAATACATATTCCCACTGTTCATTTACAGATTATTTCAGATGCAGTCAGATTTACATGCTCTGCAAATGCAAATTGTAATTGTAGAGTTTGCAGCTGAAACTAATGTTCATGCACTTCACATTTATTCCACCACTCGGGTCTAACACACTGTATAATATCATCCAAACGGTTTTCAACCACCACATCAAAGTATAAAACACTTGATAATTGTTTTTTTACCCTTTTATCTGGAAACAAAACTGACAACCTTTTTTTACAAGGAGTCATGTTTGCATTGACCACAATACTTGCGGTCAGAATGCAAACAAAAAACACAACTCTGATAATGTATGCACTGTCCTTGAAATTGATTGGTCCACACCAGAGACAGCATTTATTAGAGCCTAGTCTCACATGGTGTTGGACCAGATGACGCCAAAAGGCGCACAACTCAAAGACAATGCACCAATCAGAGTATGAGAGCTCGGGGTAAGCATTTACACCATTGGAACCTCCTTTGCCAGTAGTTGTTGCCAGATAAAATGAGTAAAAAAACAATTATCATATTTTGCTACTGGCAAAGGAGGTTCCAATGGTATAAAACACTTATTATTCTGCATCTTTCCTCACACTGTTTGACTTTGGAATTGCCTTCCATCATCTATGTTCCGAAGATGTTCCAACCTTGCTCAATTAAAACAACCTGTTATCCCATATGTTACACTTTCAAGAGTGTTGTTGTGCATTGCTGGCCTTTGGGCCTATGCTCAGCAATCAAGATATGATAAAAAAAAAACAATACGAGCAGAGAATCCTCAAGCAGAAATAAACAGCCGGACACCCTAGTTTCCTGTCATGTGCAAAATTACCCAGAAAGTAGTTGTTCTAACACCCCAGGCAGCTGCCAAGCAGCTTTTTAGCTAAGCAGGTACCTACCCAGTAAACGTGCAATGTCGGGCCAACATTGGCATGCGTTTGGAACCGTTGGCCGAGGTTCATCAAACGTTGGCCCAACGTTCCATTTTTACCGAGTAACTAGCATTGAAGGGTTCGGGTTAGGGGACCATACCGCGCGAGGCCGGACTGTGGCTCAGCGGGCGGCGCGAGCGTGGTGGCTGGCTGAGTGTGGAACTCCTTAATGATGTTGCGGATGTTTTGTGTTGGCTCGGGCCGGTAGTCGCGGCTCAGCTGCAGGGGCCGCATCCGCCCCTCCCACTCTCCGTCTGCCGCAACAAACGCACAGGAGTCCTGATATTGGTAACCATTGCATTGTGTAATGTACGGCTCTTTGTCAAGCCATCACTAGAACACATTCCTGCGGAGGGAACTGGTAGAAACGTTGGGTTGCTCGGTCAATGGCCAGGGTCAACGGCGGCGTGGTGTATTCCGCAAATATGGCCGACTGTGAGGGCGGGCACAAGCCGGCGTGAGTAGGTTAAACGTTGAGTTTTATAAGGGCACCACGGGGTGACCAGCCCCTCCCCACCCAGCCCCACCCCTCCCACCCCCCACCCAGCCCCACCCTCCCCACCCAGCCCCTCCCCACCCTCCCCTCCCCACCCAGCCCCTCCCCACCCTCCCCACCCAGCCCCTCCCCACCCTCCCCTCTCCACCCAGCCCCACCCCTCCCATTTTTGGATGCACGACGGACGGACACAATAATCCCCTGTGGGCTGGTGGAACCAGGTGGTTCCTACTAGTATAATGGTCTCTCCATGCCGTATCAGTTGTTTGATCATACTTCACCACGCTGAGCAGTGTGGGATAAAGAGGAGATCCAAGCACAGGTTTAGATATCACTTGGCACTGATGTTTGCTGCGGCCAGGAATCTAAATACTCGACACATTACTTATGAATGATTTACTAAAGTATTCACCATATAGTGTCATTGTAATCATCAATTTAAACATGCTGCTTTAGCTGTGGGTTTTACTGTGTCTCTTACTCTTTCAGATGAGATCAAAGCTACCTTAATACGTGGTTTTGAATCCTATTGGAGGTTATCTACCTGATGAAATAAAATAAATTTACACCAGCTGCTGTGAGGATAGTTTTACTCTGGGAAGATCCAAATTATACATCAGTCCATGCTGAGAAACATACATGTCATATCATGGAGAGTACCCTAAGTGTTTAATCAGTTCTCACTCACATTGTAGACACAGACACAAATGCCTTGAGGCTATGGCACAATTTATAACAAACTCTGATTTACTCTGATATGATTACATACCATCCTGATGCGGGTAGCTTGATTGCTGAAAAAAAATACCACACCATATAAGTTAATTTCTGTCCTTTCTTTTAGTTTTCACACACCTATTTGAAATTCACATCCTCTGTTTATACTACATATATGTATACTATGCAATGCAGTTACAGTACATAGCAAGCGTACTCCATGTGCTTGACATATTACCATAAATAATATGTATTTATAATCGGTTAATTGAGAATAATTGTACGTCTGTGATTTCCCCAAACAATGTAAGTGGGAAAATTCCCACCCATTAACAATAGAGCATCGTCTCTCAGATGGGCAGCACTGAGTTTCATGCAGCATCGCTGAATTCCAATTGGTAACCACTTGCACTAGTCACCTGAACCTGAGTGTCTCTCGACTAGGAGACACAAACAGCTGGCGCCCCACACTGACCTCGGCAACTCCAGCTGCTGCGTTGTTGCCATCGCCTGCTGCCGCGGGGCTGGAGGTCGCAGCATTGGGCTCGGAGCCCGGCTTGTGTTGGTACATCATTTGGAGAGCCATCTGCTGGGCCTGCGGGCGTTGGGGACATGGCGTATGTCACACAATTCTAATGCAATTGTTTTTTGTTTTTGTTGTGCGCTCATATGACCCAGTGGGCCCCGCGTCGGTGTTTAGGTCTAATAGGGTGAAACGCAACCTCAGCGAGCCTGGTAGTTACACCGTTCGTACATAATCGAGGAAAGGAGATTGATGTGGCTGAGCGGCACACGGGGCTTCCCCCTTTCCAGAGCACCAGAGGTGAAGTCAAGAGTATGCAGAGGCACAAGGAGAATTTCATCCGAGTAATGTTATTGTTTGAAGTATGCCTGATATACATAGTCATACAATGTTACAATTATATATGCCAACATATAACCATTTTCCAAATAATTTTGGGCGACAGGGTGGAGCAGTGGTAACAATTGTGCCTCATAGCAAGAAGATCCTGGGCCCGATTTCCTTTGCAGTGGTGCTCATCTTACATTTACAGCTTGCAGCCCGTGGCGAAAATTCCACATTCCTGGGGTGGGGGGTTAGTCTATCCTTTGCATAGCCATTGTTGACTTTACTACAAGGTATTTAAGTGGTAAAACATCCTGAAATTGAATACACCTCCAATCGTGCCTTTGGGTTGTGTATGGCACCTGCTTAACTACACTTCCCCGAGACAATGGCGCACACAATGAGAGGAGTGTGCCCAACGCCGCTCGCTCGGTGAAGCGCACGGCAGGTGTGTAGCGTGCACTGACCAGCAGGTAGGCTTGCTGTTGCAGTAGGGCTTGCTGTTGGGCCATTACGTCAGGAGACATCACCATGGCTGAGGGCGACAACGAAGCAATAAGCGATGCATTGTGAAAAGAATCTGAGCGCCAGCGCAGAATTTGGCCCAAAGGTCCTTACAGCTTGATGCGTCACCTACATCTCTGCACTTCATGAAGTTTCATCTGCATCATTGCTCTAGAGGAGTTGTACACCCCTAGCTGCCACTGCTATTCAGTGGCCTAAAATAAAATGTTTCGCTCCGTATGATCGCTGCAAAGTATGACCTGTGTTTGATTTACTGTGCTGATCTTAAAGGTGCATTGAAAAATGTTGATACTCCGACTGATGCTCCTGCTGTTGTGGAGTGACTCATGCAGCCAGCTATGGCTGCAGGGTTTGGAAGTACATGTTGTTTATGTCGTTTATTGTGAAAGTTCAGTCACAGTTCCTGTGATCACTGTTTCATTGATTTTATGGCTTTATTTTGGTGATTTCAAAACTTTTTTGGTTTGGCCATGTTTGTTGTAGTACAGAGTTAGAATGATGGCCTTAATCTAAGTTGTCTTGTGGTTGTTGTTGTTTGACTTGCATCCCACTGAGATTTTGCACACAGCGTTGGTGTACGGTGCTTTTTCTGCAATATTTTGCTGTCTTTTCTTGGATTTTCTGTTTGCACATAGTCACTTTAAGATGTTTTCTTGTTCATGTTTTTGTTTTTTGTTTGTTGCGGTTGCACCCGATTCAAGAGCCGAATGGCTCACAGGGCTATACCTAATAAATAAACTTTACCTTGATCTCAAGTTTCTAGATTACAATTTAAGTACTCACAGTTAATACATATCTGACTAACATCATTCAGTGTAACGTCCAATATAATGTCCAATATAATGATAATTCCACCAAGGTCTAGAATCCTTGACTCAATGTCAACAGTAAACAAGGACAGACCCTTAGTGTCAATACATCTGTAATTGCAGCCATTGATGTATGTATTATGAATGACAAACCGATCGTTTGATTCGTCGAAGGAAATGTGGGCAGCTTCAATGGCTGATGAAGTGGTGGTTGGTGAATGAATGGTTCTAATGAATGGGTCTTACCCTGTATGCCGGGTAGGGAGACCATCTCCCCTGGCATCACCTGCACTACAGAGCCAGCTGCAGGAGACATCGTCAGCACAACAACATCCATTAATTTTAGGAGACTGCTCAAGAAGAACCACGGGCACCTCCTCTCATAACCTGGCCACGTTGGGACCGTGTCACAAAACCCGAAATACTTTATAGGAAACCCAAGGGTGAGGGGCCCCATGATAATAATATTTTCAACTTGTAATGCCTTGCACAGTATTCAATCACTCTCGAGGAGAGAATAACACAGAGGCACGAACAACGACAGACAAGCAGGAATGTATTTGCATATACCTGCACGTGTACGTGTGAGCACACATGTTTGTGTGTGTGTGTGTGGCTGCACGACAAATCCAACGACCTGAGTTCAATTCCCGCTCACGGCCAACACCAGTGACGATTATCTGAACCGGTCCTGGGCCTCCCCTAGGTCGACAAATGAGTACCTGGTGCGGTGTGTAAACATCGCCACTAGGGAGACAAAGGCGGCTGGGCGTGGTGCTGGCCAACCACCCCATCGTGTGCCATGTCGGCTTTCATAGGTGCTCGCTAACACCACTTGCCGCAACAGTCTGTTAAGGCTATACGGGAGATTTTTGGCTTTGTTTGTGTCTGCACATACCGGGTGTCTGCTGGGGTGGTGGTCCCGCTGCCTGTGGGTTGGGCTGGCTGCTGGAACCTGGGCCGACCCTGCCGCCTCCCTTGAGCTGCCGGCTGAGCGCCGCCGCGCGTTCCATGTCCTGCGAGTGGCACAGGGCACGATCAGCACAGTCCCTGCCATCACCATGTCATATTACTTGTGTGCCTCCCATGCAGTACATGTCGAGGTGCCCCGTGGCAGGGGATCCGCGGTGGCAGCTGTCCCTGTGTGGCACAAGGCGGAATGCAGCATCGGCCTGCAAGTGGATAAGAGTCTGCTAGTAGGGGTCGACGCTGCCATGTGTCTTGTTTGAGAGTAATTTATCTCATTTTGACCATAACACCTCACACACGGCTTACTCTTTTCGAATAACATCGTGGGATCATTAACGTCTACTTAAAGCAGGCAACATGTGTTTATGGTTTATACACTTGCAGTATTTAACCAGGGCAGCCGCTGGGGCTTGAATCTCTAACCTCGGCAACAAGTGACAATTGCGATACCCCGAGCCATGCAATGCTGAAGCTTAATTTTAAGACCACACATTATTCAAGAGGAGCTTTTGTCTATAACTTAGGCTTAATAGCCTACACCTTGTTGTCACAACTCAGTGAATCTTTCCACAGGTACAAGCTTCTATTGTTTAAACATATGCTCCTAGAAATCCATTGTTCTAAAATCAAAAGATTGAATGGCTATATTTTTAAACAGCTAACCTCCGTCATGGATTTATTTCTTGATCTACCAGTGAGACTATCCAGTGAATGACACAGTCACGTAAATGGCAAGATGTGTCCAGGTGGCAGTACAGCACAAAGGTACAGTAAGTTACATTTTGACTTAAAACTTTCGTGACTGCAGGAATTCATATTCATTGGTTCTTTCGGTAAAGCCACGTAGATATAATTTTTTGCCCTATTTTTTCCCCCTCCACATTTAGGAACATATGTTTAGAGTATTTGGCTGCTATAAATTTCCACATAATAAGCCACTTCGTTGAGCTATCATTTGTGGCCAGGTCGCTTCTGAAATTTAGCTATATAATATTTCAGTAGGCCTTACCTGGTAAAAAAATATACTTTTCTTCAGAGTCAATAGAATATCTATAACTTGCATATGTTCTCTAAGCTATGTCTTCTTATTTCTGTTTCTCAGGATGAATCCAAATAGGCACCTGCCGATGAACTATTTGCGGAGTCAGTGGAAATCCCCTCGTCTATGTATGCTTTCATCATATATTTAGAACTTCGCACCACTTACCGCTGCGCCAAATGACAGCACGGGGTCAAAGAGGCTGTCCAGGTACTGGTCCATAGTCTTCTGGGAACGCTGGTCACTGTTTGTCTCGGATTCTGGATGGACGAAGGAATAGAAATTATGAGAGCCTGGAGTTTGACAGCCACCATCGAGCCATTGATTAATAAGTTGATCGTTTGATTTCAGAATGTGTTCTCCCCTGTATCGTGGATGTTATCAAATCCCTTGTGATGGCAAGAGTTGGCCCAGTCAGAACAACTTTCATAGGCTCAAATACCAAATGCTAAATTACAATATTTACACGTCCATAATGTGTATGAAACAACTGTCCCATCACGAATATAATGTCTCGGGTGCCCCAAGTAAAATGACAATAGCCTAAGAACAACTGTTAAATAAAGCTACATTTCCTCTGGCGAATTTTCTAAATTTGTTAAATAGGGCAAAACACCATAACACAATGACACACCCTTCAATGAATGACATCAAAGAGTTATTGTCTATTTTTCAGAAGGTAACATGCTTTGCTAATTCCCCATAATGATTAATTATAAGGCAGCTTCACCCCATCCACTCATTACGCTTCATACAAACTCAACCAGTGGCCATGTGAAGACCGTAAGGCTGCCCAGATAAATTTCCTCAGCTCCAATACCAGCGAGCGAAAAATAAACAGCTTCGCAGCGATTCGACGAATTGTGATCTGGGGTCGTGATTTAATTCAAGAAAGGCTAGTTCTTTGTTTAGTTTTTACCATCTCATTTGTGCCATCTCATCTATTAAATGTTGTCTGCTTCATTGTCCTAAATGTACTATAAGCATAATACGTGTATGTGTATAAACCGGGAATCCATCATTCTTACGAAATTTGATGCGTCTATCTTCAGCAAAATAATTGATGTTTAATTGCTTAATCGATGCATCATCACATGCCTAACCAGGCCCCATTGGCATCAGTGACCCAGTAGGAGTTGGGAGAGAGCTCACCGGGTGAGTAGGGGCGGGAAAAATATCCATCCGAGTCTGAGAGGCTGGCAGGAGGGTGTGGGGGCGCCTTGGCACGAGGTGGGAAGGGCATGTCCTCGTCGGTCTCGTAGGCACTGCCACCCGACCTGCCGCGGAAACACCACGCCACACGGTCACACGCACACACACCCATGTCCAACACAGCCTTGCTCTCACATTGTGTCACTCTGTGTCTGTTCTCTTCTATTCGTTCACCGGAACGTAACATTAACGTATAATAATATCCATGGATCGTAAACATTGTGATCTCTTGTAGTAGGTTTTTACCCTTTAAACTGGTACAAAACTGACACCTTTATACAAGGCATCATGTTTGCAATAACCGCAACACAAGCAGTCAAAATGCAAAGAAAAAGAAACAACTCTGATAATGGTAATGATATGCACTGTCCTTGAAGTTGATTGGTCCACACCCGAGACAGCTTTCCTTAGAGCCTAGTCTCCATTGGTGTTGGACCAGATGACGCCAAAAGGCGTACAACTGCTTGTGTTGCGGTTATTGCAAACATGATGCCTTGTATAAAGGTGTCAGTTTTGTTCCAGTTTAAGGGGTAAAAACCTACTACTATATTTTGCCACTGGTAAAGGAGGTCTCATGGTGTAACTGTGATCTCTCCTTTAATGTTCAATTCCAAGCATGCATAATCCAATCAGTCAATCCTAATGAGTGGATTCACTCAAGCTCATTGCTGAATGAGCATCATGGCAGCTGCAGGGAATCATAGAGCCTCTATAGAAGTCGACTCGTCTCGATTTTGTAATACTTTCGACGTAAACTTTTACTCTTCCGTGGTTTGGTAATCATTAATTATCATGGTAATTATCGAACATCTACTCTTAGTTTGTCTTTTACTGTACGAATTATAAAGTATATTGTTATAGAGGATATTATATGATTATTGTGGACGATAATTGTGTTTTTTACAATCTATTATTATTCATATGAAATCAGATATAAACTGTGCCAGAACAGATTGACTGACCCATTCTGATCGATTCCAAGAAATCGTGAATCATATTGCTTGATTCAGAATCAAATTTTCAAATACAATCCGGGCCACATGATCGTGAAAAATAAAACATGAACTGCAGACCCTTGAAAAGGCACTATTGGTTATTGTTCTTGGTTCAAATTCAAGTTAATTTATTAGGTATAGCCCTGTGAGCCATTCGGCTCTTGAATCGGGTGCAACTGCAACAAACAAAAAACAAAAACATGAACAAAAAAACATCTTAAAGTGACTATGTGCAAACATAAAATCCAAGAAAAGACAGTAAAATATTGCAGAAAAGCACCGTACACCAACACTGTGCAAAAATCCTAGTGGGATGCAAATCAAACAACAACAACCACAAGACAACTTAGATTAAGGCCATCAGTCTAACGCTGTACTACAACAAACAAACATGGCCAAACCAAAAAACTTTTCGAAAATCACCAAAATAAAGCCATAAAAGCAATGAAACAGTGCTCATAAGAACTAAGGCTGGCAATGCTGTGGCAATTGAAGGCCAGAAACCTGTGTGCCCATAGAAGATGAGTGACACTCTGGGGTCCACGGTGGGAGGGGGGGGGAAGATGGGGGAGGGGGGGGGATTGGCTCGTACGAGTCCTTGCCGTGACCGCTGTTGTGCTGGGGTGGCAGGAAGCTGCACGTCTGTGTTGGGAAGGAGGGCGGCAGCTCCAGGTGAGAGACGAGGTCGAGCACGTGCTCGTGACCCGGCAGCTCGTTCGTACGTGCACCCTGCTGCAGGCTCACCGACCAACCCCGGCAGCTCTCGCTCGCACCCCTAAAACATTCGCGCAAGCAATTAAGAACGTTGGATGTTTGGACTCGCGGCTTTTGGCGAATCATCAAACAAAGACGGTTACTGCCTCGCGCGCTTTCAGATGCGCTTCTCTGGAGTGATGCACTCTCAAAATTTTAAACAAAAAGTTATCCCTTTAGAACTGCATTTCGTGTTTAGTTTCTTGTCCTTCCCCTGCACCTCCGATTAACACAGTTGGCTCCGTAAGATGTGAAAGAGGTTCAACATACATACATATAGACATACACATGGATGAGGACCTCCCAATGCCACAACGTGGAGACGCACCTGCGCTGCAGGATGGAGGCTCCGAGCTGCTCCCCGGTCGTCCACGACTCCACAGGGCACAGCAGCGTCTCACCTGAGGGAGGACAGGGAGGGAAGAGGTTCCCAGGAGGAGATGGAAGATATTTTATTGTTTATAATTGCTTACACCTGTCAGGGTAAAACACCTGAGATGTTATTATACTATATTCTTGGTTCTTTCGGTAAAGTCACGTAGAAGGAAAATAATAAAATAATTAAAATAAAACATAATAAGATAAAATTATCATGACGTTTCGGCCACAACGCAAGCAGCCGTCCTCAGGTGAAGAACAGGGCAGTGATCTGTTATTATACTCCTGACTGAGCATTGGCAATAATCGAGGTGGTCAGGTGTTTTCAGTCCGTGCAGGAAACATGGAGGTTTAGCAGTGAGTGAGGAATTCTGTAGGTGACAGGAGGTATAAGAGTGGGGATACTGTAGTTTAAGTTTATTTTATTTGTTACACAGATGATCCCTCTTCTTCGTTCTTTCGGTAAAGTCACGCAGAATGGAAACAATAAAATAAAAAAAATAAAAAAATAAAAAATAATTCTCACGTTTCAGGGAGAATCTGTAGATCACTGCAGGTAGCAAAATGAGTGAGGATGCTGTAGATCACTGGAGATGTGTACCGTTGTAGCAGGCAACCTCGAGGGCCATGGCGGCGTGGTTCTTCGCGGCCACCCACTCGAGCAGGCAGGGCGGGAAGGTGCGTGATGCTCCGGGCTCCACGGAGTTCGCGGACATTCCCTGCAGCAACTTGTGCTGGCACGTGGCGCGATATCCGTTATACGCGTGGTCCGACACGTACCTACACAAATAAAGATCCCCCGCGTGACCTCCATCCATTCACCACTCACACTATCACGCAATCACACGCTCAGACGCACGCACTCTGATGTGCAGTTACATTCTTACACAAAGACAAAGAACCCCAGGATAGCCTGCGTAGGCTGTTGGGGAAAGTGTTGTTAACAAGCCACCTATGAAGGGCATCGCTGCACATGACAGGGTGTTGTGGCCAACACCACACTCGACGACCTTCGTCTTCCCGGTGCCGATAATTACAAGCTGCATCAGGTACTTATTTTGGGCTGAATCGACCTCGGGGAGGCCCAGGACCGCTTAATAAATTCCACCAAATCTCAATCTACTCATAGATCAATTGCTCGAGTTGAATTGGAGGGAGGTTAGAGGGGACCAGTTTTGATATCACTTACCACTCATGTTTACAGTGCCTGGGAATTTTACCCAGATTTGCCAGGAACACCACCGCTATGTATGTATGTATGTTGAGCTTCTTTTTCACCATACATAGCCAACCGTGATGATCGGGGGTACAGGATTTAAGCATCGTGTCCAAAATGTACATTTATCAATACAGATTTTACACACCTGTTAGCAGCTGCACACAGAGACAATTGCACGCGTGCAACTCACTTGAGCAGGTATTTCTCAAGTCGGGGCGAGGGCGAGAAGGAGCTGAGGCAGGCGGCCATGAGTAGCCACCCTTGCTCCTCCTCCCTGGGTTGCTCGTTGTGCCACGTCTGATTGGCCAATTGGCACAACAGCTCGTCCCGCAGACGCACGCACGCCAGGCCCCTCTGCACCACGTAGCAGCCGAAGAGGAACTCGTGCAGGGAGTCCAGGTCAGAGCTGCCCATGGACCTCATCACCTGAGCGAGGAGGAAAAACACGCGCAGAAGAGCGGAAGTGCCGCACGTCTCTAAGACAATGTTTGTGCAACCCAGGGACACACTCATCAGAATACAGCCTTCAGAGTCCTCTTCTCTGGAAGTAATGACATGGACACTGCCGTGTAAGATCATCGCGGTCGTGCTGCGTGTTGTTCCGAGTGTCGTTCGGCATGATGTCTGACGTTTCACTCCCAGCACGGAACAACTTAAAAACCCATTGGAGGGCAATAACACGACTACATCTTAGCTGAATTTTAAAAGTGTGTTATTTGTATACTGTTTGAAGGGCACAAGGGTAATTAACTGTCACCCCACGTTCAAGGCAGTTATCGACATTTATAATTCATATAGCGCACACACACCTGTGCGACAGGTCTTGAGACGCTGAAGGGCTTTAGCTTTCAAACCCCACCCATTGGTAACAGACAAATCCAAAACACACCTCACAATAACATAGAATACATAAGATTAAAGTATTTTACTCAAGAAAGCAGTACCACAAGATTAGCTTTCATAAATAATGGAAAATTAAGTCATTCAGTAAGCCAGTTTAATCTGGTAACAATATACGCTGTACTGAGCAATGAAAGTTGTCAGTCCATCCATCTGATGCATCTTCTTTTCATCAATCTATTTAGGGATGGACACACGGGTTGCACGCTCTATAATCTTCAAGTGAAGGAAGTTTGAGGTGGAGGGTATGGTAGACATGTAGAAGATATCACCATAAATAAAGTGCTAATATAGTCAAATACCATCTACCAATAAAATCTATGTCATCCACTAAAATGACAGGAGATTAATCCGACAGCACTGTAAAATCTTCTTGGTTCTTTCGGTAAAGTCACGTAGAATGAAAATAATAAAATAATAAAAATATAACATAATAACATAATTCTCACGACGTTTCGGCCACAACGCAAGCAGCCGTCCTCAGGTGGAGAACAGGTCTGTCGAGGAGACAGAGTCTGAATGACAAGCCCCAGGCTTGGAGCGACTATTTAAGCTGGGATGGAGGGGGCGAAGAGTGCCTTGACAAAATAATTTGCATATCAAGAGGAATTTAGCATATTTATGGGAAATGCAGATATGCGATTAGTACTACTTGTGAAATGCGTCGTGAGAATTATTTTATTATGTTTTATTTGTATTATTTTATTATTTCCATTCTACGTGACTTTACCAAGAAGATGAATCCCTGCAGTCACGAAAGCTTTAAATCGAAAGCACTGTAAAAGTGTTGTTTGTATGTTGAACTACGTAGTCCACCATGGTAATCGTCTCTATTCAGCAAATGGCCTGCTGGCACCATCCGGGACGTGAACTCTCACCAGCTTGAGGAGCTCCACAGCCTCGGATCTCAGGTCCTCCTCCAGCAGGGTGATGGGTGAGCGCGGGGACGACGTCAGCACGCCGAACTGCTGATCCTGACGAACGGCATCGCGGCCAAGTTCATTGATTCAATATAAAAAAATATCACACGGGCATCTTGGATTCAAAGCCAGAACGCAAGTCACCCTTGAAAAAGAGCAAATGTTTACTGTGTATCAATAGGTTTATTTAATCTCCTGATTAAATACGAGGGGTGGTGAGTCAGCGTCTGACAACGGGCATTAACCCCGTCAGCCGCGTTGTCGGCTCTTCCCGGGAAGGTGCCTGGAGGGACGTGAGCTGCATGAACACATGAACTGTTTATCAGAGCAGGTTCGCGTCGCAAAGCTGCCCTTGCCTTGAAGTGAATCCTGGCGAACTTGGAGAAGGGGAAGTTGTTGACGTCGAGCGGAAGAGTGGGCTGCAGGGTCTGGCTGATGGGCGGCTGGCAGGTGATGACCACGTGGCCATCGTGCACGTGATGCAATTCTGGAGGGTGCGCACGCACGCAATCACGCACACAAATGCTATTTCACCGTATAAAGTGTCTAAACACGAGAGAGACAAAGACTCGCAGACTGTTGGATTTGCTGTTACTTTGTGAGCGCCTATTAAGACCTATTCAGATAGGCAATGGCAAACAGAATGGTGGTCTGGGCAGCATTGTGCCTCATCGCATTACTTTTTCCAGCGCTAAAGCTGACAATAAAACACCTGATATCAATTGTAGGCTTAAGTCTACCCACATCAAATTGACTCCAGTTTGCATGGTCAGGAATCAAACCTGGATCACTGGGGTTTTAGAAAAGACAAAGATCTCCCGTAGGTTCTAGATTTGAAGCTTTCGTGACTGCAAGGATTCATACTCTTAGTTTTTTCGGTAAAGTCACGTAGGTAAAAAAATAAAATTAAAATTAATAAAAATAAAATTATAAAAACAGACTGTATCCCTCGAGCTGTTAGTGAGCACCAATGAAGGCCAGCACAGTTCACGGGGAGGTAGGTTGCCAACACCACACCCGGCCGCCTTTGTCTCCCTCGTGGTGATGTTACATACCACACCAGGTACTCTACAAAGCAAGCCACAATCTTGTTGCATTTTGTTACTGAGCCACTCGCCATGTGCTCGTATGGTTTGCACAATGGGCTGAGTAAAAAACGGGGCCCTTTGACACAACTCACCGCGACTGGCCTGCAGAATGGCCGCAAGCTCGGCTGGTATCTCCAGTTGAGACACATTCACACCCTCTCTCCTGGGCCCTGCCTGAAGCGGATATCAGGAATTATCAGCCAGGTTATCACAAACCGCACAAACACATAACCACAGTAAGGGCAATTATGGTTTAGCACGTACATGTTCGCAGTAACTCGTAATCCAAATGGCGTTTTCCAGGTTAGGTCACGAGTTGAGCATTTTTTTTCTCAAGCTTTTGCCACAAACTACTTCATATACCTTTTGGAGTTGAAGTGAAAACTCACACACATTTAGTGAATGTGCAACACAAAATTGTTATGAAATGGTCATTTTTAAAATTTTGTCTCAGCATCTTTATTGTTCACTATGCAACAGTTTGGCCAAGACACTGCATGGTGATGAACAGGTAAAAGTTGATGATCTGTTACAAATTGGGTTCGCAATTTGTAAGAGATGAGAAACACTGAATGATTCTCTGACCGATATCTTGTTAATGTGGAACCCACCTTCCAAGATTTACCCTCCATCTCTGCACGTCTCCGATCGTCGTCCCTTGCCTGTAGAGGACAAAATGAAAAAAGAATGAGTTACTGAGATTAAGCAACATTTTATGAAAAACAAATGTTTAAAACACGTGTATATTACTGTACATTGTTCCAGTAAATATTAGGGCACCATTTCATGTCGTGTTTTTACAGGAATTTCGACGACCAAGGTTAGGACCAGGTTCACAGGCTTAATAACATAGTGTGGCTCCCACAATGAAATCTACAACCTCACTGACTAAAAGAAAGTAACAAATAATAATAACATGGGTAATAGTTCTAAGTTTTTCACAAGTTCTCTGGTATTCAGAGCACTACGTTTTTCCCATGTAGTGGCTGTTTCCCAATATGGAGATAAGCTGTTTCGAGCTGGCCACGTGGCTGACAGACCAGAGCAAAGTGATAGCAACCGCTGAGGTCCATGGTTCAAATCCAGGGAGCAGTGAGTGCTTAAATCGGGTCCTCAAGGGTATAGAGTTCATGGTTTCAGCTTGGTCATCAATCAATGTAGAACATCAAAAAAAGTCACATTCAATCCGACGATTAAAATGCCAGCTTGACTGTCATGCATCAAAACCTCACTCATATGCGCGGTTGGCGACGTACAGTGCGAAAGAAGTTCAACATCCATACGGAGCGAGAAGTGTTGCCGTCGACAGAGTGTGGACCAGAGGTCACTTGAAGGTGTCTCGGTAATTCTGTATCCACTACCGTGGGTCGTTGTCCAACACAAAGGGTTGCACACTACTTTGCGAGAGATCCAAATGGTAATCGAGATAAAATTGGGGAAAATTTGCTGAAGTGAAAAAAATGTGGAATTCCCACCACTGCTTCGGGGTATTCAATGAGATGGATAGATATTGTTCTATGCTTGTGTGAACAGGGACATTTGTTTGTGCACTGAATTTCAACATTTTTGTATTACCACTGGGTAAGAGCACAACTAAAGTCAATGATGGTAATGTATTCTTATTATTACTATAGTTTATTTATTTTTTACCCAGGAAAGCCTCACTGAGTTTCAAGACTTTTCAGGAGGGTTCTGCCAAGTTTTCACAGTTGAGGGCGGTGAGTCTAATCTCAATGGAGTAATGTGTAGGTCTTTTTACAACACTTGGATGTTTTGCCAATGCCAATTCCATTTCATTGTTCTTTTTTAAGCTACGGGAGGAAACCAGAGAAAATGGAGGAGACCTGTGCCAAACAAGAAAATGGACAAACTCCACAAAGAAATGCACCCAAGTTGGGAATCAAACCTAACCCTTTCTTGCTATGAGGCACAAGTGTTACCAAGTCGCCACCCTTCCGCCCAACAGCCCTACCTACAGCTTTCACCACCCTATAGAAAAATGCATTCGCAATGACTATCGACTGTACAGTGGCATGCAAAACGATTAGAGACCATTACATTTTTCTGGGTTCTTTTTGTAATTATTTGACCACTCCCCGACATTCAACCCTTTTAAAAATCCAGAGAAGAACCCATAAGGCTAAACAAAATGCTATTACAGTATTGTCCTTTTCTTTAAGTTTGGCAGAAGAGGCAAAACTGCCTCATCTTAGAACATTTGAAGTCAGCAATAAACAAATGCGTTTATGGTGTTTTTTTAGAACGTGACAGCACTATCATTATAGCGGATTGGATATTTATAGCAGCTTAGTTTACCCAAGTGCATCACAGATATTATGGTTTGTGGTCAAACAGTGCATTACATGTTGCTAGACTGATTAATAGAAGTACTTTACTTCAGTAAATCAGGTGATAATTACTAAGCTTCAAGAGCTCTTTCTTAAGAGGAAATAGCTACACCGAAAATGTACCTTGAGGCCAAAGTGTATTGCTGTAGAGAGCTGGCGTAACCTCATTCCATCTCGCCATTATGCCACCAAATTACGTGCAAAATGTTGATAGCAGCATCAGTAACCAGATATCTCAAGCATATCAGGGGACGTCATGTTAAAGCAATGACTTAGCAGTGGTAACAGTTTGTGTTCCAGTTTCATGAGCATTAGATTAACAGATGATGGATGTAACACCACCTCCTCCAGTCTCCATTGTAACAGGCAACTTAAACCACTATCCATGTTGCTCCACTTGCCTCACGTGCACACGTTTTAGTCGCGTTAAGTCAAGTATTTTATATAATAATAAAAATCACCCTTCTTCTTGGTTCTTTCTACGTGACTTTACCGAAAGAACCGAGAAGATGAATCCCTGCAGTCACGAAAGCTTTAAATCGAAAAATCACCCTTGTTTAACGAATGTCTCTTTTCCATCGAACAGATTCCACACCAAATGCTATTTTTTACTTGAAGAATTTTTTTTCCAGTTGGGACCCTAATACATTAGCTGGTTTAAGTCAGATTTACTGAAAAAGCAACAGTCCATTTGTATATAAGTCACTGGTAACTGGACAAAGACCATAGACGCACGACTATTCACGACTTGCTTTAATCGTGGGTCTCGGCCCAGGAATGAGTATTAGCCACTTGATCCACCCTGCCACGAGGTTGGTTTATTTCATTCCCATTGAACAAGCTGAACTCCGAGATGGCCAAAACAAAATGCATGTCATTGTGTTGAGCAACAACCGCATGATAATTGTTGACCCAAATCTTGTTATGTACTACGATATTTGCATTTCTGTATTTTAAAAAAATGCTACCAACTGCCCATTTCGTTTAAAAATTTCATAGACTTGTTTACTCGATTAAATCTCACGTTTTTGCTAATTGTAATCCCAATTGAGTTATTTGTAGGAATATTTTCAGCATTGGGATGTTTTCCCTATACTAGTTATAATGTATGTTTTTTTTTTAAGATATGGGAGTAAACCAGAGACTATCATGCAGAACAGGGAGAGCAAACAAACCGGACACAAAAAAGCGCACGAATCAGAAATTGAAACCAGGACCTCTTACTGTCATGCTTACGCCTTATCAATGTTCATCGTGTAGGGTTTTACATCCATATTGTGAAGCAAAATTTGCAGTTGCTAAACGTGGCTAGTGTCAGTGAGGTCATTGTTAGAAGCGTATGAGCAATGGACAAGACCGTAATATTTTCTTTGCTACGTATGACAATATTTGCACGAATAAAGTGTTCCGTGTAGTGAAACATCAGTCTATTCCTACATCGCCTATTCAACTTAAGCATTGCTTTCTTTTTTCATAAAATTTTCAAAACATGAGTAAAACTACACATCCCCTTGTACCATATTTGTCATTCACAACACTCTGTATGCATTTTTTTGTTACATTGCTGTGGTGTAATAGTACACTGGGGTTACCATACAGAGGTCGGCCACCTCATCCAATATGTCTGGTAAGTGTGGAAGAGTAGGCCAAATACCCTCTACGGGGGGCTCTCTTGGGCTTTCTCTAACAGAGGCTCTTCCACTGCCAGTGACGTGAGCAAAACAATTGCAGTGCTGCAGATTTATACTTAGACTCTATGCTATTATAGTACTGCATATACAGCATATAAGAGTACTGTTTGCAGGATATGTATAGCAAATATATAAACATGTGCCACATGTCCTGATGTCCAGGTTTGACCCTGACATTGCAGTAACTGGCGCCTGTGTTCAGGTGGCAGGATTTGATTTGTACTGAGATCAGATAGTATATTGAAATTGGATACTACATTCTTGATAGACCTAGGCTGATTGACATCTTTTTCGAGGATTGGTCTTCGGAAAAGGTAGAAGCTTTCATATGGTATGCATTCATCATTGTTATCAGTCACTGAATTTAATATTTTGTCTTTAGTGCTGCGTTAGCGTTTATTAGCCAACAACAATTATGTAAACCAACTTCTAAATTTGCCATGGCCATGTTGAGCCATCATAATGTGTTTAATGCCAACTCATATACTGTTTTAGACGTACTAACATGTTGGACCTTGGGATCATGTGTTTGCGAGTGAGATATGGTACACAGTTGCATATCCTGGATATGTGAAAAGATTGGATATGTGAACATCTGCAAATGTTTGAAGCAAACTGCTTCGATTGTGGGACCGATGCTGTACAAGTGACTGGTGAACCATCTACAGGAAATGACATGCACAAGTGCTGCACTGGGTGTGGGCGGTTAATTGGTCAGAGCGGGTAAGTGGCGGTCCGATATGTGGCAATGCCCTCCGTAAAGATGGTGACAAAAGTGCAGAGGCGATATGTGGAAGGCAAGCAAGCAGCCTCTAACGCAACAAATGCATGCGAGGTTACAAGGAACACATGAGGCTGGAGATATTTCTTTAAGACTCTCACAACCCAAGACAACTTTACCGAATTTGCAACAAATAACCTAAGAAAGGCGTTTCATGTACATCAGTCTGTAAATGCCTGCAATGCCTGCACTCGTGAATGATAACACGAGTGGAATATTCTTGTATGGCAGATTTCTACGAGGATTACTGCGAAACAATATACACAAGAGGCAAGTCCCTGAAAACTAAAATGTTTAACGCACACACACGCGCAAGCCCAGACATGTGCTTACACTCCACTTTTTTTAACTTCATTCAACCGATCCCACACTAAGCGTGCGGCAAATGTATTCAAGTACAAATCAAACGGAGACTCACCGATGGTCTTATTCTAGAGTATGGCCTTGGAGTAATTTCCCATGCGATGTTGCGAGCATTTTCATGCTCCTCTTTCAGTTCCCGATGGCGAAAGTCGTCTCACGTCTCCGGCTGTTTTCGAAGAGTCTGAGGTCCTTGATGATGATGATGGAGCGCACGCACGGGAGCGTTGTTGCGATATGCTACCACTCCACACGTGTCAACGTCTTACACTGCCTCCACCGCTGCCCACTTAAGAATGTGGTCGCCCTGTGTGACGGTACGTCATCGTCGCACCCACATGCTTGTCATGTGGGTGGGTTGGGTGTGTGTCACTGCCGACCGAAACATTTGCTGCGTGAGCCCCATCACCCGCAGGGCTCAATTTAAAACGAGAAGGGAAATTGCAAACCGTTTGTGCGCCGGAGTTAAGTTAAAAATACAG